TTCCTGATTTGACCTTGTTTCACCTATGGCTTTAAAAAAAAAAACGTCAATCTTGGGCAATTTGCCAATTGCTTCCAGTTTTTCTGTCTTTTGTTTCCGTTTTTCAGCACCACTGAGGTATTGCCTACCTTTATCAGTCATTATTTATTTGACTAAAATAAGATAAACCTCACGGCAAAAAACAAGGATCACACAAAGACACACAAAAAATGATGTTCGTACCGCGTACATTTATTTTCAATAAGCCGTCAAAGTAAACCGGTGGCGGCTGGGTTTGTTGTACTTTATCGGGTCGGCGTATATCAATATCAATTTTTTATTTATTTATTATTAATTTAAATAAATTAGGAATTTTAGCAAGAAGGCTTTTAAAGCGGCAATAACTATTGGTATAGTCTGACAATGAAATGATACGCTACTGACCATCAATTTAGTTCCGACTTAACACAGCCTATGCGTTGTAAATGACGCAAAGAAAAACATTCGCCGGATAGACTATAGACTATTAGGCGGTTTGATTGCACTAAGCACTAAGTCCAGACATGAATCGCATAGAACATGTCTTTGATGAGTTGGTACGACGTATTCAAAGGAATACACCAAGAGCTGAGAGGTTAAATGATATTTTTTTTGCAACCACGCTAGCGAATGTGTGGGGATGCAGCTAGTACATATTATAAATGCGAAAGTCTGTCCGACTTTATTCGTTTATTCATTTTGATGAAATTTGGTACTAAAATAGTTTGATACCCAGGGACAAACATGGGCTACTTTTTTGAACTTTTTTTGATTTGTTTATTGTTTTCTTGTCAGAAGGCAATGTGTGTTTTGCTACGCAATCCTATATATCGCACTTTCATTGACATCCCACGGAGCGGGGGACTGAAATATATCACTATTTCAATGTAACCTAAATTGTTTGTTCGTCAGTGTATATTAAAACGGTTATTTATGCAAAAAATGCTTATTTTAGGTAAAAATACTTTATTATTATGTTATTTATACGCAGATGAGACAACTTTCATAAATGTACAATGCAACTTAAAGACCTCGCTGTAGTCTCAGTCAAAACAATAAACACGATATTCTCTTTAAGAAAATATAAAAATGATGATTATCCTTGAAAAATTCTCAGTGAGAATGTCAAAATTTTGGGAATACAGCTAGATCCAACACTAAAGCTTGAAAAGGCAAATTGAGCAGGTCCATCTTTGTGTTAGAAAACTTGGTTGATGTTTTAATTATGACCTATCACGCACTATGTCGAAGTGTTTGTGTATATGATATAATCGTATGGGGTCATTCGACATATACATGTTTTTTCCTTACAAAGAAGGGCACTACAATTCATTTCAAAACTTAAGTTTGGGGATGATTAATTGAGTAGTTTGCCAAAAATAACTTCATATAATACTGGAATGAATAACCATACCCACCATACAAGGGGCAAAACTAAGAATCTAAGATCTAAGAATAAATTCTTTTAGACTATTAAAATCCAAAAGTTCTACTACAACTTACTACTCGCAAGCTTTTTAAAATAAACATCCTAAGCAGTCAGGCATTAAAATGGAAATGCATTTAAATATTTCTTAAAAAATACCTAATTAAAAACGCATATTACTCATTCGACGAGTTCCCAAATTCCGTGATATTTATGTGATTTTTTTATACTTATTTTTTTGTTTTTGTAATTTTTTAATAATTTTGTACTCTAAAGGGTGTCCTAAAACTCGAGCCACAGAGAAAAAGGCGTCTATAGCAATGGAGATGCCAAATTTAAAAATAAAAAATTTCTAGGTAATAGTGTAATCGAATTGGAGCAAAAAAGCGGCAGCCAATACCGAGAGCTCTCGCCTAGGTTAAACGTAGGAGGTTTAAAAATTGCTAGGAGACGATAGAACGTTGTTGTCCTAAAACTTTTAAAAATCTTTTGGCTGACTGTGTTTACTAAGTTGATAAAACCTTTCAAAAAGGGCTGTCATACTTCAGGACGCCAATTTTTAAAGTAAATATCAAACAACTAGTTCTGTACCCCAGAGCAAAATTTGGCTGGAGGTCTTCTTGCTCTAGCAGGATAATCTTCCGGCTGCAGTTGTTGCACTCGCGTAAAATAAAAAGGGTGTTGCCGATCCTTCTTCATAACCCGCTGAACTGTAGAACGGGAAACATCCAGTTCGCGTGCAACTTCCCTTATGCTCCCCCTACTATTTGCATCAAAGGCATTCCAATTTTGTTACGACGCGGAACAACTCGACCGGTCGCGGTCTCGCGATAGTCCTAAGGAATCCTTAGTAAGGATTACTTTACGAACGGAAAGCGCTGGGAAAAAACTCGTGCTGCCTTCCTAGCATTGCGCACACACTCCCCATATATAATCATCATTTCGGCATAATCAGAGGAGAAAAACATAACTCGCTGGTTTGGTGCAAGACTATCCTAAGTCCATTTTCAAAGAATTTGATAAAAACACTATTAAACATTTCTATTTATTGTAACTAAATTGTTTTTTTGCGTCATTCTTTTAAAAATTGTAAGATTTAGGATAGTCTTGCACCAAACCAGCGAACTTAAAATGAAATATATTGACAGGAACAAAAATTGACAGCAGTGTCCCATTGAAGTGGATTCCAGTCGACCAAATATTTCACATATTTGTAATATCAACAATGCAAGTAGGGATTGCAATTGCTGGATCTCATCCAGCAATCCAGATGGACCCAGCGCAGTTTTCACTGAACAAAAATTTAGCCTGCTGGATCCAGCACTGCGGATTCGCAAATAATTAACTTTCCAAATATTGGCGCAAAAGTCTACGTTCACAGCGTTGCCGCTTTGCTAGGTGCGCTAACGCCCAAACATCCTCGGCGGGAACGACCTTACCGTCCTGTCACGCTTGCGGCACGTGCTACACCCTTTATACACAGAACTTTTCGCTCTCGCTTGATAAATAAGTGTCTTCTTGGCACCGGTGTGGCCCGGGTTGTTTGTTGTGAGAATTGTAAGTAATTTGACTGACTTTAATTTTAATTTATTTACAAACTTTACATTACATTAGAGTAGATACATTGGGAAGAAAAAAAAACAAAGCTTTTAATAATAATTATTATAAAAAATAATAATAAGCCTTTAAAGTAGAAATCAGTTAAATGTTCTACAAATATTTAATTGTCCAGTAGCTATAATTCATATTATGGGGTTTAAAAGAGAATAAATGTACTAAAAATTGAAAAAGTGCAATATTTTTTTTCATAAAAGTTTTCAGTCCTGTAAAAACAATATTTAATATTTATTTATTTAGTAAGGTTTACATATTACTACTAGTAATTTACTATAGTATAGCTAGCTAATCAGTTGTTTAACTCATTTATTAAAAAAGCATATTATACAGAAATTTATTAGTAAAAATAAACATAACATGAAAATTGGTAAAATTAATGTTTAAATAAAAAAAATACTCATAAAAAAATTTTGGTTATCAATAAAAATTAAATTAATTAATTTAAATGCTGTCTAATTAAAATTTTATTTATTTATTTTTTATTTTTTATAAATTGGTACCTATTTTAGTGAAAATAAAAATAATAATAAAAGTCTCCCAAGTGGGTATTATAAAATCTTTATTTTTTTTAAATTTTGTTTAAAAAAATTATAAATTGCTGGATTCAGCTAAGATTATGTTGATCCAGCTAAAATCCATCTGGAGTCCAATCACTAATCCTAAGTACTCTAGCAATTTAAAGAATTTCCTATGGCAATATTGGGATTGGTTATAGATTTTTATTCTTATCTCTCATCTCGAATTTTTAAATATGTTTTTGAAAAACATTTTCGCATTACTTTCGGCACGTTCCATTTTTCTGTGGTGCGAGTTCTGGGATCCCCTGCTATACATTTTAATTATTAATAAGATTATTCTTATTATTATTGGTTAAGTTAGTAATTTACTGTACCTACTTATTTTAAGGGTTGTTTTTTAAACTAAAAATATTACACAAAAATAACACCAACCAAGAAAATTATTTTTTCTCCTATTGCGAAATATGACCATTCTAATTTTAATATCACTTTTTATTGTGAAATTACATATATTTTCTAAGGTGTTACAGAATGAATTATTCTGTCACCGAATGACGGAATAAACACTGGTGACGACACCTCTGTGTTTATTATCAACAACTTTTAGACCGATCCAACTTCACTTTCTTCCAATAAAATTAATTTTCTATGGTATTTTTTGAAAACGTAGAAAAAGTATAGTCTGAAACACATTTGGAATTGCATATTTCGATCTTGTGAAACCGTCAAACTCGCCTTCGGCTCGTGTGATAAACTTTTCACTCAAACTTGTTACAGATTCTGTAATACAGATTATACTATTTTAGACTCAAACTAGACACAAAAATGCAAAGACGTCATAAAACGATAAAAAGTCCCAAAAACAATCTAACAAATTCGGTTAAAACTTGTTTATGTTAAGAACAACAAATTGACTCCGTTCTTAGCAAAACCGAAGTCAACCCTACGAAAAAAGTTGTACTGCAAAATTGGTCTGCAACCATTTATACACCGCTTCAAATAGCAAGTTTATTTTAAGAACTTTGCCCGTTTCGTTTCTCATTTAGTTAGAATAGTGAATAGTAAAATTTGAAATAATCAAAACATGATGTATGCATTGCATGTACCAATAGAAAAAAGGTTTAAAAATATTCATAGAACAAATTGTGGTTACTGAACATGAATTACTCATATATTAATAATATCTTTTTAGGGTTGTAAATATCTAAACTGCCCAGAAAACCAGTCGTCGATGTATAAAGCAAAGCTGGTAGTTCGTTGATTAAAACTATTAGCTCTAGAAGAGTTTCTAATGTGTAAAAACTGTAAAGATTATAAAAGATTCTGACAGTATTATTGGAAAAAAGTAAGGAAAATATACCAAAATAAAGAAGAGTACTTTATCTTTAAGCTAGGAAAAAATATTAAGTAAAGAAGGCAAAATGGACAAAGGCGATCACAAAGACAAAGAACATAAGGATGTTGAAGCGACTGTAAGTAGGAATGAAGAAACTAAAAAATTAGTTAAACAAGAAGGCAAAATAGACAAAAGAATCGCCGACAAATATAACAAAAAACCAAATATAAAGAAGAACGCGTTTAAAATACCTTTATTAAGTAAAAAACTACCAGAGACTATAACAAGCAGTATTGTAAATAATGTTCCTGTGCCAGTGGTTGAACCGCCGAAAATTGTGCTACCTCTAAAAATGATGCCTCCACTAAATTTAGCCGAAATCATGCACCCCCATGCCACTGCATTACTAACCAATAATTTAAAAAAACAAAATAGTATGAATGCACCAACGAATAGTTTTCATGACAGTTACAGGCAACAAAATAGTATATCTGTACCCATACAACAGAATATTCCAATACCTCAAAGTCCTATAATCAATAATTTTGGTGGCCCTAATAATATTAGCCCTCACAATAACAGGCCCATACGAAATGAACAAAATTTCAACAGACCAAATTTTAATAATATACCAAATGAATTTGAGGGTCGACCAAACGACTTTAATGGACCACAATTTCATAGACCGCCTCAAAACGAATTCGACAACTTTCACAACCAACAAGATTTCCACAACAGACCGAACTCTCAAATGCAGTTTAGAGGTCCTCAACAGCACAATAATCCCCAATTGATCCAACGGAATCAATTTAAATTTGAACCCCCTCCACCTGATATAAACTTAAACAATTTTAAAATGGGGCCTCCACCAAATTTAGCCGAAATCATCCAGCTTAATGCCACGGCATTAATTGGCAATATAGTTGGTAATTTACAAAAACAAAATTGCATAAATGTACCAACGAATAGTTTTCAAAACAGTCACGGGCAACAGAGTAATATATCTGTACCCATACAGCAAAATTTACCAATACAACAGAATATTCCAATACCTCACAGCCCTATAATCCATAATTTTGGTGGCCCTGATGCTAACAGCCCTCACAATAACAGGATACCTCCCATAAGAAATGAACAACATTTCAACAGACTAAATTTTAATAATTTACAAAATGAATTTGAGGGTCGACCAAACGATTTCAATGGACCACAATTTCATAGACCGCCTCAAAACGAATTCGACAACTTTCACAACAGACCGAACTCCCAAATGCAGTTCAGAGGTTCGCAACAGCACGATAATCCGCAGTTCAAACAACGGAATCAATTTAAATTTGAACCCCCTCCACCTGATACTGCCGGTATGCCCTTGCTTTTACCGCAAGAAGACAAGGGTTTTTGTAGCGACCAGAAGAATTTTTATCATGGAGAAATCAAAGAGCACATATCTCCATGGAATGGATCGCAGAATAATTGGAATAGAGGTAGAGGGAGGTTTCACAATAACAGTGACCCCAGAAGGGGAAGGGAATATGAGAATCATGATTTTAAACAGCCACAAACTTCCAACTTTGAACATCAAGATACCCACAACAGCCCCAGCTTTAGAAAGGAAGACCCCATTCCAAACTATAGGAACCCCGGACAAGTCAGAGAAGATTTTAGGCAACAAAATAAGTCGGCAAACAAAAGAGGAAGATTTAGAGGTCGAGGATTCCAGCACAATAGATCTAGAGGTAAATCTGAAGCAAGAGAGGTTAAAGATCGGCAGGATTTCCAGTACAGAAACCAATTCGATTTGGTTGATAGTGCAAATGATGATAATAGACCAAGGTCTAGATCACCACCAAAGGAATCGTTTCATTCCCCGCTGGATAGTTGGTATGTAAGCGACAAAAACCTAACTGAAAAAGATTACGAGGTTCAGAACGTTAACATCCCCAAAATTAAAAAGGATTTTACAAAAGATATCATTAAAACTGCAGAGGATGAATCTAATGTTGTTGACCCGGAAAGTGACGCAGTTAATTCAGTGGAGAAAGGAGAATTAAGCACGCAAGAACCAGAAGCAACAAGTATTCCTGAAAACCCGGAAATACAACCGGAAGTTGTAGAGTCCACTTTCAAAACTACTACTGAAACACCATCTTCAAGTGTACAAGACGACCCCATAGAGGAAAGTAAAGTAAAAACTGACAAAAAAGAAACTCCAGCAGAAGAAGAAAAAGACACTACAGAAGAAGTTACATCGACGCAACCACATCCACAAGAAGAAACCAAACCCGAAAGCAGTACAGCAGAACAAAATATTTTGGCGAAATTTTTTGCCAATCTAATGGGTAGTGGGAATAAAGAAGACAAAAAAGGTGCCCTCCTATCGTTGATAAGCACTTTCACCGACAGTTTTAGTGATACGCAGATCAAGAAAATTACTAATATTATTAAAGATGCAAGCTCTGAAACGGATGAACAGGCTGCCAAAACTACAGAAAAAGAAAGAGCGGTGATTGATCATGAAGAGGAGAAACCCGTCAAGATTGAGGAGGTTAGCGTAGTAAAGGTAATATATTTTTTTTAATATTTATGTAGTATATACTAAAAAAAATTTACAGGCTGAACCGGTACAAGTCTCTGTGGGGGAAAGTATAAAGAAGAAAAAAAGAACGACTCCGACAAAACCCAAGAGACACAAAACAGAATTAGAATTGTTGCCGGGAAATATTCAAGACATGTTTATACGTGACGGTGAGTTGACGGCGAACGGCAAAAGGATGTGTAGGATGCTGAAATCTGATCCAAAAGCACTAAATACAGACACAAAGGATAAAGAGAAGAATAGTGAAAAGAAGATTCCAAAGGAAGAAGACAGTAAAAATGCAATGGATATAAATTATATGACGAACGTTAAGGTTGTTCTTAATAGAATATCGCCTAAAGAACTTCTGAAACTACGCATCCCCAAATCATTATTTCTTAAGGAAGAAATTGATGCAGAACCATCTAGTATCTCTTTAGAAAGTGAAGATTTGAAAAAAGGTGAGAAGGAAGAAGAGAAAATTGACAATGAAAATACGAAGAAAAAAAAGGTAACCAAACGTAAACGTAAGACCTTCTGGACCAGCGGTTTAAATAAAAAACGGAAAAAGAGGAAAGCAGATAAAGATAAATTAATCGCTGAAACAACGGATAAGCCGTTCGTTAAACCACACGTTTGTTATCTCAAGGAAAAAAACAAAATGCAGTGCAAGTTGTGTCCGTTCAGTAGCAAATACTTGGCGCACCATTACATTATGAACCACCCTGAAGAAGAAATGTGGTTTACACGTCTAACAAAGGAAAACGCCAAGTTGGCCGTGGAGGATGCCAAAGTAAACATGAAAAAATACGAACAGTTAACAACCGCGTTCAAACTTCACAAGAAATACCAATTTGCGTGCTGTTTTTGTAAATACAATAATTCGATGTTTCCCATTTCGTTTTACGACCACGTGACACTGCATACAGGGGAATTTAGGTATAAATGTCAAGATTGTAACTTCGTAAACAATAACAGAAAAGGTATAAAAAATCACATACAAAAAAATAAATCCCACAAACGACATGCCCTACCCAGCAAACTATCTGGCATATACACCTTCTTGTTTATGTGTAACGAGTGTAATTATTGCCAAATAGACAAGGGGAATGTTAAAAAACACGTAAATAATACCCACGGAAAGAACGTCAAGATTACGAAGATTATTTCTTCCACCTTACCTATACTAGATGCGGACGATAAGGATAGCCTCCAAAAGAGAGTAATGAAGTTAGAGAAGGACGAAGTAGAGACAAAAACAAAACATGTAGTCAAAAAGAGGAAATGCGTCAAAATTAAGGCCATCATTGAAGATAAAGAAATTAATAAAAAAAACAATAAAGAACCACCCAGGAAAAAAATTAAACGGGACAAGAAGTCTTCCAATTTCCGGTCGCCATTGATGAAAGCATTAAAATTAGATAATCCCGATGAAGAATCAAAATCATCTCCACTTAATGCATCTGCAAATTTCGAAAGCGATCATGAAATAAACTCTATAGTTTTGCAAAAACAAGTTAAGGAAGAAGCAACACATATTATACCTGCGGCGGAAATCAAGAAGGACATTGAAACGATTGACTTTACTTGCGATACTGATTACAATGAGGACAACTTGTTAGGTTCTGGATTACAGAATGCAATTTCCTTCAAGTCCGAACCTGACGAAGAAGATGAGATCATCCCGGAACCGGAATTAGTCCTCCTTCCTGGTATAGAGCGACCACCTACACCGGCAATGCCAGTACTAGAAAAGTCCATTAATAAATCTGTCGTCGTGGAAGAACCTGTACAAAAACCGACTGTTATTATAGAGCGACCATTAACACCTGTTATGCCAGTACTAGAAAAATCAGTTAATAAACCGGTCCAACCAACTGTGATAAACGATGTTAACGTTAAAGCTTGTTTGGACCAGAGTATAATATTCAATGGTTGCTGCGTTCAAGTTATTAAAAATGACGACATATTAACGTATTCGTGCCAAGTGCTGCCTTGTGTTTACAGCTGCGAAAATCAGGCTTCCTTCATGAAACATTGCAAGGAGCAACATGCGAACATTGATAAAGTTAATTGTGACGTATGTAAGATTAATGTCGATGGTGGTACGATGGAAGACATGTTCAGACATGTTTTAAATGTACACTTGAATGAATTTGAAACTTCACCGCGTTTGAGTTTACTGAAAATGAGAAGACTAAGCGGCGACCAATTGTCAACTGTAATTGATATAACAGGTGACTTAAGTAACAGCGATATGGAGAAGGATAAAATAGTTAGTGAAAACGTTATTAAAAGTGAAATACCGGAACAACTACAAGATATTCAAGTCGCTTCAGTGCCGGAACAATCCGTTGAGTTTAAGAACCCATTCGAATTTAAAATATCTGGAGTCATGTCCTTGGCAGAGGAACCAGTTGTGTCACCACTGAGACCGCTAAAACTAACACCAACCAAAATTAATTCCAATATTTTCTGGTCCAAAATGAACGACGACGAGTTGAAGAAGCCGAAAAAAAGTCAGTTTGCGATGGCCAAATTTTTGACCGCTATAAGGGATCTATACAAATGTCCAGTGTACTCTTGCATGTTTTCATCCAACTTCCGCGATGAATTCGAGTCTCATCTAAATAAGCACAAACTTACGCCCAAATCGTTGTTTTTACCCTGCGTGTATTGTGACTACAAAATGCTTATAGATAACGTCACCACGCATATTGACGTAAGCCACGGCAAATGCCGGTACGCTTGCGGATATTGCATGTACCGAACCATGGATCCCGATTATGTGTACTTGCATCATTTAGAGGAGCACAAAGATAAAGAAAAATATAGAATTGTACAAGTTGGCACCACTGCAGTGGCTTGTTTGGCCACAGAACCACAAAACACTTGTCTGCCAGAGGATATCACGAAATATTGCAAACCTTATCATTGCAAACGTAAGTAGTTTTTTTAGACTAAAAGGCCCTGTATATTTATTTAATTTACTTTTTGGAAAATATAACTTTTAAGATAACGCAGTCAATAGAACGAAAAAAAGTTCCCATGTACAAAATGTACGTAGGAAAAATTGCGATGCATCCAGTGGCGGACTAAGGGGGCCCAAATCTCAAGTAGTCTTTTTCAGTCCAACAAAAAACTATCTTAAATTTAGGGGTTCCGGAAAAATTGAGCCGGCGAAAAAAAACGGTCTTTTTAGAAAAATTGACTTGCATTTTTCTCATTTTATTCAAAGAGTAATACCAAAAATGCAAAAGTCAATTTTTCTAAAAATTTACAAATTTTTACAGATATGGAGAAAAAAGAGAATTTCCGACTAATCATAATCATAATATTATGATTATATTTATTCCTTTTATTTTAATTCATTTTCCTAAATCAATTTAATTCAATGTTTAGTTTTATTTTTTTTTATTAAATTAATGTTAATTGAATACGTCAATGCAGAAACTGAATATGTCCTACCTATCTAGTTTTGAGATAAATAAGAAAAACTGAACAGAAAGTGGACATATGTTCTGGACATATTCAGTTTCTCTACTATATTAACGCCTTTGTATATTCTAGATTACCGTGACATGTGAAATTTCTACGCCATTCGATCGGGCTCCCTTTACTTATAGTAAATCCATGTTTAACTCAATAGCCCTAAAAAGTGGACATATTCAGTTTCTGCATTGACCTATTCAATTGTTGATTGCTACTTTTTTCAAATGTACATATTAAATGTATATATTTAAAAAAAAACAATTTTTCCCAAAAAGACATTTTTTTAAGGTTTGGTTTTTTCCCAATTTTTTTGCTTTTTTTTTAAATATTTCAGGACCCAGCTTTACCATAAAATATAAACTGATTAAAAAAATACCCCGGAGATTTCAAGTTTCTAAATAATAACGTGCTATAGCACATATAATAATAATAATAATATATATATATACATATAATAATAACGTGCCATAGCACATATATGAAAAAAAAACAATATAAAGTCAAAACTAAAAAAGATTTTTAATATTTTGACATTAAGAGTGTTACGAAGGACTTGCTAAGAGGATCTACTAACCAATTTAAAATAACAAAACATTAATTAACAATCACATTATTTCATAAGGAGACTAGGGGCCCCATTTTTAGTCTGCCACTGGATGCATCCATTTCTCCCATTTTTTTTTTAATTGAATGGTATTCAATTGAGAATACAACTAGTTTTTTAACAGTGGGTCGGGAAAAAAATAAAAGCAAAAATGTTGATGTTCAAAGTGCATTTATTTCTTGCTCGATAAGCCGGAAAAAACTTTCCAAAAGTTATCGGACCTGTTTGATAGTTTTTTTGTCCATTTCGTATTTTTTAAACTGTTTTTGAATGATTCGTTAGTACTTGTTTGCATTTAACCGAGTCGCATCGTATCAAAATTCTAATGAAGATCAAGTAGGAGGATAGAAGTCATACACAGGCTGAAGATATTCGCTGATGTTCATTAGAGTACAATTGGCAAAATCGAAACACGATTTTGGGATTTGGGCCACGTAAGGGATGTTCCTTGAAAAAAGGCCATTAAAAATCGATGATGGCTTTCTTCATAGTTGAACATGTTGAAAATCCTGTTACTGCAGCTAGGCAATTAACTCTCGTTCATGGTGTCAGCCACTCGTGTATTAAATATTTTTAAATTTAAGTTACATGGGCACGTCAATCGGCACAATAGCTGTTATTGGGCTGACGAAAATACCCACTGGATGCTTGAATGTCATACCCAAAGGCCTAAAAAACAACTAGGCGGGACTTAAGTTCGATCCCGACTGACGTCACACACTGTAAATCCGTTTTTATTCCCCGAGCGTTATAAAATTAATGTTAAGCTGGATGGCTCAGATGGTAGGGCGGTCGCTTGGCATGCGAGAGGTAGCGGTTTCGATACTACTATAGAAGTTGTCGAACTTTTGTTGTTCCTTTGTTAAAAAGTGTTGGGTTGGTTGGTTTGTTTTAGTTTTATCGTAACATAACAAATCTTAAAATTATGACGTCACTCGGTACTGAACTTAATTCCCGCCTCAGCGAAAAAACAAACTAAAGTTTTTGGAGCTCGCATAGTAGGTTCTTTTTTATAACGAGAATGAAACCGCACGAACATACCTCAGCAGTTTTATTCCCAAATGATGTCGATCCTAACCTATTTGAGAAACGGATGTGGTTTCAGCAAAACGGGGCACCACCACATTTTGCCCAAATTGTACGGAATTACCTTAACCAAGTGTTACCCAATAGGTGGATAGAAAGAAGAGGCCCAATTGACTGGCCAGCAATATCCCCTGATCTCACTCCATTAGATTTTTTCATGGGAAATGGCAAACATAACGAAACGAAATGCCAAACATGATATCGCGGAAAGAAAATTCGGGATAAAATTGGACAAGTAACGCTGGAAATGTTGGAAAGTGTTCGAAATGCTTTTTATTATCGATTAGGGTACTATCAACAACAAGGTGGAGAGCACTTTAAACATATTTTGCATTAAAAATGCTTTTAGTCAAGATGTTTGTTTTTATTTTTTTCTCAACTCCAACCCCTCAAATAATTAAAAACTTAAGCAAACCCTTCTGTAATATGTACTATAAAAATAAAAAATTGACCTGTTCAAGGAATTTTTGCGACAAACCTTTATTTCTTAAGTTCCAGAATTGGTTCCAGTTAAAGTTTTCACTCTGCATGTCATAAAAATATCACCGTAAGATAACGTCGCCCTAGTAAAAAAAACTTCTTTTAAGTAAAATTTAAAGTAGATACTTTATTATTTAAATGCATTTACACTCTCGACGATAACAGTTACTTTTACAGCTATATCTTATAACCTTTTGTTGCATACATCAAATATACAGGGACACTATTTAAGCCTGTATGAAAAGTTTTTACACACATTTTTTTTAGCTTGTCAGAAATCTTTCCTTTTCGAGAACGACTTTAAACGTAACATGCTGCGTCACAACTTATTGGATTTGATTCAATGCGGATTTGGAGTTGAATGTTCCGCTTTGGAGCCCACAAACAAGATGGTCCAGCATTGGAACTCCGTACACAATGTGTGCGCGTATCAGTGCGGGTATTGTTTCTTCAGTGCGCCGAATCAGGTTGCCGTATTCATGCACCAAGTGGCAAAACATTTTAATCAAAGTCCGAAGGTGTATTGCAGAATTAATCCCAACGAGGTGAGTACCAAGCTTTCTTGTTTTGACTGCGCCATTTCAAAATCTTAAGGACTTTTTATATTACCAAAAAAATAATTCTTATTTCGAATTCTATATGTATAAATATTTGTGTATATCTTTAGAATGCAGACAACCTCTTCTACAGCAGTGAAGCTATGGCACTGCTTCCGGTTCTACGTAAACTTCCGGATTCCATGAAAGAACCGGAAGCGATCGAAGCGCCACCTAAAGCTCAACCGCAAAAATCTGAATTAAAAGTTGCCAGCGGTTATAACAAAGGAAATTCCTTGCTGAAACCGCCTACGAAAGCTTCCGGGGTGACGTCGACGACCGGAAGCAAGCTGTTCCAAATCTTGCCGAGCGAGAACCTAATCTCGAAAAGTTTGGCGCCCAACTCCAAGTCACAAGTTTTGAAGGCTATTCCTAATAAGTTTAATTCCCTGCTTTCGTTTGCCAAGTATGTATTATCTTTTGTATTATCCCAGCAAACACAACCGTAAAGGTTCTATAATGGCCCTTTATAATCGTGCCTTTAATGAACTAAAGCCCTATAAAAGTAAACTCTAATGGAAGTCAATAAATGCACTTACAAGAACCTTCCATTTTTTGTTATGGTGCGCTAAAGGTTCTGATATGGCAGAAGGTGTAAAGGAACGCGTTCCTGTAAAGGCCCAGTACAAAAATGCCATTATTAAGCCATTAAACTATGTAAAGGGCCATTACATAATCAGACTTATGTGTTTGCTGGGATATTTTATACATTTATTTAAAAGTTGTAAAAATTGTTGGAAATTATTAAGTTTCGTAAAAATGGATTTCTTGGTTTGCAGATTATCATATTTTTTATAAAAATACGTTTAGCTGTTTTTTTATTAATAAGCGTTTATTTTTTAAATATTAAGGACTGGTTTTTCAAATGGGTTTCTCTTTCAGGACTTCTTCATCTTCTTTATCATCCCTGCCGTCCACATCTACAGGGCAAGTGTCCTTGTTACGAAAAAGGTTATCTTTTTCGAAAGAATCGCAACCAGTGGCGATAGATACAGTTGAAATTCCTCCGGTCGAAGATCCATCGTCGACGGGTGAACTACCGGAACAACCGGAAGTGGATCCTTTAAGCTTGACGGACTCTGAAAGCGAGAGTTTCTTGCAGAAGAACGCTGCTACTTCCTCGGAGGACGATAGGTCCGACAAGAGCTCTGAAAAAGTAAGTTATTTTTTAAAATTTACCATGTAAAATATATAAATACTTTTACGTGCAAAATAATAATAATAATAAACATCTTTATTGGTTTCCCAACAGGCTATCGACCGTGGTCTTTCTGCCCAATTTTACAAAAAAAATTTATAAATATAATAATTGTTAATTGTAGTTACAATATTGAATTTATATAAAAAAAAAAAAATAATAAAAACATAAATCTCAAATATTTAGTGATGTCCGTGATTATCTCCCATAAAGTTTGTGTAGGATATTTCCTTTTGGGGGGCAGGTTATGGTCTCTACCGTGCATTAAGTTTTCCATAATTTGTATGTTGTGGTGTTTTTTTGCAAATTGGCATGCCAGCTCCTTGAAACGTTCCAAAATGGGGGTGACCTGCGTTGTTTCGTATAGCAGTTGATTTGATGGATTATGAAGTGGATTATCTGGGTGTCTCATTTTGGTGATTATTCTCAAACTACTCCGTTCAGCCACTTCTAGCTTACCTACAGTAGTTTTTTTGCAATTTAGGTAGATTAGGAAGGCATATTCAATAATGGGCCTGCATATCAGGAAAAATTAAATGGAAAACAGAAAAAATAATTAAAAAACAATAATTGGGCAATTTGTTGGAATGTCAATATTCTTGCAACCAAATTATTTATTTGGTAATTTACATCAGGGTAAATTCGCCACAAAAAAAATGGCTACTATTTTTTTAAATTAAAATGTTGATAATTTGGTTCTATTTGACCATAAAATTGACTTGAGCAAATTAGAGATTAATGTAGAGTTGTGGACGGGACAAGAAAAATATTTTATAAAAATATTATACCTACAATTTTTTTTTGAAGTTTTGTGATTCGAGCGTTTCGCGCGCTCTATGAAGAAGAAGATTTTTTAAAAATATTCGAAGGGCGACTATAATGATCTTAATGATTAATCCGGAGAAATTGAGGTTATAATAAATTTTGTTATTAATGAAAACTAATTAATTGTAGTGGGAAAGTATAGTATTACACTCGAGATAATAATAGGTATTATCTCTCATATAATAATATACCATTATTAACAATATTTTACTTTATTTATATTTTCAGTCTTCCAAACACCCCGAAAAACAAGCTTTCACTTTGTGCGAGGACAAGTGGACTACTGCTGCGCAAATCAGGTAAGAAAATAATTGGAAAATTTAACATCGTTTTTTGTAAATACATTTTTATTAATTATAATTTATAATTAAACCATAACTTCCCACATAACATGCTATGGATATGGATATTTTATGGATATACTTGATATATTCATTTATGTATATCCATTTGTGAATATTTTATGGATTTACTGAATATATTTTTTCATGTATATCCATAAAATTGATATACTTGATACATTATTTTATCCCGTAACCGGTACTGTACGACTTTCAGGACATAAACGGTACTAAGGGGTCTGAGAGACACCTGCCTTTTAAAATTATAATTTATATTATTTTTTTTTATCTGAGGCTTTGGGGATACTAGGAAATATATATAAAGTTAGAATATCACCAAAAATAATACCTGAATAAAAGAAAAATTTAAACAAATAGGTTTTAATCAAAACATGTACAAAAAGTGCAGTAGTGCAAACTTTGTGATTAAACTATAAAAAATATTAAACCAAACAAAATAAAACGATCTTTATTTCGAAGAATATACCTTAAAAAATAACAGAAACAAAAAAAATTTAAATATATCTTTTTTTAACAGCAAAAATAACTGCTTCAAACTATAGCTAATTTTTACAATTATTTTTTCCATAGTAACTTTTTTGTTTTTTTTTTCAAATTCTTAAAAAATTTCAAATTCTTCACTATCTGACCCTATAAAATTATTTTCTATAGACTCTTCACAGACAAGTCCTGAATCGCTGCTGTGATTATCTTAAACGACATAATCACTATAATGGTTATGTAGTATACTACAGTCATCTATATCACTTTTATCGCTGAAGATTTCATAAAACCACTACATTACAGTTTCCTTAAAGCCTTTCTTATCACTTTGGACACTTTTAGAAGGCCCTTGTTGCGAATCCATAACGAATTAATTGTTTTTATAAAAATTACGTAAACGGTACGCAGTGGTCTACTAGACACCTCGACACTTTGACTTGTAATAATTTGTCCGTTTGACAATCCAACTTGTTCAAAGTCTGAGAGCATATACTGCTCAACTTAAAAGTATTGGAAGCGACAGATTTTTAAAACAAAAGGTGAGGGTGGGACAGGGCTTTGTTTGTTGATGAGTGTCTCCCAGACACCACAGTACCGGTTACGGGTTATGTATATCCATAAAATGTCCATAAATGGATGTACTTGATACATTCTTTCATGTATATCCATAAAATGTCCATAAATGGATGTACTTGATACATTTTTTCATGTATATCCATTTATGGATATTTTATGGACATACTTTGTATAACTTTTATATAATAAAAAAATTAAATTTGAATTTTATATTATAAGCTTAGAATATACACTTGGTTTAGTCTCTACTAAACCAAGGAATATACACTGGAATCAGTGTATCCTTTGAAAAATCGTTTTTGCTCCACTTGTTTGAAAAATTCCCTCTTGTATAGAAAAATAATAAAATTAATTAAAAAAATAAATATCTTTTAAACAAAAAACTAAGTACAAGACACACCTATAAAAAATGAAACTATGTGGAAACATAAACACTGTAATATAAATTTAAATTTTTATTATTGCTGTTTAATTTTTGTGTAAAATTTATTTAAATTTTTGGGCATTTGAATTAGTTTTAAAAAAATCCCGTTTTGAGCTACTTTTTCCAACGATTTTGTTTTGAAAATTCCCGCTACGCGTCTGCACTATTTACTCACAGTATTTATAAGAGAACAAACTTAAACTTAACCTAACAAATATGACAGGTAGTTTAAATTTTAAAAATAATGCACAAACACCATGTGACATGCGCATTGACTTGACGTTTAATTATCGAAAATGCAGAAAATCTTGTTTAAGTTTTTAAGTTTTGAGTATGTTTTTGATTTATGACTGGTTTGGTAGTGGTAAGGCGCCTTCTTGCTAAATTTAAAAATCCGCTATGGGTAAGAATTTATTTTTATTTCTTTTTCAATGAGAAGTATGAAGCGCCGTTTGGGCCACGTAAAACAATGATAAAAAAACTTTTTAATGTACGTAGGAAATAAATTTACCACGTTATAGTAAATAGGTATTTTCTGTGCAAAAATATTTCTCCCGCAATAAAATTTTTCTCACAAAAATATTTTTCAAATAAAAACTATTCCTCCCGCAAAAATATTTCTCCCATAAAAAAACTTTTTAACAATAAAAATCTTTCTTCCACAAAAAGAAACATTTTTCTCACAAAAATATTTTTTCCCACAAAAACTATTTCTCCCGCAAAAATATTTCTTCCACAACAGGAAACATTTTCTCACAAAAATATTTTTCCCACAAAAATATTTCTTCCTTTAAACAAACTTCCTCACAAAAAAAATCTTTCATAAATTATAAAAATATTTCTCGCGTTACAAAACTTTCTTCCACAACAAGAAAAATTATTCCCATAACAAAAATATTTCTCACAGAAATGAATGCTTCATTCTTGCAACAACAGATGGCGCTCTACAACCATTGATCTAAATATACCTATAGGTATGTATGCAATCTAAATATTATTTACAGCTGTCATATTTCGCGCTATGGCTTGTTAATGACAAGTTGTTGTTTGTGTAAGGTTATATGGTGATGTCAAGTAAATAATAAGTAAAGACAACTGTATTTACAATGTTAATTGGAGTCAGGTAAGTAAATTAATAGCAACTAACATAAATATTGATAAAGTTTAACGTGAAGACGTATTGTGAACAATCTTTATCTTAGTTGCTATTAATTTACTTACCTGACTCCAATTAACGTTGTAAATACAGTTGTATTTACTTATTATTTACTTGACACCACCATGTAACCTTACACAAACAAGTTAACTTCAATTGAAACAACAACTTGTCATTAACAAGCCATAGCTGTAAATAATTGTAGATTGCATACATACCTACTTAGATCAATGGGTGTAGAGCGCCATCTGTTGTTGCAAGAATGAAGCATTCATTTCTGTGAGAAATATTTTTGTTATGGGAATAATTTTTCTTGTTGTGGAAGAAAGTTTTATAACGCGAGAAATATTTTTATAATTTATGAAAGATTTTTTTTGTGGGGAAGTTTGCTTAAAGGAAGAAATATTTTTGTGGGAAAAATATTTTTGTGAGAAAAATGTTTCCTGTTGTGGAAGAAATATTTTTTTCGGGAGAAATAGTTTTTGTGGGAAAAAATATTTTTGTGAGAAAAATGTTTCTTTTTGTGGAAGAAAGATTTTTATTGTAAGAAAGTTTTTTTATGGGAGAAATATTTTTGCGGGAGGAATGGTTTTTATGTGAAAAATATTTACTATAACGTGGTAAATACTTTCTCATGCGAAATTTATTTCCTACGTGCATTAAAAAGTTTTTTTATCATTGTTTTACGTGGCCCAAACGGCGCTTCATAGAGAAGTGCATTTATATATTTTTTTATTTTTAGGAAAATCAAGAGGCGTCATCTCTATTTTGTTTATTAAAAAAAAAAATTTTTTTTGATTGTTTATTTTAAAAAAATAATTTTTTTTGTTTTTCAAGATTTTTATTACATACCCTAATATAATAACAATATGTTATGGATATCCATTTTCGGGTTTTTTAATATACATAATATATACCATGGATATATTATGGACATTCAGGAATATACATCATGGATATACTATGGATGTCCATATTACGAGTTTTTTAATGTACTTGATATATGTCATGGATATATTATGGACATCCAGGAATATACATAATATATACGTCATGGATATACTATGGATATCCAAATAGAGGACAAAATCATATTTTATGGATATCCATGGTATATCCATACGATATTCGCGAATATACGAATATGCATAGATGTATATCCTATGTATATCCTATGTATATTTTCTTGTTATGTGGGTTATAGCATGCCATTAATAGTTATTTATGTATTAAGGGTATAATAAGGTTTTTATGGTCCGAGGCGCTATTTCGAGCCCGAGCGAGTTAGCGCGAGGGCTAGAAAAGCGTCGTTGGATCATAAAAACCAGTTATGCCAGCAATGCATACAAAACTTTATGCACGATTAATATATTATTATTTTTAATATATTATTGTTTTTAAAGACGTTTACGTCAAAGAATTTTTGTTATAATTGTCATATTATAATGTCAACTGACATCAGTCAGTTTTAAATTTTAAAGATGAATGAAATTGAGGAAGCAGCTGAAAAGGCGAAAAATTGCGTCCTGCTGCCGGAAAAATCAAAATCTTTATACGAAAAAACTTACTTCGAATATATCAAATGGTGTAACATTGTTGTTTTTAATTTTTGACGTTTCATTATAGCCCGCTGGGTCATAATAACGCCCGCGGGCTATAAAAAGACGTTTACGTCAAAGAATTTTTGTTATAATTGTCATATTATAATGTCATCGTGCATAAAGAATATTATGTCATTGAGTTGGTTGCCATTTTTACGGATGCGAGTTTGTTTTCAAATCAGATTATTTTCTTATTTGGCAATGTTTTTTAGCCCCCTCGCTCGCCAGACTTTAGGCCGCATTGAGTCTACTGAGTCTACTCAGAAAGTCGGCATTTTCCGAGGATCCGATTATAAATATATTCCAACATTTTCAATGAATAAGAACAAAACTTGGGTGATTTTGACAAAAATCGGCATTTTCCATAAATTAATATTAAGTTAAAGACTGTTAAGTTTTAAATCTTAAGATACGAAAGTAAATTTGGATCCACATTTTTCAGACTAATACAGACTGCATCTAATGCTGACTAAAGCTGGATTTATAGTTGGACGTAGACTTAAGCTGGATTTATAGTTATAGCTAATTGATTTGAAAATTGTAGGCAAATAAGTTTACTCATTAATTTATTATTATTTTATGGGTTTGTTGGGTGGATGAAATGCTAGCTATTCGAGTACAGCTTAATTTTCTATGCGTTTGAACAATTTTTAAACATTTTACATTCAAATGTTACTGCAAATGTCGAAGAATTTCGTAAATTAAAGCCACGTATACAAATGGCTTATCATTATTATTATTATGTTTGGTTTGTACCCATGGAGTGGAAGGGTATAAGCAGACGTCAGTACAAAATTGAAATGAGCGCCGCTAGTGGTGAAATCGTAACTTGTTCGATTTAGTCACATACTTCCTCACATATACTGCTTATTCGCTATACGGCCATTTCAAGCGCGCGAAACGCACGAATTACAAAACTGTTTATTATATTATTATTTATTATATAATATTTTCGCCTCAAAATTGTCAAAAATATTCTTCTTTTATTAGGTTATACATTAAATAAAAAAAACGCAAGAAATATTTTATGAAAGATATAATTTTAATAATTGAAATGTGTGGACGGGACAAAAAAAGATTTATCTTGTCCCGTCCACCCCTGTCAATTATTGAAATTATCTCTACTTTTATAAAATATTTCTTGCGATTTTTGTTATTTAATATATAGCCTAATAATAGAGGAATATATTTGACAATTTTGATGAAAAAATATTATATAATAAATAATAATATAATAAACAGTTTGTCCCGTCCATCCGCTTGAAATGGCCGTATATTTTTTATAGATGAACTTGTTTCCTTTTTTGAGGGGAAATTTGTCGATTTGGCGGGGATTTAAAATATATGATACCAAAGACATATTAATACGTCCACGTATGATACGAATTGTCAACTAAATAAAAGTTTAGGTTATATCAAACTTTATAAAAAGCAAAAAGGGGCATAATATGCATATTATGATAAAGCCACTAAAAATCTCGTCAACACAATAAAAAAAAACAAAGCCAAAACAATTGGTATACAACAGAAAACAAACAAAATGATTAATTATAAAAACCATATACATATTAATATGTCTACGATAAAAACCTTTTGGCTATCGTGGTCAAAAAACGACGTTGCCAAATTCTTGCTGTTATAAACATGCCATTATAAAATCTAAAATATCATCATTTTGTTTGTTTATTATTGTTAAATGCTTTTTTTCATACAATTTATTAAAAAAGTATTTATTATACTTCCCAGATAGGAACAATAATATGGTATTTTCTTTTAAACCGGCAATTCCCCCAAGCATGAGCCTCAATGCAATTACCCGTGTGATTCTCACTTCTCCTACTTTAACCCCCTCAATTAGGTAGAAATGATTTGTATATATATGTGTGGAAGTATGTGGATTAAGTTTGTAAACACATTTTAGAATATAAATATATATAATATATTTTATTCTAAACCCACAGGAGCCACTTGAAAACAAAACACAACGTGTCCAGTATAACGCTAACACCCCCCGAAAGTCAGCAACAAAACATCCCGGAACTAAACGAATGCGGTTGGTGCGGCTACACGGACAAGGTCAATATGAATTTCGTGCGGCACTTGTTGACGCACAGCAAAGAAAAGGCGGTGCCCGATTCGGCGCCGGTGAATCCCATGCCGTGTTCGGACAAGATCGAGAAAATGTTTGATAAGATGACCAATTTGGCTTTTAACGGGTTCCAAGGTAGCAAGCAGAAAAGTAAGTATAACAATATATGGTTTTTGGTTTATCAAAGGTAAAGAAAAATTAAAAAAATACTTCTATTCCATTAAAATCATCAAGCTGAGGTGCTTGAAGTGCTTTCAGTATTATCCAACTCATCCTCAAATTTAAAAGTTGTATTATGCTGTGCTATAAAGTTTTTAGTTTTAGCCCATTTTAGCTCAATCGGATTAAGCTCGCAATGGTATGGTGGCAGTGCAGTTTTGTTTTGACTCTTAGTCATTTTTTCAATTATGTACTTTTGGTATTTGCACTTTTTACAATAAATGTAACAAGTTAAACTTTTAGATAGATTTCTCAAAGTTAATATTCTTGGACTCTAGCCAGTTTTGAATATCTCCACTCGATTGAGGGAATCCCCTGTTTTCTTAGATTCTATCAACCAATCCTTTTTCATTGTCAATATGGCGGACAATTAGCCGTTTTCTTTCGTATGCCTTGTATTAACCCATGTTTCGTCAAGGTAATACATTTTTCTATTTTGAGTTCTGTTAAATTTTTTTTGAGTCTTCTTTTCCATATTACAATTTTTTCTCTATCTATCAATAATATAAATTCTGCATAACTTTATAAAATGTACAGTTGGCGAGGCTCGACGTATGTGGGCATAGCCCTTGATACTCGTATACTGCCTACCAGCGGCGTCGAAGATTAAGATTAAATTTTGAAGATGAAATAAAAAAATAATTTTAAATTATTACAAAAAATATTTTGGTTTAATATTCTAGATTATTATTTAATATTATATTATTTACACAGCAAACGGAAAATTATAGAGGTGTATAGGATGACGCCACGTTTGAATATCGTTTTCTAAATCTCCCTACGGTATAGAGTTGTATTCGTCAGTCGAGCGTTTCAATACTCTCCACAGTATAGAGGTCGTAATTTCACTTTTGAACTAGTATTAATATAAAAATTATTTTATGTTTAAAAAAAACTATATACGACATGATTGTGATTTTTTCATTTTATTAATTAATTAAGCTGTGTTGAATATTTTTCCTAAAGGAATAATTGCCAATGGGCCATTAATTCATTTGTTCGTAGATGCTACAATAACCTGCACTGGTGTGTACTTTTTCATCAACCAGATTTAAATATTACAAAACTAACATATACCAGTGGAGATAGTGCAGACCTAATTACTAAATTATAATTAAAAATATTATCGATATGCTATTAAACTTTAATAATTATTAAAGTTTAATAGCATATCGATAATTTTTTCACCATAACCTCTGAAAGTTTTAATACAAATATAGGTACTTTATATAATACATAAATATACTTAACATCATATCCTCTGTGCTTTACATACCTGAGTTGTTACGGTAAATAAAAATCAGACAAAGGAACCAAAGAAAGGAACTATTTTCAACAAAATCATATGCAGAAATGAGAAAATTCAAACTACTTGCATCCATCAAAAGATCAAAACTTCTTGCAATATTACACCCTCTTTTTATACTCTCAGAAATATTGACTAGAATAGTATTAGAGAGACTCCAGTTTCTATAACTTGGTAGAGTAAAGAGAAGTCGAAACCGTTGCGATATTGCATTGCGCTGTTTTTGTATAATTCTCGGGGACATTAACGAAAATCATTGCCAGTAAAATTCGAAAAGCTTGAGTTTCTATGTCTCTGAGGAGAATAGGAATCCGAAGTTGCTGCACCATTGGACTGAACCCTTTTTTAATAATTTCTAGAGACATAAATTACTGCACCATTCGACAGGGTTGAGTTTCTACTGCTCTGTTGAATATAGAAAATCAAAATAATGTATCTTGTAAGACACCATTGAGTTTGACTTTAAATATAGTCGTGCATAGGTATAGAGCCGAAAAATATAAAAACAAAGCACGATTCAATACAGTTATGATAAATCTTTAAGATTTGATATTCAAACGCGGAGTCATCCTATACACTTCTATAATTTTCCGTTTGCTGTGTATTATCGAGATATAAATAAAACATGCATTGGTACAATTACTTAAATAATAATTAATTAATATTTTTCTAGAAACTGTCGTCATCGCTACCATAATCTGAATTTAAATTAATTAACACAACCGTAAAGGTACTGTACATATTATGTCGCGTTCACCTTTAACCATTTCATTTTTTAATATGGCGCGCTAGAGGATATGGCAGATTACGTACCAATATTGCAAGCTAATTATCACAACAGCCTTTTGTCAAAATTAATATTTTTATTAAAACATTTCTGAAAAGACCCAGTACAAGGAAAGCTTTGGATAAAAATGCCATGAAACTATATAATGGGCCATTGCATTATCAGACTTATGTGTTTGCTGGGAAGTGTCGTCCATAAATCTCGTGACGATAAAAATTGTCAAAATTTACCGCCTTCCCTTCCCTCGTGACATAATGTGACGATGTAACGACCCCCCAAAGGGTCATGTGACGAATTATCGACTAACCCCTAAAAGAATTTTCAGAATATTTTTTGTAATAATCTGACTAAACATGAAACAAATAAGCAATTTCGCCCCCACGGGTGTGACATATCGCGACGGTCTTTTAAACCCCCTCCAACACCTTCAGCGTCACGATTTATGTATGACCCCTTATTAGTTTAAATTGTAGTGGGTTCAAGTTATCACCTTGTGAAATACTAATCAATTTTTACTTTTACCGTGTTTATTTATATTGTTTATTTATATTGTTTATTATAATGCAAACATAAAAAAAATTCTGGGTTTGTATTCTTCAACTGACCAACTGTTTTTGTATCTTCTTCCAGCGGAAAAAGGCGAAGAAAGAGAAACATTGCCAGAGGCGCACCTCGATGTGTCGGCTAGGTTGACGATGGTGAGAGACCTGAAGGAACTAAATGGTACGCATAAACTAGGAACCGATTCCATATATGGAATCAGTTCCAAGTTTAAAAGTGACGATAAGCAAGAGATTTCTACACATTTTACCGAGAAACACCCCAAGAACGATATGTTTGATGTTATACAAACACAGCAGAACAAAAGTCCTGACAAAAAAACACCAACATCCGCTACAATCTCAAAACCATCTAATTCTGCAACCCACTCTACGCCACCGCCATCTTCGATAGATTCTTCCCTTGAAGCAGTGACCTCGGGAAATTTCTCAAAGAAAAAATCCCTACCCATAAACGAGAATTTCATAGCGGAAATCAACAAAGAAACTGCCAAAGCACTCGAAAAACTGACAAATGAAAAATTCATTACAGTTCTTGATGATGACGAAGAAGAAGATAATATTGTCGTAAAACAAGCGAAACCGAAGGATATTCCCCCGGATATCGAAGGCAGGCTGCCAACTCTGGAAAAAGAAATGCTGGATCCATTCCACCTGACGCACTTGATTAGAGAGTTCGGGGGATTCGGCAACCCGTTCAACAAGCAGTTCAATTGTCCCGTGTGCGATAAATTCAAGAGCAAACAGGTGGTTGATTTCATTTTCCATCTGTACATTGAGAAAAAAACCAAGAGGTAAGTGGAGTTCTGACAGGTAATTCTTAAGTTATTAATCATTTTAAGTTGGTAACCAAGTAAGCTGAAGTTGACATGTATTTTGTCAAAATAACATAATCATAACAAAAACTAGGTATAACTGCTTTAACATAACAGGGTTTCCTTTCGCTTGGAAATCCTTAAAAACCTGGAAAAGTCAAGTAAATTCAGGGAATTTTGAAAGTCAGCCCCAAAGTCGGGGAATATTTTAATACCTTCATAAAACTCAGGGAAATATAATCGTTTTAAAAGGGTCTCATTATTTAACGGAATGTTTCTTTTTAATGAGTAATTGATTAATTAATTTTTATTTAAAAACCAAATAAAACAATATTTTTTTTGTTAAATATTTATAAAAAGCAGTATTTTTTATCAGAAAAAAAAACAATTTAACTGCACTAAATAACAAAATAAAAACAGTTTAGATACCTAATTAAAATCTAAATCTTTCTAAATAAAAAGTGTACAAAAATTCAATTGTTTATAATAACGACAAAAAATTTGTTTAAGGCAAATCCATTTGCAAATCGATTTTTGGTACAAAACACTCTCGTTGGACCGTTTGGGAAATTAATTTGTCAAAATTTTAAGACAAATTCCAAAAAGTTTAAAACCTAAAATTTTAACAAATTATTTCATAAACTCACTTGTAGGTAGTTTTCTAAAATAATTTTTATCTTCTCACAAAAATGCATTTTAAACTTTTAAAATGATTTGTCAAAATAAAATTTTGGACTTGTTCTGTTCTTAATCTCACCTATTAAGAACAGTAAAAGTCCAAAAATTTAAAATGAATTTATGGGAGAAAATATTAATCATTTTTTCTACTCCCACCTTTAAAACGCCCATTATCGTAAATGATTCCATGACACTAAGTGACCTTTTAAATACACATTGACAAGTTATATAACTTATATGGCTTTATGGCGCTTTAGTCACGGGCTGAAGTTAGCAACAGGTTTTTAGTCACGGGCTGAGGTAAGTTTAAGTTAGTTGACAGTTGTCAAATGTCATACAATCGTTAAAATAAAGTGCATTTCTTGTAAAATAATTCTAAATCAAGTAGTTTCTTGATGCCAATATTTGAAAAGATTATATGAACCTTTGTACTGACCTTTTGATTTCGCCGTAGGCGTAGTGCAGTAAACTAGCTATGCCCATAAAACATTTTTTTACTGCTATTACGTTCTAATATTACTTTTTAATGTGGAATGACATATATTCCTCAAAGTATTATATATATATACAGAATGAATTATTCTATCATCGGTTGACGGAATAAACACTGTTGGCGACATCTCTGAGCTTAATATCTAACAAATTTTAGACCGATCCAACCTCACTTTTTTCCAATTAAATTATTTTTCAATTGTATTTTTTGGAAACGAAGAAAAAGTATAGTCTGAAGCACGTTTGGAATTGCATATTCGGCTCTCGTGAAACTGTCAAACTTCGGCTCGTGTGATAAACGTTTTACTCGAGCAGAATATGCCGTATTTCAAACTTGTTACTATTCTTTACTTTTACTGTGAACAAATGCTTATATATCGGTTGTTAGTCTAATTTCAAAGTATACATTTTGATTTACACAAAACAATTTGACATTTTAACGCCGGTAGTTTCCCAAGTTTTCCAAGAATTCCAATAAATACAACTGTCACTTTTTGTATCTTTAACGTTTCCCGTGTATTAATTTTTAATAGTTTGTGATAATATGGTAATGAAAAAAATCAAAGGATAAAATTTGTTCTTAAAATAATCATATTTTGAAGAAATTTTAATATTTTAAAGTATTAATAATTGTTAAGTTTAATTAAAATAATAACGGGCAATGTTAATGGAGACAATGGATAAAATATAGTTATTATATTTTTTCTACTCCTATTACGGAATTTGACCCTTCTAATATCACTTTTATCTATGGAATGACACATATTCCGTAAAGTGTTACAGAATGAAATATTCTATCATCTGATGACAGAATAAACACTAGGGTGATTCATTTCCGCAAAAAACTTTTTTTTTCTCGGCGCTCAAGCAAAATATTAATCTACCTATAGAAAAAAAAATTTTCACCAAGGTAGAGCTCTTAATATCAATTTTAAGTACTTGCAGTTTCAATTTAAAGTTTTCCCATTTAAAATGCATGTAAAAAAAATGTTTTTTTATCAAATTTCTAATGCTCGCCCGCTCTTTACAATATTGTGAATCGGTTTTATGGACCTTATAGGGAATTTCACGCTCTTCAAAATTGTCTTTGTGTTTTTTTGTGTAACTCGTAGTAGTTCGCCAGTAAGAGTCATCAAAGTTCAATTTTTTGAATAAACATTTTTTTTGCAATTTTTTTTAATAATTCGCAAAAAATAGTGAAAAAAAAAGAGCTGAATCGTAAAAAATAGTCTTTTAACAAATATTTGATGAATTTACGGCCATTTTTATATCTTAAAACGTACGTAAGTAATTGATAAATATTAACCAATTATGCTATTTAAATTAAACTTTCTTATTTACTATCGATATAATTCTCTACAACAATAACTTTTCCAGAGTTATTATGATTTTTGACTTATAATAAATATAAAAAAACACATTAATTTATAAAAAAACAACAAATATACAATTGCAACTTAGATTCTGCAATTTTTCAACATTTCCGTAATATAGCAATAAATATAAATGAAGGTTATTCAATTTTTTTAACAAAATTCTTAAATTAACGAAAAAGTAAATTGTTTTTATTGTCAACTTCATTTGCTTCAATATTGTATAAGTAGCATATTCGAACATAAGTAAAAAAATAATGATAATTATTTGATTGGGAAAGCAACTGTTACAATGTTATGATTGCTCTAGTTAATTAGTATGACGTTAGGTAGCGACTCTATTGTCTTTGTAACGGGTTTGATGCTTTATGTTATACTTAACCCCAAAATGTATTGTTTGTTGTATTTAGTGATTAGTCCGAGAACAAAGTACGAAGTGCACTCAGTGTTGCCAACTGCTTGAAGTAGCTATGCACTATATAGCAATGAAAAATGCACTAGAGAAGCACAAAATTCACTTCGGTGTAAATCCACCCGATCAGTAATCTATGCAGTAGTCTGAATTTCACTCTAGATGAACACAATGTACAGGCTAAGTTGAGCGCTTTGGTGGGGGATCATGTGGCCGTTGATTAATTTAAATATCGAATCGTCGCGAGATTTCGGTAACAAGAAGATGATTTATCAGTGCCGCCACTTGCCGTTTGTTAATACAGAGCGACTTCCGAAATACATGTATTTAATTGTGCCTGAACATAGAGATGATGGACGGGGTGACATTCCTTAGACCGCTCAACTTAGCCTGAACGCACAGTATGAATGAGCAACCATGAAATAATTTTGAAATTAAACTTTATTAAGCATAGGCATTTCCACACTGGTAAGCCATTGCTTTAGGGCAGGGTCCTTTAGCCACACTGCTCGACATTGTTGCTCATATTGTGGTTTTGGCATGTAAAAGTATAAAAACAATAAATCGCTGATAATTAATCACTATAGAACTAGACTATACCCACAATCCATTGGATTGTGACTATACCATAGAAAAGAATATATAATATTATTCCATAGAATAAGAATTTACTATACTAGACTTCTTTTGTTATTTGAAACAAACAGTAAAATAATACTTCTGTGAAAGAATTTAACAAACAAACCAATCGCAGAGTAGCGGCAGCGCAGTACTACCTTTATAATCTGTGGTATTACCCTAAACCAAGTTTAGGGGTACTACCACCACAGGTATATGCTACAAACACAACGGCCGTCAGCTGGTGGACTGTTGGACAGGGGCCTATTCATATTTTCTGAAATAAATGTGGGCTGTGGCTGAGTTGTACGAAAAATTATGAAAATAAAACCATTGTATAAACGCCTTTTCCGAGGCCTTTTCATTGTTATTTACCAAATTTGGTTAATGATTGATGATGCACTAGATTTTGCACTAGCGCACCAAAATCGAATTCCGGGCAGCAGATATTTTTTCCTTAACCAACGTCCCGAGTCCGCCCGCTTGCCGAGTCCCGCTGCTTTACCGAGTCATCTCGCGCTTGCGAACTCAGTGACTAACGTCTGGGTACAGAAAAATTGCGAAGCTTCGAAACCAACCCAAACCCAACAACCCAACCCAACCGACCCCGCCCCATTGCCCCCCCCCGCCCCATTGAGTACAAATTTTTCAACGAAGGAATATTCATTTAATTACATTTTATATTATATAACTGTTGCAAAATTATTATGAGGAAAGGTAAATAAATTAAAATATTAATGTAAAATTAAATATAAATGCTTTTAAGGACACATTGTATTATTTCGGTATATAATTTCTTAAAAAAAAAAAATAAAAAAAGTTGTAGAGGCACCAAGAATCGAACCCCGTATCTCTCGCATGCAAAGCAGGCGCCGTTCCATCGAGCTACCGAGCTTATTGTAAAAGTCCTATCGCTCGAAAAAATAATACCGATTTACAGTGTGACAGCGCGCTGCAGCGGGACTCGGCAAGCGGGCGGACTCGGGACGTTGGTTAAGGATAAAATATCTGCTTCCGGGCACTAGATGGAGGTTCAATCCACCAGATCTAGTGCAATATGCACCGACTTGGCAACACTGAGTGCACTAGTCATGACTAGGTGCACGTTAGAGTGCCTGCAATTTATTTTTTACGGGCACGCTAGTGACGTAATAGATAAAAAACGTCATCACTGCCGTGCCGCTTAATTTAAAATTGGCGGCACAACAATAATATAATAATAAATTGTACCTGTATACATGTTAAGGGCACGTTAGTTACGTCATAAAATAAATTTGCTTTGTATGAAAGTCGAAATAATTTAATATTTATCAACTTGTTTATTTATGACTATTGAGATTTTTATTAAATTTGCAATATATTATCTAATAATGTAATCTGTTATTTGTTTTGATTAAAATTTTGTTGTTTTTTTTATGAATTGATGTGTTATGTTTATATTTATTTTTAGTCAGAAATCATAATAACTGAAAAAGTTATTGTTGTAGAGAATTATATCGATAGTAAATAAGAAAGTTTAAATAGTACGAAGGCGTAGAAGGGACAATTACACTAAATTCATTTTTATTATTTAATAGCATAATTGGTTAATATTTATCAATTACTTACGTTTTAAGATATAAAAATGGCCGTAAATTCATCAAATATTTGTTAAAAGACTATTTTTTACGATTCAGCTCTTTTTTTTTCACTATTTTTTGCGAATTGTTAAAAAAAATTGCAAAAAAAAATGTTTATTCAAAAAATTGAACTTTGATGACTCCTACTGGCAAACCACTACGAGTTACACAAAAAAACACAAAGACAATTTTGAAGAGCGTGAAATTCCCTATAAGGTCCATAAAACCGATTTACAATATTGTAAAGAGCGGGCGAGCATTAGAAATTTGAAAAAAAAACATTTTTTTTACATGCATTTTAAATGGGAAAACTTTAAATTGAAACTGCAAGTACTTAAAATTTATATTAAGAGCTCTACCTTGGTGAAAATTTTTTTTTCTATAGGTGGATTAATATTTTGCTTGAGCACCGAAAAAAAAAATAACTTTGCGGAAATGAATCACCCTAATAAACACTCGTGGCGACATCTCTGTTTTGAATATCTAACACATTTTAGACCGATCCAACCTCACTTTCTTCCAATTAAATTATTTTTCTATGGTATTTTTTGGAAGCGCAGAAAAAGTATAGTCTGAAACACGTTTGGAATTGCATATTCCGCTCGAGTGAAGAGTTTGTCACACGAGCCGAAGGCGAGTTTGACGGTTTCACGAGAGCGGAATATGCAATTCCAAACGTGTTTCAGACTATACTTTTTCTACGTATTTCAAACTTGTTACAGAATATACTATTATAAAATAGCTCAAATATTTTCACAAAAATGCATTTTAAACGACTAAACTGATTTTATGAAATAATTCGTCAAAATTTTAATTTGTGGATTAGTACTCTTTTTAATCTCACCGATTCAATTATATTTGCGTGTAGTAATGTTGCCATGTATCGTACTGTGGTTATTATGGTATACAAATAAAAAAAATAGTATTTTTGATTTTACCGTAATCCTGACGGGGCACTACTGCGCGCGCTAATTATTTGTATTTCTTTCGGTTATTTATCTGGTCAGAAAAACCTGTATAAGTAATGGAATTTGAAATGATTGTAAAAGAGGGAACCTTGTATAAAAACCGACATTAAGACTAAATTTTCTTCCAGATTCATGTGCACAAAATGTTCGGCCACCTCCGTAAGCTACGACTTAATGTGTCGTCACGTGAAAGGGCTACATGACACCCACACCCCGTGGGAAGTCATCAAACCACTTCCGCGTCACAAAAAACTCGAAGTTTGGATACAGGAGCTGCTGCGCGCGCAAGCCGACACAATAATCCTCAAACAAGGCTTGGTCTCTGCGAAGATCGACAGCGACAAGCCGAAGATTCACGAGTGCGAGTTTTGCGGTGAAAAGTATTTCAGCAAAGTTAACATTCAAGAGCACCAATTGGTGCACTGGAGGGACAAGCCGTTCCAATGCGGCTCGTGTAGTTTTAGCGATGTAAGACGCGAGAAAGTCGTGGAACACTGGAAGAAGGAGCACAAAGGTGAGTGCAAACTCTCGCTTAAAGCACCTCTGGTTGCTACGGTCATTGCAAACAGAGACGAGAGCGACAAGGCATCCTATAAAGACGCCGTTAACTTAGTTGAGGAGGAAAACGATGATGTCACGACGATGGAGCAAGTTTTACAGGTGGTGGAAGAGAAAGAGGTTAAAGAACCATCAAGTAATAAAGGTCAAATAGTTTTTATATGCGATTTGTGCGCTGTATACACGTTCAACCAATTGCAGATGGAGGATCACGCGATAACAAAACACAACTCCACAAAGTGCTTCAAACGGTTCATGTGGAAAGCATATGTAGACAACCCGAACTACAACGTGCACTGCTGGTATTGCGACGTGCAAGGACCGGATTTAATGGTGCGGGACCATCATTCGAAAAAACACGCCGAAAACAAGTACCAACCGTACAAATTCACGTGCGAATTGTGCCCGCAGAGGTACGCGTCCAGCGAACACTTTAAAATGCATTTCGCACGGGAACACAACAACGCCGAGGTTAGGTACAGGACTTTGGACAACACGCTGCGCGAGCAAGCCAAACGAGTTTTAAACCTTTACAAGTGCGTCTTGTGCGATTTTACGTCCACCAACTTTAAAACGAAAAACATAAGGTTGCACGTACGCACTCACACGAAACCGTTTAGTTGCGGCGTTTGCCACATGAGATACGCGTGCGCCAGTCAAGTCAGGACCCACTGCCTCAAGAAACATCCAAATAAAACCGAAATTATCGAGGAAGATGCAGAAAAGTTGAGAGAATCTTCGGAGTTGATGAGCATCATCATCGACACTGCCGTTCCAGTAGACGTCACAAAAAAATCCATCACCGCGATGGAAGAATTCTCGTACTACGGCACGCAACCCGCGATACTCGACCTGAAAAACATCAAAACCGTCGTGGAAGTGAACAACGTCGGTCTTAACGTGACCGCAGAACAATTGGGCAACATTTTCAACTTGAATTGTTACGTGGAAGTCGACAAATACGTCCCCGAAATCAATCCTTGACCGCAGGTCAACAACGATTTGATCGTCGACAGAAAACATGGACGATTTAGACCGTTTTTAAACCTTAGACCATACACCCACTCTATCTAGAAGTATATGGTCTTTTAAACCTCAGACCACCTGTTCTGTCTAGAAGTGTATGGTCTTAGGTTATCCCCGACTGATTAGTAATCATTATTATAGGCTGAGTTATATTGGCTTTTGAGCTGTGATTATTAATTAATAATTATTATTTTTATTAATTTTAAAGTGATATTTAGGTTTAGAACACTTCTTTTTAACAGCTCTTAGGTTTAAATTTATTTTAATAAAGTGTACCAAATACTACCAAGCCAATATATGAAGAGTGATGCTAAATTATTAAATGAGTCAATACTTGATAATCAGCTAAAACCTCAGTCCCCTGAACCTATTACAATATGTTGTTTACATTTAAACACTTTGGTAAGTATATGTTTAGATTTCATATTTCCTGTCGGGTGAATTTTACATTTTGATGCGATTTTTTAAAATAAATTACAAGGGCTTAAGTATGTTTTATTTTAAATCAAAGCGAATTTTTAAGGCGTTATTAGTCTGCCGAAAGTTAAATTTAAATTTGCCACGTTTTAAATTAACGCGGAAAACGGTAAGGCGGCGCACAGTGGATCGATAGATAGGAATTTGTGGACATAGCACCAAAGTGTGAGAAGATGAGGACATTTTAGGTTTAAAATAAATACTTATCAATTAAATAACGTTGTTATTTACAAAAGTAAATATAAAGTCTAGTTACTTGATATACAAGGCGTTTTAATACACCAAGGTCCACTATAGAAAAGGTTTACCAAGTTTTTGGTTTTTTATTTTTATCTTTTTCAAAAAAAAATTTTTTCCACGAAATTTGGTGAAAACTTACCTTTTTATGTCCCAAATACACTGTAATTTATTTGATTTGAAATATTTATTATTTCGCCTTATTTTGACTTAATATCAAAAAAGCACCCTAATTTTCAATCGAAAATTCTCGCGTCAAAATATCAGCTTTTTTCAAAAAGTCGGTGTGCTTTTTGTTTGTTGAAATCTCTACTTTCTGATGGTGTAAAAAAAAATATACATTACTATGGTAAATGTTCTCAGAAAATGCAAAAAATATTATTAAAATTTATTTTAATCATTATGTACAATTTCATCAAAAAAATGTGATTGTTGCAATTTTTTTTAGTTAAAAAGTTTATTTATTAAATTCTAATAACATTTATGTCAGAAAATCTCTTAAAATATAAAAATATATGTATAAATCATACTATTGAATTTAAATCTAATTAGATACTTCATTCTGATTACGTTATTCATTATAATATTTTTTGTATTTTCTGAGAACATTCACCATAGTAATGTATATTTTTTTACACCATCAGAAAGTAGAGAGTTCATCGAACAAAAAGCACACCGACTTTTTGAAAAAAGCTGATATTTTGACGCGAGAATTTTCGATTGAAAATTAGGGTGCTTTTTTGATATTAAGTCAAAATAAGGCGAAATAATAAATATTTCAAATCAAATAAATTACAGTGTATTTGGGACATAAAAAGGTAAGTTTTCACCAAATTTCGTGGAAAAAATTTTTTTTTTTGAAAAAGATAAAAATACAAAACCAAAAACTTGGTTTTTTGAATTTTGTCACATAAATTTTGAGGTTATGTGAAAAAATTGTAAATACAAAAGTTGTAGATCTTTTTATTACCTACAACTTTGACATTTAACTTTTTTCCATAGGACTTGTAATTTTGCCGGAAATCGAGATAAACCATTTTTTACCGTTAAAACCCCCCCCCCCTCCCACTTCCCGAACTCAGATCGCCCGTAATTTATTTTTCCTTTAATTTTTATTATATTCCCCTCCTTTTCCAATGGGTTTCATCCTACTGTTATTTTTTTTCTCTATATTTTCCAAAGTGGCGCCTTGTGGCGGCAAATCTCTGTACATTTGTTTTAAATAACCTTTGAACTCCATAACAGCCATAAAAGAAGTTTATGCATATTTAAGCATTTTTTTAAAACTCAAGATAAAGTTTAGATTTGTGTAACGCATTGTATAACAATAAAATTTTAAAAATTATTGTTATTAAATACGTGTTGGTATTAAGTTAACCGGGCAATTTGCAAGCTTAGTTATCATATAAAATAAAACTATAAAAAAATATATAAGTTTTTGTTAAGGTATGAAGTTATGCTGTTTAATTTGTAAAAGTCAGTTTAATAAGGAAAATAACAAAAAACATTCTTTACGAAAAACGCCTTCTGTACTGTTTAGTATGTTGCCAAAAAAAATTGTTATGCTTATTTTTAACAAATTTGAAGTTTTTGGGAGACATTTAAAAAAAAAATGATATCAAATTAGTAATTTTGCATAATTGCTGTATGTCCACTAACATATATGAGCTCGATCCACTGTGCGGCGTAAAGATAGGTATTCATGTTTGTGATTGGTAGAGAGGGAGAGATAGAGAAACGCCATGTTGACAGTTGCATTATTGTCGTGTAATGTGTTGTGCAGCCCCAGCGCAATTTTACTTGCATGCATGTTTTATTGCTGACTGTAATAAACTTTGCAATTCCAATTCCAACTTGCATGATACCAACCAAAGAAAAATATTATAAAGTACAATTAAAATTAAACTTATTATAATATATATTATGTAATAGAATTTAGAATACAAAGAAACAAAACACAAATGACTTCAAAAAACAAACTAGCGTCTCTAGCGAATTTGAAGTGTGGATTGGCATGAAAAAAGTTACCAATTTTTCCCCCAGACTTGCACGAAACGTCGCTATGCGCATGCCTTCGTTCAAGAGTATTGCGTATTTCACGTAGAATTGCAGACTGTAATACGGGCTTAACAATATTATTATTATTAAATAATTTATTTGTTCCTTTTCTTAACTTACGAACATTCCTGTTTTTTTAATCCCTTACCCTCTAGGTACCTATAAGAGGCGGCGGTAAATCAGGTAAGTCCGGCACTGGTGTTGTGGCAATTAGGACAGTGAACGTAAGTAAATAATTCTGTTTTTTTTAATAAACCTTCATGGCTAAAGGTATAAAGCCTGATTTATAGATTGCCTTCCTTCCTCCCGTAAAAGATGAACAATACGAAAATCGTAGTGCCCACAGACCTACAAACAGGTCTGTTGTAGGTCTGTGGTAGTGCCATTTATAGATTCCCGTACGGGAATTTATAAACAGCACAACGGTTTTTGTATTGTTCATCTTTTACGGAAGGAAGGCAATCTATAAATCAGGCTTAATTCGTAGCACCCCTTAATTTTTTTTGTTACATTTAACAGGATAATAACTGTAGAAAAATGACTAAGGTTAAAACATTCAAATAAATAAATATTTAATAATGCATATTATGTAAAAATATAAAAATTTCTATAACAACAAACTATTTCTGATTTTCGATTTATTATTAATAATCAAAAAAATTCCTTCTACAGAAGCACTATACTGCGGTAGAGTCAAAATGAACTTGACAAATTTTATCAGATAATAAATAAATGACAGTCTAGGGACATAACCAACAGTTGGTTACCAACTCTTGTTGGCCTCCCTGCAACTTGCAGGGGGGGCAACATACATCAAGGTAAACTTAAGTAGACAACCCAGTTTACTTGTCTGCTCACTCAAATCTGATATTTTCTTATTTATTACAAATCTTAATTTATCACCAGATTTAGCTATTTTTTAAAAAGTCATCACCAAATAGTCTAAAATCACCAGACTGGCATTCCTGTCTATGATCGACTATTCGGTGGCGTCCCAGTGTTGCCAACTGTTGTTTCTTAAAAAACTGCTACCAACTGCAGGGTTTGTTTCTACTGTTGGAGATGTCGCTAAACTTCCACATACATGTATTAAACATTTATTAATGATTGAAAGATTTATTTAAGTCATATCCTACTAAAACCTAGATACTTGTTTGCCCACTAAAAATATTTTATTATGTTAAAAAATCACCAAGAGTAAATTTAGTCACAACCAGCATTGCCAACTTAGTAGGATTGCTACTAAATCTAGTGGATTTCAGAACGACCTTTATAGGAAATTTAATCATTAGAAGGCAGTATGGTTTGAAATAGTTTGCATTGATACAAATTCATCAAAAACACATCTAATTACAATCCTCAAAAAATTATATCCAATAATATAACATTTTAACAGCGCCATCTGCAAACAGTGCAACACACTAAGTTGGCATCATGGTTTGTTCTGTGGTTGGCATCACTGGTCACACCCCTTTCTTCATCGTCACCGTCAAAAAGACGCCAAATAGCAGTGTGTTAAGTTCGTGTAAGGATTTCCTTTGAAACGTTTTAAGTGCGAAACATTGTTTAAAACGTACCTATACCAAATGTGTTTAAATTGGATTTAATATACATTAGTGGTGCTAAAATAAGACGTTCGGTTATAAAGTGATAAAAGTCAAGGTAAGATATACACAATAAGCCGTGTTCTGTTCTATGCATAAGATGGCCACAGTCGGTACCAACAGGGTACGTCGAAAATATTGCCAAATACTTAAAACGCCCAAGTAACAAAATATAACCTTAAACTTGTTACTTATTTTTATTGGGGGAAATGCTAGTAACTTTTTTCTATACCAATCATGGAGCCTACACATGTAGGCTCCATGTTACCAATAGAGTAATTGCATCAAAAATGAAAATCACTAAAAACCTTTTTATTGTAATCTAGAGGTAAAAACACATTGCGAAAATATTTTTTTATATTCCAAAAGTTCAACCCCGGCCCAAAATATCAAATTGAAAAAAAGGTACTTTTCAAACGTTCCGAACTCCCGCCATATTGCATGACGTCATAAGCTCCAACTGTCAGAAATCAAGATGTCAACAAATAATAAACATCGATAAAGTTTATGTTTAACATGGAAAACGCGAAACCAAAAATTGGTTGTAAATATTGTTTTGTGCCTTGTACAAATACAACCTGGAAAACTCCTGGGAAAAGGTTTATCACCGTGCCAAAAGGGAAAATAAGGATAAAGTGGATTAAAATAGCTCGGCGCGATATCAAAACATCGTCACCGCAGTCAACATTTTATTGATCATTTTAAGGATCATTTTAATGTAAGTAAAATAAAATGTCGTTTACTAGGTATATGGTTTGAATAGGTATGTTAAATATTAATAAACCCAAGAAAATACGGCTGAGCCGTAACTACTCTCAGTGTAGGGTCATAAACTTTGCTTTTGATAATTGAAGGGACAACTTTCCCAGGAGTTTTCCAGGTTTTTTTTGTACAACAAGGCACAAAACAATATTTACAACCAATTTTTGGTTTCGCGTTTTCCATGTTAAACATAAACTTTATCGGTGTTTATTATTTGTTGACATCTTGATTTCTGACAGTTGGAGCTTATGACGTCATGCAATATGGCGGGAGTTCGGAACGTTTGAAAAGTACCTTTTTTTTTAATTTGATATTTTGGGGCCGGGTTGAACTTTTGGAATATAAAAAAATATTTTTGCAATGTGTTTTTACCTCTAGATTACATTAAAAAGGTTTTTAGGGATTTTCATTTTTGATGCAATTACTCTATCCTCAATAATATTGAGTCAATATGACTTTCCTAAAGACGATTTTTTTGTAGTATTTAGGAAATACATTTTAACTACAAAGTTTAGACATAAAACCAACAAATTATTAGTTTTTAACTACTACGTACTTGGTAAGTACTACTTATTGACAACCTACTTATAAATTGTTCACGAAATACGATTTACACAATGTGTATTAAATATAAACATAACCTTACAAAATGTTATATTTTTCTTCGCTTGTCGTCACGATAGTTGCAGAGTGTAAAATAACAAGCAATCATAAGCCTTGTTTTTACCGAGCATTTGGACTGTCGAATTGATGCGCAATACGAAAATTTTGTCGCGATTTTACTATTGCGCACGTAGCTGACGTCCATTAGACTGTGCAAATGCTAGGTAGTAACAACTTAAGACAAGAAACATTGCTGCAGAAGAATTGCGGACTCTAATACAAAACAGTTATTAAAAAGATATTTCACGAATTTTTGGGATCTGGTATCAGTGCTGCCAACTATTGTGTAATATTCTGCTGCCAACTATTGGCGGTCGACTAAGTGGTTTGGGCAGTCTTAACCTATCATTACCTAAACAGTTTAAACTTACCTATTTTTTTGTCGCATTTGTTACGATATTACCTACGATTCAGCCAACTTATCAAAGGGAACTTTGAGGCTATTTTAACTGTTTTTTTCTTAGTTAAGATGGATAACGAGTACGAAAAAAAGTTATCGAGTTTGGAAAAGTATATTCCATTCTTAAATAACATGATAACACAGTTAAAGGATTCAAACAAGATAAACCGAGATGCGCAACTGGATAAAATGGAATCCCTATATTCTATGATTACGGATAGAAATATAAGGTAGGTTACGTATTGATATGAATGTGATGTTTTTATGTGGAGTGTGCAGTGTCGAAAATTTCTTAAATGCTACAAGTAAGGTTACCACCCCCCGACCTGAGGGAGAATCTCCGGACAAGCAGTGAATTTCTCCGGGCCTACACAGTAAAGTTTAGTTAATTTTTGTGTTCTACTGGAAAACAAGTCGAGTTTGACATCGTAACGATGTTCGCTACATTTCCGGGCCAGCTAGAATTTACTATAGCAAAAATCACAATAGATGTAATCTGTCAAACTATATAAATTCTATTAAGAAGTTAGGAGCTTTAACTTTATATATGCGAAGCCTCGCTCGTAAGTAACAGCGTACGTGGGCACAAAGCCACCGCGGATACACCGTCGACTCACGTGACTAAATACACGTGCACGGTTGGTCAACGTTTGTTTTTAAACTTGGTAACCTGCGCACAACCCCAATTTTGCGTACTCGGTCATTAAGGTATTTGTAGCGAGTAACTAGGTCTTACCGGGTATGAGCGGTTATCTGACCATTTCATTTCTGCGAGCAAGCGGTATGGTTGGGGAGGGCGTAATGACGTCATAGATTTTCGCCATTTCCGCTACCGGTCGTAACCTTGTTCAAAACTTGAGTCGGTTACGAAATAAAGAGAGGTTATGTTTAATGTCTTGTTTAGTTGTTTAAGTTGAGTCTATTTCTCTTTTAAGAAGAACATTGCAAATTATTTTAGTCTTGTTTTCATGTGGAAGAAGTAACAAGTTAAACACAAGATCACTAAAAAATAATTCTTCTGCTTTAGATAACGTATTCATTATTTTATTTTGTAAGGTTAGGTCGATATAAACAAATTTTTGAACCATATAATACCAATCGCGTTTAAGCGAAACTTAACCGCTACGTCATTTAGTGGATGACGACAAAATTTTTAAGTGGGGGACATACCAACCATAACCAGCAAGGTTATTCGCTACAAATACCTCATTGCAGACGTGTGACCTTCTTATGGACCCCCACTCCTCAATATTTCTATGGAGTCTAAGCTAAATATAATCTTTAATTTCTATGATACAATTCGTATTTTGGACCATCCCCTTGTTTTCCAGTCAAAAACAAAAAAAATGAACTTGGAAAATCTGTTGGCATGGAGAAATCCATCTGTCGGCTACACCTGGGCTACTTTTAAAACCTTATTATTAAGTTTTGTTTAACTACATTATATTTTACTATCGGTGTCAAAGGTCGTGTCACCCATATGTCACTTTACTGCAAAAGAAAAAATATTGGCCGTATTCAAGTTCTATGGACCTGAATATGGTTCTATTCAAAATTTGACCTTTTATATTCGCAGCTCATGAGTCCGAATACTGTGCTCCTCTTATACTTTGTGGACGATTTTCCTTCATACTGTCCTACTATGAAGAAAGGCAGTAACTACCAAAAAATGCAAAAGGCGTTTTCTTGTGATATGGTAAAGCTATGTACATTTGTATCTAAATTCAACACAGAAATGCATAAACTATTTCATAAGTTAAATAACTTAACTAACTTAAATAACTACTACTTTTATAAAAATGTACTTTATGCCAATTTCCCACAAATTTCTTGTTTAGCAGTTACTGCCTTTCTCCATAGTGCCCCGGGGCAGCATAGTCATTGAATATTGTTTGATGAATAGAAATCGGATATAGCTGCAATTATACCCCAGCGACTCTTCTTGGATCAGGTAGCAGAGCGCTCGCTTAGCATGCGAGAGGTACCGAGATCGCTACCCGTCGACTGCAAATCACTTTTTTGTTTTTTTACACTAATGCTTCTTGCATTCATTCATCACAACATTTAATATAGTTTATACTTCCCACAAGTGTTCAATTAACTGTAAGTCACTTTAAATACAGTAAATATTTTTTCGTTTGCAGTGATATTTGAAATACTTGAGAAAATGCTGCAAAGATAAATGCTTGTTGTTTCTTTAAAAATTAAGCTTGACTGTATTTCGAAGGTATTGACCAAATATTATCTCTTTTTCTACGTCATGTCGAGCACCTAATAGGTAATTTGTTTCATATCATCATTAATAAATATATTTTTTTAACAAAAAATATTACAAAAATAATACCAACCAAGAAAATAATTTTTCAGACTCAAACTGGACACCTTACAAAAATGCGAGGACGTCATAGTACACCTATACGATAAAAAGGTAAGTACCCAAGACAATGTAGAAAACCGGTTAAAACTCGTTTATTTTTAGAACAATAAACCGGTCTCCGTTCGATCGGTAGATTTGCCGAAATCAACTCAAGTCAGTCCTAGCCAGCCACGCGATATAATTCTTAGCAAAACCGTGGTCAAACCCACAAAAAAAGTGGAACAATCAATTAGGTATTTATACACCACCTCAGTTAGCAACTTAATTCTAAGAAAGTTGTCTGATGTTTGTTCCTCATTTAGTTACAAAATGATCCATTAGAAAAAAAAAACTTCTGTAATAATATCTTTGTAGGGTTGTAAATATGGATAGTTTGACAAGAAAACCATTTGTCGATACAAACAGCATAGCGTGTGGTTCGTTAACCCAAAATAAGTCAATTTTGGACTCTAAATCTATTAAAAGTTCATCGAAACAACAGGAAACTAAATCGCCTGTAAAAATTTCGGAATGTGTAAAAACCGTAAAGATTATAAAAGATTCTGACAGTATTTTCGGTGATATGCTATCAAAAATCGATAACCAATTATTGAAAAAAAGTAAGAAAAAAGATCCCAAAAAGGAAAGAAGAATTTCATCTTCCAGCAAAGAGGATAAAAATGAAAGAAGGCTAAGTAAACATGAGCACAAGAAGGTCTTGAAAAAAAAAGATCACAAAGACAAACATCATAAGGATGTTAAATCGACTGTGGGTAAAAATGAAGAAGCTAAAAAAGAAGATAAACCAAAAGAATGCAAAATGGACTTCCAAAATCCCAAAATACCTTCGACAGAATCAGAAATTCTAAAAATCGTTTCTGATACCATAGATGCAGATATAAAGAAGAACGCGTTTAAAATACCTTTACTAAGTAAAAAACTACCAGAGACTATAACAAGCAGTACTGTAAATAATGTTCCTATGCCAGTGGTTGAACCGCCAGAAATGGTGCCTATACCAAATTTATCCAAAATCATGCACCCCGATACCACGGCATTAATTAACAATATGGTGGACCAATTAAAAAAACAAAATAGCATGAATGCACCAATGAATAATATATCTGTACCTATACAGCAAAATATACCAATTCTACAAAATATTCCAATACCTTACAGCCCTTTAATGCATAATTTTGGTAGCCCTGATAATAACAGGGTACCGCCCATAAGAAACGAACAAAATTTCAACGCAGATTTCCACAACAGACCGAACTCTCGAATGCAGTTCACTCAGCAGAATCATTTTAATTTTGAACCCACTTTAACTGATATGAAGTTTAATAATTTTAATGCCAAAACTGCTGACATGCCCGTGCTTTCACCGCAAGAAGGCATGGGTTTTGGTTACGACCAGAAGAATTTTCACCATGGAGAAATAGAGGAGCACAGACCTCCATGGAATGGATCTCCGAATAGTTGGAATAGGGGTAAAGGAAGGTTTCAGGATAATAGAGAACCCAGAAGCTATAGAGAGTATCGAGAAATACACCATAGAGAATATGAGAATCACGATTTTGAACAGTCAGGAACTCCTAACTTTGAACATCAAGATATCACCAACAGGCCTGACTTTAGAGAGGAAGACACCAGTCCAAACTATAGGGACCTCAAACAAAATCCTAGGCAACAAAATCTAGATTCTAGACAGTTGAAAGTGGACCATAAGTCAGCAAATAAAAGAAGTAGATCTGGACGTCGAAAATTTCAGCGCGATAGATTTAGAGGTCAATCTAAAGCAAGAAAGGTTAAAGATCCGAAAAATTCCCAGTACAATAACAGATTCGATAGAGTTTATGGTGCTAGGGGTGATAATATGACAAGGTCTAGAACTAGGTCCAGATTACGATCTAGGAAATCGTTTCATAAAACCAACAAAACTGGAGTTCAGAACTTTAAAATCCCCAAAATCAAAAAAGATTTTACAACAGATATCACTGAAACTGCAGATAATGATTGTGATGTTAACCTGGAAAGTGATGCAGTTAATGGAGTGGAGAAAGCAGAAAAAAGCACGCAAGGATCAAAAATTGATTTTGTAAATGAACCGGAAGCAACAAATGTTGCTGAAACCCAGGAAACACAACAGGAAGTTGTAGAGTCATCGAAAACTATTACTTCAAGTGTACAAGACGACACCAAAGAGGAAAGTGTAGTTAAAACTAACAAAAAAGAAAGTCTAGCAGCAGGAGAAAAAGACACCACAGAAGAAGTTGCATCGACGGAACAACATCCACAAAAAGAAAAAGACAGAAAACTTGCAATGACCAAACCCGAAAGCAGTAAAGCGGAAAAAAATATTTTGGCGCAATTTTTTGCCAACCTAATGGGTAGTGAGAATAAAAAAGACAAAAAAGGTGCCCTCCTATCGTTGATAAGCACTTTTACCAACAGTTTCAGTGATTCTCAGATCAAGAAAATTACTGATATTATTAAAAATGAAAGCTCTGATGAAGATAAAGTGGATGCAAAAAAAACTGCGGAGAAAACAACGGAAGAAACCAACAAAGAAGAAGAAAGTGAGGTTATTGATCAAAAAGAAGAGGAACCTCTCAATATTGAGAAGGTTATTGTGGAGAAAAAGCCTGGTTCTAAACCAAAGAAGAAAGCAACAGAGGTAATATGGTATATTATACATTTATGTGGTATTTAGTATATACTAACCTTTTTTTCAGGCTGATCCAGTACAAGTCTCAGTGGGGGAAAACAAAAAAACCAAAATAACGACTCCGACAAAACCCAAGAGACACAAAACTGAATTAGAGTTGTTGCAGGAAGATATTCAAGAAATGTTTATACGTGACGGTGTGTTGACCGCGAACGGCAAAAGAATGCTGAAATCTGATCCAAAAGCATTAAATACAGATACAAAGGATGAAGAGAAGAATAGTAAAAAGAAGGTTTCAATAAAAAAAGACAGTAAAAAATCATTGGATATAAAATGTATGTCGAACCTTAAGGTTGTTCTTAATAGGATATCGCCTGAAGAACTTCGGACACTGCGCATCCCCAAATCATTATTGCTCAAGGAAGGAAGTGAAGCAGAACCATCTAGTGTCTCTTTAGAAAGTAAAGATTCGAAAAAAGGTGCGAATGAAGAAAACAATGACAATTTGCAGAAAAACAACAAAACCAAACGTAAACGTAAGACCCGCTGGGCCAGCGGCTTCATCAGAAAAAGGAAAAAGAAGAAAACCGATAAAGATAAATCAATCGCTGAAACAACGGATGAGTCGTTCGTTGAACCAGACGTTAGTTACCTCGATGAAAAAACCAATATGCAGTGCAAGTTGTGTCCGTTTAGTAGCAAATACTTGGCGCAACATTACATTATGAACCACCCCGATGAAGAAATATGGTCTTCACGACTAACAAAGGAAAACGCCAAGTTGGCCGTGGAGGATGCCAAAGCAAACATGAAAAAATACGAACAGTTAACAACCGCGTTCAAAGTTAACAATAAATACCAATTTGCGTGCCGTTTTTGTACATACAATAGTTCGATGGTTCCCATTACGTTCTACGATCACGTGACAATGCATACAGGGGAATTTAGGTATACATGTCAAGATTGTAACTACGTAAACAGCTACAGAAAAGGTGTATGGGCCCACACACAAAAAAATGAAGCCCATCAACGGCATGTCATCCCCAGTAAACTATCTGGAATATACACATTCTTGTTCATGTGTGAAAAGTGTAATTATTGCCAAATAGACGAGAAGAACGTTGAAAAACACGTAAAGAAATCTCATGGAATAAATGTCAAGATTACAAAGATTACTTCTTCAACCTTACCTATACTAGAGGACGATGAGGATGACCTTCTAAAGAGAAGAATGGAGTTGGAGATAGATAACTTAGAGACAACAGGTACAGAATCTGTAGTCAAAAAGAGCAAATACATACAAATCATTGACGAAACAGCCTCTGAAATAACCAAAGATGAAGACATTAATAAAACAACCAATGAAGAACCGCCCTTGAAAATGAAGAAGCAGGACGAAAAAACTTCCGATATCTCGCCGCTATTGTTGAAAGCACTAAAGTTCGATGAAACCGATGATGAATCGAACTCATCTCTACTGGAGAACCTTAACGCATCTGCAAATTTGGGTTCATCAATCAAAGATATAGTAATACCTCAACAACATTCAACTGCTAAAAAAAAAGTGACGGCCCAAATGAAGGTACAACTCGAAGGAAACGATCCCATAAGGGATAAAGTTCAGGACAAATCTGAAGAAGCTCCTTCAGTTTTGCTAAAACCGGTTGAGGAAGAAGCAACACCTATTATACCTGCGGTGAACAATGAGGACAACGAAACAATCGAGCCTGAACAATTAGATAAAACAGAGGATATAAAAGAAGATGTAGCTACAATATGTAATTCTCCACACTTTGAAGAAAAATGGAGTTTACATAGTGAAATTTCCCTTAAGTCTGAACCTGAGGATGAAGATAAGATCATCCCGGAACCGGAAATAGTCCTACTTCCGGCTATAGAACGACCAGTAACATCTGTACTGCCAGTAGTAGAAAAATCAGAAGAACCTCTACAGTGCCCAACTGTTATAAGCCAAGTACCGCAGTCTTCCGAAAGTTCCATAAATTTAAGTGATAATGATAACAATAGTGACGATGTTAAAGTTACTTGTTTGGACCAGAATATAATATTCAGTTGTTGCTGCGTTCAAGTCATTAAAAATGACGATATATTAACGTATTCGTGCCAAGTGCCGCCTTGTGTTTACATCTGCGAAAATCAGTATTCGTTCATGAAACATTGCAAGGAGCAACATGCGAACATTGATAAAGTTAATTGTGATGTTTGTAAGATTAATGTCGATGGTGGTACGATGGAAGACATGTTCAGACATGTTTTAAATGAGCACTTGACTGAACTCGGTACTTTACCGCGTTTGAGTTTACTGAAAATGAGACGATTGTCAACTTTAGTTGATAAAAAAGCTGACTTAAGTAACAGCGAAATGAAGAAGGTTAATATAGTCCCAGAAAACGTTATTAAAAGTAAAAGACCGGAACAAGAGATTCAAGCCTCTTCACTACCGAAACAATCCGTTGGGTTGGGCGACCAGAACCCGTTCGGTTTTAAAATCTCTGGAGTCGTGTCTTTAGCCGAGGAGCCAGAGGTACCACCACTTGGATCGTTAAAATTATCACCAGCCAAAGTTAATTTTAGAATATTCTGGTCCAAAATGAGTGAGAACGAGTTGAAGAAGCCGAAAAAAAGTGAGTATGCGATGGCTAAATTTTTGAACGCTATAAGCGATCTATACAAATGTCCAGTGTACACTTGCGGTTTTTCATCAAACTTCCGCGATGAATTCGAGTCTCATTTAAAAAAGCACGCATCGGCGCCCAAATCCTTTATACCCTGCGTCTATTGTGACTACAAAATGCCTTTAGAGAACGTCACCACGCACATTGACGTTAGCCACGGCAAATGCCAGTACGCTTGCGGATATTGCATGTACAGAACCCTGGATCCCGATTATGTGTACTTTCATCATTTGGATAAGCATAAATATGAAGTGAAACCTAAAATTCTACTAGTTGACACCACTACAGTGGCTTGTTTGGCCACAGAATCACAAACCACTCGTCTGCCAGAGGATATCACGAAATATTGCAAACCATATCATTGCAAACGTAAGTAATTTTTCGTATATTGTATATTCTTTAAGAAAGATTGCCCAGTCAAATTGGGCGAACAATTTTCGGAGAAAATATTTTTATTCAATTTTTTTTTAATTTGGACACTAGATATTAAGGTATTTGTAGCGAATAACCTTGCTGGTTACGGTTGGTATGTCCCCCACTTAAAAATTGTGTCCTCATCCACAGAATGACGTAGTTAAAACGCGGTTGGTATTATGTGGTTCAAAAATTTGTTAATATCGACCTAACCTTACAAAATAAAATAAACACAGTGACTAGAGGCACGCTAACGTGCCGCGATTCAAAATGTTAAAGGCACGTTAGTTACGTCATAATTATAATCCGTTTTTGTTCCCCGAGCGTTAAATATTTGATGTCAAGCTAGATAGCTTAGTTGGTAGGGCGGTCGCTTGGCATGCGAGAGGTATACCGGGTGCGATACTCAGAAGTTATCGAACTTTTTTTATTTCATAAGTTTGTTGTTTCTTTGTTAAGAAGGGTTGGGTTAGGTGGGGTTGGTTGGTTTGTTGTTTGTTTTATCGTAACATAAAATCTACTAAAAGTTGTCGAACGTTTTTTTATTTCATAAATTTGTTGTTCCTTTGTTAAAAAGTGTTGGGTTGGGTTGGTTGGTTTGTTATATTTTCATCGTAACATAAAATCTTAAAATTATATATATAAATAATTATGACGTAACTAACGTGCCTTTAACATTTCGAATCGCGGCACGTTAGCGTGCCTCTAGTCACAGCGTAAAATAAAATAATTAATACGTTATGTTTAGTGTTATCGCAGAAGAATTATTTTTTAGTGATCTTGTGTTTAATTGTAACTTTTTCTACATGAAAACCAGACTAAAATAATTTGCAATGTTCTTCTTAAAAGAGAAACACACTTCAGAATGTCTGCGCCGGACACAAATATATCACAAATTGCAACTTAAACAACCAAACAAAACATTAAACATAACCTCCTTCCTTTCGTAACCGACTCTAACTCAAGTCTTGAACAGGGTTACGAGCGGTAACGGAAATGGCGAAAATCTTTGACGTCATTACCCCCTCCCCTACCATACCGCTTGCTCGCAGAAATGAAATGATCAGATAACCGCTCATACCCGGTAAAACCTAGTTACTCGCTACAAATACCTTATTGAGTTTACATAATTCCTGGTTGATAAAAAAAGTGTTCCCTATGTGAATCTACACCTAATCCGGCAAAAAAAAACAGACAACAGAAATTGGCAACAGTTCTAATGTTGAGCGAACCGCTCATCTGATTTTAATTATTTTTTTAAGTATGTTGACTTCCGTAACGATGCTATTTATATTAAAGAATATACAGGGTGCAAAAGTTTTTCCTGAAATTTGCTAGACCCTGTGGGTCCTATATATAGTCCTATATTTTCTGAACATTTTGTTTTTTAACTGTTGGTTGACTTTTCATGCTGTAATACCTTTTTATTCAGATTTTAATTTGAGCATATACAGGTTGCTAAGTTAAGACGAATTTTTTCCCACCCTGTGGGATGTATCAGCAAATACATCAGCTATCAATTGAAATTTTACTGTAGCCCTATGTTTTCTGAACATTGTTTTTTTATTCGCGTTTTTAACGAAGATACACTGATACTTGAAAAAGGACACAACTTTGGTGATATGTTAAACAAATATTAGAAATATTCCCCAACACTAAAACAAAACACAAAGTACTTTATCTACTCTTACATTGACGAGCTGTGACTTTATGGCGTTTTAGTCACGGGCTGAAGTTAACAACAGTGGCTTATTAGCATTTTAGTCACGGGCTAAAGTAAGCTCTATTAGAAAATTGGTTGACAGATGTCAAATTTTTAACAAATAAAATTGGATTTAAATTCTGTTTTGTGTTCGTCGTAGATAAAGTATAGTATGCAGAGAAATCGAGTGTTGCCCAACATATACTTGATGATGGTCATAGAATAGGTTTTGACAATCTTAAACTTATTAAGGATGTTAGGGAACCAAGTCTGCTAGATAGTTACGAAAGTTTATACATCTATAAGAATAAAAATAAATCTTTAAAGAGCAATAACGGACCGATACTCAACCCTAGTTTGTATAAATTAGTTTGTTAGTTTCTCTTTACGTGTTCATTAAGGCGGTTACGGTCCACGGTTTAGTAAACTGTGTCCGTCACGGTTCAGTCAACCTTAGCTTATAATTAGTAAACATATGGTAGATTTAGCTGTTAGATTTAGTTACACGTGCTTCTGAAGATGCCAAAATCGATGGCGAAAAGAACTCTTAGGACTTTGTGTTTTGTTTTGGTGTTGGGGAATATTTCTAATATAAGTCGACCAGAATACGGTATGCCGCAGCATAAGCGGTTTGGCTTGCCCCAGCCGGCCCGCGTTACCTTTTGGCCACCTACTAACCGAAATCGGCCTTGGCGTAAGCGATACATCTCACGGCTGCTTACGCACGCGAGCTTACTATAAATAGCGATGGGTTGCAATATTTAGTTGGATGTGTGCGTCTAATGGAACATTTAGAAACGAGTAATGGCTAGCTAATCAAGTGTGTTAAAAAACTATCTTGCCATTCAAAGAATTTCAGGATTAAACCTTTAGGATATATCCAGAAGGTCTAGGCTTTTTTTGGATAGTCAGGCGGTACTCGGACAACTGTACATAGCCTACACTTGGCCGAGCAAACATAGCCGACATTCGGCCAGGCTGACATGCCGAATCTTATACGTGTTCCAGGTCAAACGTATTCGGTCCGTATGAGGGCTTACTGGGAAAGCAATAGCACCGGACTTTAGTCTTCGCATGTAAAAATAAATAGGTGTAAAGTCAATATCCCCTGGAAAGGATGCCTGTTATTTTAAAATATGACATTAAGTTGTCAAAGGTTGTCAAATGTGGAAATACCGTTATCTGCGGTCGGATATTTTCGTATTGTGGCAATAATTAAAGATGGTCAAAGTCAACTATGTGTCTAATACGAACACTTCATCCTAGACGTTGACTTTAAATAAAAACATAGTATTAAAATATCTTCGTTACTAACGTGAATAAGAAAGCAAACTGTTAAAAAAAGATTGGACTACAGTATGATTTCAACTGACATCCGCTGTTATTGCTGATGCACCTAGAAAACATCTTCTTACTTTGGACCCTATATATGCTCAAATTAAAATATGACTTCAATTGACATCCGCTGTTATTGCTGATGCACCCCACAAGGTGTCTTAAAGTTCGGGGGATAAACTTCTTCTTACTTTGGACCCTATATATACTCGCGAGGAAATCAACATTAAAAATTTGACCAATTTCTGGTGGCCGGTTTTTTTACAGGTGAGTGTATACCATATTTTCATTTGAAATTATACACTTGAGTAAACCCCTTCCCAGATGCATTCTAAGCGGGCTGCCATAGGCGACGATTCAGTTATGTTTTGCATTTGCTAGTGTGTATTTCGAGCTTTTTAACATAAATTAATATCTTTTATTTAAAATTATAAGTTATAATTTCCTACACATTGCAAGAGAAAATTGACATAATAAGCTGATCTTTAGTGGGCAATTCTTTACGTCAAACAAGAGACCTATTCTCAGTTAAATATCCGGATCGTTCTATTCCATTAATTAGAACAATAACAAACGTTGTCCAAAAGTTTAAAACAAATGATTGTATTTAATTTATTTATTTATTTAATTTAATTTGTTTTCAAGAGAATTATTTAATTTTTTATTTTAGTTTTTAAAGAGAATGTTTTATGTTTTTATGTTATTTATAAGAAAACACTTTTAGTTAAATGCAAAACAAATAACGATTTTACCCCTTTAATTAATAATTTACTGTTAAAAGTGATAACGGTAAATTTTAAGTATCTGAATCATTTTTAAAAGTAAATTAACTTAATAATGCGTAATAAGTAATAATAATTCAGATGAAACTTCGACTATCACCCAATGCCGCTGAAGGGTCTACTGCTGAATTACAAAAACTGTCTTTCGGCGTCTCCCACTCTTAAAAACTGAATGCGGCCTGTCTACATGTAAAATGAACGTTGCCTCAATAAAATTTAAAGAAGATTAGGATAAATGTTTTTAACAGCAGTGATTGTAATTATAATTTTGTGTGAATAAAGAAAAATTTATCATATGTCTTGAGGTCTTAAAAAGGCTCTCTTATAAACTAAAGCTAAAACTATAACCTCTATCTAAGATATAGGAAACAAGATTTTCACACACAGTTTTTTGTAGCTTGTCAGAAATCGTTCCTATTTTGTGTGAATAAAGAAAAAATTATCATATGTCTTGAGGTCTTAAAAAGGCTCTCTTATAAACTAAAGCTAAAACTATAACCTCTATCTAAGATATAGGAAACAAGATTTTCACACACAGTTTTTTGTAGCTTGTCAGAAATCGTTCCTATTCGAAAATGACTTCAACCGTCACATGTGGACTGATTGTGATCAGTTGATTCAGTTCATGGATTTGATTCAATGCGGATTCGTTGAATGTTCCGCTTCGGAGCCCGCAAAACTGATGGTTCAGCATTGGAACTCCGTACACAATGTGTGCGCGTATCAGTGCGGGTATTGTTTCTTCAGTGCGCCGAATCAGGTTACCGTATTCCGGCACCAAGTGGCAAACCATTTCAATCAAAGTCCGAAGGTGTATTGCAGAATTAATCCCAACGAGGTGAGTAGCAAGCTGACTTAAGAAAAAAAACAATTCTTTCGACTGCGCCATTTCAGAATGTACATTATAAAAGTCTGCTTATCTTAAGATGCTGAAGGAAGGTTTGGTTCTTGGATTATGGCAACATTGAGCCCTAAACGTTAACTTATGTTTTCTTATGCAAATTCTAAACAAATATTAGAAATATTCCCCAACACCAAAACAAAACAGAAGGAAAGTGTAATTAAATCTAAATGCTAAATCTACTATATTTATACTAATTATAAGCCAAGGTTGACTGAACCGTAAACGGACACAGTTTACTAAACCGTGGATCGTAACCGCTTTAGTGAACATGTAAAGAGAAACTAACAAACTAATTTAAACAAACTAGAGTTGGGTACCGGTCCGTTATCGCTATTTAAAGATTTATTTCTATTCTTATAGATGTATAAACTTACGTACCTATCTAGCAGACTAGGTTCCCTAACTTCCTTAATAAGGTTAAGGTTGTCAAATCCTATGCCACACTTTAAAAACTATTCATAGAGGGCGATTTGCAATATTCTGTTTCTTATAAATGTATAAACTTTCATAACTATCTAGCAGACTTGGTTTCCTAACTTCCTTAATAAGTTTAAGGTTGTCAAATCTTATTCTATGACCATCATCAAGTATATGTTGGGCAACAGTCGATTTCTCTGTCCTACCAAATCTAGCATGGGCCAAGTGCTCTTTAAACCTTACTTGGATGGATTGTTTAGTTTGTCTAACATATTTCTTGTCACAATCTTGACAGTTTATTTCGTAGATCCCCGAGTTCAATTTTAAGAATCTTATCCTTGGGGTTGCCTAAAAGGATCTGAAGTGTGTTACTGTTTGCACTAAAAGCAATTTTGAAGTCCAGTTTTCAAAAATCCCTTCCGGACCTCGGGTGTACTGGGGTTCTAAAGGAATAGTCATAAACTTGACTTTTGTGGGCTCTGTTGGCTCTGTTTAAAAAGTTGCTAACCTAGAAAGGCGTTACTTAAATTTTATTTTATTTACTAACTTATCTGCTAGGGTGGGTTCAAAACCATTTTCTCTAGCAATGTCTTTTATAAAACTGAGCTCTTTCTTGTATCTACTATTACCAAGTGGAAATTTTTCTAACCTACGAACAAGAAAGTTAAAACTAGCTTGCTTATGTTGTGTGCAGTTCCAGTCTGAAGTAATGTAACGTGCAGTGCTTGTAGGTTTTCTGTAGATATCAAACTCTAGAGTATTCTTAGATCTAATCACTAGGGTATCTAAAATGGTAGCTGGCCATCTTTTTTCAAGTTTCAAAGTTATATTCTACAATGTACCAACTCGTTTTTATTAAAATCTATTTAGTAGAAATACGTTTTCTAAAGGAATAAAGAAGTGTATTTTCAAACAATTTTTTAGTTGTAATTTTATAGAGTTGTGTAAAGTTTTGTTCAATAAAAAGTATATCCCGCATGGTCTAGTGGCTAACTCTCACCCAGGTGGTACTATTCATCTAAAAAAAAATAATTTTACTGTCAAATTAACTTAATACAATGTGGCAATACTTTATATTTTTTTCCCTTCCAAAAATGATCCATTTAAAAAAATGTTTTTAATGTGAAATTAACTTAATACAATGTGACACTAAAAAATTATGTTCTATTACAAATTTTGCTGTTTTGCCGCCGGTGTACAAAATAAAATTTGTTGCTCTTCACAAATGGGCGTTTCCATTTTAATCTGTCAATTTTTTTCCTACAAAGTTACAAAATTTGTGAAAATAAAATTAAAATTAATAACAAAACAATGTTTTTCATATTTTTAAAATAAACAATTTTTAGTCTTTTTATTCTTTATAACAAATAGTTATCCCTTATTTTTTCCGGCAGTTTGGGTTTTTTAATTACAAAAATGCAATTTAGTGTCGAATATTGTTTTTACCTTGTAAAAGTAACAAAACAACAGTTTTCCCTAAAAGATTTTCGATATCCCCCAAATATATGTACACAGATCTACAAAAACAATCCAATCCCAACTCAAAAATGTTTACCTTAAACAAGATCATAAATTTCAACTAACAATTTTTCGAAGAGAAGAAAGGACATAAAAAATCAAAATAAAAGGTTCTTTCACATATGTGGAGTTTGAGAAGGAAAAATACCCTTTGTTGTAAAATAAACTTAAATTTAAAAAAATGCGTTTGTGAATAAATATGGCTCTGACAAAAGGGACCTAAGCGTCCCAGCGTTAATTTAAGAGGAGAAAGGAAATAACAGGCGAGCGCGTTAGACGGCACCACAAACGCAGAATTAACGCGTTGCTACATGCAAAATATTCGAGTAAAATTATATTTGGCTTCAGGTAATTAAAGAGCAGTCTACAACAATCATAATCCAGAAATAGATTTTTGGGCGCTTACTAAGCGCCGCTTAGGTCCCTTGGAAGTTTCACACCCTATATTTTGTTTGACTGGCAACCTTAAGTATGTCAACTTAAGCTAGATAACTGCCATAGGAATGTCAACTTAGCCAGAATGGTAACTTAAGACAAGCAAATTTTTTTTAATAATAAATAATTCTTATTTTGAATTCTTGGTGTATAATACAGTCACAGGCAAAATAATCGATCCACACAAATTTTCTATGATTTCAATCGCAAATAACTTTTTTATTTGTTTTCGGATTTAAACAAATATTAAAAAATATTGTAGATACATTAATGGAGAATCGCTCACATTTTAAAAATTACTAAAAAATATACGTACGTTTATAATATATATACAGGTTTAAACAAAAAGATATTTTTTACCATAAGTTTAAGACACTCTGTAGAGTGGCATAACCGTATATTGTTCTAAATTAAGTTTTAATTATCAAGTCACATCTATTTTTAACAGTTTTGTTTTTGGTTCACCTTGATATATTTGTTTTTGTGGAAAATATGGATTTTTTTTAAAAAACATTGCAATTTCCAATATTTTTCCTGTATGAAGAACTAAGGTTGCTATGGTCCATCCATAGCCTATGGAGGATGAAAGTGACAGTTTTGTTGAATCATCCTATATATGTCATATATAGCTTTCAAAAACTATCAAATTGATTTTTGTAAATTAATGTGTTAATTTTGAGGTGTCTTCATACTTTTAAAAATGTCTCCGATTGATGTTGCCCTTTGTACTTTACTTCTTGTGACGTTTAAAACACTTGCCACGTAATACTGTGACCGTCCATCATTTACTAAATTAATGGCTCTGGAAACATCAGTCGGAGACATACCCATTTTTTAAAGTAAGAAGACACCTCAAAATTTAAACATTAATTTGCAAAAAACAATTTGATAGCTTTTGAAAGCCGTGTATGACATGTCAAAGTATGGGATGATTCAACAAAACTGTCACTGTCATTCTCCATAGCCTATGGATGGCCATAGCAACCTTAGTTCTTCATACAGAAAAATATTTGAAATTACAATGTTTTTTTTAAAAAATCCATATTTTCCAACAAAAATAAATATATCGAGGTGAACCAAAAACAAAACTGTTAAGAATTTAGAACAATTTACGGATTTGCCAATATACAGAGTGTCTTAAACTTATGGTAAAAAACATCTTTTAGTTTAAACCTGTATATTATAAACGTACGTCTATTTTTTAGTAATTTTTGTGAGCGATTGTCCATTAATTTATCTACAATATTCTTCAATATTCGTTTAAATCCGACATCAAATAAAAAAGTTATTTGCGATTGAAATTCATCGAAAATTTGTGTGGATCGATTATTTTGCCTGTGAGTGTAATATTATGTATACTTAAATATTTTTGTATATCTTTAGAATGTAGACAACCTCTTTTACGGCAGTGAAGCTATGGCCATGCTTCCGGTTCTACGCAACCTACCGGATTCCATGAAGCGACCGAAAGATATCGTAGCGCCATCTGAAGCACAACCGCAAAACCCCCAAATCAAAGTTGCCAACGTTTATATCAAAGGAAGTTCCTCGGTGAAATCGCCCGAACTCCCGGATTCCATGAAGCAACCGAAGGCGATCGTAGCGCCATCTGAAGCACAACGCGAACTTCCGGCTTCCACGAAGCAACCTAAAGCGATCGTAGCGCCATCTGAAGCACAATGCGAACTTTCAGCTTCCATGAAGCAACCGAAAGCGATCGTAGCGCCATCTGAAGCACAACCGCAAAACCCTAAAATCAAAGTTGCCAGCGTTTATATCAAAGGAAATTCCTTGGTGAAATCGCCTGCAAAAGTTGTCGTCGCTAATGCTGCAGCTTCCGGGGGGACGTCGACGACCGGAAGCAAGCTGTTCCAAATTTTGCCGACCGGGAACATAATCTTAAAAAGTTTGGCGCCCAACGCCAAGGTCCAGGTTTTGAAGGCTATTCCTAATAGGTTCAATTCCCTGCTTTCGCTTGCCAAGTATGTACTCTTTTTGTATTATGTTTTATAACTTTATTTAAAAATAAATTGTTGTTTTGTTAAAATGGACTTGCTAGTTAACACAGCAAATGGAAAATTGTAGAAGTGTATAGGATGACGCCACGTTTGAATGTAGTTTTCTAAATCTCGCCACGGTATAGATTTGTATTCGTCAGTCGCCCTTGTGGAAATTTTTCTCTGAGAAAGTCTTACTTTCTCTTAAAAAGTCTGAATAATACTTATTAAGTCGGAAAAAGTCTGAATAAGTCTTATTAAGTCAGACTAATAGCAAGATTTGGGAGTCTTCTGGAAGAGTTAATAAGACTTTTTAAGACTTAATAAGACTTTTAGTAGAGAAATGGTAGGTACCTATGGCGATAAAAATAAATATCCGAAATAATTCATATTTGGTTATCGTAAAATAAAACACATATAAAAGTATTTATTAACATTTTTGCTGTTGTTATAAGCCAAGTTTATTGCATAATTACCTAGGTAAGATGTAATAATTATAACAATTATAATTTTATACATACAATACGCTTGACATGCTTTAATTGTTTCCACCATAGAAAAAGGAGTTAATATCATGTCTATAGACATGATATTTTCGATAGACTCATAAGACAAATATGGTTGATCTTCGTGTTTCATTCATCTTTGTATCATGGTTGATCTTCGTGTTTACGTACAGTGTTGCCATAAAAGTTCCTGACCATAAATTACAAAATACTAAAATAATAATAAAAATGTAACACGATAGAATAAAATAATTGTGCATATTTAGTAAATATACAATATTATTTACTGAAAATTTCTTTTGTTATTATTTTGATAGAAATTCACCCGATTTCACCCGCAAATATTACGAAAATACCCGATTTTCGAGTAAAATACTTGCAAACGGCAACACTGTGTCCCACTGAAAGGTCAGCTGTGCTCTAATTGGTCAGCTAGCTGAGCTGGTCTCTCGATATTACGTCTAGAAGATTTGTTTGTAACAATGTTTAGATAGGTAAATATTTGCGTGTATCAAAAGAAACTATTAAAATAAAACGTACAGTGGCAACTCCTTTTTCTAATAAGACTTATTCAGACTTTTTCTGACTTAATAAGTCTTATTCTGACTTTTCCGACTTAATAAGTATTATTCGGACTTTTTAAGAGAAAGTAAGACTTTCTCAGAGAAAAGTTTCCACAAGGGCGAGCGTTTTAATACTCTCCACAATATAGAGGTCGTTATTTGACTTTTGAACTAGTATTAATGGGTGAATATTTTAAAACTGTCGATTTTCGTTAACACATAAAAAAATTGAAAATCTTATTAATTTTGCACTTTTAAGACTTTTCCACTCATGAACATAGACATGAAGACTAAAAATGTTATTTTTTTTTGTCTTTTTTAGAAAGTTGAACGGTTTTACTTACAGACGTTCGAAAACTTCCGGTATTTTCCGAATGTATCGCGTATTTAAATATGAAATTAGACACATTTTAAGTAGGCACGGCAATGACGCTCATGGGTGTGAACAAAGTTTAATCGGCATTAAAAGAAAAGTTAACATTTTAAAATGCAGGGTCGAGTTTCTACCTATTTGTTGAATATAGAAATTCAAAGTAATGTATCTTGTAATTGTGTTTGACTTTAACTATAGTCGTATATAGGTATACCTATATATAGAGGCGAAAAATATAAAAACAAAGCACGATTCAATACAGTTCAATATTTTTCCGTTTGCTGTGAACTATTAGCCGTTTTTTAAGTAACAATAATTTATTTTTTAGATATATAAAAATTTTCTATATCTTTCAGGCCTCATCAAATCACTTCAGCCTCTATAGTTTCGACTTCCTTATCTTCTTTAACATCCCTAACATCCACATATACCGGACCAGTGTCTTTGTCACGACAAATTTCTCCCTCTTCGGAAAAAATGCAACCGGCGGCTGTAGAAACAGTTGAAATTGATCCGATCGAAGATTCATCGTCGACGTCTGAATTCCCAGAACAATCGGAGGTGAATTCTTTGAGCTTAGCGGACTCTGAAAGCGAGAGTTTCTTGCAGAGTAAAGCTGCTACTTCTTTGGAGGACAAGGGGTCTGATAGGAGATCTGAAAAAGTAAGTAATTTTCCTGTTTTTTTTTTTAAGAAAAACTCCTTATATTATGTAAACTTATTACGATTTAACCAAATTTACCATATTTGATAATAACCAAGATACAAAGTGTCAAAGTTTATTTCGATTTTACTAAATAATTTAAAAAAAAAACGTTTTTGCACTAAATATAGTATTTTAGTTTTTTTTTATTTTGTGATTGGAAAATGTCCCAGCAAACACATAAGTCTGATTATGTATTGGCCCATTACATAGTTTTATGGCTTAATAATGGCATTTTTAGCCAAAGCTTTCCTTGTACTGGGCCTTTACAGGAATGTTTTAATAAACATTTTGATAAAAGGCTATCGTCTTGCAATGGTCCTTTTCAGGCTAATATTTATATATTTTACAATAAAGGACCCCATATATGGCAATTTTCAGTATTAAGTTAATGGGACTTTAAAAAAACCATTTAAGTGCCAAATGTTTTTTGTATATAAAACCTTTATCCTTTGGTTAACGCCATATTGTAAAAATGACGCCCAGTGTAATTCCTATAGTTTTAATAGTGCGTTATACCACATACAAAAATAATAATAATTTTTAGTTTTATAAATTTTGGTACTCTTAGTACAGACAAAATACCGCCAAATAATTTAGTAGAAAGTTTTAATTGCTAAGGTCAAAATTGGGGCAATTGCAAATAAAAGAAATTAATAATGACAAAGAAAACCTGGTTTTCTTTGTTATAGAGGACAATCTACCAAAAAAATCAAGTGGACTTACTTGTAAATATATATTTTAATTTTAAATATTTTCTATTTAGTTTAAGGATTTTTTTATATATATATATAAATATATTTAAATATTATGGATTCCATTTATTACCTAATAGGGTTGATAGTTCACATATACACAATTTTTGCGTTTTGTTATCATATATAAATATATATGATACTCCAATAAATTAATGATAAACAGGAACCGACTGGAATAATTATAAAAACTGGTTATTTGCCCAAAAAAAATTAATTGCCAGAATAATATTTCCCGATCTCCTTATTCCTCGGTCTCCTGAGTTGTCATTATGTGATTTTTTCGATAGGTATACTTAAAAGGACGTGTGTAGAAAAATATTTATGTATATATATATATATGTTTATGATCTTAAGGAGTCCATCCCAGATGGACCATCCGTTAACAAATCAATGACACTTTCTACTTTTATGGTACCTAGTATCTCAATTAGGGTTGGGACAGTTGAAATGAAAATTTCAACTTTGAAAGTTTCAAACTTGAAATATTTCATTTAGTTGGAAAAGTGAAATTTTTAAAAATTTCAAATGAAATTTTCAATCCGAAAATTCCGTACCCAACATTGTAAAAGCCTGCTGGTAGCTTTCATAGCCATTCGTTGAGTGTCGGCAACGACAATCGGCACTTTACGCGCTTCTGGTTGAATATGCTACCACTGGGCGTTTAAGCCACATATAAAACAACCACCTGTAGATTTTACGAAGTTATGTGTCTTTTTAAATGTATTTGTGATAATTTACGCATAAATAGTTCGCATAATTAGGTAAGAACATTTATTTTGTAACGTTATTTGTTAATTTGTGTATAAAAATACATATAATATACCGGTAAAACGAAGAAATCCTAACCTCTTGCAAAAAACAATTATAACCTAACTAATTTTTTTTTTTTTAAATCCATGTAATAAAAAAACAAAAAATATATATATTTTTGTTATGCGAATATTTAACCTTGTGTAAATAAATTCTTGAGGCAAAATCTGTTTGCGTCTTGAAGTTTGATGTATATTTGTAAAAAAACTAAACAAATTTTAAATTGTATTTTCACATATCTTGTAAGTAAAACTGCAATAGGTATTATAAAAATAAATTATGCCATAATCCTAACACTTTTTTTATAAATCAACTTACTTATTTAGTAAATTTTGAAATAAATATTTTTAGTCAATAAAATGTTTGTATAAAAAACATTTCCTAAATCTACCTACTGTAGATTTTGAAATAATATGTTTTATATCAATACCTATAAATGTAAAAACATATTTATGCACTTTCTTGTGATATTATTTTATAGAAGCATCGACAGTTAATGCATTTATATTGTATCAAATAACAGTAAAAAAGAATAATCCACGAAATAAGCCAATGACACATTTGCAGTTCCGCAGCCAACTAGCAGATAAACCAATTGCTCAATTCACTTCGAGAAAAAAAAGAGGTCCTGCTACAGTAACAGATTCTTTACATGGGGCTGGTCATCTTGCAGAAATAACATCATCTCGCAGGTGCAGGAAATGTGCCAAAACTGGCAAACAAAAAAGGAGTAGTGTTCAGTGCAAAAAATGTCAGGTGGCTTTGTGCATAGAATGTTTTGTACCATACCATACCTAATAGTTATATTCTTATTATATATTTTTATCCATTTTTAAATAAACACAATTAGAAATAATTTTTTCTTGTGTTGTTTTTAAAATCTTTTATAGTGGTACACTGAGAAAAAAATGTATTGCTCCCAAATAAAAAAAATATTTATATATGAGACAAGGGTACAGTTTATTTATCCTAAATATATTTTTATTCCCGACACATAAAGTTTTACTAAAGTATATTTATCGTTATTATTTCGACTATTTAGAGGTAATAAACAATATATTTACTATTAATAAAAGTATTAGCTACACAGTTCATTTGTCCCATTTTTTTCTCAGTGTATATATGTAATACCAGTGAGCATTATAAAAAATACATGTCTTAAATGTCCACTGGTAAAACGGTTTACCAGCCTATTTTTTCTAAATGATTGTAAATAATATTTTTTTTTGCTCAAGAATCATAGTTTTAAACCAACTATTGCGATTTCCAGGAAAAAAAATTAAATTAGAAAAAAAATAGTTTTGGACGTTAAAGGGTTAATATATAAATATTAAATTTTAAATTTTAAAGGCTTAAAATAAACAAAAACAATACAAACTAAATATTAAAATTAAAATGCAGTATTTATTTATTAACTTGAACTTATTTAATTCGTTTATTTATTTTCAATGTAAAATATAAGTAAATAATTTGGCTTTGTATTAACGATCTGGCTCTTTTTAAGAACTTTCTAACTTAAAATTTATTTAAATAAGTGTTTATTGTTAAGCTTGCCCTGACAGCAAAATTTGATTCTAAGAATCTTCTAAGAAGATATGACCCGGAATAAGGGAATATTCTTAGAACCTTCCCTTATTGCTAAGAATGGACTTTTAAAACATTTAATAGATACCCTTTTAATGATGCAATTAAATTCTTAAAAGCTGTTTAAAACCTTCCTAAAAAGCATCGTAAGAACATTTTAAGAATACGTTTTTGGAATGTTCTTAGAAGGTTTCTTATGGAGCTTCTAGGAAGCTTTTGAGAATATTTCCAAATATGTCAGATACCCACGTTCTTAAAAAATGACGTTTGCATTATTTTTTACATTAACATTTTTGCAACTCAGTCATCAAAACATCCCGAAAATCAAGAAGGTCCTACCGACGACCTGCTCAAGTGCGCCTTCTGCGGCGGCGCGTATCCCGATGCGAGTTCGAACACCAATCAGGCGAGGCCGTACGAGTGCGCGCACTGCAAGAGTGCGCTGAAAAGTGCGCAGGCCCTGGTCGAACTCTACAAGTGCCGGTCGTGCTGCTACACGAGCAAAGTCAGGACGAATTTCGTGCGGCACTTGTTGACGCACAGCAAAGAGAAGGCGGCGACGGATTCGGCGCCGGTGAATCCCGTGCCGTGTTCGGACGAGAACGAGAAGATTCCTGATGAGATTATCAATTTGGATTATCCTGAGAAAAGTAAGTGTTTTTTATGGTTTATTTTTTTGATGTGGGCTTATGAATTACCAAGCTTTATAATAAAAACGAGTGTCTAGACAAGTTTATAAAACGAGTTGAATACTATACTTTTTCTACGACGAATACAAAGAAGAATTTAAAGCCAATTTCATTTGTTAATCATTTGACATCTGCCAAATGTCAACGAATTTAACCTAACTTTTCCTCAATTTATAATAAAGCTAACTTCAACCCGTGACTAAAGTGTCCAAAAGCCAATATTGCTGACTTCAGTTCGTCAATGTAGAAGTAGATAAAGAGATTATACTCATTATCTCTTGTATAATAATATACTAATTAAATGCATATTCTATACACTAGTGTCCATTGCTACAATTTTAAATACACTGAGAAAAAAATGGGACAAATAAACTGTGTAGCTAATACTTTTATTAATAGTGAATATATTGTTTATTACCTTTAAATAGTCGAAATAATAACGATAAATATACTTTAGTAAAACTTTATGTGTCGGGAATAAAAATATATTTAGGATAAATAAACTGTACCCTTGTCCCATATTTAAATATTTTTTTTATTTGGGAGCAATAAACTTTTTTCTCAGTGTAGGACACGCTGTTTATGTTTACATATTTTAAAACATAATTTAACAAAAAATTATTATTGCATAACTACCCTAAACTTAAAAATAAACAATTAGTAAGCACTTAAACTTTCTGATTGTTGTTAAAATAAAGTAATAATTTGGTTATTTCAACAACCATCAGAAAGTTCAAGTGCTTATTAATTGTTCCAAATTGTCTTATAAAATATGTCAAATTATACAGGGTGTCCCGTTTAAAAAAATGTTATTTTTGTGAACTTGACGATCAATTGTTTTTCTGTTTTCACCATTTTAATCAGAAAAAAAATGCCACCAATTTGTACCTAGCTTTTGTATACTAATATTTTTTTTGTTTCAGACATTCAAAAATGTAACATTGTGAAATCACCTGAAATCTCAGTGAAACCAACCACATCCCTTATGCTATCCAATGACAGGATAAACGACGTAACGACGTAAGTAACATTTTATTTATGGGTGTCACCCATTGGGTGATTACAGCAAATTGGTAAATTTCAAACTTAATAAAATCGGTTAAAAATTAAGCGATATAACAGTGGCTGTCCACATGTGTTTTTTAGCTCCAAATTAAAATAATGAGTGCAGAGAAACAAAAAATTACTCTAAAAATGACCCTAACAAATTTTGTTACATCTATGGGGAGTAAATTCCGCTAAAATTTACAAAAATTTACAAAATTCATTAAGATGAAAATCCTAAACGCTAAATGCTTTGTTTAGCACAACTTAAGATCATTGTGGATAACAGGCGCCAAAAATTTATAAATTTTATTCACTTAAATACAACTACAGTATAAATGTCCCTTTGTTCTGAACTAAACGCGTATACAAATTTAATCTGACGTCACACAGCTGACTTATACAGGGTGTCCCAGAACTCGCGCCACAGAGAAAAAGGGGGCGTGCTGATACTGATAAAATTTTGACATTTTATTTTATAAAATTATTTTTATAGTTTAAAATGCATTTTTGTGAGAATGTTTCAACTATTGTACAAAATATGGTTACTATATTTTATAAAATAGTTAAAATATTCTCAAAAAAATGCATTTTAAACTAAAAATATGATTTTATAAAATAACGTTAAACAATTTCAATTTTGGACTTTATGTGATGTGAAATGATAAATAATGACAGGAACAAAAATTGACAGAAGTGTCATAATGAAGTGGATTTCAGTCGACCAAATATTTTACATATTAAAGTTCATTTTTTTTATCTGGACTGCGGTAACGTTGCAAATTTAGGGGTTTGGTTGGTAAATACGAAACCAAAATTGAATACATTGATTGCATGCATTGACTGAACTAGTTATAAATGTAATTATAATGTAATTGTGGTTATGTTTAAATTATTGTAGGTAGGGTTGCCAGATTCTGTCAAAAAAATAAAGGACATTTTATGACAATTTACCTTAATTAATACTTATAAGGTAAAATAGTGTAGGTGTTCTTGTTTTGGTTCAGATTAAATTATTTAAAACTTTTGGCTGATCTTTTGTAGTTTTTTTTCGATTAGTGTAATTTTTTATTTTATTAATGCGGTTTGGTGCACACTACACAGATAAGGTAGATTTAGCAGTTTTTATTAAGCATTTTATCAATACAACTTGAGTTTTGTTTTGTTAAATTTTACAGATTTTTTTTTAAATAAATCCTGTTCATTGCGTTATTTTCTCAATAATTGAAACGCCTGTTTTAAAAGAAACGAAACTGAAAAAAGACATATGCAGTTGCAATATTCAAGAACTTTCCAAATATACATGGATTTCCACTGGATAAAATCCCATTGGATAAAATTCTTTTGGGATACAATTTCCATGGAATAAAATTTCCACTGAAGAAAATTTTCACAGGATAAAATCCCATTGGATAAAATTCTCATCGGAGAAAATGCCCATCTGATAAAATCCCATTGGATAAAATTCTCACTGGAGAAAATTTCCACTTGATAAAATTTTCATTGGTTAAAAAAAATTAAATTAAAAGATTATATGTATGTGTATTTATCCTTTGCGTTAGATAATTTTTATTTTTAAGTATGGGTTTCGCATAACTTTCTTTGTGGCGCGAGTTCTGGGACACCCTGTATAACCAACAAACACACTGAAATAATTTTGGAACATGTTAACAACCAAATGTGTTTTTATAGTTGGATCTTATAGTAGAGGATCCCAAGTAAGGTCGACCGTCACCCATCTGCTTACCAGATGAAAATTATATTTTATCAAATAAAATATGTTTCTGAACATAAACCAATAGGGTTGCCATAAAAAATATGATCAAGGCTAGCTATAATAAATAAAAAATTAAAAAAAAAATAATTAATTTTTTAAATTTCACCGACTTGCTTGCCAAATGAACGAAATTCCAATGGAAAGCATACAACATACAGAATATGTAACAGCTAGGTTGCCTACCTTTTTCTGGTCCCTATTACCTGGTTGCTTTGTACAGGGTGATCCCCTATAATGTCGCCCCCCTTTAACTTTTTTATTTTAAGTGTCCCAAAAAATTTAAAAGTTTGGTTATGTAGGTACTAAAAAATACTTTTTTTCTACGTATAAAGAAAATTGGAAAATTGATCAGTATACAGGGAAAAACAAAAAGTTTATTTTTTTTCAATGGATCACCGTATATATGAATTTATTTTTCGATTCCTTGTAAAATTCTGAGCATAATTTATATAACAAACCATATACCTAAATTCAACCGTTTCTGAAATATTCGCATTCGAAATGTCATCATTAAATGTTTTTTTAAACTGTTAGAAATCAAGAAGCCTCAGTATACCAAATTTTTTATTGAAAATAAATTACTATACTGACATTATGTCAATAAGTGTTGTTAAATAGGTAAAAATGGCGTACTCAGACAGAGAAAAACAAACTATTTCAACTTATTATCTTAAAAATAATTTAAATATTTCAGAAACGGTTGAATTTAGGTATATGGTATGATATATGAAATATGCTTAGAATTTTACAAGGAATCGAAAAATAAATTCATATATAGGGTGATCCATTGAAAAAAATAAACTTTTTGTTTTCCCTGTATACTGATCAATTTTCCAATTTTCTTTATACGTAGAAAAAAAGTATTTTTTAGTTCCTACATAACCACACTTTTAAATTTTTTGGGACACTTAAAATAAAAAAGTTAAAGGGGGGCGACATTATAGGGGATCACCCTGTACAAAGCAACCAGGTAATAGGGACCAGAAAAAGGTAGGCAACCTAGCTGTTACATATTCTGTATGTTGTATGCTTTCCATTGGAATTTCGTTCATTTGGCAAGCAAGTCGGTGAAATTTAAAAAATTAATTATTTTTTTTTAATTTTTTATTTATTATAGCTAGCCTTGATCATATTTTTTATGGCAACCCTATTGGTTTATGTTCAGAAACATATTTTATTTGATAAAATATAATTTTCATCTGGTAAGCAGATGGGTGACGGTCGACCTTACTTGGGATCTTAGACTATTATTTATTTTAGGACCTTGCCTATTACATTAAATGCTAGCAAAAATAATAGTAATTGCAAAGAATCGGGGGTGACCGAAGGAAGATTAAGTGAAAGTATACTTAGATGCGATGTTGCCGGATGTCACAAAGTTTACATGAAAAGTTCACATTTGACGGCACACAAAAGAACGCACACAGGTATTTATAAGTTCTTAAATATATTTTTAAGGGATACTTTGAAAACGTAATTTTTTTATAGGAGAAAAACCATATCAATGCTTCTGGGAAGGATGTACCTGGAAATTTTCCAGATCCGACGAACTCACCAGGCATTACAGGACACATTCGGGACAAAGCCCGTTCAGTTGTAATTTATGTGAAAGATCTTTTAAACGGTCGGATCACCTATCGCGTCACATGAATCGCCACAAAGACAATCAAGGTAAATCTCGAATTATTTCTAAAGAGAGACTGCTAAATTTTTTTAAATTACTTGCATAAAATTGTGCTTAAAATAGGTTTTTAGCTTTAACGGCCCTTTTACATCAACGTGCTTTTGTTTTTAAGATGTCATATTAGCGATTAAAAAAATCTATGCACGACACTAGATTCACCACCCCTTAAAACGACCCTATCCTAAATTTGATTGAAACATTTTAAATATTAACGATTTTGTAGCCAAATAAAAAATGAACAATAAAAACTATTTACAAAAATTTATTCTGTCAATCCATGGAAAAAACATTGAAATAAAATTAAACTAATAGAAACATGGTACAAATATTCTTAGGTTTAGTTGACAAATAAAAAACGCAATAGAAGTTTAAAACAACAATGAAACAAAAAATAGAGAATTCAAAAAATTCTCTGCAATTAGATTTTCGTCACCTCTACTGCACAAGAACAACGGGCTAGGGTAAATTACCCTGGGTAATACAAGCCTGCACAGCCATTACTCCAGAAAAAATATGAAAGTGTATTGAAATAAATGATGGACTGGTAGAGGTGACGAAAATTTAATTGTAGAGAATTTTTGTAATTCACTATTTTTGTTTCATTGTTGTTTTAAATTTCTATTCAAGTTTATTGCGTTTTTTATTTGTTAAAACTAAGCATATATATACCATGTTACTTTAGTTTAATTTTATTTCAATGTTTACTCATGGATAACTTGACAGAATTTTTTTTTGTAAATAGTAATTATTGTGAATTTTTAATTTAGCTATAAATCGTTCCTACACTCACAGGCAAAATAATCGATCCACACAAATTTTCGATGAATTTCAATCGCAAATAACTTTTTTATTTGATGTCGGATTTAAACGAATATTAAAGAATATTGTAGATAAATTAATGGACAATCGCTCACATTTTAAAAAATTACTAAAAAATAGACGTACGTTTATAATATACAGGTTTAAACAAAAATATGTTTTTTACCAAGTTTAAGACACTCTGTAGAGTGGCAAAACCGTATATTGTTCTAAATTAAGATTTATTTATCAAGTCACATCTATTCTTAACAGTTTTGTTTTTGGTTCACCTCGATATATTTATTTTTGTGGAAAATATGGATTTTTTAAAAAAACATTGCAATTTACAATATTTTTCTGTGCTATGGAGAATGACATTGATAGTTTTATTGAATCATCCCATACTTGGACATGTCATACATACATACATACGGCTTTAAATTGTTTTTTGCAAATAAATGTTTAAATTTTGAGGTGTCTTCTTACTTTAAAAAATGGATTTGTCTCCGACTGATGTTGTCAGACCCATTAATTTAATCCAGGATAGACGGTTACAGTATTACGTGGCAAGTGTTTTAAACGTCATAAGAAGTAAAGTACAAAGGGCAACATCAGTCGGAGACATTTTTAAAAGTAAGAAGACACCTCAAAATTAACACATTAATTTATAAAAAACAATTTGATAGCTTTTGAAAGCTGTATATGACATGTCCAAGTATGGGATGATTCAACAAAACTGTCACTGTCATCCTCCATAGGCTATGACCTATAGCAACCTTAGTTCTTCATACAGGAAATATATTGGAAATTGCAATGTTTTTTAAAAAAGTCCATATTTTCCACAAAAATAAATATATCGAGGTGAACCAAAAACAAAACCGTTAAGAATAGATGTGACTTGATAAATAAAACTTAATTTAGAACAATATACGATTTTGCCACTCTACAGAGTGTCTTAAACTTATCGTAAAAAACATCTTTTTGTTTAAACCTGTATATTATAAACGTACGTGTATTTTTTAGTAATTTTTAAAATGTGAGCGATTTGTTTAAATCCGAAATCAAATAAAAAAGTTATTTGCGATTGAAATTCATCGAAAATTTGTGTGGATCGATTATTTTGCCTGTGAGTGCTTACAATTTTTCAATAAAATTTAGTATAGGGTTGTTTTGAGGGGTGATGAATCCAATTTACTCTAAAAACTGACATAGTACCCCTTGTATTTTGTAAAAATATATTGTGTTTTTGCTCATTGCGAAAATCAGTAAATAACTTAATTTATGATTCAGATGAATAATCAGAATATTATTTTTGGCTTATTTATAATTATTATTAATAGTATTATTTGCAAGTTGATCTCTTTTAATATACAGGGTGTTATGCAATTAATGTAATATATTAAAATACGTAATATCTTTTGACATAAGGGGTAACGGAAAAATATATTATAAATATATATATTTGAAAAAATATTTTCCCAAAGATAAAGAAAAAATATGCATTAATAAAAACAATTTGCATTGTTGATTTTGTCATTTTTGTAATTAAGCTAAATTTAAACAAAATCTGGCAACTTTTTTTGACAGAATCTGGAAACGCTGGTCGTCACCAACCATAACATAATAAATTAAATTATGCAACCAGATTAGCATACAGTTTCTAGTCGATCAGTGGCGTACTTTTTGGTAGGATAAAGGTTATTATAAAATATTTTAGAATTCAGAAAATAAAGTTCCAGGTGCTTCTGTATGGACCCATTTTAATATATTACTAATATTTATTTTGTTTTGTTTATTATATTTTTAATTTTTTGTTTTCTGTAAAATATTTAAAAACTGCTGTTTTTTATTTGAATATTCCACTTTATTAAAAAGCTACCTGGCAATACTGCCTTAAATCCACGGCACGCCACTGGATCTACCCATTTTGTATGTTTGCAATCTCTTAACTAGCTAACTAACTGTTTTTTGTATCTTTTTTCAGCGGAAAAAGGCGAAGAAAAAGAAAAATTCCCGGAATTCGTAAAATATCCAAGATCCAAGTTTATGTGCAGTATATGCACGTTTAAAAGTGACGATAAGCAGGAGATAACTTCACATTTTGCAGAGAAACACCCCAAGAACAATTCAGATGTTATCAGTGGTGATGATTCCATTGAAACAGTGGCATCGGAAAATTTCCCACAGAAAAAAGCCCAACCCATAAATGAGGATTTCATAGCTAGAATCAACAAAGACATTAAAGAAACGGCCAAAGAACTGAAAAAAGATGAAGTCATTGTAGTTCTTAGTGACGATGACGACGACGGAGACGATACTCGGAAAACCGTCGTAGAAGAAGTAACACCGGAGGTTATTCCCCCGAAAATCGGAGTCAGGCTGCCAACTCCGGAAAAAGAAATGCTGGATCCCTTCCACCTGACGCACTTGATTAGCGAGTTCGGCGGATTCGGCAACCCGCTCAACAAGCAGTTCAAGTGTCCAGCATGCGAGCAATTTAAGACCAAGCAGGTGGTTGATTTTATTTTCCATCTGTACATTGAGAAGAAAATCAAGAGGTAAGTTATTTTTTTGTTTGTTTTAAAATGTCCAATATGAGTTCTGACGTGTAGATAAGAATAAAAAAACGATAGCCAATCCTAATACATGCCCATAGGGAATTATTTAAATTGCTAGGATACTTAGGATGCATTGTTGATACACGGTGTGCCTGAACGAAGTTTAAGTCACATAAAAATGCCGCCAAAAACTGATTGCAGTTTCTTGTTCGGGACCCTTTGGTGACTTAAAAATGATATTCACTAAAATCCTAGCTGCTCCTCTTTTCGAAATTTTTTGAAAAGTAATGATTTTTTTTAAATTTTTGTTTTTCTTAAAGTCTACCTTTGACCGATTTTTATAATATTGGAGTATATTGTTAAGGAGATTTGGAGAATACTTTTTTATACTGTGCACATCATTTAATATATACAGGGTTAGCCAAAAATCGCTTCTTTTAATAAAGCAAAAGCGTAAATTCATGATTTTGGCATAACACGGAAAAAAGAAATATACCCACCCATGTTTTTTTACATATTTTTATGTTTATCATGCTACAAAATGGGATTCTTATTAAGACTTTATAAGAAAAATTGATTTTGAATAAAATTAAATAAAATAACATTTTTTGGAGATATATCTTTTTTGTGCATTATGCTTTTTACTATATAAAAAAGTGATTTTTGGCTAACCCTGTATAAATCTAATGATGTGCTCAGTTTTTCTCCTCAACTTCTACGCCCCTGAAAAAAGTACGGTTTTGAGAGGCCCATTCGAACCGCCAAAAAGGTAAAGGTAATGCATTTCGCACATTTCAACATAAAAGTTGATTTTTCTCGAAAACGGTCAACTTTAGAGCTTATGACCAGTACTTTTTTTGTGTAGAAAACATTGGCGGTTGGAATGGGCCTCTCAAAACCGTACTTTTTTCAGGGGTGTAGAAGTTGAGGAGAAAAACACCCGCTACCCCTTCAAAATCTTCACCAATTATGAGTAAAACATAGTTTATTATGAGTAGAAAATGCTTACAAAAGCTGTTTTTTGTACGATAAACGGTTCCGGATAAATTCGAAAAAAAAGAATTTTTTTCTAAAATTTCAACACCCTGTATCTCGAAAATTGTGCATTTTAGAGGGTAAGTTAATGGCGACTTTTTTCATCTTTTTGGATGAGCTATCACATCCTGAAGTCCTGCGCATATATTATGAAACAGCCTGTATAGGCACTTTTTATCACAGAGTTTATTAAACATATTTTTTTAGCTCTTTTTAGCTCGTTTAGACATGACTTCATTAAAACGATATTTTTTTTCTGATTTTAATGATATAATACTATGGTCTAAGTCAACTACAATTGTTAAAATAGAAAAAAACTAATTTTAAAATTCAATAAAAAAATAAATGTTCAGGATGCTGGATCAAGTCATCCGATTAACTTAAACAATAAGGTCTGACATTTTATTTTCAAAAACCCTCACGTAACTAATGGACCTTTAAAAAATAGAAAGCTTTTTTATAGTTTGATTTTTATTGACATCCGAAATATTTCTGAGAGATTTATTATGACGACTGAAAATGGCATGACCAAACCTACCTAAAGCAACCACGCGCACTGCTCTATCCCCCCCACGAGCCAAACAATAAAAGCTCATTCACATCCACTTAATATGCGTAACTTAACTTAACTTAAGAAACCTACGTCTGTTAAGTTGTCTGTTTACATTAACTTAATACACGCAAAGAACGCAATATACAAGCACACGCAATGTAGACATGGATGTAGACTGGGTTGCCTATCTATCTATAAAAGTGAAACAACAAGATAGCGCTATATCGTTTTACTGGGCATGTGATTGGCTCTATCTATAAAAGTGAAACAACAAGATAGCGCTATATCGTTTTACTGGGCATGTGATTGGCTCACGTAAGAAACGTATTCCCTTAAGTTCATAGATTAATCTATGCTTAAGTTGAGTCGGACCCAACTTTTGGATACGTTAAGTTACGTGTGATAAGTTTTTTACGAACGTAAACAGCTGTATTGGTTTCAATGCATTTCAACTTATGTCTATCACGTACGTTAAGTTAAGTTACGCGTATTAAGTGGATGTGAATGAGCTTTAACCCTTTAAAAATGTGGCAACCTTTTTGCCGTACCCTGTATAACTGTTTTAAGGATGTCAATTTAAGCTGGTTGTAATTGTTTTAAGAACGCCAATTTAAGCTGAATATAACTTTTAATATATAAAAACTATAAAAACCGATATTTAGACTTTGTTTTCTTCTTCCAGATTCATGTGCAAAAAATGTGCAGGCACCTCCGTGACGTACGATTTAATGCGCCGTCACATGAACGCGTTACACGAAACCTCCGCCCCGTGGGAGGACATCGAACAGCTCCCGCGTCACAAAAAACTCGAAGCCTGGATACAGGAGCTGCTGCGCGCGCAGGCCGACGAAATAATCCGCAAACACGGCGCGGTCCTCGCGGAGATCGACAACGACAAGCCGAAGATACACGAGTGCGAGTTTTGCGACGAAACGTTTTGCAGCCAAGTCAACTTTCAAGAGCACCAGTTGGTGCACTGGAGGGACAAACCGTTCCAATGCGGCGCGTGTACATTTAGCGATGTAAGACGCGAGAAAGTTGTGGAACACTGGAAGAAGGAGCACAAAGGCGAGTGCAAACTCTCGATTAGAGCACCGCTGGTTGCGATGGTCGTTGCAGGCAAAGACGAGAGCGATAAAGCGACGCATAAAGACACAGTTAACTTGGTTGAGGAGGAAAACGACGATGTCGCCCCGACGGAGCAAGTTTTACAGGTGGTGGAAGAGAAAGAGGTCAAAGAACCGTCGAGTAACAATGAAGAAATAGTTTTTACGTGCGATATGTGCGTTGTGTACACGCGCAACCAACTGGAGATGTTATATCACGCGATAACAAAACACAACTCCACAAAGTGCTTCAAACGGATATGGAAAGCGTATGTAGGCAACCCACAAGACAACGTGCACTGCGGGTATTGCGACGTGCAAGGACCGGATTTGACGGTGCGCGACCACCACTTGGAAAAGCACGCGGAAAACCAGTACAAACCGTACAAGTTCACGTGCGTATTGTGCCCGCAGAGGTACGCGTCCAGCGAACACTTTAAATTGCATTTCGCGCGGGAACACAACAAGGTTAGGTGCAGGAATGTTTTAAAGCTTTACAAGTGCACCGTGTGCAATTACAGGTCCATCAGCTCCATACCGAAAAATATGAGGACGCACATGCGCACTCACACGAAACCGGTTAGTTGCGGCGTTTGCCAGCTCAGATACCCGTTCACCAGTCAAGCCAGAACCCACTTCCTCAAGAAGCATCCCAATCAAGCGGAAATTATCGAAGAAAGTATAGAAAAGTTACGGGAAACGTCGGAGTTGATGAGCGCCATCATCGATGCCGCCGTGCCAGTGAACGAAATAAGCGATAAAGTCCAAAACGTCGCCAAAAAATCCACGTCGAAAGCGCCATCTATCCCGATGGAAGAATTCTCGTACTACGGCACGCAACCCGCAACACTCGACCTGAAAAAAATCAAAACCGCCGTGGAAGTGAACAAGGTCGGTCTTAACATGACCGTCGAACAATTGGGCAACATTTTCAACTTGAATTGTTACGTGGAAGTCGAAAAACACGCCCCCGAAAACGATCCTTGACCGGGAACATGGTTAAAAAAAACACGGTCAAAAACCTTAGTCTTTTGGACCTTAAACCACCTGCTCTGTCTAGAAGTGTATCGTCTAAGTTTATCCCCAACTAAATATGTTATTATTGGCCGAGTTATATCGGCTTTTGAGCTGTGATTATAGTTGTAAATACGTTTATTAATTGTAAATGTAATTATTATTTCAGTTTATAAAACACGTATTCTTAACTGCAGTAAGCATGCTCACAAACTACAATTTCAGGTTCATTGTAAATGTTTTGTAAATAAAAACAATTTGGTTCACTAAGTTTTAAGTTGTAAAAAAAGAGTTGAATTACGCTTATTTTTTTCTTTGTTTCAATAAACTATTGTTAAATTATATTTTTTGTTTTATTTCACTAAAAAAATGTTACCTCCTCCAAATTTTAAAAAATACGAAATCTTCGTTAACAATTAAATTGCACATCGTTAATTTTTGAAATTTCCCTAAATCTGGGATTTTTTGAACGATATGACAACGTCGCAAAGTACCCGGCGCAAAATGTTACCTCCTCGCGTTTATGTGCTCCTGATACAAAATTAAAAAATCACGGAATCGCCGTTCACATGGCATTTCGTCAATTTTTGAAATTTCCCCAAATCTGAGATTTTTTGAACGATCTGACAACGTCGCAAAGTATCCGGCGCAAAATATTACCTCCTCGCGTTTATGTGCTCCTGATACAAAATTAAAAAATCACGGAATCGCCGTTCACATGGCATTTCGTCAATTTTTGAAATTTCCCCAAATCTGAGATTTTTTAAACGATCTGACAACGTCGCAAAGTATCCGGCGCAAAATATTACCTCCTCGCGTTTATGTGATCCTGATACAAATTAAAAAAATTACGAAATCGTAGTTCACATGGCATTTCGTAAATTTTTGAAATTTCCCCAAATCTGAGATTTTTTGAACGATCTGACAACGTCGCAAAGTATCCGGCGCAAAATGTTACCTCCTCGCATTTATGTGATCCTGATACAAATTTTAAAAATTACGAAATCGCCGTTCACATGGCATTTCGTCAATTTTTGAAATTTCCCCAAATCTGAGATTTTTTGAACGATCTGACAACGTCGCAAAGTATCCGGCGCAAAATGTTACCTCCTCGCATTTATGTGATCCTGATACAAATTTTAAAAATTACGAAATCGTCGTTCACATGGCATTTCGTCAATTTTTGAAATTTCCCCAAATATGAGATTTTTGAACGATCTGACAACGTCGCAAAGTATCCGGCGCAAAATGATACCTCCTCGCGTTTATGTGCTCCTGCTACAAATTTAAAAATTATGAAATTTCCGTTAAAATTGCAAAGTACGAACATTTTTCATTCAGCTTCTTATCAAGGGGGCAAAAACACGAGGGGGTATTATTTTTGGTAGATACTTGCGATGTTGCCAGAATGTGCAAAAAATCCCAGCTAAAGGGAATTTGTCATTCAACACTTGCAATGTTGTCCTTAATCTAGTAATTTTTTACTTACCCATCATTTTTTTTAATTTTTGTTTAGGTCAAATAAAACAAGATTTATAATTTTAACATAATTTTATTGAGAAAAAAAGTAGGTAAAAATAAACGTAACTGAAACTGGTATATTTACATCTTAAAACTTGATAAACCAAATTGTTTTTATTTACAAAACATTTACAACGAAACTAGACAATTTCCGAGTTTTTAAGAATAAAGTTCTAAACCTAAATTATCAGTTTATAATAATTATTACATTACATAATAGTTACATTACAATTAATAATCGTATTTACAATGATAATCACAGCTCAAAAGCCAATATAACTCAGCCTATAATAACAACAAAGTCGGGGATAAACTTAGACTATACACTTCTAGATAGATTGCGTGTATGGTCTAAGGTTTAAAAATCGTCGAAGTCGTCGGGGAACATGTTTAAAATACGGTCGAAAGTAGGGACGAAATCGTCGAAAAGCAAAAGTTGCGGGGTTGCAGGTCAAGGATTGCTTTCGTATTTTTCGACTTCCACGTAACAATTCAAGTTGAAAATGTTGCCCAATTGTTCGGCGGTCATGCTAAGACCGACCTTGTTGACTTCCACGGTGGTTTTGATTTTTTTCAGGTCGAGGAGCGCGGGTTGCGTGCCGTAGTACGAGAATTCCTCCATCGGGATGGATGGCGCTTTCGACGTGGATTTTTTGGCGACGTATTGGACTTTATCGCTTGTTTCGTTCACTGGCGCGGCGGCATCGATGATGGCGATCATCAACTCCGACGTTTCCCGCAACTTTTCCTTGCTTTCTTCGATAACTTCGGTTTGGTTGGGGTGCTTCTTGAGGAAGTGCGTTCTAGCTAGACTGGCGAACGGGTATCTGAGCTGGCAAACGCCGCAACTGACCGGTTTCGTGTGCGTGCGAATGTGCATCCTCATATTCGTCGTCTTGGAGTTGGTGGACTTGTAGTTGCACAGGGTGCACTTGTACAGCTTCAAAACGTCCTTGGCTTGCTCGCGCGGCGTGTTGTTCAGAGTCCTGTACCTGACTTCGGCGTTGTTGTGTTCCCGCGCGAAATGCATTTTAAAGTGCTTGCTGGACATGTACCGCTGCGGGCACAACTCGCACGTGAATTTGTACGGTTTGTACTGGTTTCTCGCGTGCTTTTCCAAGTGGTGGTCGCGCACCGTCAAATCCGGCCCTTGCACGTCGCAATACCAGCAGTGCACGTTGTAGTTCGGGTTGCCCACGTACGCCTTCCATATCAACCGTTTGAAGCACTTGGTGGAGTTGTGCCTAGTTATCGCGTGATCCTCCATCTCCAGTTGGTTGCGCGTGTACACGGCGCATATATCGCACGTAAAAACTATTTCTTCCTTGTTACTCGACGGTTCTTTGACCGTTTTCTCTTCCACCACCTGCAAAACCTGCTCCATCGGGGTGACGTCATCGTTTTCCACCTCGACCGAGTTAACAGCGTCTTTGTGCGACGCTTTATCGCTCTCGTCTTTGCTCGCAATAACCGTCGCCACCAGAGGTGCTTTAACCGAAAATTGGCACTCACCTTTGTGCTCCTTCTTCCAGTGTTCAATAACTTTCTCGCGTCTTACGTCGCTAAAACTACACGCGCCGCATTGGAACGGCTTGTCCCGCCAGTGCACCAACTGGTGCTCTTGAAAGTAGACCTTGCTGTAAAACCTCTCGTCGCAGAACCCGCACTCGTGTATCTTCGGCTTGTCGTCGTCGATCTCCGCCGGGACTGCGCCGTGCTTGCGGATTATTTCGTCGGCCTGCGCGCGCAGCAGCTCCTGTATCCAGGCTTCGAGTTTTTTGTGGCGCGGAAGTGCTTTGATCTCCTCCCACGGGGTGGGGGTGTCGTGTTGCTCGTTCATGTGGCGGCGCATGAAATCGTAGGCTACGGAGGTGGCCGAACATTTTTTGCACATGAATCTGAAAGAAGAAAACAAAGTCTTAGTATTGGTTTTGAATTGTAACATGCTTGTTAATGTTAACATCGTTATGTATATCCTAAAATAATAATCCTAAGACAGTCATATTTAGTTTATATCAGGGACTTGTAAATCGTTTCTGTTACGGTATCGTTCTTTATATAAGGATCGAAAGGAAACTGTATCAAAATATGCGCAACAAAAAATGATAACGAAACATTAAGAAACAATACTGGTTAGTACCAACACGAGTAACAATAGTATATTACACTACAAGGGCAGAAAGTGTGAGATTCCTGCACTTCCTGGCTCTCACACTTTCTGCCCGTGTAGTGTATACTATTTTTCTTACTAGCTCGGCCGAAAATACAACCCGGCCGAAAATACGGAAAAAAATTAAATGTGTATATCGAAACATATTGATGCCTGCCCAAATTTTGAGGTTATATTAGTGTCGTAATCAGAGTTGCATATGTTGAGCACACGACTAAAAAATATTTACTCCCGCTATTATAGAGTGTGCGCTTATAGCTTGAACAATGCAAGAAACGTAAACTTTCTGCCGTGAAATCGGGGACGAAACAACGTATTTTCAGTAGAGGTAGTAAGAAAAACACATTTTTTTGCATTAAGGTTTTAATACTCTTTATTAAAATAATAAATAATGACTTTAATTTTACTACTTCTTCTATAATGAAAATTAAATTTATTTTCATTATATTTGTTTACTGTATTCTTTTTTACATTACTCATTTTTAATTTGAAATGAGTATTTTAAGATTTTCAATTAAAATTGTTTATGTTAATGAGTAATGTACTCACTTAACATTACTTATTTTTAGTGGCCAAGAAAGATATTTTTATTGCATGACACATTTTTCAATGTTTGCAAAAATACATAAATAAAAACCAAAAACGTACTTGGTTCAAGTATAGGTAGGTATTGATGTTTCAAGAAAATGTTTACAAAGACCAGAATCATAGAGAATAAAGAAAATATTTTCTTAACGAAGTCAAAAAGAAATTTCTAACCCAAGAAAATTATTTTGCTTCAAACAAAACTTCAATTTTTTCTGAGACAATTTTTTCTTTTTTAAAATTTCCTTGATTCAACTAATTTTTTTTCATGATCTAATCTAATTTTGGTAATAAAATTTATATATTACGCATACATTAATACACATTAGAAAAATAAAGAATTACTTGCTTACAATCATTTTTCACTGGTGTAATGGGTAATGCATTTTTTTTTAAATGTGTCTTTTATTACTATTTTTTTATTTTTTAATGAGTAATATATTGTTCGACATTACTCAATAATTTTTAAATAGGTAGTGAAAATATTTGTCATTACAATTTTTTTTAATGATTAATGTATTCCAACTACATCACCATTAAAAAAAAATGACGATTGCATTATTTTAGACATTAACATTTTTGCAACTCTGCTACAGAAACACAGGATATTGAAACGAAACTAGTAACAGTAACTGAGAAACGAAACTATATTATTATACGCTGTTTTATTTACTGAATAATAATTTAAAAAAATTATTCTAGTAAGTTGGTAATAGTATATTTTGTATCAAGTTTGATAAATGCCATTTTAGTCACGAATTTAATTTAGGCACGAGCGAGTTCTTAATTAAATGAGTGTCTAGAAAAGTTTTTAAACGAGTGGCATATTATACTTTTTCTATGACAAACACTTTTTCTGTTTAAATCAAAATGTATCCCTTGTAAAATGGACTGACAACCGTTTAAATCCAAATTAGAAGCAGTTTTTTACAATGAAAGTAAACAAATTATGGGCCTTTACGCGAAATGTTTAATGCTTTATCTAGTTTACTGCCGGCCACAATCTAATATAAGACCGTGCTGCCGGCGAAATCAAAAGGTCATTACAAAGGTACATATAAACTTTTTAAATATTGGCGTTGAGAAACTATTTAATTTCTTCTTTTTTCTACGATTTTTAAGATTTGCTTTATATTGTTGCTAAGTATAAAAGTGTTGCCAACCATAAAACTAGTACTTTTCTTTACGATGTTCTCTCAATTAAGAATACGAAAATAGTATATTATATACCTAGGCGGTAAAGTGACATTTTTTCAGGCTGAAAGAAGAAATGTACAGGCTAGCTTTAGAAAGCCTGAACACTTCTTGATTTGGTATGAACCAAAAAAGTTAATTACAATCGTAAAAATCAATTTTTTTTAAATTTTAATTTGACATATTTTTGCAGTGCCCTCTATTGGAAAAAGTAAAAAAAATTACCGCCTAGGCATTGGTGATTAATTTTGCAAAGCTAGAAAAAAATATTTTTTTTAATTTTTCCTGCTTGCTTTGAAACACCTAAAATACCAAAAACTTTTTCAATATATCTAACGTTGTATGATAAAATAAAGGTAGTTCTATTAATTTAATTATAAAAAAAAATGTAATGTAAATGGTTAAAAATATTAAAATGTTATTTTCCCAAAAACGATTAAAAATATTGTTGGTGTTTTGAAGTTTTAAAAAGAAAAATATAGATTTTTTTGTAATTAAACAATTTTTCAGAAATATGTGTAAATTTGATTTATAAATGAAAAACTAGATAAAATGGCAAAATTGTGCACTAACACCATGAGATGATAGTTTTTTAGTAGTAACGTTTTTAATATGGAATTTTATTGTTTTATTTATTTGCATAAAAGTATTAAAACAAATTTATAAAGACATTTAAAAAAATATGATTATTTCAAGATTTGATTATTTGATTTGTTACCACCACAACTGTATATTTATAAACTTAAAAGGTACTCGTCGGAACTCCTACTGGACATTTTAATAAAAACAAACAAAAACTCACCTCTTGATCTTTTTCTCCTTGTACATGTGGAAAATGAAATCAACCACCTGCTTGCTCTTGAATTTCTCGCACACGGGACACTTGAACTGCTTGTTGAGCGGGTTGCCGAATCCGCCGTACTCGCTAATCAAGTGCGTCAGGTGGAAGGGATCCAGCATTTCTTTTTCCGGAGTTGGCAGCCTGCCTCCGATTTCCGGAGGAATATACTCCGGTTTCACTTCTTTAACGACATCAACATCTTCGTCGTCGTCGTCATCAAGAATTATAATGACTTTTTCTTTTTTCAGTTTTTCGAGTTCTTTGGACGTTTCCTTAATGTCTTTGTTGATTCTGGCTATGAAATCGTCGTTTACGGGTAGGGATTTCTTCTTTGGAAAATTTCCCGATGCCACTGCTTCAATCGAAGAATCTATCGAAGATGGCGGTGGCGTGTAGTGGGTTGCAGAAGTGGATGGTTTTGAGACTGTAGCCGATTTTGGCGTTTTTTTGTTAGGGCTTTTGTTTTGCTGTGTTGGTATATCGTCAAATAGTATACCTATAAATAATTAAAATCAAATTCAGTTCTGTATTGTCCGCTGAAGCGACAGGTTTGCTAATGAAAGAGTGTGAAAAATAAACCACTTCCTTCCTTGGGTCGACAATATGGGGCTCACGAAAATATCGAAAATTCACGTGATTTAAAAATATCAGTTTGAATTAAAAATTCTCTTAATTTTAGTGTCACTTTAATATTTTTAATTCCACTAAATTTTTAAGTTTAAAACTAGTTCAATTACAAATGAATTTGTAAGATTAAGAACAATACAAGTCCAAAAGTTAAAATTTTGACAAATTATTTCATAACATCAGTTTTACAGTTCTAAATGCATTTTTGTGAGAATATTTTAACTATTTTATAAAATATAATAATCATATTCTTTAAAATGATTTATATATTCTCACAAAAATGTATTTTAAACTTTAAAATTAATTTTAGAAAACAACTTGTCAAAATAAATTGTTTGGACTCGTACTGTTCTTAATCTCACCAATTCAAATATTTGACACAATTAAAAATGACAACAGCATTCCATAGTTGCTTTTATAGAAATATTACCAATGTTATGAAATTTTTAAACAATTTATTTCTCAAAAGCAGTGTGGAAAATGAACTAGAAATTTTGTCAGTAAGCATTTTATTTATCCATCTTTCGATGACAAAAATTGAAAATTTATATCAACTTTGTGTGGTTTGAGAAGATTTTTGTTCCTCATAACTTTTCATTATTTTTGTTATTAGTATGTTTTTTATTGATTCGATTAAACCATTTAACACATGTAAAAATATTGAGAAAACTGGCAATCTTCTCAAGAACATTGGAAAAATTGAGAATCTTCTTGAATATTGAGAAAAATAGGAAACATTAACAAAAAACGTTTATTTACCAAATTCTGCTATACTGTTAGTAAATTCTAGTAAATTTCTCAATTTTCGTTCTCCAAAAATGACATACGAGTTTTCTTGATTAAAAAATACAACAGCATTCCATGCTTGCTTTTATAGAAATATTACCAATGATATACAATTTTTAGTACCAAATATTTTGATATTTTTGAACAATTTTATAATTTTTTTGAGTTAGTTTACCTCTTGATTAATTAATTATGAAAATGTATATATAAACATATTAAACAATTTATTTCTCAAAAGCAGTGTGGAAGATGAACTTGAAATTTTGGCAGTAAGCATTTTATTTATCCATCTTTCGATAAGAAAAATTGGAAATTTGTATCAACTTTGTGTGGTTTAAGAAGATTTTTGTTCCTCATACTTTTTCATTATTTTTTGTTATTATTATATTATATTTCATATAGTATGTTATTTATTGATTTGATTAAACGTTTAACACCTGTAAAAATATTGAGAAAACTGGTAATCTTCTCAAGAACATTGGGAAAATTGAGAATCTTCTTGAATATTGAGAAAAATAGAAAACATTGACAAAAAACGTTCATTTACCAAATTCTGGTATACTTTTAGTAAATTTTAGTGAATTTTTCAATTTTCGTTCTCCAAAAATGACATACGATGAGTTTCAACAAAATTTCTTGATTATACGAGCCCTAACCACATAATGTTCGGACACTTCATAATTTATACAGAAATTTTTTTCGTGAATACTATCTCAAAATTATTAGAAGTTATGAAAAATTCAGCTTATTTTGGCATATACCCCTCGAAGCGATTTTTATTTTTAAAAAGTTTACCTTTTATTTTTAGCTTTTAAAAAAAGGCTAACTTTTTAACTTTTTTTTGTATGAGTAAAAAAAGTTATAAATGGACCCATTAAAAAGAGCATAACATATTATACAAACCCTGAAAATTTGGTAAAAAATAAATAAGTTATAAAAAAGTATAAGTAATTTAAAAATGCTATTTTTAAAGAGTTTTTGCAATTTTCTTAGGAAACGGGAGATTTTGCAGATATATATATCGCTATAACTTTCTTATTATTTATACAATTTTTACCAAATTTTCAGGGTTTGTATAATATTTCATGTTCTTTTTAATGGGCCCATTTATAACTTTTTTTACTCATGCAAAAAAAAGTTAAAAAGTTAGCCTTTTTTTAAAAGCTAAAAATAAAAGGTAAACTTTTTAAAAATAAAAATCGCTTCGAGGGGTATATGCCAAAATAAGCTGAATTTTTCATAACTTCTAATAATTTTGAGATAGTATTCACGAAAAAAATTTCTGTATAAATTATGAAGTGTCCGAACATTATGTGGTTAGGGCTCGTATATAAATATATTAAACAATTTATTTCTTAAAAGCAGTGTGGAAGATGAACTTGAAATTTTGGAAGTAAGCATTTTATTTATCCATCTTTTGATGACAAAAATTGAAAATTTGTATCAACTTTGAGTGGTTTAATAAGATTTTTGTTCCTCATAACTTTAAATTCATTATTTTTGTTATTAGTATGTTTTTTTTATTGATTCGATTAAACCATTTAACACCTGTAAAAATATTGAGAAAACTGGCAATCTTCTCAAGAACATTGGGAAAATTGAGAATCTTCTTGAATATTGAGAAAAATAGGAAACATTGACAGAAAACGTTCATTTACCAAATTCTGCTATGCTATGCTTAATTTTCATGTATCCGTTTGTCCGTCATCCGTATGTCAGTTTTTCAATAAAATCGTCCGATAAGAAATGTTCTAATTTTCATGCATACGTTTTTTAATGACTTTTAACGGATTGATTTTGCGACAAATAGAAATTAAGTGTCAGTATATTCACTTACTAAATTTACCTAATGCTTAATTCTCATAGTTACAATTATGTCAACAATTGTAACTTTAACAGTTAGCTGTCTAATAAATTTAAAGGTAGGTAAATATACCTTATAAAAAGAATATACTAGCCCTAATATACATTAAAATGTATAGTTTTAAAAAAGCAGGTTCTTTTAGTTCTAGTTTTAATTTTTTTTGTCCTTTCTTTTTTTCCGTTATTCTTATTAAATAAAAACTTAACAGTAAAACATTATTCACATAACGAACGTAATATTTCCGTTTTACAATATTATTGAAAAAATATAAAAATATTTGAAAATAAATTATCTTAAAATAACGTTAGGCGTCAAAAACAGATGTGTAGTGACGGATGAGTTAAAATTATTTAACCTTTCTCTGTCAGACGTACGAAGTTGAAACTTGACGGACCGATAAAATGTCACAATTTTCGAATTATAATTGGACCAATAAAAGCGCTCCCGGATGAACGGACTGACGGACAAACGGATACATGAAAATTAAGCTTTAGTAAATTCTAGTAAATTTCTCAATTTTCGTTCTCCAAAAATGACATACTTACAATGAGTTACACTAAATTTCTTGATTAAAAAATACAACAGCATTCCATGGTCGCTTTTATAGAAATATTACCAATGTTATGAAATTTTTAGTACCAAATTGTTGATATTTTTGAACAATTTTATAATTTTTTTAAGTTAGTTTACCTCTTGATTAATTAATTAATTATAAAAATGTACATATAAACATATTAAACAATTTATTTCTCAAAAGCAGTGTGGAAGATGAACTTGAAATTTTGGCAGTAAGCATTTTATTTATCCATCTTTCGATGACAAAAATTGGAAATTTGTATCAACTTTGTGTGGTTTAAGAAGATTTTTGTTCCTCATAACTTTTCATTATTTTTGTTATTAGTACGTTTTTTTATTGATTTGATTAAACCATTGAACACCCGAAAAAATATTCAAATCTTCTCAAGAACATTGGGAAAATTGAGAATCTTTTTGAATATTGAGAAAAATAGGAAACATTGACAATAAACGTTCATTTACCAAATTCTGCTAAACTGTTAGTAAATTCTAGTAAATTTCTCAATTTTCGTTCTCCAAAAATGACATACAATGAGTTACAACAAAATTTCTTGATTAAAAAATACAACAGAGATATTCAAGAACATTGGGAAAATTGAGAATCTTCTTGAATATTGAGAAAAATAGGAAACATTGACAAAAAACGTTCATTTACCAAATTCAGCTATACTTTTAGTAAATTCTAGTAAATTTCTCAATTTTCGTTCTCTAAAAATGACATACAATGAGTTACAACAAAATTTCTTGAAAAATACAACAGCATTCCATGGTTGCTTTTATAGAAATATTACCAATGTTATGAAATTTTTTAGTACCAAATATTTTGATATTTTTGAACAATTTATTAATTTTTTTTTAAGTTAGTTTACCTCTTGATTAATTAATTAATTATAAAAATGTATATATAAGAATATTAAGAAAACTGGTCATCTTCTCAAGAACATTGGGAAAATTGAGAATCTTCTTGAATATTGAGAAAAATAGGAAACATTGACAAAAAACGTTCACTTAACAAATTCTGCTATACTTTTATTAAATTCTAGTGAATTTCTCAATTTCTCAAAAATGACATACGATTTTGTGACGTTGCACATTTAAAGTAAAGTTTTTGGAAATGTCGAAATATGATTTTGACAAAATAATATATTTTAGTATATTTACCTCTGATATGTTTGACCCTGGGTCTGTCCCTCTGCCATAAAGGAGTGGTGTCGAAACTCTCCTGCTCCTGTTGTTTTTTCTCGTCCTTTTCGAACTTGGAGTAAACACTAATAACGTCCAAATCGTTCTTGGGGTGTTCCTCGGCAAAATGCGACGAAATCTCCTGCTTATCGTCGCTTTTAAACGTGCACAGCGTGCACATAAACTTGGAACTGATTTCGTGTTTATTCAGCGCGTGGTTTTTCATGTCGTCCTCGTTCTTGCACCGGTACTTGCACAAAGAACACCGCCACAGTTTCACCCCGCTCGGTTTGTTGGCGGTAACAACCTCTTCCCGGACGTCCGCCGGTTCCGCCTCCATGTACCTAAAAATGTAAAAAAAAAACGTTTTTTTTTATTGAAAAAAAAAACGGTTTTTTCTCGTTTTTTTTCCAAATACGCTACAATAAAGCATTAGACTGGGCCAAAAAAATCGACTATTTTTTTTGTAAAGTATATCGAAAATATTGTTTGGGGTGAAAAAAAAAATTATGGTGAAAGTTTGAGTCCATAATATTAATATTAAGAGGTCTATCATCACAATTAAAAAAAAAATGACTTACGAATATTTTTTGAAGAAAATTGAATGTTCTACAAAAAAGGTTTGATTGGAATTTCTCGTCAGATAAACCGTTTTCTTACAATCATGCCTTAAAAATTGGTATAGTTTTACAATTTGATCTTTTAACTTTGGAATTTTGTAATTCATGTAAAAATCAGTACCCGGAAAAAAACCGATAGATATTCTTATGGGAAATCAAACGCTCTAAAAAAAAGTGTACCAATATTTTTGGCTAAATTCACTCCATCAAAAAAATTCGAATTTTTTCGCTTTAAGGAGCTATTTTCTTTGGAAAATATTATTTACACTGTTACAGAGCTGCAACAAGTCAGTTTTAAAAAGACTTAAATCTTAAGTCTTAAGTCAATTCTAAAAGTCAGTTTTAAAAAGATTTAAATCTTAAGTCAATTCTAAGATAAAGTTCAAATGATTTAAGTATTAAGTCTTTGAATTAAATCATTTTCTTTCAAGTCAAGTCATTTTCGCAAATTATTAAATCAATATAAAGTGATTTAAGTCATCTTATACTTAATACTTAATTCCTTTAGTAAGTCTTTTTTATGACTTAAGTCTATATTTTTTATTTAAATCATGATCTAAGTCAATAAAATGACTTGAATCAAAAATTGTGATTTAAATCAAAATAATTACCCTTAAGTGAATACAACGATTTTTTAAATGTTAATAATAATTTTATGGTATTAATGATACTGATATTATTAATCTATTGTAAATACAGATGATAATAAACCACCATGTTAAGAATTTAAAACGATTTATTTTCAGAACACTTACAAATAAAATTAAAACTTAGAACACATTTTTTGAGTATATAGTAGACAATATAAATAAAAACTTAAACCATCTTTTTTAGTAGAGTAGACATACAGGGAGGTTACTTTTTTATATACATAAATGGGTAACTTCTAAACTGTAATAGATTCAAACTCTGTTAAAATAGATAAAAGTTGAAGCATTTTTCTTAAAATCACTGTATTTCAAAAACTGATAACTTGTTGTTTTGTTAGCTGGTTCAACATCCATCTAGAAAAAAAATATTCCTCCCTTAAGGGAGTAATGATGGGAAGTTCCAAACTCTCACGACCGCTCAAGATGTACGACTGCTCACGACCGCTCACGACTACACCCGATTAACGATTTTTCACGATTTACGACCACTCACGACTGTAATAATTCAAGACTACTCACGTTCACGCACAATCACGTTTGAATAATTTTATTCACGCACAATCACTTTTTTTTGTCGTAATTATTTACTTAAACAAACCGAAACACCCTGTATGATATAAACACGTCTTTATAATATTTATTCGTCCTTACAAGTTAAACGTTTGTTTCCACTTTGCACTAATAATCACAAATTAGACCTAACTTCGCACGAACACGACGAATGTTGGCAAACAAAATAACAAAATTATAAATCCCCACTTTTTTTAATTCATTTTAGACTGGACATTGTTTAATGTAGCCGTCAAACGGTTCAGAAAAGCTAACTTTACCGCGGCGGTTTTTTATTCACTAGCGGTAGCAATTGTAGGTAGGAAATTAAAGGAGTTTTTGATCTGCTGCCGCGTGAACCCCTGGCAGTTCAAAAGAAAATGCCGCTGTTAAAAATTTATAAAAAAATATATGAAAAATCTGACTTAAATATTTTCTAAAAAGACTTAAATCTTTTTTTGACGATGATCGTATGTACTGATTTAAGCCTTTTATTAATGACTTAAGTTTTTTCTATTTTGAAAAAAATATTTAAGTCACAAATCATTTTGAAAATTACTTAAATTTTAAGTCTTAAGTCAGTTTTAGAGAAATGACTTATTACCAAATGACTTAAGTCACGATTTAAATCAAAAAAACGATTTAAGTTTTCTGAGAGCTTGCAGCTCTGCGCTGTTACCTATTTAATCGTTTAAATAACAACAATCATGTTGTTTTTTTATTGGAAATTGTTAATTAGTTAATACACATTCATAAAGAAAAAAAATCAAATTATCATCCATAAAAAATAAATGTACAGAGGAAAAACCAAGAACTTCGTTTTGACATCAACTTTAACCTTGAATAACTTTTGATTGAGTGGATTTAGCCAAAAATGTTAGAAGTTTTTTTGTAAAGTATTTGATTTCCCATAAGAATATTGATCGGTTTTTTTCTGGGTACTAATTTTTCCATGAATTACAAAATTCCAAAGTTAAAAGATCAAAATGTAAAACTATACCAATTTTTAAGGCATGATTTTAAGGAAACGGTTCATCTGACGGAAAATTTCATTTTAACCTTTTTTGTAGAGCATTTAATTTCCTTAAAAAATATATCTGAGTCAATTCAATGGTTTGGGAGTTCTGAGGCAAAAACTCGCCCAGGAAAAAAAAATTAAAATTGCGATGATAGACCTCTTAATATTAATATTATGGACTCAAAGTTTCACAATAATTTTTTTTGTCACCCCAAACCATATTTTCGATATACTTTTCAAAAAAAAAATAGTTGATTTTTTTGACCCAGTCTAGTATTTATATTTACTAAATGTCATTTAGTGGCTACATTTTAGTCTATGAACTAATGAGACTAATCTTGAAAAAATAACATAAAAAATGATTTTTTTTTCATATTTTATGTTCTTTTTTCAAGTCACATCTCTATGTGACTTGTAAAGAAACGATCCATTTTTTTGTTTTTTTTTTTACTTTTTTAAAATGTTTTTTTGAAAAAAAAACCTGAAAAAAAACGTTTTATATATAGAGACATGTACCTCAAAATCCTCATCCTGGCCGACACGTCCGGGTGCACGTCGTCCGAGTGCTTCTCGATCTTGCGCCTCAGGTAGGTCACGAAGGCGCAGTAGCCGCACTTGAACAGGTGCAGTCCGTGCAAGCGGAAGTGGTCGACGAGGCTTTCCGGGTCGGTGGGGTGCAGGGCGCATTTGCAGTGGGCGCAAGTGAATTTCGTTTCGTCCGCGTGCAGAGCCACGATGTGGTGCTTCAGGTTGGCCTCCTCAGGGCACAGGTAGTTGCAGTTGTCCGCGCAGCAAACGTAGCGGCAGTGCGACGGCACGAATTCCGGGAATGTCTCTCTTTCTTCGTCCTTTTCCGCTGGAAGAAGATACGAAAAACGGTTACAGTGGGTTGCCAGTGGCAACTTGCCACAGTAGCAATTTCTTCGAATTTTAAATTTTGGATGAATAAAGTGAAAAAATAAATGACCCTTCTTGAGTTTTTTATTTTGTACTTTAGCTGTAATTTTTCAAAATATACAGTAAATTAGTAAAATGTTAATAATAAACGAGATAAGATTTTTGAAAATTTGTTATATTTGGAAAACTATTCAATGTATTAAACTCAAAATTTGTACACAATTGTTTTTAAAGACGAGAAATACAAATTTGTCATAATTTTTTATGCTACTCCTAAAGGGGGCTAAAGTAAGTATTATTCACCCAATTCGACATGTGTCATTAGTAGGGATGGGATATTTAGGTACTAAAAACTGAAAAATAGGTAACTAAAAAGGTACTAAAAAAGCATTTTAGGTTAAAAAAAACAGCATTTTAGGTAAAAAAAAACATTAAAAGTTCAAGTTTCTTTTATAATTTTGTTTAGCCGCATACCCAAACACAGAACATACCCACAATAAACTATTTCTATGCAATAAACTGTGTTTCACTGAGTGACACTCACTACACAGAAATTCTATGACAGAACATAAGCTCAATACAAAGAAATACTGTAAAAAAAGTTACTGTTACAGTCTGTGACCCATGGAAATAATTTAGAATAATAGAATAATTTCTATGCTGTGACCATAAGAAAAAATTCTATACCGTTGAGTTGCACGCCCTGGATAAAATATTGGCGAAAAATTTAAAAAGAACACAAAAAAATAAAATAAGTAAAAATACGTAAAAATAGATAACAAATATGTGAAAATAAACTGACAAATTAAAAAATATGTAACAAAAGTATAAAAAGGTAATTTAAAGCAAAAACCTCCAAAAAAGGTAAAAAAGGTGAAAACTAGTTAAAAAAATAGGTAAGAAAAGTATAAAAAAGGTAGTTTAAAGCAAAAACCTCCAAAAAAGGTAAAAAAGGTGAAAACAAGTTAGGTTCATATAAAAGAAAATCTTTTAAAACACATTTTGGCATTATTGGTTTTCAAATAGTTACATCGGTTGAAAAAGGTAAAATACCTAAAATCCCATCCCTAGTCATTAGCATACACAATTATGACAAATTTGTCATGTGTCGTGAACAATAATGGCGATACATTGAACAATTACTTTAGATTTGTTTTATTTATTACATTTTTTTATTTTTTCAATATAATTTTTAAACTTTAAATTGATAATTCTTTTAACGTTGTTTAATACGAAATAAAAAAAAATCAAACGCACATTAAAAGTTCCAATTGTTCTTTCTAAAACTTTTCTGCACTCGCCATATGTATAAAACATTTTTAAAATATATTGATTAGTAGGGATGGGATTTTAGTTATTTTAATTTTTTTCAACCGATGTAACTATTTTAAAACCAATAATGCCAAAATGTGTTTTAAAAGATTTTCTTTTAAATGAACCTAACTTGTTTTCACCTTTTTTACCTTTTTTGGAGGTTTTTGCTTTAAACTACCTTTTTTATACTTTTGTTACCTATTTTTTTAACTTGTTTTCAACTTTTTTACCTTTTTTGAAGGTTTTTGCTTTAAACTACCTTTTTATACTTTTGTTACATATTTTTTAATTTGTCAGTTTATTTTCACATATTTGTTATCTATTTTTACGTATTTTTACTTATTTTATTTTTTTGTGTTCTTTTTAAATTTTCCGCCAATATTTTATCCAGGGTGTGCAACTCAACGGTATAGAATTTTTTCTTATGGTCACAGACTGTAACAGTAACATTCTTTACAGTTACCTTCTTTGTAGTGAGCTTATTTTCTGTCATAGAACTTCTGTGTAGTGAGTGTCACTCAGTGAAACACAGTTTATTGCATAGAAATAGTTTATTGTGGGTATGTTCTGTGTTTGGGTATGCGGCTAAACAAAATTATAAACGAAACTTGAACTTTTAATGTTTTTTTTTACCTAAAATGCTGTTTTTTTAACCTAAAATGCTTTTTTTTAGTACCTTTTTAGTTACCTATTTTTCAGTTTTTAGTACCTAAATATCCCGTCTCTATTGATTAGTGTAATAATTAGATTCTCTTTTATTTATAATCACCCATTGTAACACAATTGTCAGAGATGTTGACATTGACATTACTTCATAAATACTAAATAAAAGAGAATCCAATGCACACTATTGATATTACAAATAAAAAGGCGTTTTTTTATATTTTTTGCAATATCTCTGTCAATATTCATTTTAGGTATAGAGAATGCTGCAGCATTTCAATAGAAAACATTATTGTGTGTCGAATGATGTGAAAATTGAATGGTAGTTTTGTTTGAAATAAGAAAGTTATTGGTATTTAGTTACAAAAATATCAACGTAAATACCAGACACCCTGTATAAAATTTTCAAATACAATTAATGGCTTTCGATAAAGTGCTCCTTAGTTAAGAGGTACACCATAAATTAACTTTTTAACATTACAATTAGTGGTAATACTGACATATTAGTACGTTTTTGAAAAAAATGAAATATCTCAAAAACAGTTTTTGAGATATTTCATTTTTTTCAAAAACGTACTAATATGTCTGTATTACCACTAATTGTAATGTTAAAAAGTTAATTTATGGTGTACCTCTTAACTAAGGAGCACTTTATCGAAAGCCATTAATTGTATTACAGTTACTGTTCAAGTTAAAAAAATAATCAAATTTCAGTATTTCTAAAATTTTACGTAGAATTTAAAAAGGCAATAATATTTATATGGTTCCATTTGAAAAACCAAAGTTGATATCACTTCCGGTTTAACCGGTACTGATAACGCATTGAAAATAATAATAATAAGATATCTTTTTCCGATCTCCATAAACTTCTAATGAAGAAGTTACGTGAATCACCCTGTATATATAAATCACCTCATTTTAAATTGACTGAAATTTTGATATACAGGGTGCACCAAGTATCCTTCTATGTATGGGTATCTTTTTTATTTGAAGAGCTACAATGTCGGTTAAATTAGACAAAAGTTGCGTAATTACAAGTCTATTAAAATGAAATGTAAAAATTGGATAAAAAATCACACATTTATCTAAATTTTCAATTAATTTGTGATTTTTTTGCCTACTAGATTTTAAGATACCACTACCATCTTTGGTTTTCCTATGGCCACCATATTGGAATTTTACATGATTAGATTAGAGAAAAAATATCAAGGAATCCAACGATGTAAAATCGTAAGAATCTTATTTTTAACATATTATAGCAGCAAAAAAAAGTAAAAAAAATGTACCGCCTGGACATTTGTAATTATTTTTACAATGCTAGCTGTAGAAACACCTGTACCATAGTGTAGGAAGAAAAAACTTATCAAGAATGAAAATTTCTAAGAAATGTAAAAACACAGTAAAAGTCAATTAATATCGATTTAATAGGGAATCATATTCGCATGTGTTGGATTGGCTATTTTTTCACAACCTCCTTGATATGAACATCTTAAAAAAACATTGTTTTTTAAATTATAATGAAAGTTTTTTTTTATAAATTAAAAAAAAGTGTCGTAATCTAGAGTTTCTTAAAGACACTATAGTAGGATACGAACTCCAAGGTTGGACCAAAATACTTCCCAACACAAGAAAAATGGGACAGATTAGCTGCAGTTTTAGTTTTTAGTGCTGTTAACTTAAAAAAAATACGGGAATTTGTGCTTATGTTTTCGGCCAAACAATAATTACTTCCACGATATGAATTTAAAATGCACGAAAAAGCAAACTACAGCGTCTTCTGCTGCAACTATTTCCGGGGAATACCCTTTTCTTACGAATAGGTATAATAAGTAACAGATTGCTTTGATATCTCTATTAAGGAAAAACAATGTTTCTAAGAAAAAACAAACCTATGTGTATTATATGAAAGGGTTTGACAAGTAGAAAACGCAAAGGTGGCAATGTATTTTTTCTCATTAAATAAAGCAAAAACAACACTTACATTTCTCTTTGCCACCCATTTTGCCTTGGAACCCGTTGTAAGCCAAGTTGGTCATCTTATCGAACATTTTCTCGTTCTTGTCCAAGCACGGCACGGGATTCACCGGCGCCGAATCGGGCACCGCCTTCTCCTCGCCGTGCATCCTCAAGTGCCGCACGAAATTCGTCCTCACCTTGTTCGTGTAGCCGCACAGCCCGCACCTCAGCGGCGCGGAAAAGATCGCGCGCACCGGGATAGTGTCGATTTTGTCGGGCATGAACTCCATGCCCTCCGCGGGCGCGTTTTTCACATCCGTCGATTTCGGATTGGTTTTTTCGTTGTCGACCGTTTTGGTGGCGTTCTGCGAGAATTTCGGACGCACTATGAACTCGTAGAGTTCCGGGATGTTTTGCTGCTGGTTGTCGAGGGGCGTCAACATTATGCTGGTCACGTTGTGTTTGGTTTTCATGTGGCTCCTGCGGGGGTATGGTTTATTAATACCGAACTTAAATTTCCTAATTATATTTTTCTACATTCGTAATGAATTCGCTGGCCGAGTGGCACTTTGGGTCGCAAGCTAAGCAAATGTATCAGAGTTGCAAAAATGTAAACAATAATGCAATCGTAATTTTTTATAATGGTAATGTAATTTAAATACATTAATCATTAAAAAAAATTAAATGAGAAATATTTTCATTACACATTAATCAATAATGTCAAACAATACATTACTCCACAATCCCTCATGCTAAAAATACTCAAAAATCACTGCAACACTGCACAGAGTTTAACGGCGGCCATTTTTGTTGTTTACAATTATTGTGCTTTGGATTTGTGCTGTTTAATAATTGTTTTAAACGTTGGGTTTCTTACAGAGGCACTTGTAAGCCTCAAATAAGGCCTTTAAGTGCTAAGGACAACAATTTTACTCCTCTTTTATTATAAATATACCTTATTCTCAGGGCTGTCAAATGACAATTTGAAGGTTAATTTGTGGGTTATAATTTAACCTTAAAACTGACATTTGACAGTTTTATGACAGCCCTGATAGAATAAAGTTTATTTTTTACAATAGAGGAGTAAAATGGTTGTTCTTAGCACTTTAAGGCCTCTTTTAAGGCTTACTATGAGAAACACAACGTTTAAAACGATTATTAATCTGTATAAAGAGAGCACAAACCCAAAGCACAAAAATTGTAAACAACAAAAATGGCCGCCGTAAAACTGTGCAGTGTTGCAGTGATTTTTTGTATTTTTAGTAGTCAAAAGATATCAAATTTTCAAAACAATCGTGTTTTTTGTTTTTTTTGCTGCTAATTTCTTTAACAATGGTCAGAATTAAAATTTTTATTTCTCAAAATTTGCGTGTACCAAAATTATCCAAAGGGCCATTTCAGGCATGCGGACGGGACAAATTACAAAACTGTTTTTATAAAAAAAATGCTAGGTCGGCCATTTCAAGCGGATGGACGGGACAAATCACAAAACTGTTTTTATAAAAAAAATTGTAGCTAATTTATTATATATTATTTTTACATCAAAATTGTCAAAAAAATTCTTCTATTATAAGGGTATACATTAAAGAAAAAAAATCGCAAGAAATATTTTATAAAAGTAGAGATAATTTCAATAATTGACAGGGATGGACGGGACAAGATAAATCTTTTTTTTGTCCTGTCCACACCTTTCAATTATTAAAATTAAATCTGCTTTCATAAAATATTTCTTAAGTTTTTTTTTTATTTAATGTATAACCTAATAAAAGAAGAATATTTTTGCCAATTTTGATGCCAAAATATTATATAATAAATAATCTACAATTTTTTTTATAAAAACAGTTTTGTAATTCGTGGGTTTCGCGCGCTTGAAATGGCCGAGGTTATTTATTAAATTGGCATCAAAATTGTCAAACATATTCTTTTTTTATTAGGCTACCCATTAAAGAAAAAACGCAAGAAATATTTTATAAAAGTAGAGATAATTGTAATAATTGACAGGTGTGGATGGGACAAGAAAAATCTTTTTTTGTCCCGTCCACACCTTTTAATTATTACAATTATCTCTACTTTTATAAAATTTTATTGCGGTTTTTTTATTTAATATTTTTGACAATTTTGATGACAAAATATTTATATGATAAATTATCTACAATTTTTTTTATAAAAACAGTTTTGTAATTCGTGCGTTTTAATTTAATTTTAATTTTCAAACTGTTTGTATTTTTCGATTTCCTTGCAAATTTTTTGCGTTAAACTTCTACCCACTCAAGAAATTTTAAGCCGGGGTTGATAGTGGGTAGGGTGAGCCAAAAAAACTAACCTATCGGATTTATGGGTTAAAATGAACCTACATACCGAGCAAAAAATTTCCCTCCAAGGCAAAATTTTTTGCTCAATTTTAAAAGGTGTCGGTGAGCATTCTAAGTTTTCCATTGAAATAACACGTAAAAAAATCTTTTTTCATTAAAAAGACTATAACTTTTGAACCGTTTGAGATAAAATTTTTTACGTCGCGGATTCTTGTAGAGCATAAAATTTCCCAAAGAATCTATACCATGATTATTTTTTTTAATTCAAAAATTCGTATGTTTGAAAGCTTTGAAAAAAGTAAAAAATCACTAAAACTGCAGTTTGTAGAAAAGAAAATCCTTAGGTGCATGGACAAGTAAAGTCCAACATATTCTTGTAAACCTCTGTTTAGGAAATACAAAATTTTAACTCTTAGTTTTATTCATTTTTGAAAATAAAAAAGATATTTTAACATATGGTAACATACATAGTTACTCAACAATAAGCCAAAATAATTTAGTTTTGCCATTTTCTAGGCTCTCTGTATGTCAAACGTTTTTTATTTATATGGGAATTAAATGTTGTGTCTTGTTGTAAATGTTCAAAAATGTTAAAATGCAGATTGCAGACTTTGATTTTAGAAAAAATATATTATTCTGTGGAAGAGTTTCCTAGTGAATTAATTTATTTAATGTTTAATAAATTTATTAGTAGGTACATAGTGTTTAAACATAATTTCTTTATTTGGATTTTTTTTTACTAGTCCAATATGTTTTATGGAATTAAATGTTGTAAAACTCTGTGATCAATAAATATTATTATTATTATTACGTTTTCACTAAAACGGTTAAGGCCCACGGTAAATTAGTATAAAAATGTTAATTTAGCATTAAGATTTAGTTACACTTCGCTTCTGAAGATGCCGACATGGTTGGTGAAAAGTACTTTCTCTACGACTACTTAAGAATAGTAACATTCTAGTGTAATTTTTGATCATAGAAAGGATGTTTTTCTGCAATACTGTGCGAGAATATTCCTACTCTTGTTTAAGAATGGTCACAAGTAACGACATCTCCTGGCTGTTTACTAAACGTAAAAAATTTAAAAATATTGAAATAATACTGTATTATTTATTAATTAAAAAAATAGCAGTTGTATAATTAAGGTTTAGGCACAAAAAATTAGGTATATTTATTGTTTTTCAAATATACAAATCAGAATTATAATAAATTTGATATTAAAATGATAAACCAGTTACCTACTATACCAGCTTTGAAGTTTTGACAGATTCAAAAAGTTAAAAAAAGACCTTTAAAATGTAGAAAAAGATTAGATGTTGACATAGATTACTTGTAAAATTAGTTTTGTATTTGTTACAATGTTATTTTTTTTATTAGTTAGTGTAAATAACTATTTTTAATTATAATAAAGATTTAGGCATACCATTTGTTTAAATTTATTATAATTTACATTATAAAATTGTGACGGCACAAAATGGTTTGACAATACAAAAAACTTAAATGTCAAAAACTGCTTGGTTTCTTTTATCTGTTTAAAATTATATAAGCGTTACTATTCTTACGTAGTCGTAGAGAAAATAATATCTGAAACACGTTTGAAATAGCATATTCCAAACTTGTTACAGAATGTACTATTAAGCACTTTGTGTTTTGTTTTGATGTTGGGGAATATTTCTAATATTTGTTTAACCTAAGGTTACCCTTTTCAAGTATGATTTATTGAAAACAAAATGAATAAAGATGACATTACAGTGATTTGTAGTTTGAAACACGTTTTAGTAAAAATTTATCAGTAAATGAACTATTTGATTTAGTGTTGTCCATTTTTGCACATAAAAAATAGCATTAATCAAAAACAATATATTCCAAATTCTAACATCACTGAATGGTAAATTTCGAGTTAATTTTGAATGTAGCATTACCTGATTTGCGCGGCAGAGGGCCACTTGTCCTCGCACAGCGAGCACGCGTACTTTAGCGTGCCGTGGTACTGGATGTGGTCGACCAGCGCCTGCGCGCTCTTCAGGCAGCGCTTGCAGTGCGCGCACTCGAACGGCTTCGCCTGATTGGTGATCGAGCGGCACGTGAGCGAGCGCGCCACGTGGCCTTTGAAGGAGCCCGCGTTGGGATACGCGCCGCCGCAGTAGGCGCACTTGAACAGCTCTTCGCCGGTTAGACCCTGCTTTTTCGGATGTTTCGAAGACTAAAATAAATGTATAAATTAAGTAAATTACTGAAATCTATCATATAATTTACATTCAAAATGTACATGCGATGTGACTCTTTTTTTCAATGTATTATTTATTCAAAAATCACAAAAAAATGTATGGCAACCTTTTTGAGATTTGAATTTTTTAAATTTTTTAGAACAATTCGAGGAAAAAGCTTTTGTTTTTGGTATACATTAGGGTGGGCCGATTTTAATATTTTTCAAATATCAAATTGTGCAATGGTGGAAAAGTTGTGCATTTATAAGGCCAGAAAAATATTTTATTTCATACTGTACTTTAATGTGCCATTTCCCGGACTCATTTGAGTACGGGAAATGATACATTACATCACTAGGCCGGTAAAGTAACTTTACCGGACTCGTATATTTTAACTAACACATGGTTATTTCTGAACGATTATAAGTTTTTGCGCCATTTACAGAATATCTCGTATTCCTTTTGATATCGTCCGGAAGACAGAGTAAACATGGCGACGGCAACAAACGCTTGTTTAGATACTGTGTGTAAAAGATGTAAAAGTAAGCTAATTAATGGACTAAAGTGTCTAAAATGTGACACTTATTTTCATCCAAGTTGTGCTAAGTTATACTCGAATGTAAAATTTGTGGAGAATGGGGTGATTTGTTGTGATTCAGTGATTGACGAAAATGAAAGTGACAATGCATTTTATGATGCTATAGACAAAAGTGAAAAATCTATGGACAATCAAATGTTTTTATATATTATAAAACAAAAAGATATAATTATAGGTGAATTAAGAGACAAAATTAAAATTTTGAATGATCAAATAATTTTACTAAATAAAGTATCAAATATTTAAAATATTCAAAGTGAATTTCAATGTCAACCAGTGGCCAACAAAAAACCTAACTGTACGGAGACCACAAAAACCGTAAACACACAAGGGAATTCCGAAACTATGAAAAAACAACTATCAGCTGATATTTTAAATGTACAAACCAAAATGAAGTTTAATGAAATTATAAATTTAACAAATAATAAAGAAAATAAAAATGATGGTAGGAAAAATACTGAAACCGTCAATGAAAAAATAAAAAAATCCAAAAAATCTTTGACACAGAAGGATGACACTAAACCCAAAAAAAGTTTTTATAATAAAACTACCAGTGTTACAGGTAGTAATAAAAATTCTTTAATTGAAGGAGTACCAAAGTCTGTATCTCTTCATGTATATCGTGTTAGTACAAAAACAAAAACACCGCTTTTGAACTATTCCTTTCCAATATAAGGAAAGGAAGTAAAGATTTCGTTTGGGTCTCAAGCCTATAGCAACTCGGCACTGATGAGTTCCACAAGAACGAAACACGTCTGTCGATGCTGGCACGAGATCCGAACGAAATTAAACAAAAGCGGTGATAAGAGAAATGCTTGCAGAATATTTAATTAATATATATATATCTAGCGAGTTTGTCGCAAAGTTTCAATACTTTTAATACAATAACTATAAAAACAGAAGATATAACCAAACTTTTAAAACCAATTTTTCCTGAAGTATGCTGCGAAAAATTGACATCAAAACATGAGGACCTTTATAACTCCTATAAAGACCATTTTTGATAAAAACTTTAAAAAAGCAATGGAACCTGAACTATGGCCAGAAGGAGCGTGCATCCGCAAGTTTTTTCATCTGCGAAAGAAAATCACACAGGAAGCCTAGTTTTTAATCCAGAATTATTATTACTTAACGTTAGAAGCCTAAATCAGGAAACTATAAATCATCTTGAACTTGACCTATTGCAGTTTTGTAATGTAAATTTCTTATGTTTTACTGAGACACACCTTACCATAGATGCAATTAAATTTAAAAATATTAATGGATTTTCTCTCAGTTCTTTTTATTGTAGAAGTAATTATGATAAAGGTGGTGTGGCTATATCCCTTACACTCCTGAGAAATTAAAATTCAAATTTTAAAGCAAAATTAAAGTTTTCTCGACAAAATTGAAAACCAAAACAAAAATTTTTTTTTGAAGAGTCAAAGAATTAACCTTTCCTGAAGACACTTTAAGCATTCTACATTAAATTAAGCCATTTTTGTAATAAAAAGACAATGACTTACTATTAGACGCAATGATGTAAAGAACTAGCACGCTTAAATTGCCATCCAAAACAAAAACAAGGCAGAAATTGGTGAGCGCATGCTCTTGTCTGCGTAGTAAACACATATCACAATTGTACGATTGAGGAGTGGGAGCTCCACTGTATCATTTTAACCCATAAAGTATATGTACATAAGGAAGTCACAATTGTAGCCACATGGAGCGTAAGGGATATGGACAAAAAATAACTTATGTGTTAAAAATCTTCTTCTAGACGACTTTTGTATAGAAAAGGATTTTGAGATATGTGGAGTCTTTTGTAAGGTAAAAAATAAAACCATATTAATATTAACATGCTATAGATCCCCTTCGGGAGATATAAATATATTTTTAGATAAAATAGATAAAGTTTTAAGTAATATCTACAAACCAGGTATTAACATAATCTTGTGTGGAGATTTTAATTTGAATTCATTTGGTTTGAGTGATAACAATACCTCTTTTGATAAATTGTCTAATGTTTTAAAAAGTTATAATTTGATATCTTTGGTAAAATGGCCTACACGAGTTACACAAACTTCATCTACAATTATTGATCACATTTTTACTAATATTTTTTATAAAAGCACAGTCTGCGTGGTTGATAATGAAATTTCCGATCACAGAACAATATTGCTTGAGTTTGAGTTTTTAGCAGGTAAAAAAATAGAACAACAATATAATATAAAACGAAAATACAATAAATATTCAATAAATAGTTTTAAAACACATTTAGCTAATGAAGAGTGGAATAAAGTATACAATACATTTGAACTAAACGAATCCTTTGCGCATTTTTTAAATATCTTTAAATATTATTTTAATTTATGTTTTCCTTTAAAAAAATGTAGAATTGAAAGTAAATTAAATAACTGGATAACGGATGAGGTTAAAATATCGAGTGTCAATTTAAAAGATTTATATTTTTTAAAACAACTTTATCCAGAATTGGCTTTACTTTATAACTATAAAAAAAAGTTACACCAAAAATTATGTTTGACAACAAAAAAGTTATATTTTCAAAATAAAATTCATAATTCTGAAAATCCTGTTCAAACAGCTTGGAAAATTATTTCACAATTATCAAATAATAAAAAAGAAACAAAAAGTTTGAATTTGTTGATAAATGATAACGTTATAAAGGAACCTACATTAATAGCTTCCTGTTTTAATGATTTTTTTATTGACGCACCCAGAAATATTGTTAACAACATTTCAAGAAATTATAAAAATAATGATCTTAACATAACAAATAACAATATAAGTTTTTATCTAGAACCTTATACTTGTGAAGAATTATTATCTATTTGTATTAATAAATTAAAAAACAAGCATTCTTCAGGCCCTGATGATATTCCAGGATTCATTTTAAAGACTGTGCTTCCTCTTGTTGTCAAGCCCTTAACTTTTTTGGTTAACTTATCCTTTAAAAGTGGTTCATTTCCAGATTTATTAAAAATTGGAAAAGTAATTCCGATTTTTAAGAAGAACAACAGCCTCCTGGCGGAGAACTATAGACCGGTGACAATACCTTCAAGTTTTTCTAAAGTGTTTGAATATGCCTTTTTGAATAGACTGCTTAAATTTTTAAGCAAATGTGATATTATAACATCTAATCAACATGGCTTTATTAAAAATAGGTCTACGGCAACGGCTCTGATGTCCTTTTATGAGGGGATAATTGAGAATATTGAAAATGGAGAGTGTCCTGTTGGGATCTTTTGTGATCTCAGTAGGGCATTCGATTGCGTGTCTCATGAAAGGCTGTTGGAGAAGCTGTATGCTTATGGGGTTAGAGGTATTCCCTTAGACTGGATTGGAAAATTCTTGAAGGGAAGACAACAATATGTTATCGTACCTAGTATTGTTGATAATATTTCTGGTACAGTAAATTCAAATTTTTTAAATATAACCATGGGCGTACCACAGGGCTCTATATTGGGTCCTGTTTTATTCTTAATTTATATTAATGATGTGGAAAAAATCACAAATAATGCTTCTTTCACATTGTATGCTGATGATACGTCATTAAAAATATCAGCCGAAAATGATAATATATTAGAAAAAACATGTAATGGGGTGCTAGAGAAGCTTAATGACTGGTATAGTAAAAATTTATTATATTTTAATCCTGAAAAAACAAATTATGTCAGATTTCACAATAGACAAAAAATGATCAACAAGGTTAATCTAAGTATTGATACTTTTACCATTGAAAATAACAAGGAGACAAAATTTTTGGGGGTGACAATTGACGAATGTCTTACTTGGAAAAAACACTGCCATTATTTGGTCTCCAAGTTACATTCAATATCATACATGTTTAGATCATTAAAGGACATATTAAATGCACATCAATTAGTTATTCTGTATTACGCGCAAGTAGACTCGAGATTGCGATATGGCATATGCTTTTGGGGGAGGTCTACGAACTCACAAAGTGTATTTATAGCACAAAAATTAGTGTTAAGATGCCTAATTGGTGTCAAATCAACCTATTCATGCAGACAAATTTTTAAACAATATAATTTATTGACTTTGCCCTCTCTTTTTATCTTTGAGGTATCAGTGTATATACATTTAAATAAGGATGGATTTAGGTTAAAGTCTTCCATACATTAACATGATCTCAGAAATAAAAATCATTATCAAATACCTTTTGGTAGGTGCAATGTCACGTCAAACTCTCCATCTAGACTTGGTCTTAAAATTTATAACGCACTTCCACCAGACATAAGAAATTCTAAGAATATACGATTTTTTAAAAAGGCATTAAAAGAATTTCTTGTTGGCAAATGTTTTTATAGTGTGAATGATTTGTTTACTATGTCTTCAGATTGATTATAATTAATGTTAGTATTTTTTGTATTTTACCATGTATTATGTAATATGAATGCATTTATATTGACTTGTTCTATATCCATTGCGATCCTGAGAATAAATAAACATTATTATTATTATTATTATTATTATTATTATTACTTGACCGGGATAAGTTTCGCCGTCGCTTCAGAACTTTTTTTTAAAATCTCTGCATCCATTTTATTCGAAATTATTCAAAACCACAGATTCAAAACGATGCTGAACTGACAGACAAGACAATCAATAAAAAAAACTCTTTGTTACTGTTAGCAACCGATTTAAAGCATACTACATACATTATCACCCTATATTACTGGTGCTACATTGTATAGTTTGTTTAGACAATACTGATACCATCATGTACTGACACATAACTGACACCTTCACCTGAATATACAGTTCAATTTTTGTACCAAAAATTTGAAAAAAATATTGAATAGTATGAAATAAAACATTGTACGATACAGGGCCGTGAAATGTCATTAAAGTACTTGTCTAGAAATTACAGACTCGGCTCCTTCGTCGCCTCGTCCGTAAACATCTAGACTCGTACTTTAATAAGCCATTTCCCGGCCTTGTAACGTAAATTACTAATAAGAGTTTTTTTTTAATTTTAATTTCTTAAACTGCCGCAAGGCCTTGAAAGATCTTAATGTAATTTAGTATCGTTATAAATACGAAAAAAATTATCTGAGAGAAAATAGGGTTAAAAAAAGTTTTGAATGATAAATATTTAATAAAAAAAAACAAAAATAAAAATGAATTTATCATCAACACAAATTTAATTCAATTTATAATCTTGTTTTACCTGCCATTTTTCACAAACACCCAAAAACCACAAACAGATACTACTTGTAAAAATTTCTATTATTCAACTAATTAACGATGTCAAAATATTATAATTTATATAAACAGTGAAGCCAACTGTCAACTGTCCTACGTCAAACACGAAATCTTAAAAAATATTTATTCTCCATTTTACGTCGTCTCTCCAATAATTGCAATTATTGCAAAATTTAAAATTTACAGTTTGACTTCATACAGTTCAAAACATTAAAAAAGAAAAAATATATTAAAGGAAAATAGTTTACTTTCCTATTTCACAACTTTCCCGCTTATGAATAATTTTAAATTTTTAAAAATTACTTTTAAATTTTTAGAGGCGCTTGCGGCAGTTCAAAACATATAGATATCAAAAAAAATATTTTGCAAAAAATGTTTACTATCCTATTTCACAACTTTTTCTTAAATGCAGAATTTAATATTTTTAATTTTTTGCCATTTTTTTTTAATAAAAAAATCATTAAAATTTTTATAACTAAAGTAGAAATTTCGGGCCACCACTGGTTGTTCCTAACCTAGCTATGACAACTGACGGAAAATATGCTTGCACAGTGGGCAATAATCTACATTCATTAAAAAATTCCATTTGTTTTATTATTGATCACTTTTTTGATAATTGTTTTTTGTTTTACAAACTCAGCTATTTTTAGGTACTTTAAATAAAACAATACTTTTTATTGTTTCCGTGGTTTTCCCGTCGATTTTAAATTTCACCTTTCACTTTTTCCGTCGATTGATGCTCATTTAGCAATTTTTTTAAGTGTTTCACAAAACCATAATAAATGTTCAACTATCCCGCCGTTATTATCCACGCTAAGTTTAAAGAGGCGTAGAAAATTATGATGTGCGCTCTTGCTATCATACCCAGATGATTTCGGATTTCATCTGCCCCTGCAGTGACAAGTTCGCGGAGTAGTTCTAAAGTGTTAGAATTAAAATTCAACATCAAAACCTTTGCAATATATAGTTATTTCTTGTAACATTTTATTTTTATACACTTTTAATAACTTTTCACGATGAATTCAACATATGCAAGGCAGGTATTGTTTCAGAAAAAATAATTTAAGTAATTGTAATAAGGTATCATAAAAATTGAACCTAATTTTTTAAAGATTAAATAATTAAAAATACTTTTACAAAGTTAGTGAGCCCTTCTACTCTGTAGTGCGATTTTTGGGACATCCTGTATTTTGCATAATTAATAAAAGAAAAAGTGAAAAAATTACTTACTTTTTCAGAGCTTCTGTCGGACCCCTCGTCCTCCGAGGAAGTGGCAGCGTTCTTGTGCAGAAAACTCTCGCTTTCAGAGTCTGCCACGCTCAAAGGATCCACTTCCGATTGTTCGGGGAGTTCGGACGTCGACGGCGACTCTTCGACCGCTGGAATTTCAACCGTTTCTATAGCAGCTGGTTGCGATTCTTCCGAAGAAGAGGAAATTTGTCGCACCAAGGCCGCCGGTGCTGCAGATGTAGACGGTGGGGATGTTAAAGAAGATGAAGAAGTCGATACTATAGAGGCTGAAGTGATTGGAGGGGGTCTAAAAGAGAAATAAATTTAAAAAATCATACAAAAACCATTACAAATTGTAAAAATAAAGTTTATAAATATCTTACAATACATTTTTTTCCGCACATTAAAGAACATACCACAATCTACACAAAAACAAAAAAACAAGGAATGTTCTTGCGCATGTATTTCCACCACTCCATCAGATTGGCGAGAGGTGGGAGCATCCAGTCGCCGCCACATTGATTTTGATGTGAGTTGTTTTTAAGCTATTTTAAAGTTTTGTAAGTGCAAAAAATGTCTACCTACCAATTGAAAATCTGAAAAAACAATGCTAAAAGAAAAAAATCTGGAATTCCAATACATTTCCTTAGTATGGATGTTAAGGATAGTAAGTAGATTTAATTTAAAAACAATTAAATACCAGTAGTTTTTTTAGACATAATATATTATAAAAATAAAAAACTAATTTAGGTTAATGTTTTACTTCAAAGGTAGTTGCTATAAGAAGGAAAATTGAATCGAAAAAACATACTACATTCCCATAAGTACTCTGTAAGAAATTAAAATAAAATTGAAAAAAACAATATAAATCATATATACAGTGCTTGCAAATCCAAGTCCGACCGCGTTAGGAAGGATGGTTGTTCAATACCCGCGTGAAAAGAAGAAAAGAATAATGCGAAACAGAATTTGATTGGTCAGAGCGTCAGGCGTGCGTATTGTAAGCGCCTTCTGTTTGGCGTTCTATCCTTGTTATTTTCACGCGTCCTTCCCAAACCGGTCGGACTTGGATTTGCAAGCACTGTATAATAGTTCTTTTTACAGTGTACAAGAAATGGGACAAAACCAGGAAACATAATATGATCTTTAAGGAGAGCCCGTAACAGATTCTCAAGAACTGCAGTGTAATAAATTAAAATAAAATTTGAAAAACCAAATTAATCAAAATTAAATCTTTCTTTTTGCACTGTGCAGAAAATGTGCCAAGATAAGAAAGCTAATGATCTTCAAGAACAGTCTATAACAGAAACTCAAACTGCAGCATGCTGCTGATAATGAAATGGTCTTGGATTGTAAATGATATCTTAAAGATAATTAAGAAACATCCCAAAACATTAGAAAACCACCGTATACCATACCATAAAATAATGTTTTTACAAGTTTAATTTGTTTTATTCAATGTTGGCTCCATGGTGGCCAATTTAGGGTTTTTATTTGGCAACAAAACCCAAATTTGTAATAATAATAATCTAAAAATATGTTGTTTAGATTTAAATGTTATTATTGTAACTTAACACTTTTAATTTCATTAAACACATTTGACTTTAAATGGCTTTAAAACAAGATATTTTATGTGAAACCCCATTATTTAAAATATTTAACCCAAAAACTAAAATAAAATTTTTCTTAGCACTTTTTTCAAATATTTTATTTGGTATTTAGTAAAATTAAAATTTAATTTAAAACAATTTTTTTTATTTGATTGAAAAACGATATAAAATAGTTTTTCTCATTAATAATATTTTCTTGAATTTAATCGAAAATTTTTAAAGAAATGAATTTTATAAGAGAATAATATTGAAATTTTAAATATCATTTAAATTCAAAAGCTAGAAAGAACTAAGATGGCGGTAACTGGGTGGTGCGCAAAGTGAATTAAAATTCGTCCTACTGAAGAACATATCTCGTTTTGCACATAATAAAAATCGTGTAGTTAGGCAACCCACTGCACAGACTTAAACGGCAAGACTTGTGCTGTTTATACAGATTAATATTCGTTTTAAACGTTGTGTTTTTTACAGAGGCACTTAAAAGAGACCTTAAACTGCTAAGGGCAAGTTGCAGCAAAATGGTTGCCCTGGGCAACCATTTTACTGCTCTTTTGTAAAAAATCAAACTGTCAAATGCCAATTTTAAGGTTAATTTGTGGGTTATGGTAAAATTGACAAAATTGACATAAGGTTTATTTTTTACAAAAGAGGAGTAAAATGGTTGTCCTTGGCACTTTAAAGCCTCATTTGAGGCTTACAAGTGCCTCTGTGAGAAACAACGTTTAAAACGATTTTTAATCTGTACAAACAAGACAAACCCAGATCACAAGAATTGTAAACAACACAAAAATGGCCGCCGTTAGAGTCGGTGTAGTCAAAGGCTTTCTTATCTATGGGTGTAGTGGGTTGCCTAACTTCGTGATTTTTACACAGACCACCAAAACAAATGGACGGATTTGTTTACGTTTAAAAAGCGAGTAAAGCATAGTTTCACATTCTAAACACCGTCGAAAGAAACACGGCTTCCAACGTTGTCAGAAGTATAGATTACACGCCTTTTTGGACGTTCATCATAACATAATGAACATTAATAATTACCAGTAATTCGTTTGAATAATAAAAAAATTGTAAAAAGAATTTGTTCATCATTTTCTTTAGATATTTTTCTCTATTTAAAGAAAGTAAATCATTTAATAATTATTAAAATTAAATATTAACAACGTTGGTAAATTCGTCATATTTGACAGCATAGAAAAAGGTTATGTTCTGTGGGTTGACAGCTTGTTGTTTTGTGTTTTCGTTTGTGTATTTCTATCGAGTTTAAGTTAATTATAGAGTTTAAATACATTATTTTTTACTAAAAATAACAATACATGGAAATATCGTTTGTAAGTACGGTTAAAACAGATAAAATTTTCAGAACCTGCATATTAAAAAAAATAAAGGAATATTTATAAAAAATCGTCTATATGATATTTTGTAAAGAATTTTGACAATAAATAAATTTTAAAACATGATAAAAAAATAATACATACTTGGAAAGCGAAAATAGGGAATTAAACCTATTAGGAATAGCCTTTAAAACCTGGAACGTGGCGTTGGGCGCCAAACTTTTCAAAATTATCTTCTCGCTCGGCAAAACTTGGAAGAGCTTACTTCCGGTCGTCGACGTCACCCCGGAAGCTGGAGCAGTAGTGACAACAATTTTCGTAGGCGATTTCAGCAAGGAATTTCCTTTGGTATAAACGTTGGTAACTTTAAGTTGAGGTGTTTGCGGCTGCGCTTTAGGTGGTGTTGCTATCGTTTCCGGCTTCTTCATGGAATCCGGGAGTTTGCGTAGAACCGGAAGCATGGACATACCTTCACTGGCGTAGAAGAGATTGTCTACATTCTAGATATGAAAAAATATGTATAAATAATATTATGCATATAGAATTTCAAATTAGGATTTTTTTGTAGGTTAATTTTCGTGCAAGTCTATTGCCGTTTCAAAATATCGTTTTTTATTGCCAGTTGTATGCAAGTCTGGGGGAAAAGTTGGTAACTTTGTTTCATATCAATCCACATTTTAAATTTCCTAGAGACGCTGGTTTGTTTTTTCATTTCAGATTTTATTCCAAAAAATTTGGTAGTCGATAGAATTCGCAAAAATAATAAGAAAAGTTTAAATGAACTTGTATGTTTTAAAGCTTCGTTTTTGAGATACAGGGTAGAAAAGTTATTAAAAAATGTAAATTTTCTTGGCCGAATTTAATAAAACTTTTTAGGATTTTAGTAATGGGCAAAGGGCTTAATTTATTGTAATTAAATTTTGTTTAGGTAATCCAGAGGCGGCGCTGGGGCAACCCAACTAAATATTTAAAAATAAAATTTGGGTACACCACTGCATAGTTTAATAATATTGTTAAATTAAGCAATTAAAAACATATTATTTTTTGGGCGTTTTAAAGGTGGGAGTAGAAAATATATATATATAATTAAGCACGAGCGAAGCTTGCGACCGAGTGTTTAATAAAAACGAGTGTCTAGAGAAGTTTATAAAACGAGTTGCATACTATACTTTATCTACGACGAACAGAAATAAGAATTTAAAGACAATTTTATTTCATAAAATTTGACATTTAACAAATTTTACCTCACTTTTTCGCAATTTATAATAAAGCCCGTGACTAAAATGCCCAAAAGCCACTGTTATAAACTTCAGCCCGTGACTAAAATGCCATAAAGTCACAACTCTTCAATGTAGGAGTAGATAAAATAATTTTTGTTTATTCGACCGAATTTAATTATACGAATATACTTTTTTCTTGAAAAAAAATTGTATGAAGCAAAAAAGTTGTATTTATAATATTATAATCTTAATATAATATCAAACTCATAAAAAACCAGTGGCGTAACCATACTTCTTTATTAACACCCTTTATCTTGAAAGCATACAAGTTCATATAAACTTTTTTCTTATTTTTGATAGTTCTATTGCATTTTCTTGATTAAAATCTGAGACACCCTGTATATTGTGTTGCAACTTGCCTAGAATGGACAAAAGAGCATGTCTGAGACGGCAGCACAAAGCAATCAAAAACCAATCTCTACACCATTTTAATTTCGATGAAAAACGAGTACATTGTAAAATATAACAAGCACAGTTTTGAGAAAATTTAGGTCGCTGGTTGAAAATATTTTTGAGCTAAAGCCACGAAGTCGCGGAATCTAACGGTTGCCTTAAAAATGTGGCAACGTTTCAGCATTATCGCTACACAACAACTTGTTGTCAACAAGAAATGTCAAGCTGACAGTTATAACTTAATTTAATTTTAAATCGTTTAAAATGGAGAACGTACTTTTATCTAGGGAGGACATTTAAAAGCACAAACTGTACCCAAGTAAAAATAAACATTTAAGTCGGGTGCACTCTTCTTCCAGTGGGGTTATTTAAATATACCTGTAGCTACTTAACTTATTCAGTATTCAACTGAAGACGCATGGAGATACAGTCTAAACGTCTTGATTAAAAATACTAAGGCAATGGAAGTCCAAAATCTTTCTTTCATTCAACAAACATGATTGTCTACAAAAATAAGTAGAATTTCCATAAAAAAACATAATTTTAATGTATGTAACCATAATCTAATACTCCAGGACCTTTACATAAGCAGACTTTCATGGGCAATGAATATTTTAAATGGTGCAGACAAGAAAACTTGGTACTCACCTCGTCGGGATTAATTCTGCAATACACCTTCGGACTTTGATTGAAATGTTTTGCCACTTGGTGCTGGAATGCAAAAACCTCATTTGGCGCACTGAAGACACAATAACCGCACTGATAGGCGCACACATTGTGTACGGAGTTCCAATGCTGGACCATCTTGTTTGTGGACTCCAAAGCGGAACATGTACTTCCAAATCCGCATTCAATCAAATCCACGAAATTGTGACGCAGCATGTGACGGTTAAAGTCGTTCTCGAATAGGAAAGATTTCAGACAAGCTAAAAAAATTGTGTGTGAAAAGCGTGTTTTATACAAGGTGTTTCGCATTCATGGTCCATTAGAAGTTTCTTGGGAACGAAAAAAATATCGAGTTGCAGTTTTAAAAGCGTTTATAATCCATTATAAAAGTTATTAACCTTTCAATTTAGGTAATTTGTTGAAAAATGTTAAAGAAATGACATGCAATCTTTTAAACAATGTTAAAAATAAAAAAGTTGATTTCACTTCCGGTTAAACCTGACATGGCATTTTTTTTAAATATTGTAGAAGAATATACTTAAATGGATTATAAACGCTTTTAAAATTTCAAATCGATATCTTTTTCTGTTCCCCAGAAAATTCTAATGGACCACGAATGTGAAACACCCTGTATAGTCTTAGATAGACTCCCTGTATATTTAACTAGTTGTAGGGAAATGTTGTATAGGACTATTTTTATACATTCAATAGCTTACGAGATATCAGTGCTTTAAAAAAGAAAATTCCAAATCTAAATTGTTTGGAACATTTATATTTTCCACATGAAAACAAACAAAAAATATTAGAGATGGGAATCGGAAAGTTTCCATTTTAAGTTATGTTTCATAACCTTAATGAAGCCGGATTATTCAGCATCATCACAAAAAACTGTTTAAAAAAAAGGTAAACAAAATAAAAACAATAAACAAAGTTAAAATCATTCTTACATTTTTGTTGTTTATTTATAGGCATAGCACAATGCCAAGAGAAAAATCTAGTGTTTGGAATTATTACAAAATAGTGCAAAAAAACAAAAATTTTATCAGTCAGAACTGCAATACTATTTTTAGTATCTTTTACTTTTCAATATTCCTATATATTAGTTACTTTGTCCATTTTAATTTTTTTACGTAATATCTAGGATTTACTAGCAGTGAATTTCTAATAGTAAACATTTTATTTTTATTTTGTAGGTTTTAGTATACAATAGGAATATTCCAAAGTAAAAGATACTAAAAATAGTATTGCAGTTACATTCTTATAAACATTTTTTTTATTTTTTTTTCTTAATAAAATTTGACAAAAAGTTAATGTGTTATATATTTTTGCAAATCCCTGGCATAAAAAAAATATTTTCGCAATAAAATTATTTTTTTTAAACTTTCGGAAAATTTCGGGAATTTTCGTCAAATGGGAATTTTCCCATCTCTAAAAATATACAGGGACTTTAGTCATGATGAAAAATTACTTACCTTTGCAATGATAAGGTTTGCAATATTTCAGTATGTCCATTGATTGATTGTTTTGTGATTCCGGGGCCAAACAAGCCACTGTTGTTGTGCCGACTTTTACAATTTTAGGTTTTCCTTTATCTTTATGCTCCTCTGAATGATGCAGGTACACATAATCGGGATCCATGGTTCTGTACATGCAGTATCCGCAAGCGTATCGGCAATTGCCGTGTCTCACGTCAATATGCGTGGTTACGTTCTCCATAGGGATTTTGTAGTCACAATATACGCATGGTCTAAAGGATTTGGGCTTTATTTTGTGCGATTTTAGATGAGACTCGAAGAAATCGCGGAAGTCTGATGAAAACCCGCAAGTGTACACTGGACATTTGTATAGATCGCTTATAGCGTTCAAAAATTTAGCCATCGCAAACTCACTTTTTTTCGGCTTCTTCAACTCGCTGTCGTTCATTTTGCACTCGAAAATCTTGGAATTAATTTTGGCTGGCGTTAGTTTTAGCGGTCTAAGCGGTGGAACCTCCGGTTCCTCGGCCAAGGACATGACTCCAGAGATTTTGAAACCGAACGGGTTCTTGTCGTCCAACTCCAACTCAACGGATTGCTCCGGTACTGAAGCTACGTGAATCTCTTGTAGATGTTCTGGGTTTTCACTTTCAATTACGTCTTCTGTAACTATATTATCTTCCTCCATATCGCTGTTACTTAAGTCAGCTGGGGTGTCAACCACAGTGGACAATTTGTCACCGCTCAATCGCCTCATTTTCAACAAACTCAAACGCGGTGGAGTGCCAAATTCGGTCAAGTGCACATTCAAAACATGTCTAAAGATGTCTTCCATCGTACCACCATCGATATTAACCTTACAAACATCACAATCAACTTTATCGATGTTCGCATGTTGCTCCTTGCAATGTTTCATGAACGAATCTTGATTTTCGCAGGTGTAGACGCAAGGCGGCACTTGGCACGAATACGTTAATAGGTCATCATTTTTAATGACTTTAACAAAGCAACAATTGAATATTATACTATTGTCCAAACATGCTTTAGAGTTAACATCGTTAACGTGGACCAAAGGCGGCGGTCCGCTGTTGTCACTATCGTTATCCTTATCAGTTAAATTTATGGAAGTTTCGTCAACTGAGGGTTTTTGCAACGAGTCTCTTAGTTTGTCTATCATACCGGCAATAAAAGTGTTAGATTTCTGCGGCACCTGGCTTATAACAGTTGGTGTTTGTAGCGGTTCTTCTACAAACACAGGTTTTTTAATTGATTTTTCTAGTACTGGCATTACAGGTGTTATTGGCCGCTCTATAGCCGGAAGTAGGACTAATTCCGGTTCCGGGATGATCTCATCTTCATCCTCAGGTTCCGACTTAACGGGAACTTCATTCTGTAATCTAGAACTCAGTTTTTCTACAAAGTTTAGAGAGTTTCGATTTGTAGCTACGGCTTTGTTTATATCCTCCATTTTCTTCAATCTTTCGCGCTCAATTTTTTCATTATCTTCATTTATATCGGTATCGCAGGTAAATACGTTCATTTCAATGTCCCTCTTTATTTCCGCCGCAGGTATACAAGGTATAATAGGTGTTTCTTCTTCCTCAACTTGTTTTTGTAACACCGGAGGAGCTTCTTCAGGTTTGTTCTGAAGAGGAGCTTCTTCAGGTTTGTTCTGAACTTTACTTCTTTTGGGATCGCTTTCTTCGAGTTGTGCCTTCATTTTGGCCGTCGCTTTTTCTTTTGCAGCTCTTTGTGAACGTTGTTGTGGTATCACTATATCTTTGGTTGATGAATCCAAATTTGCAGATGCGTTAAGGTTCTCCAGCAGAGAAGATTTGGATTCCTCATCGGTTTCGTCGAAGTTTAATGCCTTCAATAGCGGCGGGATATCGGAAGCTTTCTTGACTGGTTTCTTTTTTTTAGAGGGTGGCCCTTCTATGGGTGTTTCCTCTTCTGTTATTTCAGACGCTGTATCGTCGATGATTGCCTTCTTTCTGACGTACTTCCTCTTTTTGACAACAGGTTCTGAATCTGTCGTCTCTATTTCGTCTTTCTCTAACTCGACTCTTCTCTTTTGAAGGTCATCCTCATCCTCTACCTCTAATATGGGCAAGGTGGAAGATATAATCTTTGTAATCTTGACGTTTTTTCCATGCGATGTCTTAAAGTGTTTTTTAACATTCTCCTCGTCTATTTGACAATAATTACACTCGTTACACATAAACAAAAATGTGTATATTCCGGATATTTTACTAGGTATAACTTCTCGTTTATGGTCTTCGTTTTTCTGAATGTGGGCCTTCAGGCCTTTGCTGTGACTGTTGACATAGTTGCACTCTTGACATGTGAACCTAAATTCCCCTGTATGCATTGTCACGTGATCGTAGAACGCAATGGGAAGCATCGCATTATTGTGCGTACAAAAACGGCACGCAAATTGATATTTTTTGTACATTTTGAATGCGGATTTCAACTCCTCGTATTTTTTCATGTTTATTTTGGCATCCTCCACGGCCAACTTGGCGTTTTCCTTTGTTAGTCGCGAAGACCATATTTCTTCATCTGGGTGGTTCATAATGTAATGTTGCGCCAAGTATTTACTACTAAACGGACACAATTTGCACTGCATTTTTACTTTTTCCTCTAGGTAACTGACGTCTGGTTCGACGAACGACTCATCCGTTGTTTCAACGATTGATTTATCTTTATCGGTTTTTTTCTTTTTCCATTTCTTAATAAAACCGCTCGCCCATAAAGGCTTACGTTTACGCTTGCTTCTTGTTTTCTTCTGCGTATTTTCATTGTCATTTTTGTCTTCTTCTTCCTCCTCGCCATTTTCAGAATCTTCACTTTCTGAAGAACCACTAGATTCTTCCACATCGCTAGCCTCTTTCAGAGATCTACGCGTGCGCAGTACGCGACCTTCTTCAGGCGATATTTTATTTAGGACAACCTTAACGTTGGACATATGTTTAATGTCCACTGATTTTTTACTGTCTTCCTTCTTTGTAATCTTCTTTTTGGTATTCTTTTCTTCTTCCTTCGTGTCTGTATTTAATGCTTGTGGATCAGATTTTAGCATGCGACACATTCTTTTTCCGTTCGCTGTTAACACACCGTCACGTATAAACATATCTTGAATATCTTCGTGTAGCAAGTCCAATTCGGTTTTTGGTTTTCTCTTGGGTTTTGCCGTTCTTTTGTTCTTCTTTATCCGTTCTCCGACGGAGACTTGTACTGGTTCAGCCTGTAAAAAAATGTTAGTATAAAATACATGAATGTATAAAATAATATGTTACCTCTGTAGCTTTTTTCTTTGGTTTCGGACCAGGTTTTTTCCGCACTTTAACCTCCTCAACCTTGGGCGGTTCCTCCTCCTCTTCTTCTTCTTCTTCATGATCCACAACCTCATTTTCTTCTTCTTTGTTGCTTTCTTCGGTTACTTTATCCGTAGTTTTTTTGGCAGCCGGTTCATCCTCCTCGGAGCTTTCATTTTTAATTATAGTGGTAATTTTCTTTAGCTGCGAATCGCTGAAGCTATCACTAAACGTACTTATCAAAGATAGGAGGGCACCTTTTTTGTCATTTTTATTCTCACTTCCCATCAGATTGGCAAAAAATTGCGCCAAAATATTTTGCTCTGCTTTACTACTATCTGCTTTACTACTATCGGGTTTGGTCTCAGTCGGTTTTATTTCTTTTTCCTGTGGATGTTGTTCCGTGGATGTTACTTCTTCTGTTGTATCTTTTTCTTCCTCTGCTGGAGTTTCTGTAGGTTTAATGTCAGTTTTAACTTCAATTACCTCTTTGGTATCGTCCTGCACACTTGATGATACTGTTTCATTAACAGTTTCCAAAGTCGACTCTACAACTTTCGGTTGTGGTTCCGGGTTTTCAACAACATTTATTGCTTCCGGTTCTTTTACAGAATCAATTTCTGGTCCTTGCGTGCTTACTTCTGCTTCCTCCACTGAATCAACTGCATCACTTTCCGGGTTAACAACATCAGATTCACCCTCTGCAGTTTCAGTGACATCTTTTGTAAAATCGACCTCCTTTTTGATTTTGGGAATTTTAAAGTTCTGAACCCCGTAACCCTTTCCAGTTTTGTTTTTGTCGCCAACATACAAACTATCCAGCGGGGAATGAAACGATTCCCTTGGTCGTGATCTGGACCTCGATCTAGACCTTTGTCTATTATCATCCTTGCCACTATAAACCCTATCGAATCGATTTCGGTATCGGAAATCCTGCGGATCCCTAACCTCTCTTGCTTCAGATTGACCTCTAGATCTATCGCGCTGGAATTCCCGACCTACAGATCTACCCCTTTCGTTGGCTGGCCTATGGTCTACTTTAAACTGTCTAGGATCTCGATTTTGTTGCCTAGGATCTTCTCTAGGCTGTCTAAGATCTTCTCTGGGCTGTCTAGGATCTTCTCTGGGCTGTCTAGGATCTTCTCTAGGCTGTCTAGGATCTTCTCTGGGCTGTCTAGGATCTTCTCTGGGTTGTCTGGGATCTTCCCTTGCTTGTCTAGGGTCACGGTTCTGCTGTCTAGGGTCAACTCTGGCTTGCCTGGGGTCCCTATAGTTTGGCCTCGGTTCTTCCTCTCTAAAGTTAGGCCTGTTGTGGATATCTTGTTCAAAGTTCGGCTGTTCAAAATCATGATTTTCATATTCTCGTTGGTTCATTTCGCGGTGTTCTCTATAACTTCTGGGATCTCTATTATTGTGAAACCTCCCTCTACCTCTTTTCCAATTACTTTGCGGTCTATCCCACTGAGGTCTGTGCTCCTCTATTTCTCCATGATGAAAAGTTTTCTGCTCGTAACCAAAACCCATTTCTTCTTGCGGTGAAAGCAAGGGCATCCCGGAGTTTTGGGAGTTAAAATTGTTAAACTCCATATCAGGTGGAGGAGGTTCAAAATTGAACTGATTTTGTTGGATGAACTGGTGATCCTCTACGAACTCGGGGTTTTCGTGCTGTTGCGGATCTCTGAACTGCATTCTGGAGTTCGGTCTGTTATGGAAATCTTGCTGGTTGTGAAAGTTATCGAATTCATTTTGAAGCGGTCTTTCAAAGTGTGGTCTATTGAAATCGTTTGGTCGAGCATCAAAATCGTTTGGTCTATTATTAAAGTCTGGCCTGTTAAAATACTGGTCGTTTCTTATAGGGGGCACCACATTATTGTGAGGGTTATTATAATCAGGGCTACCAAAATTATGCATGATAGGGCTTTGAGGTATTGGAATATTGTGTTGCATGGGTATATTTTGTTGCATGGGTATATTTTGCTGCATAGGTACAGAAATATTCTGTTGTCTCTGAACGTGATGAAAATTATTCGTTGGTGCATTCATATTATTTTGTTTTTTTAAATGATCGACCACATTGTTTATTAAAGCCGTTGTATCAGGGTGCATAATTTCGGCTAAATTTGGCGGAGGGACCATCCTTGGCGGAGGTACCATTTTTGGAGGCTCAACCACTGGCACAGGAACATTATTTACAGTACTGCTAGTTATAGTCTCTGGTAGTTTTTCACCTAGTAAAGGTATCTTAAACGCGGTCTTTTTTATATTCGCATCTATAGTTTCAGAAACTGTTTTTAGAATTTCGGTTTCCGCCAAAGGTTTAGGTTTAGGTTTTTTGTTGTATTTGTCGGCGATTCTTTTAAATTTTTGGATGTCTATTTTGTCATCTTCTGGTTTAACGTCTATTTTAGGTTCTTCAGTCTTACTCACGATCACAACATCTTTATCTTCTTTGTCTTTGTGATCTTTATGCCCTTTATCTTTATGTTCTTTCTTTTTGTTGTCCTTCTTATGCTTATGTTTACTTTCTTTACTTAACCTCCGCTCCTTCTTATCCTCTTTGCTGGAACTTGAATTCCTCCTCTCTTTTTTGGGATCTTTTTCCTTGCGTTTTTCTAACAATTGGTTATCGATTTTTGATAGCAAATCCCCAAAAATACTGTCGGAATCTTTAATAATCTTTACAGTTTTTACACATTCTGGAGTTTTTGGTTGTACTTTTATGGGCGATTTGATTTTCTTTTTTTCCGGAGAACTCTTCTTAAGAGCGCTACTAGTTTTAATTGTAGTATTAATACTTTCAACTAACTGTTTCTTAGTTTCCTCCAATTCAAGTGCGATTTTTTTCTTCAAATCACAAAGTTCATCCAAAGATTTGTCATGTAGTGTTCCGCTAGGAGGCGAATTTATAATTTTATCATTTACATCGTCTTGAAGTGTTTTTAAATCATCCAAACTTATAGGAGGTTTGGAGAGAACTATGTCGAATTTGTTGGAGTCCAAAATAGACTTCTTTTGGTTTAAACTACTCCCAGCTATACTGTATATATCGACGACTGGTTTTCTAGGCAAGGTATCGGTATTTACAACCCTAAAAATATATTATTATATAAGTAATTTATGTTGAACCACAGTTTAATGAAACAATTTGTTATATGCATATTTTTAAACCTTATCCATGCAATGGATCATGCAATTTCAACATCATGTTGGGATTATTATAAATTTCACTGTTCACTATTGTAACTAAATGAGGAACACTAAGGACAACTTGCTACCTGAGGCGTATGAACGGTTGCATACCTATTTGGCTGTCCGATTTTTTCAGTGGGTATGACCACTGGTTTGCTAAGAATTATATCGCGCGGCGGGCTAGGACTGGCCGGAGTTGATTTAGGCGAATCTATCGATCGAACGGAGCCCGGTTTGTTGTTCTAAAAAATAAACAAGTTTAACCGGTTTTTAGATTGTTTTGGAAACCTACCACTTTATCGTATAGGCGTATTATGACGTCCTCGCATTTTTGTAGGGTTTCCAGTTTAAGCCTAAAAAAATTTTCTCGGTTGTTAACACTTCAGTTTTTTTAAGTTGGTATTATTTTGTTTTAATAAATAATTTATTAATAATATTACCCAGCAAACACATAATCTGGTTAGGTTTGGCCCATTACAGAGTTCCAAAGCTTAATGATGGCATTTTTATTCAAAGTTGTATTGGGCCTTAATAATAATAATAATAATATATTTATTGCTAAGTAGATCACAGCAGGGGTGACATAAGAAAGGTCAGGGTAACAATGGTTTGGCAGGTATTTGAACATAAAGAGGTTAGTAGATGTTAATTAGCATAATTAGTAATAATGTGCTAGTATATATTTCTAGAAGTATTAAAGTTTTAAAAAGAAAATAATAGCAATAAGAATTAGAACATCCATAAGAATGCCTGGCAATTACAAACAGAATAAAAAGAATAAAATCATTCAAAAATAAGACAAATATTGAAAAATATACATATATATATTTACAAGGATGTTTTACTAATAATATTAATTTTGACCAAAGTTTACCATAAAGGACCCTTAATACATAATACTGTGATCACCTTTTATTTAAACTAAATTTCCCTGACTTTTCCCGATTTTCCAGTGAATTTTCCATGATTATTTTTTGAAGTTTCCAAAAACCAATAGAAACTTAATTTTCAGGCACGATATCGATAATTTGAAAATAATTCACCAAATCTTTTCTCAAACCTGTTGCCATTTGGCAATAGACACTGGAGCCCTATGGGCTTTCGTGTTTATTTCCTGGCAATAGGTTTTCGAAAATCTGTCGAATTATTTTCAATTCGAGGAGTTCAAAAATCAGTATTTAAATTATTGTCCACTATTGTCCACCAAGCATTACATGCTTCAAGGTCAGCTGAATTCAATATGCCTTTTAAACGGCAAAATTTGCCATTAACATGAATTAAATATTTATGTGACGCGCTCCGAGAAACAAAACAAATTGTACACGATCTTTTAAAAAGTCCACTAATAATTTGTTTATCAAAAAAATGGACAATGTTACGAGCTAATTTCCTAATTCGAACGTTACTATGCTTCGCGAACTAATTTTTTAATAATAATACCAAGGTTTGTTTTTTCAGAGCGCGTCACTTATAAATATCTGAACCATTAACAGTTTTCTTTCATTAAGTTTTTAAATCAAATACTGCGTTTTGAGAGAACATTTATTCTCACTCTCTTATGATACTACTATAGTATAGTATACTACTGACTATAAAATTCAATTCGGTGGTTTAAATTAATTTAATTGGTTATTTTTCAAGAGAGGTGTCATTTTTTAAATCTTAAAGAGGAAGAACCCAGTTTTGGGTTCTAGACATATTCCGGGAAATTTCGCAATATTGTAACCAGACATCATTAATAGCCTTAGAACCATAAATTGTATGTGCTATCGTTTCTCCTGGCAAAAAATATATTGCATTAAATAAATTAAATCCTGATAAAATAAAACCACTGATATTTTCCGATTTTTTTTAAATGCCCACCCACTATAACTAATTATAATTTTAAATTTGTCAAAGAATTTAGTGGGAAGGTTTAATTAATAAGGTCAATATTGGACAAAAATAAAAATATTATTAAAACATGGCTAAAGGCAAAGAAAACTTAGTTTTCTTTTGTAAATGGTACAATCTACAGAAAAAATAAAGATAATTTATTTATAAACATATTTTAATTTTTTTATTTATTTTAATGTTTTTTTTAATATTTTTAGTCTTAAGTCCCATTTCTTGATAAACGGTTTTTGAAATAAAAATGTTGTAAAGAAAGTTTAGAATATTAGTACCTATACCGCATTTAATCCGTCATAAAATATACTTTACTTATTCATTAAAAATTATTATAATAAACACTATAGAATCTTTAATACCTCATACCAGAGGCTTAATCCTGCCAAATTTTACATTTAACCTGCCATATCAGAACCTTTAGCGCGTACTGTACACCTATATCAGGTCCATTAAAGTTAGCCTTAAGCCTCTATAGAGCCTTTAGTTTATAAAGGTCCATTATAAAACCTTTACTGCTGTGTTTGCTGGATAATAAGTATATATAAAACGTTGTGCTTTAGTTAAAAACTCAAGGTCAAGTTAGTATTTTAGTAGATATAAAAAATTATTGATTATAAGAAAACGCTGTTAATACTTAAAATACTTAACTAGCCTATAATCATCATACTTAAATAAGTTATTTTACATAAAAAAGTATTTTTTTATAAAACGGGTTTTAATGTAATCCAAAACACCCCAAAATTAAATAAAACTATTACAAAAGACTAGGTACATTTTTTTAAATGTAAAGTTTACAACGTTTATAATACAAAATAAAAATAAATTATACCTAGGTATTTAATTTATTGTTTTATACAGAATAGGACTAATTTAACAAATAGTATTTTTAAACAGTCACACTCCATATAATAACATCAAATCCAATACCCTACATAACCTACCTTTTTTTTCTATCTGTAATCATAGAATAAAGAGATTCCATTTTATTTAGCTGCGCCCCACGGTTTTTCTTGTTTGGATCTTTCAACTGTGATATCATGTTATTCAAGAATGGAATATACTTTTCCAAACTTGATAACTTTTTCTCGTATTCGTCTTCCATCTTAACTAAGAAAAAAACAGTAAAAATAACCTTAAAGTTGGCCACATATTAGACAATTGGTATTACAAGTAGGTATTAATACTGTAATACAAAAACATGTTCAAAACTGTTTATGTAATGATTGTAATTTGTTTAAACAAAAGGCATATCGCCATGACAACTGATTTTTGTTTGGTACTGAAATCACGAATTTTAAGGTTATAGGTATTTTTACTTGAGCGTGGTATCATACCACTGGTATGTATTTGGCAATATTTTCGACGTACCCTGTAGGTACCAAATGTTAAGTGGCCATTTTATGCACATAGAACAACACGTCCAACCTTCAATATATTACAAAAGGGTGCAATATGTATATCTTACCTTGACTCTTATAACTATATAACCTAAAGTCTTTAAGCACTATTAATGTATATTAAATCACATTTTAACACTTTTTGCACCCGTTTTTAACAATGTTTCGCACTTATAACGTTGCAAAGGAAATCCTTACAGGCTTTACCTCTTCATTTTAATGCTTTGCGCACAGTTTTCGTTGCCGAACAGAGACGATTTACACGAACTTAACCGACCGCTATTCATTTGGCGCCTCTTTCTCGTAAAACGACGTAGAAAGTTCAATAATACGCACAGGTAGTCCGCTGCAGATACCTCTCACAACGCTCGAAAAATATATACGTAAAAACCGACTTCAATTCACCTATTTACAATACGCGGATTAATAAATTATAAATGTATTAGTTCATTTACCCGATTTTAACAACCAGCTGATCGATAATCGCCCAATTTACGCACCACGAAGAATGTAAGTCGAACAAACTGAAAAATGCGATTTTTTGCAGTATAATCTGTGGCAGTACTTTCAAACCAAGAAAATTATGGCGTCAAAAACAATTCGTTTGTTCTTAGGTTGCTGGGTTACAAATACAAAGATCCATTGTTTCTTAAACAGAGACAAAGAAGGTTAAACAAATGCAACTAGAAGGGCGTTGAAATGTCAGGAAAAATGACATTTGCCAGAAATAATGTTTCTCTATAAACATGGTTAATTTTAAGAACATATTTGTGTTTCCAGTGCATTTGTAGCCGATAAAAAACCCAGGTAGATTATTCATTTTATTTCCTTATAGTGTGTTTTATATGCATTCACTTTATAATTTCCATATAACCTAAAAATGGCTTTAAACTAGGGTTGCCATACGTCCGTTTTTTTAACGGACAGTCCGTTTTTTTCAGGGCGTCCGTTTGTCCGGTCCGTTATTTTTTTGTGTCCGTTATTTTTAAAATTTAGAATCCAAAATTAAACCTTATATTAATAACTTTAACGCTTAAACATAAATGGTAACAGTATAAATATTATTTCTTGCATTGACTATACTTTGACAGATCATAACCTGAAAAGCCTTAAATGACAAATTTTCAAAAGACTGCGTTCCGTACGTGGTCACGTGGTGGGACTTTGAAGTGTGGAGCATAGTACCTCTATGTCTTCCAAATAAATAGAAAAGTTTTTTTTTTTCAATATTTTATTTTTATTAGTTTATTTTTAGAATATTTATGAATGTTTTTTAAGCTGACTCTCTATCTTTATTTAGGTAATAAATATTTAAAAAAAAAAGTTTTTTTGTCGGGGGAAGGGGGTAAGTCCGTTATTTTTTGAAATAAAATATGGCAACCCTACTTTAAACAACAAATAAAACATCAAAGTTCAACAAATATCTTTATTTCAACGTTTTAACAACAATTATAACGTCAATAGCGATCAAATGACTGCACACAATGTACTAAATCCTGGCTACAAAAATAGAAATATCAGAAATAATCAATTAGACAGAAAAAGAATATACACGTCACTAAATTCAACAAAATTATACCGACGCCATCTAGCGGTAGCTGTTTGAATTGTAAGGAAGGTTTCTTTATGCGATATGTTTTTAACATGGTTTAAATGTTTTGCGGTTTGAATGTTTTTTAGGATTAAATGAAGCGTTTTTATGTTGTTTTTATGTCGGGTTAAGGTATTTTAATGATATTTACTGTCATGTTTACGTTTAAATACAGTGTAATTAAGTGATTAACGGTTTCTTGATTAATACAAAGGGTTTTTAATTTGTTTTAATTGGTTTTTAAATTGAAGTCAATTTTATGTCTAGTAATATTACAATATAGTCAAGAATATTTTCTTAAGTTTTAAGGCAATCGGAATAAAACTAGGAGAGAGAGCCTTTGTAAATTTTTTTCTCAAAACTTGAGTCGGTAAGAAGTAGGGTTGCCAGGCCTTCTATATTTAACCATAATCTTCTTTGAAAGAAGTTCCTTAATTTAGGAGCATAGAAGAAATATATATTTTTCAGTGTTTTAAAATTAAAAAATATATAGTTGCAATGTTCATGTTCAGTTTATATTATTGTATTTAGTGAGTAAGCTAGGTTTAAATTATAATGTTTAATCAATACTATTTTAGTACTTTTTTATTTTAATTTAACAAAATATGTTAAGTAGGTACCCATTATTATTTTTAATAAATTTGCAATTACCACCGATATCATTAGAATTTTGGACACTTCTAGTTAAAATTGACTAGTGTTGAACAAAGGATTTTTTCTTTTATCATAAGATATTTTGCAAGGCAATCTTTCATGATCTAGATTTTGGATAAAAGTTTAATTTTAAATATTGTGTATAAGGTCGACAATATCTTGTGATTTTATTTTTATGCGGTAAATAAGGTTATTACGCTCAAACACCTTAACAAAAGTTGAATAAGCAATATCATCATTGATAATCAATGATATCATTCTTATTAACTCAAGATATGATTGTTTTAATTTTTTTATTTTAATTAATAATTTTATTTTTACAGGGTGATTAAAAATAGTAAAAGAAGGTTATGAATGCCACAACATCCTAACAAAGGTTGGATAATAAGAGAGATATGATTGTTTTAACTGTTTTATTCTTATAAAAATAAAAAAAATCTTTTGAGATGGTCTCTGAAATCCTCAGATTCGCTATCGGAGTGAACGCGGATCCATAATCCAATCCAATAATTGTTTTGGTCCAATTCTGGGTATCCTGGAGGTCCTCATGAGGACCGTCCATAAATCTCCTGACGCTAAAAATAGTCAAAATTGACCCTCCAGCGTCACAAGATTTATGGACGTCCTCGAAATCTGTAATTTTTTTATAAGCTTGCTATGTATATAGCACCTACTAAAAAAGTAACAAAATATTAGTTTTTATATAAATTTAAATGTATTTATGTAAATGTATGTAAATAAACATTGCTTTTAGTATTAATTTGTAATTGGACCATTTATTTTTGGCCCTTTTAGTTAGTTAAGTTTTATTAAAGTAATGAGAAAAAAAAATCTGATGAAATTCAGACACGCAATGTTTTATGCCGTGCTATGTAAAACCCCTGTATGTGCAATATTAAGTAGTAAATGACAAAAGATAATTTTTATTGTTTTTAACAATGAAAATTTCTGACGGTCGGTATAAAAAATTTCGATTATCTTGGAATATCCGACCCAATAAATATAATGAAACCACATTTATTCCACCATTATAAATACTTTAGTTATCCACTACATTAATAAATACTAAACCATACTAAAACATTAACAAATTTACAAGAAAAAATACAAAGCAATGCGATGTTATGAAGACCTGTATAAGTAAAACATAAAAAATGTATTTTAAAAACTGTTTATTAGGTAATAAATTGAATACATAATATTTAAATAAAAAAAAATCTTTACACTAAATAGAAAATATTTAAAATTTAAATATATATTTACAAATACGTTCATTTGATTTTTTTGGTAGATTGTCCTCTATAACAAAGAAAACCAGGTTTTTTGCCATTTTTAATTTATTTTATTCGCAATTGCTCCAATTTTGACCTTACCAACTAAACCTTTCTACTAAATTCTTTGGCGGTATTTTATCTGTAATAAAAGTTCTAAAATTTGTAAAATTAAAAATGCACCTACTTACTAATTTAAATTCAACAACCATTAGGTATTATTTTTTTATGTGGTATATCACACTATTAAAACTATAGGAATTACACTGGGCGTCATTTTTAAAATAGGACGTTAACCAAAGAATAATTAAAGGTTCATGTGAGTTTTATATTCAGAAAACATTTGGCACTTTAATGGTTTTTTAAAGTCCCATTAACTTGTTACTGGAAAATGCCATAATATATGGGTCTTTAATGGTAAAATATACAATTACAATACAAATATACACATAATCAGACTTATGTGTTTGCTGGGTTACTTCCGGTTATCACTAGTCTTGTTATTTTGACAGTAAAAGCAAAGATGGTCAATATTGTATCCTTGCTATTTACTAATTTATACAACCAAATTATGACGTTTAAAATTCCGTGTCCAACACTGTACATTTTACATACAGTTTTGTATACACAAAATGACAATATCAGTGCGTTTTCCACCATTTGTCGCCACAGGCACCTAATTTTTTAACCTGAGTAGGTTAGAGCAGCGAATAATTTTCGCTATTTAGTTTAGTTTAATGATCATTTAATGAATGTGTAACTTTTTTAACAATGTTCTGGGACTCTTGGGGGTCTGTAGATCATACACCATCAAGGTGGGTCCAAATTTTTTGACACATTAAATAGAGTAGGTAAATATTATACATATTACGCTTTTTATTAAACTTCAAAACTCATATAAATTCTAAATTGTTTTTAAGCTATTAAGTTAAAAATGCGATTGTTTGGGTAAATAAAAGAGTTTATTTTGCTGAATTATTTAATTAATCTCAAACAAATGTCACATTTGACGATTTATATACAAAATCATGTATTATACAGTTGCAGGGACCGAATTTACAGTTTTGCCCCTGCTAGAAATTGAATGAGTAGAAATGTCATGGCATTTTGAACATTTAAAGCTGTATTGACCTTTTATATGACGATTCTTTCAATAAATAAATGAGGAATGTTTTTTTTATTGATGGTTTTTTTTGTGGACAAAAAGTTCGGAACACAACGTTTTTAAAAATCAGTTCATAAGTTACAATAGTTTTTTTTTATACAAGTGCGTCGAAAAGCCTCGCCCCGTTTTGTATAAACAGATACACCAAAACAAAAGAAAATCCTAGTTTTTACATCAAAACTGCCAACTGAAAAAATTGACGAAAAATAAAAAGTAAAATTCTTTAAAATCACCCTAAAAAATCTTCACAAACACAAGTTATAGGGGGGGCCGACGACGGTTTTTTTGGCGGTTTTTTCGAAAATTTTAACTTGTTTTTTATTTAACCTATCACAAATTTTAAATGTTGCAGTAAAATTTTCGGAGAAACCTGTTAAATTGACAAATTATCTACTAAGATTTTTTTGACATGAAATTATCACTAAAATAATAGTCGTTGACATAGTTCTAATACCTGCAAAAAATACACAGTGTTATAGTTTGAAGATTAGTACTTTAATGATGTTTTAGAAATTTACAAAGTTATTTTTTTTCTCTCAAAACAGTTGAACAATTTTTTTAAAATATAAAATGCAACTGTAAAACTTATTTTAAAAATATTGATTTTTAAAAATTTTAGTTCAAATATTTTATTCTACAAAATTTTCGGTTAAAATTTGTAAAAAGTCATTTAAATGACTTTTTTAATTACATTAAAATGTAAGTTTTAAATTTTAAAGTGATAATTTTTGAATTTAAAATTTTTTGACTATAATTTAAATGACTCACAAATTTAAACCTAAACTTTTTATTTTTAACAATTTTAAATTGATACTTTTTTAACACAAAATTTATAACTTAATTATTGACTTAAATGTAATATGAATATTCTTGTGTTAAAAATGTATAAATTTAAATTTGTTAAATATAAAAGTTTTTGGTTTAAATTTCTCAAGAGTCATTTAAATGATGGTCGATAAATTTTTAATAAAAAAATTACCACTTTAAAATTTAAAACTTACATTTAAATGTAATGTAAGAATTTTTGTATTACAAATTTATCTACTATCATTTAAATGACTCTTCACAAATTTAAACCAATAATTTTGTAGAATAAAATATTAAAACTACAATTTTCAAAAACCAATATTTTAAACTTTAACTTTTACATTTTTGCATTTTATATTTAAAATATTTGTCGATTATTAATTGTTTTGAGATTACAAAAATTTAACTTTTTAAACTAAACTGCGCACCACTCAATGTGTCGCGACCAAAAAGTTCGTTCTTTTTCAAAACGACATAACTTTTTTGTTTCTTGAACGATTTTATTTTGGTCTGTGATGTCTCCTAGCCCAATCCTCTGGCAATTCATGATATAGATATAAAGCTCAAGGTTCTTCAAGTAAATTTCGTACAGGGTGATATGTTAAACGGTGAAAATTTTCAATAACTTCATCCAAGCCCCGTTTGTAAAAAAATAATTTTTTTCTCGTTTTTACTTTGAAATAATGAAGTATGATGTCTTACCTTGAAACGGTTTTCAAATTTTTAGAATTGGAATCGTAGCAACAAAAATATGATTTTTTTTTCTAAAAGAGTACATTTAAGGCTTTTTTGTAGGCAATTTAACAGCCGGGAATTGTTTTCGAATTTTGATTATTAGTGATTTTGGTTTTATCTGAAACTTAAATTTGACAACTGAATCACAATCAGGAGGTCAAAATTATAATGAAAACATGTCACGAACATAAAATCGGTTCAGGATTGGTTTTCGCAAATTTTCACCAAAATGTCATTTTAAAAAAGTTGTCTTTGCTTAGGCTCCTCTGAAAATAATGGAAGTTTGTTGCTTGTCGCTTGTTCAGAATTATTCAAGGAACAATCTTTCATCATCTTCTCTCCTTGTTCTTAAAAATACTGAGTGTATTGCCTACCAAAAAGCCTTAAATGTACTCTTTTTTTTTTTAAATCATATTTTCTTTGCTAAGATTCCAACATGAAAAAATTTAAAACCTTTTCAAGGTAAGACATAATACTTCATTATTTCAAAGTAAAAACGAGAAAAAAAATATTTTTTTACAAACGGGGCTTGGATGAAGTTATTGAAATTTTTGACCGTTTTACATATCACCCTGTACGAAATTTTCTTGAAGAATCGTGAGCTTCATATCTATAGCATGAATAGCCAGAGGATGGGGCTAGCAGGAATCACAGACCAAAATAAAATCGTTTAAGAAACAAAAAAGTTATGTCGTTTTAAAAAAGGACGAACTTTTTGGTCGCGACACATTGAGTGGTGCGCAGTTTATTTTGGTAGAACATTTTTTGTGTTTTTATTTTAAAAGTCTTGACACTATTTTTAAATACTAAAAAACTGTACTTATTAAATCAATATAATTATAAAAAAAATTATTTAAGATTTACAAAATTTTGCCCAAATATTCTTGAGAAATTATTTTTATTAAAAAATGTAAAAACTTATTGGAAATAATATTTTTTTATACAGAAGTGAAGTGAAGATTTTTAATAGTTGAAAATATTTTAAATTTATAAATGTAAACCTAAAATTTTAAACCAATAAAATTTTAAATTACAAGATTATTTAATAAATGTTAAAACGGCGTGCCATAGTGTTACCCATAGAAATTGGCGGAAATTTTATACAGGGTGTATTAGACTGGTCCAAAAAAATCAACTATTTTTTTTTTGAAAAGTATATCGAAAATATGGTTTGGGATGACAAAAAAAATTATTGTGAAAGTTTGAGTCCATAATATTAATATTAAGAGGTCTATCATCGCAATTTTAATTTTTTTCCTCAGCAAGTTTTTGTCTCAGAACTCCCAAACCATTTTAACAAAATTGACTCGAAAATATTTTTTTAAGAAAATTAAATTCTCTACAAAAAAGGTTAAAGTGAAATTTTCCGTCAGATGAACTATATCCTTAAAATCATGCCTTAAAAATTGGTATAGTTTTACATTTTGATCTTTTAAATTGGAATTTTGTAATTCATGTAAAAATCAGTACCTATAAAAAACCGATAAATATTCTTATGGGAAATCAAATGCTTTACAAAAAAAGCCTCTTAATATTTTTGGCTAAATTCATTCAATCAAAAGTTATTTAAGATTTTAAAATTTCGTTTTGACTTTTAAGGCATGATTGTAAGAAAACGGTTCATCTGACGGGAAATTCCAATCAAACCTTTTTTGTAGAGCATTAAATTTTCTTAAAAAAATATTTTTAAGTCAAATTTGTTAAACTCAAACTTTCACCATATTTTTTTGTTACCCACAACAATATTTTCGATATACTTTACAAAAAAAATAGTCGATTTTTTTCGCCCAGTCTAGGGTGTATATTTCCAACGCCCTGTTAAAATAAAGAACTATGTATACTTACCTAAAAAATGTTTTGAGCACAAACAAAAACATAAAAACGTACAAAATAATCAGTTTTATTATGAAAATCAATACAAAATCAAACATTTAGCAAGAAAACATGCATTTCTTTGATAAAATAAGAAAGGAGATCAATTGAAACGTAAGAAAGGCAAAATAAAGGCAGAGAACACAAAAAAACGCAGCAACCTTAGTTAGTTGTCGTAACCACGCCCACAACTTACCGTCGCTCAGGTAACAACGCATGCGCAGCCCCTTTGCCGCCGCGGCCGCCGTCTCGATGTTTGATGCATTTTTCGCAGTGGGCGGCTTGTCTCGGCGGCGGGGGCGTTTCGCTGGCGGCGGCGTCCTAGTTGCGGACCGCCGGCGGCGCGGTCTGCCGCTGCTCGATCTCCTCCAAGCTGAGCACTTGCTGGGAGGCGAGCTGCGCGGTGGAGGGGAGCTCGCCGCCGCGCGCGCGCTCCAGGAGATCGGGCGAGAACCAGCGCGCCAGCTGGTCGGAGGTGGTGGGCGACAGGTCGCCGCCGTTGCCGCCAACGGACATCGGGTTGTTGCGGCTGCCTGAAAAAAAAATATTTTTCAGTATTTTTTTACATTAGGGTATTTCCGCGAAACAAAGACTATATCTAAAGTCAAATAAAATAAAATATTCGTACATTGTTATGCTAAGAAGCTAACTTTAAGAATAAACACGAAAGAGTTTCAAATCTCGATAAAAAGTTCAAATGTCGCACCCGTTACATTTTGAGAAAATTTTAGAAAATATACAATATTTGTGCATTGAAAATAAGTGCTTGTTTGAGGTTAATATTCAAGTTTTAGACAAAAAAATATTACTATAGTTATGCGTTCATACAAAATTTTACAGGATCAACTTTGGAAGCCAACTTGGTCGCATTTGTCAAATTTCTAATGTCGCGCCCGTTACGCGATTCATGACGTTATAAAAGGTTTTCTATGCAAGTTTTTATTGACATTTTGTTTGAGTTAAATATCTAATTTTTTCTACTCCCACCTTTAAAACGCCCTTTATCGTACATGTTTCCATGACCTTTTAAAAACACATTGACAAGTTGTGGCTTTACGGCGCTTTAGTCAAGGGCTGAAGATAGCAATAGGTTTTTTGTCACGGGCTGAAGTTAGTTTTAAGTTAGTTGACAGTTGTCAAATGTCATACAATCGTTAAAATAAAGTGCCTTTCTTGTAAAATAATACTAAATGTGAAAATTATTTTATTATCTCAATACAAAAATACAAAAATATTAAATAGTTTCTCAACGCCAATATTTGAAAAGTTTATATGAACATTGTACTGACCTTTTACTTTCACTGTGAAAAACTGTCAATTTTCAATATATATTTCGATTTATAACCTTTATAATTGTGTTTATAAAATGTAAAAATGTGACATTTGACAGTTTCCCCTGTTGTTTCATAGATGGCGCTCTATGCAAATTTTTGATTTAAATCATTTTAAGATAATAATAAGTATTTGTCGTAGAAAAAGTATAGTATGCACCTCGATTATAAACTTTTCTATAAACTCATTAATTTGAGAACTCGCTCGCAAGCTCGCTCGTGGCTAAATTAAATTCGTGTATAAAATGGCGTTTATCAAACTTGATACATAATATACTATTTTTTTCTATTTTTGTGTATTAACGTTTTAATATATCTGAACAAACACTTTATTATGATGAAAAAACGCAGTGTCAGTGTTGCACTGATATAATAGAAATGACCATTACCGCATTTAAGGAGCAGACTTCCATAATGCGTTTTGTCCAAATTGCATAACTTTCAGGAAAAAAAGTCTGGTATGAAGTAACTGATATGTTTAAAGCAGAATTCTGGATGCCAGTAAATTTGGAAAAAAGAAGTCCTCTAATAACACTGTACTTGAAAAAGGACAACTTTGGTGATATGCTAAACAAATATAAGTATTCCCCAACACCAAAACAAAACACAAAGTGCTTAAATTACTACTTTTCGCCAACGATGTTGGAATCTTCAAAGGCGAAGTGTAACTAAATCTAACTGTTAATCTCCCATATTTATACTATGCTAAAGGGTGTATCAATAATAGCGCAAGATTTCAAAGTTTAGTAAAACATGGTTTTAAGTATTAAAGCATTGAAATATTTATTGATTTATAAAGTACACATTTGGAAATTATGTATAAAATAACACATCTGGTAAATGGCCACCACGGCTTAACTGGCACAAGCGTATTCTTTTGGCAAAATTTGCAATAACATTATTGAATACATGTGGCGGTATTTCGTTGATAGAGCGTCTAATTTCTGCTTTTAAGACTTTGATGGTGGCGGGCTTGTCGGCATAAACTTGTGACTTCAAATAACCCCACAGCCAAAAGTCCAAGGGTGTTAAATAGTGGTGAAAATGGGCCTCATCACTGAAAATGATTTTGTCCGCAAAATCGGCATTCACTTCTTGCTGCTCAAGGATCCAATTGGTGAACTCTCTTCGCTGTTCATGGTCTTTTGGCTGGAGTTGTTGAGTCAATTCGACTTTGTAGGCATGAAGATGTAAATCTTAAGTAAGAATTCGCCGAAGAGTGGCTTTTGTAATGTCCAATTCTTGTGCACGATGGCAAATCGACATCTCTGGACTCTCGGCCACACTCTTGCGAACTGCTGCGACATTTTGTTCTGAACGAGCTCGTGTCGTGTATTTCACATCACTAACCGAAGCAGTGCTTTCAAATTTTTCGATTATTCTTTTCACAGTAGATGAATTAGGAACATTATTTCGAAAAAATATTGGACGCCCTTTACGAATCGTGGCAATCAAACTTTCATCATTTTGATAATAGTGTTTAACAATCAGAACGGGTTGTTCTATCGTGTAATGCTCTATATTTACTAACTTCCATCTGTCTCCTATCAATCTGTCATGTCATTAATCATGTGACATCATGGTTGCCAAACTGAGGCGAAATTCAAATCTTGCGCTCTTATTGATACACCTTTTATAATTATAAGTAAGGCTCAAAGAGCACTTGGCCCATGCTACATTTGGTAGGAGAGAGAAATCGAAAAAATCTTTAAATAGCGATAACGGATCGGTACCCAATTCTAGTTTGTATAAATTAGTTTGTTATTTTCTCTTTACGTGTTCACTGAAGCGGTAACGGTCCACGGTTTAGTAAACTGTGTCCGTTTACGGTTCAGTCAACCTTAGCTTATAATTAGTATAAATATGGTAGATTTAGCAGTTAGATTTTGTTACACTTCGCTTCTGAAGATGCCAACATCTTTGACGAAAAGTACTTTAAACACGTTGTGTTTTGTTTTAGTGTCGAGGAATATTTTTAACATTTGTTTAAAATATCACTAAAGTATTTTGCCTTATTCAATACTAAATACTGAACCAAGTTATTTTAATACGAACAAAAAGCTCTAGAGCTGCCTACCATGCAGCAAATTTTGACAGAAAATCGAAGGCGATAAACTTTATTTTTTATTTTTTGGTATTTGCACTTTTTACTTGCAAAACTTGGTGTTTGAACAAGGAAGATGAAAAACTATATTTTTGAATCTTTTGATTTCAATTATTTTCTAAACTACCTAATTTTAAAGGATTTTTTTTCTTCAAAAATGATCTTATGAGCGGTTTTTTATGTTTTTCTTAAAATCACTTATACTGCAAATACAGAGTTGTGCATCTAATGTACTCATATCTCATATATCTTTTAACTTGAGACAGCTCAATATCTCGAGAAATACGCATTTCACGGAAAAATGTCTTAAATAAAAGGTTAATGTGACCAAAGGAGACATTATTTGGCGCTACCGCTAGCCACCCCCTACCCCTCCGTAGGGGTGAAACGGGGGGTAACTTTGGAAAGTCAAATGGGATGACCCGATTTTTTCACAGATTTTGGTAGTACATAAAAAACTTTTATTTGAAACTTTTTTTTATCAACAGATGGCGCTGTAATTTAAAATTTAATAAAAATGGGTTTCCTTCTAAAATGTATTATTTGAAACGTTTGAAAAACAAAAATTTACATTGAATCAACAATAGTCGGCTCTGAAAACAATTTATAACAAATTTTTCGATATAATTGGCTCAAAATCTCGCGACTGAGCATAATATGTCAGAAAAAGTATACAATCTTTTTCAAGACCCCGAAAACGAAAAACGGATAAGTTTACATAAACAGGAAGACCAGAGCCGTCAATACTGAACGCAACTCAAAATAGGAGCTATTTTTGACAAAAAAAATGGGACAAGAAAACTATAATAAGTTGTAAAAGTTGTTCAAAACTTCTGCAAAGCTTCTTTTTCTATCAAATGTGGTAATGACTTAGTTAAATATTTACTGAAAGATATTTCTCTTGTTAATTTTGTATTTTGGAAAATCTTTTGTTCTTTGTTAAAAGTAATAATTTAGTCAACATATTTTGCAACAGTATTTCCAAAGGTCCAAAAAAGTATTTCTGCACAATGTTAAAAAAAAATACAAATTAATAAGAAAAAAATTCATGGGTCAAAATAACATAATTGTTTATTGGGCGCGCCTAAGTAAGGGTTAATTAATTTAAAAGCAATTTTTCGTTTGGAGAGAAAAAAAATGTACTCACTGTGCTGGGCGTTATTTAGAAACTGTTGCCACGTTTGCTGGCCTTGATAGCCTCCCTGCATCTGCTGCGCCTGGCTTTGCGCTTGCGCCGCTCCTGCCACGTTGCCGCTGCTCGCCGTCGACGTTGCCGCACTGGGCGGCGCGCGCTGCTGGTGCTGCGCCCTCAGCTGGTGAGCGGAAAAGGAATTTGAGGGGTTAGCGGTGGGGTAGGGGGAGTGAGAGGTGTGGTGAGAGGGTAAACCTTGTTGCTGCTGCTGCTGCTGCATCAAGTTGTTGTTGTTGTTAATGTTGTTCTGAGATCCTCCGAAATGGCTGCCGCTGTACTGTTGTTGTTGTTGCTGCTGGGCGGCCAGCAGGGCCCGCTGCTGCTGGGCGGTCGGTTGCTGCTGCTGCTGTTGTTGATTGAAGAGGCGGTGTTTGTTGAAGAACTGCTCGGTCACGCTTTGAGAGAATTGCTGGGAAGGTTGTTGCTGAGGTGGGTTCGAGTTGGCTTTGACGATAGGGCGGCCTATGGAGTAAAATGGACGTTTTGGAATAAAATACAGTATAAACTTATTATATCATGGATATTACTCCAGATACACAGGTTGATTTACACTAAAATTCTCTTTTAATGAGCATATTACAGGGCTCCCACACCTCCTAAAACTCATAACATTCCTAAAATTTGGCTTAAATCTTGAAAACTACTAAAATTCTCCTAAAATTTCAATCAACCTCCTAAAACTTTCAAAATAAATAAGCCAGCCTGACTGCGTTTAATTAAGGTATTTGTCGTAATAAAAAAATTCTTTTTTAAAAAGTAATTTAAAAAATATATATTTCTAGTCATTTTTCTTAAAAAAAACCTAAATATACCTAAAAACAAAATCCATGTAGTAGCTCCTAGACTTCTACAAAATTGTCATTTTTAGCCATATTTTGTTTCTTTTCAACAAAAAATACTGTTTTATATATCAAACAAAAGGATTTTAAATTTTCTTTTCAATGATAGCTAAAATAGTAAACAATCTAAAGAATTTTTTGCTGTATTATGCTGTATCAAGATCCACATTACATTTGAGGAGGTCCATTCCAAAACTCGACTTATCCACTTTTTAATAAAAATGAGTTAGTGGTATATATATATATATATATATATATATAAATGTTTTACTTATGCCTATTTATTTTGTTTAAAGTATTCTGTTGGCCTGATATGCGTTAGTTCTCACGTGTAAGGTTTTTTACATTTTTCTCAAAAACAACTAATTATGGATAAGCTGAATTTTGGAATGCACCTCCTCATTTATTGTTAGTTATTAAATAAACGGTTAGGATTTCTTTAGTCAAGTCTATCGACGCGTTTTTTTAAATAAAATGTTTGTGGTGAAATTTCTACTTGTGTATACAAAAGTAGAAATTTTACCTCAATCTAATTTTAGTCAAAAAAACTCGTCGAGCGATTTGGCTAAAAAACTAGTCAATGTAACTTATTTGTACAAAAGAAGTGATATTTATATTTAATTACAGAACTTTATTTGCATAGTTTATTTCTCCTAAAATTCTCCAAAAAAACTCCTAAATTCCTAAATAAAATTTGTAATTTAGACGTGGGAGCCCTGATATTAAACATATTTCTCAGTGTTGCATTATTAAAAGAAATACAAATATGACAACTCTAAATGCATTATACAGGGTGTTTCTTTTAACTTGAGACAGCTCAATATCTCGAGAAATACGCATTTCACGGAAAAATGTCTTAAATAAAAGGTTAATGTGACCAAAGGGGACATTATTTGGTGCTACCGCTAACCACCCCCTACCCCTCCTTAAGGGTGAAACGGGGGGTAACTTTGGAAAGTCAAATGGAATGACCCGATTTTTTTCACAGTGTTTGGTAGTACATAAAAAAATGAATAACTTTTATTTGAAAGTTTTTTTCAATTTATCAACAGATGGCGCTGTAATTCAAAATTTAAGAAAAAGGGGTTTCCTTGTAAAATGTATTATTTGAAACGTTTGAAAAACAAAAATTAACATTAAATCAACAATATTCGGCTCTGAAAACAATTTATAACAAATGTTCGAAATGTCGTCCTTCCATTTCGACACCAAGTGGAGCACCAGCGTCGGTAAACGTTTGGTGCGGTACCTTAAGCGAACGATTAATCGGACCCTTTTTTATTGACGGTGCATTAAATGGCAAAAAGTACCGGAATTTTCTAGAAAACGATCTGACGGACCTTTTGGAGGATGTACCACTAGCACGGCTCCAAAACATGCGGTACCAGCAAGATGGTTGTCCTGCACATTATTCGACAATTGCTCGAGAGGTGTTGGATCGGGAGTTCAATGGCCGGTGCACCGCGGTGGATCGGTAGACGTGGTCCAGTAATTTGGCCTGCTCGATCACCTGATCTTACGCTACCAGACTTCTTCCAGTGGGGTTACTTGAAAGAAAAAGTTTACGCTGCAATTCCTACAACTTGGGAGGACATGGTGGAGCGGATCAGGAACGCCTGTGCGGCGATACCGCCCGACATGTTGGCGCGTTGTGTGCCAGAATTCATTACCCGCATTCCAAAATGTGTTGAAATGGAATGACGACATTTCGAACATTTGTTATAAATTGTTTTCATAGCCGACTATTGTTGTTAATGTTAATTTTTGTATTTTAAACGTTTCAAATAATACATTTTACAAGAAAACTCATTTTTCTTAAATTTTGAATTACAGCGCCATCTGTTGATAAATTGAAAACAGTTTTAAATAAAAGTTATTTATTTTTTTATGTACTACCAAACTCTGTAAAAAAAATCGGGTCATTCCATTTGACTTTTCAAAGTTACCCCCCGTTTCACCCTTAAGGAGGGGTAGGGGGTGGCTAGCGGTAGCACCAAATAATGTTCCCTTTAGTCACATTAACCTTTTATTTAAGACAATTTTCCGTGAAATGCGTATTTCTCGAGATATTGAGCTGTCTCAAGTTAAAAGAAACACCCTGTATTATCAATTAGTAAGGCTTGAATACTTCTCAATTATTTGGTACCCTTACTATCAGATTCAAATCAAAACCCTTGAAGATATTTAGAGACGTTATTTAAAGCTTCTTGCATATCCTAGCATTAGAGTCTACTCCCCTCCCGGTATTGATCAAAAAGCATTACTAGCATGATTTGACTTTAATTCGCTACATGTTAATTTCGTTAACGACTGATATAAATTATATCAACCAATTTACATTTTAGATTTAGATGATTTTATTGGCCAAAAAACAAATCTAGTAAACCATGAATTATATTAGCGAAATTATTTTCTATGGTTAAAAGCAAATGTAACAAATGTCAAATAAATCTTGATGAAATTTTTATTCTTTTATGTCTAATTTAAAATGTCAATGTATAGAAATCGACTTTTTTATGGAAAATATAAACGTTGAAATTTTTTATAAAACAACAGTTTTTAAAGAAAATTACTATGTTGCCATGTCTTGCAAAAACCTATATCCACTGATATGCTAAATCAGTTGATATAAATAAATCCACGTTTCTGCATACGACCCTAAGACTTACATATTCTGATTTTATTAGACTTTAGAGTCTTTAAGATAAAGTAAGACTTTTACAAAAACAACTCTTCGATCGCCGCGCAGAGACTTTTGGAGAATTGTGTTTCAAGATCGATAATTTAAAAAAAAATGTCAACTTAAGCTGTAAAAAACTGTCTTAAAAATGTCAACTAAAGCTGAAAATTACATATTTTTCGTTACTTTATTACTTTAAAGTTTAAACCAAAAGAATTACATATACAGGGTGTATTAAAACGAATAGATACACTTAAATAAAACAAGTGCCAAACCCCGCCCAATGTGGTAGAGATTGAATTTTAGAATTATTTTTGTTTGAGAATTTATAGGTTTTATTTTTATCGAATTCGTTTGTTTTGTTTTAAGGCATTTCTGCAAATAAAAACTAAGGATTGTCTAAAATCCATTAAATTCCAGTTAATGGCGAAAATGTATTTCTTAAAAATTATACACATTTCCCTACGACAGCTACTGAACAAACACAGTAGATCAAACTGCATGCCCTTGTATCTGGCTGCATGCCGCGCTGTTGCCATATGCTATTATTGTTTCCTAAAAGGGTTGTTTTTCTTATTTTTTAATATTAAAAGTAAGAAAATTAACTAAATCAAATTATTTTTGACATATTATTATTTTTTTTGTTATTTTTTAAGTTTTAAACAAATAAAATTGAACTATTTATTAAATAATTATAATCGTTCTCTTCTGATTTAAAACAACCTGGCAACTATGGTTCGTAATTACGAATGGCTTGGTTTAAACCACGCCCAATTAAAGTTTGTTTCTTTTTCTCTGATCAGAATATAATTTGTCATCCTTGTCTCCAGCCTTACTTACTTGATTCTATACAATCTGTATGTAGTTTAAGTGAAAAATCATCACTCACCTGGCTGTTTAACTGACGCAAATCCCTGCTGTTGCTGCTGGGCGGCCCACTGCTGCTGCAACTGTTGCAGCTGCTGCTGCTGCGGCTGCAGCTGCCTGGCGGCGGTCAACGCGCGTCCCAGGGGCTTCGGACCGTCGCCGCCTCCCCTGTTCTCTTTGCCGTCGTCCTTGTCGGCGGTCATCTTGCGAAGCACCGAGGTGGGGGTGAATGCCAAAGGGGTGGGGGACGAGACGCTCTTCGTCTGCTGCAATGGAGGCTGTTGCCCGTTCGTGTTCGGGCTTGTACCTCTCTGAATGAGAGAAAAAAAATTGAAAGATTTTTATTGCATATTTGAAATTAACGAGTCAATTAAATTTTTTCCAACGTTTCACCGAATCAGATGTAGCCGCGGTAAGTTCCAACAGTATCGTAACGTCACTCTAGTAAAATTTTCAGTAATTTCTAACGAAAAATTGATAGCAAATATAGTTTTTTAACGATGGGTCTTTCCATCTCAAATCGACCAGGGTAGGTCGTTATTTTTTAACGAAATTTTTTTTACAGTGTCTCTACCGAAATCAATGAAACCCGTAAATTTTTTTTGCTTAAATTTGTTTTGTTCATCTGAGAGAAATTTTTGAAAAATGGACAGAATTATCGATTATTTTTTTACGATTGACATTTTTTCTTGAAATTGTGATAACTTGGCCAAAAATTTTTGTTGATAATTGTTGGTACACGCCGCGCGTTATAACTTGGCGAAGCTCGACGCATGTGGGCGTAGCCGTTGGCACTTGTTTACTAAAATTGAAGAAATAGCCAAGATTTGTTAAAAGTAAATATATATATCCTTTGCTAAACACGTTTCATATAAATGAGAATTGCGAAAAATTCTCCCATTGGTCCATTTGTTTTGGCGGGAAAAGCGTTTCGACGATTTCACAGATCCTGCGAATTCGCAAGATTTGAATCTAGGGGGCGGGAATCTTGAGATTGATCCAATATTTTGCGAAAATCGCACTAATTTGGCGTGATGCGCATGCGTTTCGCATGCACATTAATGCAATTGCTTATCATACCTACGCCATTTATGTTTATTTCATTTGTATCGTAGTGTTTGTTTCGTTTTTTTATAATGGACGAAGAGTTTATTGAGGTACATTAATGTTTCTTATTTTACCTTTATGGTCACTTTAAGTAACTTTACTATTTTAGTACCTACCTAAAATAGCAGGGAAAATATCGCCTAGTGAAAAAAACAATGTCCCTAAAAAATGCGAATATTCCCATTTCGCATTTCCTATTTTTTATTTGTTTATTTTATTTACGAAATTACTTCAACTGAGCATAGGGCGTTCTCGCCAAGTTATAACGCGCGGCCTGTAAATGTTTACTACATACAAAAATAATATAAAAATTAAGTTTTTTAAAATTGTTCTTTTTCTTAAAAAGGCAAAATTGTGACATTGCCACATTTTTTTACTTCATATTTTGTTCGTTTAAAGTTGATAATATTGTAACGTTTTTACCGTTCGTAGTGTGAATAAAAACACGCACTGGTTTATAACTTAATTACACTTAAAACACCAAGAAACTATAAAACTAACTAAACAATTTTGTTGTCATTTTTAGAAAAAAACAATTAAAAAACAAACAAACAAAAAAATTGAGTGTAGGTATCTACTTAATTTTTTATATATTGTTTTGTATGTAGTAAACATTTACCTACAATTAAAAAAATTTTTTTGTAATTTTTAGAAAAAACAATTAAAAAAATTGAATGAATCCACTTAATTTTTTATATTTTTGTATGCAGTAAACATTTACCTACAATTTAAAAAAAATTGTAACAATCGAAACATTTTTGGACAAGTTATCGCATTTTCAAGAAAAAATTTTACTCGTAAAAAAAGAAAAAGATTAGAGAAAATGTTCAATTTTTCTAAAATTTCCTACGGGTGAACAAAACAAATTTAAGCAAAAAGAAAAATACTCGGTAGAGAATCTGTAACAAAAATTACGTTAAAAAATAACGACCTACCCCTTTTTGCGAAATTAAGTTGTTAAGTTATGAAAATGCAAAAAGTTGACAAGTTTTTCAAAGGCAAGCATCAGATTCGCTTTAACTAAAAAATCTGTTCTCCCGGCGACCTATTTTTCTTTTAAACTGTGCGTATTATGTTTTAAAGCGATATTATACAATACGCTTGTTGTTTTTCATTCAAAGTAGAAATGCATTTTTTAGAAAAAACCATAATGTAAAAAAGTATGTGTGTACTAACCTGTTGTTCTTGCTTCTTACGATAATTTTCAGTCTGTTCTTCCAACTTCTTTTTAATCAAAGCCTTTTGCAAGATATTTTGGGTATGAATCTGCAACTCCCTTGGTGAAGGAATCCTCTGGTGCATAGCTGAATTAAAATTAAAAGAAAAAATAAAAAAAACGCCAAAAATGGGTTTCCTTAGACGTAAGAGTGATTTATGCACCCTCTACTCTTACATCTAATATTTTGTCCTCAATAATCTACTCACCAGGCACAGACAGGGTGTTGGGACTTGTGGCCATTATTGGGGACACACAATAGGCTGCATGTAACAATGTTACACAAGTGAAAGTCACGTGAAATTTTATACAATACTATACTACAAGGATGGCGAAACAGTGCGAAAAAGACAAAAAGCCAACAAGAAAACAAATTAAATACAGCAGGGAAATTGCTTAACTTCTGGGGGACAAAAAACAAATAGGAAAAAGCATGTACAAGAGAAAAATATAGACCAGCGTATAGTCTAGCTTAAGTTGGCATTCTTAAGATAGTTATTTCAAGTTTAAAAATGTCATTTTAAACCTGATATATGTTTTTAGATTGTCAAATCAATCTACATAGCTCCAACTAATGTCAACTTAAGCCAGACTACTTGTTTAAAGCATAATAAACACAGGGATCTGGGGAAGCAAAGTTCCCCCACTCCACTCACCGTTGGGAGGCAACGGAGAAACGCGAAGCTGCTGCTGCAGCTGTTGCTGATGCTGCTGGATTTGCTGCTGGAAAATGTGGTGCTGCGACGGTGGCGGTACGGGGCTTAGGACGCGAGGAGAGGGCCCGCCCATGGGCGGGTTTCCTAAACCGCCGCCGCCGCCGCCGTGTTTCAAGATTGTCGACAGCAGCTCCTTGTGGCGCGGCTGCAGACCGGGGTTGCCGAGCTGCTGGTAGAGATGCTGCGGTGTCAGATCTCCGCAGTTGAGACCTTCGATATTTGAAGTTTTTTATTTGGCGATTTTAGTTGAAAAATGATTTAATATTCGACAGAAAATTTGAAAAGTGCGAGAAAAGACAAAACTATAAAATCTTAAAGCAAAAGAAATTTTTTTACGAAAAAGCCTTAAAAATTTAAAAAATATAAAAATTGGGAATTTTATGAAAAAACTGGCCCAGGAGATTATTTTTAGCACAAAAAAAGACATCAACAGTTTTGTGAAAAAATAAACAACGCATTTACAGAGAGCTGAAATTTACATGGTTGACATGCTCCATAATTTACTGCCAGTACGGTCAGTAGCTTTTAAAAATGTACGGCAGATATAATTTTACTGAAACAACTCGTGGCAGAGGTGCTGAGGCTCCAGTAAAAAAACAAAACCAAATTTTAAAGCCCAATCTACAATTATTGTCGCAGAATGTATCTTTTACGGCTTTAAACAGCAAAAATATCTGTCAAATAAAGTTATGGATAGGTTTACAATCCACTGCACAGACTTCAACAGCGGTCATTTTTATGTTGTTTACAATTCCTGTGCTTCGGATTTATACTGTTTATACATATTAATAATCGTTTAAAAAATTGCGTTTCTTACAGAGGCACTTGTAAGCCTTGAAAGAGGCCTTAAAGTGCTAAGGGCATCCATTTTACTAGTCTTTTGTAAAAAATAAACCTTATTCTATCAGCTCTGTCATAAAACTGTAAAATTTCAATTTTAAGGTTAATTTGTGGGTATGGTAAATTTGTGCGTTAGATAAATGGTAAAGAATAAAGATTTCATTAAATATTAATGAAATATTATTGGAAATATTTTCTATTATTGTCGTCTGCATCAAAAAAGGTATGTGAAATTATATTTCACAGTGTCTTGCCTAACTTTTTAATATACGCGAAACGAGATAGAAGAGACCTTGTTGTGTTGATTGTTTTTTTTAATCACTAATATGATTTGGTGACGTATGCATGTCGAAAATATAGGTTGTATTAAAATTGTCGCAAATACTTTTGAAGAGCATCTAATAATATACAAATCGCACCTATGTAAATTGTAGTAGCGTTAAATACCGCCAAGCTATGGAAAATTTTAAAAAATATCCTGAATTTCCTGTTATTTCAAAGGGAAAACTTTAAAACCAAAATAAAATTACTTAGGAGTAAGATTAAGAGCTGAAACTTTAAGGGCATTGCTTAATAAATGTTCCTAATCAGCCTAATGTATACACTCTCTTCAAAATCTTGTAAGAACCAATGGAAACAATGAAATATTTCATTTTTTAAGATATCGATTTTATTTGTTGAAAGAATAATTCGCAATAGAGTATATTATACTTTATTGTAGAGGTTTAAAAAAAAGAACTAAAAACAAGTTTTTTTCTTCAAATATTATAAAAACCGTTTTTCACATATCGTCGTTAATTTCATTAAGTATAGTATCTAAATTCGTCGTTAATTTTACAAAGTGTCGTATCTCAAAAAAATCCTATTTTGAGATGGATCAAAAACTGTGACCTTTTATAAAAAATAAATCTCCGTCCTGAAAAATAATGAGATACGACACTTATGGCCACTTGCACCGTAAGTTTAACAGTGGTTTAATTTTTAACACAGGTTTATTTTTCATAACTGGCTTGCACTGTAAATTAATCCTCAAAAGTACTAGTCATCGGTATTCAAGATCTTTTTTCCAAAGATATTATTTATTGACATCTTTAGCAAATATAGAGGTATAGAGGTTCAGCAACTCTATAATGAGTCACTACTTAGAACCAGAAATATAATAGAAAGAGTATATGGAATTTGAAAAAGGTTTCCAGGTTGGCATATGGCTTAAGATTAAAACTAGATAGTTTGGTCCATTATTCCAGCTGCAGCTGTACTACATAATATGAGACATGAATAAACCAGAGCCGCCACTGCCTGCTGATATTAATGCCATGTACCCTGTTGTTACTCATTCACAAGATCACATTATGTTTTAAAATCAATTAATACAAGATTATTTTGCGAATTTATAAAATTTAATGTGAATAATATTTTTAATGTTTTATTTAATACTTATTTAAAATTAAAATAAAATAAATAGTCATTTCTTGTTTATTATTATATTCTTTTTCTTCTAAAATTGTTAAATCCGAAAGTCATTTTTTTTCATCCTTTTTATTATTAATTTCCTGCTCTAATTGTTTTAGCCCTATCTGTTTTTTTTTTCAATGATACCCTTGTATCCACAAGATAAATTAAATGATTTTTTTCATTTTCTGAAAAATTTGAGGAGGGAGCCCTCTTTTTTTCAGGTTCTGTATCCATATTATTCTCTCTTACCATCAACTGAATCGGTCGTACATGAAATAGAATCGAACCACAGATGATAAAGAATCAAACCACAGATTATAAAGAATTGAAGTGTGAAGTTAGTTATTAGCACCAATCTTTTCCATTTTTTAGTTAAATTCCCTAGATCACTAGTTAAATTTTAAACCATAGTGAAAAAATCACGGTGCAAGATTTTGGACACAAATCTCCTGTTACCTTGTAACTTGGTAGTTTATTTAACTGATCAGTTAGATAAAACGGTGCAATTGGCCATTACACATACAAATTAAACCTCCGACTAAATAAATAATAAAAATTGAGATACGACACTTTGTAAAATTAACGACGATATTTGGTTCCCACCTATTGGCCCCGAAAACACCCATAGCAAAAACTAATCTTACCGTGCAAAATGGCCTGAGCTTCCGGCCGGTTGAGCAGCTCCCTGCTCTGCTGCACCCCCAGATCGTGGAGGGGCGAGGTGGGAGGACCGCCGGCCCTCATCTGCACAGCGTTGCCGAGCAGCTTTCCGAACATGCTGTCCATCTGCTGCTTGTGCTGGGCCTGCTGCAACTTCAGAGCGATGTCGTTCTGAGCGTGCATCGGGCCCAGGCCGGGGCTGACGGGGCCCATCGAGGGGCCCCCGCGGCGCGCCGCCTCGTCCTGCTGCTGGGAATGTTGCAGCATCTGGTGAAATCGAGAAGATAATATAAATTTACGACGTTAGATATGAGGCCCATTTTGTGAACATCCTATATGCCATTTTTGGGACCAAATATTCGAAAAATTACATTTTTTTTCAATTTTTCGTTAATATTCAAAATTTCTTGCTACTTCCAAAAATGTTGTAAAATGTACTATAAGAAGTAATTTATAAAATACGCACACTAAACTGAACTTTAAGTTTGCTTATTTGCTGGAAAACAATGTTTGAACAAGATTTTCCAAAATATTCACACTCAACACCAAATTTTTTGCCGAAATCTTTGGAAAATCTGTAGGAAAATATTGAATAAATAAAATAGAATTGTAGAAAAGTAGAGTTTGATTTTTTATTTTGTATTAATTTTACTATTAAAAAACTTTTACATATTCATTTCTGGAGAATTCCATCCCTTCTACTTCTTCTTCATTTTTATTTTTTGATTTATTACTGGAAAATTCCATCCAGATACAGAGGAAATCGAGCTCCAGATGCCATACTAGCCAAAACATGTTGGTGGAGTAAACATATTTATGACTATGATTAGGAAGAAAATGAAAATGAAGAAAAAGAAAATAAAGAAGAAGTGAAAAGATGAATATTTTGGAAAATCTTGTTCAAACATTGTTTTCCAGCAAATAAGCAAAGTTAAAGTTCAGTTTAGGGTGCATATTTTATAAATTAATTTTTCTAGTACATTTTACAACATTTTTGACAAAAGATGTAGCAAGAAATTTTACATATTATCGAAAAATTGAACAAAAATATGTTATTTTTGGAATATTTGCCAAAAATTGGATTTTGGGATATAGGTTGTTCACAAAATGGGTTTATTTGTTCAGTAACTACATTTCTACAAAAAATCTTGACGATATAAATCGAATATATGCGCAAAAAATCGATTTATAAGTCTAAATTGGGGTATATTTAGCTCGAAAACACAAACGGCCATAAAAAAAAATCGAGCTAACTTTTACAAACCCACCGAGGGTTTTGCTATTGGATAGGTATATTTTCAGAAAAAATAGTTCGGTGCGGTTTGATTTTGGGTGTTGCATATAGATATTTTGTTTAAAATATAAATAATTTGTTTGAAATATATATTTTAGCTTATTTTCCAAGATATATATTAGTTTTACTAAAATATACAATATTTTAACTAAATAATACATATTTAAAAGCATTTATATTTTAAACGAATATTCATATTTTTACAAAACCTGTAAACTTTAAAATAATGTACCTAATTTCAGAAAAAATTAAGCCGGCGAAAAAAAACTTTTTTTCCGGTAAAAAAGGAAAAATTGTGAAATTTTCAGAAAAATTGACTGTTGCATTTTTTTCATTTTATTCCAAGAGTAATACGAAAAAATGCAAAATTCAATTTTTCAAAAAATTCACAAATTTTTACAAACACTGTCCGTACACTGATATCGAGAAAAAGTGAATTTTCGACGCTGAATATAATCATAATATTATCATTATAATAATTATTCCTTTTATTTTATTTTCTTAAATTAATTTAATTTAATTCAATGTTTAGTTTTATTTTTTTTCTGTAAGGATATTTTTTTTATATTAAAATAATGTTGATTGCCACTTTTTTTAAATATGTATATTTCTCAAAAAAAAATCAATTTTTCCCAAAAAAGGCAATTTTTTCAAGGCCTGAAAAAAAACGGAAAAAACAGAGTTTTAAAATTTCAGGAAAAATTGAGCCCGCGGAAAAAAAATGGAAAAAAACAGAAAAATTTACTTTGTCATTTTTTTCATTTTATAGTAATACGAAAAAATGCAAAATTAAATTGATTTAAAAAATTTACAAAAAAATTTTACAAAAAGTGAATTTTCGACGATGAATATAATCATAATATTATCATTATAATAATTATTCTTTTTATTTTAATTCAGTAAGAATACTCTACCAATTCGCAAAAAAACATATTTGGTGCTGTATTAACATAACTTTGTTTTATTTGACACTTCAATTTATAAAATTATAATTTTGTAATATTTATAAATCACTCATTATGTGTAATAGATATTTTCAATGGACTCCTTTTTGCAAAAAAGCCCCAACCGACAGTATATTTAACGTTTACGTTTATTTTCTTAAATCAATTTAATTTAATTCAATGTTAAGTTTTATTTTTTTTTAATTAAAATAAAGTTAATTGTTGATTGCCACTTTTTTTAAATGTGTATATTTTTTTCGACACTTTAAAACCCTGGGTGTTCCACAAGGTACTACATTGGGACCACTTATTTTTGTAGCAATGCATAAAGACATTAAAAATTGTAAAATACTTAGGTTTTGGGAAAAATTTGAAAAAAAAATACAATTTATTGTAAAAAAATTAATAATAAATATTTGTACTGACCTCCATTAAACTCATGCCTGCAGATTTTGGCATGGGACCATTGCTAGCCGGTACAGCATGTCCTCCAGTTACTTGTGCAAGCTGCAAAAAAAAATTTAACACGACAAAAAAATTTAAAACGCCGTTTTTGAGATCACGTTGAAGAAAAAGTGACTCACCAATCTCTTAAAAGCAGTCATATCCTCTTCCTGTTTCATTTGATGTTGTTTGTGCGAAAGAGTCGGACCCACGTCGTTCACGTTTTGACGCATCTTTGCCTCAATTTCGTCCAGTTTTAGGATTTTACCAGACATTTCTATTAAAAAAAAAGAAAGTAAATAAAAATGCAAGAGAAAATAGTACAATCGCAAAAGAAGACAAATTGTCATACAAATCAGAAAATTATGAACAATAAATGCAATATATACAGGGTGTTTCACATTCGGGGTCCATTAGAAGTTTCTATGCAAAATGATATTGATTTTAAATTTTAAGAGCGTTTATAATACATTAAAGTCTATTTTTCTAAAATATTCTAAACAAAATGTCACTTCGGGTTCTCTTAAATTATGAAAAGATTTTTTAAATTACTATTTGATTATGTAAAAACATACCATTTAAAATAAGAAAGTTTTTAACTTTTCAAGTTAGCCCTGGGTTTTCTTAAGTAATTTGTTGAAAAATGTTAAAGAACTGACAAAGAATATTTTAAACAATGTTTTAAGATTACAAAAATTCAACCCCCATATTTGCAAACCTACAACAAAAAAGTTATAGGCTATTTTTGATTGACGCGCATTTTGTTCGTATTTAAAAAAAATATTAATTATAAACGCTTTTAAAATTTCAAATCGACATATTTTTCCGTTCCTCAGAAACTTCTAATGGACCACGAATGTGAAACAACCTGTATAAATGATTTAAGAATGTCAACTTAAACTAGATAATATATTCAAAAGAATGTAAATTTAAGATAGATATATGTAACTGTCAACCTAAGCTAGATGGGTCATTTTTAAAAAACACCCGCCTTCCGCTGTCCGTAAGTTTGAATTCCAATAACTTTGTTAAAAATTATTGAATCTTATTGATTTAAAAACCAAGTGAAAGCCTAACAAGCCCTTAGTAAACTCTTTCAGAAAATGTTTGTTTAGTTATTTCAGAATAATTTTTTTTTAATTTTGAAACTTGTGAAACGCACATTTTTGCATGTCCCATTAGCGTTTTATAAAACTTATTATATGTATACATACATGTTTTTTTTTAATATTGAATAACCAGAACTTTGTGTTGCTTTATAGCAATCCATAACATCCTTAGTTAATACAGTAAACAATTTATATATAAAATAATTAATTTTAATCTACTTTTTTTAAATTTGACTCATGTCCCATACATTTTTTCCGTTGCGTTACGTTCGTCGCGTTACCGATAGAATATTAAAAAAAACATATAAATGGCAATTTTTTTGTCACTCACGTGATCAACAAATGATGTTAGGACGTACACATTACCCAGCTGAATTTATTTATTCAATCAGGAAGAAGATATCGGTTGAAACAGGTGCGGGTAACGCGAATGTAATAATTGTTTGTCCGCTAAGTTACTCAAAAAAATAATAAAAATAAGGTAAGAGAAAATACTATTTTTCATGTTTATGTTTGTTTTAGGGCACTAAAGCTCATTGAGAGTAATTAATGACTGTAATGTATTATTATTATTTTTTAAATATGGTTTCACAAAACTTTCCACTGCATTACCGAGTCCACTATGTTACCTTATGGTAACGCAATGGAATTTAGGGTAACACAATTTTTTGACAACAAAGTGGATATTTACCGTAGCTTTTATTAAAAGTAGTTTATGATAAACCAATTTAAAATTATTTGTGATTACAACTGATGATATAGATTACATACAAGGGAAAATTCCACGCAATATTCAAGTAATAAAAGGGACCTTCACCAGCTTAAAGTCAAAGAAAAAGGATGTCTACAAGGGATTTTGTTTGTGCATTACTCTAAAATCGTACCACCCTATATAGTTTCTTTTTTACGTTATCTGATTAAGTCCTTTGTGTAGCCCAGTCCGTTGTGATACCAATGTCTATATCGTTACTTTTTTTAGTATTTGTTAAAAAAATACTTAAAATGATTTTTATTCACTATCACTTGGTAATACGTGTTTATAAATTAGAGTTTAACTCACTAATACAGTGACTAAAAGCAAATATTAATGGTATTGTTTTTTTAACAAAGCATGCAATTTTTAATAAAAAATAAAATAAAAAGTTGTGATCTAAGTACATTTTATTTCAAATTATTTTTATAACTTTTTTTATTGAATTAAATTTTGGATTTCAAATTGGTAACACAGTGGAGATATATAAAGCTAGCTTTTCTTAAAAAAACGTAAAAAAAATTAAAAAGTGCACTGCCTGTCTTAAATGTAAGTAAACAAAACTCTAAACATTTATAAAAATCCAACCAAAAGTCAATTTAGCAAAAAAAATTTTGATCTTCATTTTCCTGAAAGCGGGTGTTTCTTGAAAATGACCCAGATATAGACCAGGGTCGATAATTTTTGAAACAAAAAAAAATTACAGTAGGATGAAACCCATTGGAAAAGGAGGAGAATATAATAAAAAAGAAAGGAAAAATAAATTACGGGCGATCTGAGTTCGGGAAGTGGGGGGGGGGTGAGGTTTTAAGGGTTAAAAATGGTTTATCTCGATTTCCGGCAAAACTGCAAGTCCTATGAAAAAAAGTTAAATGGCAAAGTTATATGTAATAAAAAGATTTACAACTTTTGTATTTACAATTTTTTCACATAACCTCAAAATTTATGTGAAAAATTTAAATAACCAAGTTTTTGGTTTTTTTTCCACGAAATTTGGTGAAAACTTGCCTTTTTATGTCCCAAATACACTGTAATTTATTTGATTTGAAATATTTATTATTTCACCTTATTTTTACTTAATATCAAAAAAACACCCTAATTTTCAATCGAAAATTCTCGCGTCAAAATATCAGCTTTTTTCAAAAAGTCGGTGTGCTGTTTGTTCGTTGAAATCTCTACTTTCTGATGGTGTAAAAAAAAATACATTACTATAGTAAATGTTCTCAGAAAATGCAAAAAATCGAAAAAAACTCAAATTCGAAATTTTTTTTAGTTAAAAAGTTTATTTATTAAATTCTAAATTTACCTTTTTATGTCCCAAATACACTGTTATTTCTTTGATTTGAAATATTTATTTTTTCACCTTATTTTGACTTAATATCAAAAAGCACCCTAATTTTCAATCGTCAAAATATCAGCTTTTTTCAAAAAGTCGGTGTGCTTTTTGTTCGTTGAAATCTCTACTTTCTGATGGTGTAAAAAAATACACATTACTATAGTAAATGTTCTCAGAAAATGCAAAAAATCGAAAAAAACTCGAATTCAAATTTTTTTTTAATCCTTATGTACAATTTTGAGCTATTTATTAAAATTTACACTTTAATTACTCAAAAAACGTAAGATTCCATGTTACATTGATAAACGAAAAAATTGCAAATTGCAAAATTTTTATTATACTCTCCTCCTTTTCCAATGGGTTTCATCCTACTGTAATTTTTTTTCACTTTTTACCATTTTTAAAGGCTTCGGCACTGGTCTAATATAACTGTCTTATAATGTAAAATTGAATTAAATATAAACTTACGATTTTTGTTGTTCTCCTCTTGCTGATTGCCGCGTTGCAACATCTCCATAATACTCAAGCCCTTGTTGGCGGCGGCCCCTGCGGCGTTGCCGCCGAAATGGTTGGCCAACTTTTTGCCGGTGTTGCCGGCCGGCGAGATGGGAGCGAAGTAGCTGTCCGAATCGCCGGGCGGCGCCGCCTGCTGATGAGGGTGGCGCGCGGCACTGTTGCCGTTGCCTCCGCCCTCGACCATGTCCTTGAGCATGTCCTTGACGAGGTTGTGCTCGTCGTGCAACGAGGAGCGGCCGCTGTTGCGCTCCTTCTCCGGCGAGTCCTTCTTAAAGAACGACGCGAAGCGAGATTTCGTTTGAGTGTCTTCGCCGATGCCGGATCCTACTCCGTTCTAAACATGATATTCAGCGATTTATTTAAATTGATGATATTTAGTATTGTTCGACCGATATAATTTTTTGGGTCAATACCGATATTTTTCTGGGCAATTAATTTTTTTTTCGCTCTTACCCTCTCAAATGTTTCTATTTCTATTCGAGGTCAAAGTTTTATTAACATCAAATTTTCTGTTTTTTTTTTAAATTTTTATGGTACAATTAGCAGACGGGAGGTAAAAGGGGGTTACCCAAAAACTTTTTTTTAGATTGTTTTTTTCGGTTTCTAAATTATTTAAAAATATATTGACTCACAAGTTCACGCTTTTAATCGAAAATAATTGTTCTGAGCCAGTAGAGCGAGAAAAAATGCAGGTACAAATTTGGAAAACTTTTCATATGCTCATTTTTTGGGTACCCCATTTTGCCCCCCGCTGCCTTGTTTTGCCCCCTTTCACCACCCGTATGTTAATTGTACCATAAAATTAAACAAAAAAACAGAAAATTTGATGTTAATCAAACTTTGCCCTCGAATAACTCTAGAAGAAATCAATTTATCGAAAAATAATAAGAGAACTTTTATGATCATTGCCATAAATTACTTTAATACAGAGGTACAAAATTCCAAACATAAAATTATTTTTTCCCATGTTAATTAAATTGGAAACTAAAATAAAAACAGCGACCTCTTAGAGTTGAGCTGGAACGCCCATATTTGGTGAGGATTTTATTTATATTACATAGAAACATTTGAGAGGGTAAGAGCGAAAAAATATATAAAATATATATATATAATAATTCCACCCCTAATAAGCATATAAAGAATTTTTTGGGGAAGCACAAATTTAACTTTATAAATCATATAAATTATTTTGTAATTGGATATTTTTAATGGACTCCCTTTTGCAAAAAAGACCCAACCGACAGTATATTTAACGTTTATGTTTAGTAGTAGTAGTAGTAAATATATTTATTGGAAAAACCAAACGGCTATTGTTTATGAAAAAATTTAATTTTATCCGAAATCACATTTAATAATACTGATAATTAATATTTATGATCAAATCAAATGTCATTTGAATGTGGGAAGTGTCTACGTATACTGTTTGTTGCGACGGTTATAATATATTTGCACCCCGCAGCGATTTTTTAATCTAATAATTAAAATTAACATATTATTTTTATTAAACAACATTTTATGAAAGGGTCCAATCGACCTCCGCGACTATGCTTTTTTAAATATTATTTAGTTGCCGCTGAGGAGCAGTAGACACATCTTGAAATGTATAATGGGTTGCATACAATACTCGTATTAAATCGGCAGTAGAGTTCTACTTTACTGCCGATTTCGGATAAAATAATTTTAAGTTGTTGATTGCCACTTTTTTCAAATTCTTATTGGAGACATTTATATTTATTATGAAAGCCCCTGTCGAGGCTTTAAGTAACTTTTAGTATCCGTACACTGATATCGAGAAAAAAGTGAATTTTCGACGCTGAATATAATCATAATAATATGATTATAATAATTATTCCATTTATTTTAATTCAGTAATAAAAAAGGCTAATTTTGACAAGACCTGGAAAGAAAACGGAAAAAACAGGGTTTCCCCAATTTTTCCGGTTTTTTTGACACTTTAAAACTAATGCAGACCAATCCTGGAATAAGGATGTACTATGCTCCACACCTCAGTCCCACCACGTGACCACGTACGGAACGCAGTCTTTTGAAAATTTGGCATTTAAGGCTTTTCAGGTTATGTATCTGTCAAAGTATAGTCAACGAAAGAAATAATATGATGTTTAGGCGTTAAAAATGTATAAATCTTTATAACATTACAATAACAATGGATGGTTAAAGAATTTAAGAATATAAATACTGCATTTAATGAAATTTTAAAATGTATGGTGTCAAATAAGTAATATTTTTGTGCATTTGGTCCAAATATCTGGTTTACTCCATAAAATAATTTTAACTAAACAGTATTTATTAAAAAAATCTAGCTTTTCTATTATGGAATAAGAATATTTGTTTTAAAGGTAGGTTAATATATTATAACAAAAATATCATCTAATTTTGTAATTTTAAGGTTAGAAAAATTTATTTTGACCAAAATAAATAAGTATTTTTGATTATTTAAAAGACTGTATAATATGGTATTTAAAAATGTGGTAGTTTTTCTTATCCAGCTTAAAGTGTACCTACATAAAGTTATGTCAATACAAATAGTTAAAAAGCTTTAACTAAACTTGATCTACATCATAAAATCATTATAACTTTAAAAATTTTAATAAATCACATGTCATGGGTGTATTAAATATTTTCACATTCCAAGTTTCTCTAAAAATTGTTCGTTTTCTTATAATCTAACTTAAAGTAGGTATGCCGAGAGGTATGCACAAGTTTTGTCATTAGAAGTATAAAAGCTTCAATTTAATTTGAACCATATTCAACAATTATTTAGTATACCTATACTTATTTATGACCATATTAACACAATCTTCCAAATAATCCACTTTTTTATTTTGGTCAAAATGGATTTTTCTAACCTTAAAATACAAAATTAGATGATATTTTTTGTTCTAATACATTAACCTACCTTTGATACAGATATTCTTATTTCATAATAGAGAAGTTAGATTTTTTTTAATGGTGTTTAGTTAAAACTATTTTATGGAGAAATGTATACCCAATGCACAAAAATATTACTTATATTGCACCTTACACTTTGGAATTGCAGTATTTATATTCCTAAATTCTTATTGTGATACTATAAAGATTTATTAACTTTTAACGCTTAAACATAATCGGTAACACTATAAATATTATTTCTTTCATTGACTATACTTTGACAGATACATAACCTGAAAAGCCTTAAATGCCAAATTTTCAAAAGACAGCGTTCCGTATGTGGTCACGTGGTGGGACTTTGAGGTGTGAAGCATAGTATCATACTTAATAATGCTCGTAAACTAGCACTAAGCAATATTAAAACTGGAGAAACCTCATCACTCCAAAAAATCTCCACAATGAGAAATCCAAACATTTACTTTTTTGCAATAAAGCTAATTTATTATTATTAAGAAAGAGCAAAAATCATCTTTCATAACGCCCGTAAAACAAAAACAAACTTACCGTCAGCAAGTTGTTAATGTCCTCGGTCTTGAAGAAATCCTCGAACAGCAGACTGTGATCGCTTTTGGCGCCCCCTTGCGGATGGTTTCCGCCTTCGGCGCCGTCCCGCGGCGCCGACGGCGGCCTGCCGCCGGCGGCGTCTGCCGCCTGGCCGCCGCCTTCGTTTTCCTTCTCCTCCTGAGCGCCGAGACCGCTGAAACCCTTCTTCTTCGCCCATTCTTTGGCGCGTTTCGAGTCGCGCTTCAGTTTGCCAGCGTTGCGTTTCGGATCGTCGAAGCCGCGCAGCTCGATGGTGTCGTTTTGCGAAGTGGGGCCGCTAGAGAACCTACACAAAAATAAATGCAACGTTACATGAGCTTTTTACTGCGCCAAATTATTAATTTGATGGTTATCCTCTCTTTGGTCAGGGGCTATCAGTGTTACGGGTGCCCATATAAAATTTTCCAGGGGGCAAACACCATTATTACTGTGCGTTCCATCTAAGTTGGGCGGTCTAAAGAATGTCATGACGCCCAACTTAAATGGAACGCACAGTACACAGGCCGACCAAATATTTTTTTTATTTGCTGCAGGTTGGCCAACTATTTTTTTTTAAGTAATTTGGTTTAAAAAATGACCGTTATTTGCGATATTTTGAGAAAAACTTTTTTTTCGATATGCAAACATTTAAATTGGTTTTTAATCAAATTCTTTAACCAAGGATCTTAATAATTAAACTAAAAAAAAATTATGGAAATTCATAAAGAACTCCCTTTAAAAAGCATGTTTTTAACGAAAAATATTTTTTTTTTCAAGCATATAACAATTTTCATATTTCATAAGCCTATATAGAAGGCTAACATTTTTGAACGCAGACAAATTATTATACACCGCAGTACAATAATAAAACTGGGAGTAGAAAAAGTATATTTGAAAAAAACTATAACTATAACTATTTACCGAATACTCTTGAAATATGTCACTCTTGTATGTTACTTTTCAGCAGTGGCGGCTCGTCGTATAAAGCAACTGAGGCCGGGCCTCACATGTTAAAATTATAATGTAATTTGAAATGTTAGATACATTACTTATTTAAATATAAAACGTTTTTAAACTAATTTCCAGTCATTAACAGTATCAAAACATCGAATAACCATCAAAGTTTAAAATATTTTCTTTAATTTAGCGCGCACCCCTTCCAACTTTAATTCTAAACGCTTAAATCATTGTCCGACCGCATAATAGGGAAATAGTAAGCCCGGAAATTTGCGCTTCATATACGTCACACATTGCCGATACAACATTATGCTCCCCACCGTTGCACGGTGCCGCCGGCTTATTAATTAGATCTATGCGTGTTTATAGTTTCTTATTTCTGTTTAGTCTTTGCCTTAGCGTTAAAATGGAAAGTTGTGATAAAAATGCAAGCGTAAAATACATTATTGTGTTGTGAATCCATGTAAAAATAATTCAAATAATTATAAAAGATCATTTTTATTTTAATACCGTAAACAGGGGTGGCTTTAGCTCACTTTCAAACTTAATCTTAATATTTTTCTGGTTTTAACAATCATAAAGATTAAATATTGTATACCAAATTTTGAGTCTTGAGTTGCTCTTTTATAATAACTATGTTATAATCTTACATAGGGCTGAGTTTCAAAAATAAAAATTAAAAACTGGGTGTGCAATGTTGCGGGTAACTTTGTCTCACGGTGTATTTTCCGTATAAAAATAACTCAATATTTTATTTTATTTTTATTAGACACATGTTAGCAGCGACATATAGCAATTGCAAGGGATTGCCGATAAAAACAAGAAAAAATCGACTTGTAGTTAACCAAGGATCATCATTCCAGAGGATTGCTCATAATATAGAAATTGTAACGCGTGTATTTTTAAGAGTTTTGCACTGATGCAAAATATACAATTTTAAAGTGTAATAAATCCCATTTATTTCTTATAAGCACTGATTTTCCTGTAATATAAACTCAATAGAATCGCTCAATTGACAGGTTTAGACCAACAAATTATAAATGTTAATTTTATCGAGCGGAAAAGATTTTTCATAAAATATTCAGTGTTAAATCGTTGAGATTCATTTACCAACTGTGCTTGTACATTATTATTTTGTTATTGTGCGGTTGTGCCTTTATTTATCTAAAAATAATTATTGTAAGATAGGTAAAAATGAGCAGTACCTCCTGGGTAATGTGGAATCCTGCTGAAGGAATAAATAAAAATCCCACCAAGTCCCGCACTTTTTGTATTATTCTAGCTAAATTTTGAAAATTCTTCTCGTGAAAGAACATATTTTTAAATAATATATTTTTATTATTTAGATTCTGAAGTGCTCCAAAAACGCGAGACCTTGAAAATTTCAAAAAAAAATTGCAAGCGGCGCTATATAGCGGTTCATGGGCCCCACCTTTATGAATGGTCACGAGCCGCCACTGCTTTTCAGAAGGACAAAAAACGTTACTGTGTACTTTTGTAAAAACCTAGGATCATAAAAATTCTTTTGCACTATATTTTATTAATTCGTCGTGCTTTAAGGTTTTGAAAAATGTACGCAGTAACGTTTCTTTGTCCTCCTGAAAAATTACATACAAAAATGACATAATTCAAGCGTATTCGGTAAAAAATTTCATATCGAACATATAAATGTTACCCTACGAGAACTGTAGGAATACATTTTTTAATAAAAACGATGATATACTCAGCTTTGTTTTACGACTACATAAGTTAAGTTAGACATAACTGTTTTGGGAATGTGAACTAAAGCTAGATATAATTGTTTTAAGAATGTAAACTTTAGAAAAAATAAGATGATTAAGTTAAATCAAATTATTACTTACCATTCCGGCTCCTCTATCTCCCGCTCCGCCCTGCGTCCGTAGCGTCCGTTCCTTCTCGACGGCGGCCCGTCCTTGTCCTTATCTCTGCCGTTGTCAAAGCCGCCGCCGCCGCCACCTCCGGAGCCGAAACCCCCGCCGCGACCGCCCCCGGATCTGGATTCGCGATCGCCGAACTTCTCGTCCGGTCCGTTGCCGCCGCCGCCTCCGCTCGACGTGCTGTTCTGGCGGCGGAAACCGCCGAAGGAGTCCTGGGATTCCCCGCCGCCCGGCTTGTCGCCAGCGTCCCAGTCCCGGAGGATTCGGCCGCTGCCGATGCGACGGCTCGCGGTTGGTATCTCGCGAACAACTGGTATCGAAAAAATTGAAAATGTGTTATTATAATTACAATTATTTATAATTTTTTTTAAGGTTAAAAGCCTCTAATAACCCAAATATTGCAGTGTATCTCAACGCTATGTATTAGGGCCGCAAAACTTTTGCGCTGGCAGAGAATCTCAAACTTATTAAAAATATAAAATATTGAACACTTGCTCGCAAACTTCGCTCGTGCCTAAAAACTCGTTATAAAATGGCGTTTATAAAACTTAATACATAATATACTATTAAATACTTTTACATTGACAAGCTGTGACGTTATGGCGTTTTAGTCACGGGCTAAAGTTACCTTTATTATAAATTGGGAAAAAGTGAGATTATACAGGGTGTTATGTAATTAATGTTATATATTAAAATGGGTTGTTCCTTAGGGTCGATAAAGAAGCACCTGAAACTTTTTTTTTCTAAATTCCAAAGACTAAATTTATAATAACCTTTATCCTACAAAAAAGTACGCCACTGATCGACTAGGAACTTTAGGCTAATCTGGTTGCCTAATTTAATTTATTATGTTATGGTTGGTAATAACAGCGTTTCCAAATTTTGTCAAAAAAGTTGACAAACATTGTTTAAATTTAGCTTAATTACAAAAATGACAAAATTAACAATGCAAATTGTCAATTTGGCGTATTTATTAATTGTTAGTTATGTCATTTTTGTACTGAAGGTAAATTCAAACCAAATGTGCCAACTTTTATGACAGAATCTAGTGCATTTCTTTCAAATTTTAGGTTATGTGCTCAAATTGTAAATATATTAACTAAGGGAAGTGCATTTGGATTTATTTACACAAATTAAATGTTTAAAGTTTAACCTGTGAACTGGTCCAAATTTCATCTGAGTAAACAAAAAGAAAAAACCCGATGAAAAAATTAATTTTGTGGTTATGGATTTTTTAAAATAGGTACTACATTTTCTAATCATTGCTTAAGCTAATAGCTGGATGAGTAAATAAATACAGAAGGGTATTAGAGCTTTAAGAGCATAAAACTTTTGTATTTATTGAGTTTTTATTTATTTTTTGCAAGAAAAATTTTTAGTAACAATTTTTTACATCTGGCAACGCGCAGCTACTATGTTTGTTGGTATCTATGTACTCACAGAACACAAGTGAGCACTGCTCACTGAGCAGAGATAAACCAAGTGTGTAACCAGTGGCGTATCACAAAAAATATAAAAAACTTCTAATGCATATTTTTTCTTTGTTTGGAAAAATATTTACTCCTTATGTCAAAAGGTATTCAGTATTTTAATATATAAGATTAATTACATAACACCCTGTATTCTTCAAATGTCAAAAGATTAGATAAAGTATAGTGCAACTCGTTTTATAAACTTCTGTAGGCACTGTTTTTTATTAAACACTCGCTCGCAAACTTGATAACTAATATACTATTATAGAATAAGACTTTTTTGTATTTTTTGCAAAAAGCAAGTTCATAAACGAAAATTTTAATTTTCGGCTGGGCCAAATTTAAGTAAATGCACAGAGAAAAGTTTTTAGTGGGGTAAGTAATCCAATATATCAAAATTTTAGTCAAATTAGAAGGGTCGGGTTCAAAAGTTGCCGATTTTGGGTGAAATGCCATATACTTATTTCAGAAACTAGGTACTAGTTACAAAAGATTTGTAAAGGGACAAATTTTATAATCTAAAATTAAAAAATTTAAATACCTATTATATTTTTATTAATACAGGGTGTTTGGTTTTCCCTTTAATGACATCAACTTTCTTATTTTTTTTTAAATTTTGGATTCTTGATTTGAAAATTATGGATTTTTTACTTTTGGGGTAAACAACAAGTTTATAAAGACAACTTGAACAATGATTTGGAAAGTTTTAAAAACATAATTACTATTGTATTCAGGGCCATACCACTTGAAGAAATTAAAAGAACTTACAAAGAATTTAGCAGGGTGAAATTATGTTGTAGATTATATGTGGCACTTTTAAAAACGATTTATTTTCTTCTTAGATTAACTCAGCGATCTTTTTTAAACTGTAATTTGGGGAAAATCAATTTTTAGGTGAAGCAAAAAATGAAAGATGTAGTAATATTTTACACATAAGAAAGGTAAGGGAGCAATTAAGTTGGAAAAAAAATTAAAAAAAATACAACAAAAACCACTTACCGATATGCGCAGCTGGTGGTTCAGCAGGTTTTGCGGTCGAAGCTGCGACAAAACAGCCGGTATTGAAGCTGCGCCGTTGAGGGCTCAACACAATACCATCGTTCTCCTTTTTGATGCGTTCTCTAGCGTCTCCCAAACGTCTCTATAAAAAAGACAATAAATGAGTTTTTTTTAAGGAACAAGTTTAATTTAAAATAGAAAATTGTGTTTTTCGACTTACTCCAGTAGGACCTACAGGTTCGCCGGGTTTTTGGCCGTTTTCAGTTGGGGTGTCAGATTTTTTACGTTCCAAGTTCCACTTTTCCGGGTCCAAAATTTGAGTCGGTCTGTAAAGAAACGAACAAACGTTCACTTTAGATAAACGTAACTGTCTTTAGAATGTCAGGTGTATATGGCACGCCGTTTTAGCATTTATTAGATAATAGTTTTAAGATTAAAGTTTACCACTTTAATAATGTTTTAACAGAAGTTAAATTTTTTTAAACTCAAAACAATTAATAGTCAAAAAATACTTTAAATATAAAATACCACTGTAAAACTTAAAGGTCAAAAATATTGATTTTTAAATATTTTATTTTACAAAATTATCGGTTTAAATAATAAATTTGTAATACAAAAATTCTCACATTACATTTAAATGTAAGTTTTAAACTTTAAAGTGGTAATTTTTTTATTAAAAATTTATTGGCTATCATTTATATGACTACAAATTTAAACCAAAACTTTTTATTTTTAACAATTTTAAATTGATACATTTTTAACACAAAAATTATAACTTTACATTTAAATGTAAGTCGATAATTTTTAATTTACAAAGTGTAAACGTAAAAAGCGCGAGTCTGCAGCATATGCAGCCAGCTAAAGTAGCGTTTACACTTTGTGAATTAAAAATTATCGACTTACATTCAAATGTAATGTGAATATGTTTGTGTTAAAAATGTATCAATTTAAATTTGTTAAAAATAAAAGTTATTGGTTTAAATTTCTAATAGTCATTTAAATGATAGTCGATAATAATAATAATCCAAAAATTACCACTTTAAAATTTCAAACTAAAGCCTCATTCAGAACCTTGTAATTAGTGGAATAAATTACAACCAAAAAATTAGTGGTAGTACTTTTCAATTAATGAAAAAAGTTTGCAAACTTCTAACTTTTACCAGTAATTTTAATTGTGCGCGGATATTTTATGTCAAAAGCAAAAAGTTTGAAGTAGGTAACGTTATATAAATATTATTGTAATGGTTGTAAAAAATATTATTTTAATATAATTAATATTGTATATGTCAGGTTAAGAAGAATGGACAATCTTTTAGCAAATTCCCTTAATTTTAGATGTTAATTTTGCGCATTGTGAATAATCGTTTTGTGTTAATTATAAGTATAATTGAAACCACTAATTTTTTCCACTAATTACGAGGTTTTAAATGAGGCTTAACATTTAAATGTAAAGTGAGAATTTTTGTTTTACAAATTTATCGACTTTCATTTAAATGACTCTTTTCAAATATAACTTTTACATTTGCATTTTATATTTAAAATATTTTTTGATTATCAATCGGTTTGAGTGTCTCTACACTACTTTTAAATATTAAAAAATGTAACTTTACCAATTTAATCTAAATAATTTTATTAAATATTTATTTAATATTTACAAAATTCTGCCTAAATAAATTATGCTTAAAAAATTATGGTTAGAAATTTTTGCAGAAATTCATTGAAAATATTATTGTTTAATCAAGTAAACTGTTAGTCAGTAAATTTTGTCTTTCAATACATGATAGTTAAAACTATTTTAAATTTATAAATTTAAATTTAAACCTAAAATTTTTATTTAGGAGAATTTTAAATTAAAAAATTATTTAATACATGTTGAAACGGCGTGCCATAGGTGTGAAATTCTGGTTTCTTACACTAGTGCGATGTCCAAAAATACGGGTTTCTTCTGCGACAATGGGGTTTCGCGTATGCCTTTCAGCTCGGACAGCGTGTAGCGGATCTTGGAGTTACACACGACGAGGATGGCCGGGTCAGTCAGCTCGGACGGGGTCCGATCCCCGTCTGTGACGCTCATACCCTCAATCTGTTCATCACCTTGAAAAAAATATATCATTAAAATATAATTTAAAATTTTATAAAAAACTTGTAAACGGTCGACTTTAAAAGAAAAAAGTAAATGCAGTTTTTGTATGAAATTTAGTTTTTTAAAAAATGTCATTTAAGTCGAAATCGAAAATTAATATTTTAATATACCTATACGAATAAAATTTTAAAATTTTAGCAAAATGCCAAGATTAATGGTTTTATAATTGAAATGGGTGAACAGTAAATGTCCAAAATTTAAAATTTTGTCAAATTATATTATAAAATCAGTTTTATAGTTCAAAATACATTTTTCTAAGAATATTTTAACTACTTTATAAAAAATAATAACCATATTTTATAAAATAATTTATATCTTCTCACAAAAATGCATTTTAAATTGGTTTTAGAATATGATTTGTAAAATAAAAAACGTTGGAATTGTACTGTTCTTAATCTCACCGATTCAAAAATAATATTTATATTAATAATGTTTTTCTTACTCATTTTATTGTAGTTACCTACCAAAAACAATTAAAATTTGTGAAATATTTAAGGACTAAATGAAATTTAGTTTTTCAGAAAAAATGTCATATACGTCGAAATCGAAGATTAATATTCTAAGAGATATACGAATCAAATTTTAAAATTTTAGCAAAATGTTAAAATTAATGGTTTAATAATTAAATAATATACAAGTTGTCCCTAAACTTAGTGGCATAAATTTAGGAGCAGATTAAGCAAGTCAAAATAAGACGAAAATCTAAATAAATATTTTACCTAATTACGTATGTTTAAAAGATAAAGGGTGATAAGGTGTTACATATAATATCAGTTTGTTTAATATAACTTCTACTATGGTAGACTTGGAAAGGTGATATTTTGCGAACAGTCACTTACTACCAAAACACATTCACACATAATTACAATTGTTCGAGTGAACACAGTGTCGCAGAAACAGGGGTTGCTTAAGCTTATTGATGCAATTTTTCGATTACTCAGTTCGACTACTATTAAAAAGGTATACCTCTCAAACTTCGATAAAATAAACCGTTTCCGAGATATTCGTGATTACAATAATTGTTATATCGAATTAAAGGGCTAAAAGGTTTATGATAACAAATTTTTTAATTGAAAAACTACAATTTTTTTAATGTGACAGTCAGGGCATAAAGTTTCGAGGCTCATGAAATGCCCTTTTTAGTTTTTTCAATTAAAAAATAAAATTTGTTATCATATACCTTTTAATCCTTTTAAATAATGCGATATAACAATTATTGTAATCACGAATATCTCGGAAACGGTTTATTTTATCGAAGTTTGAGAGGTACACATTTTTAATGGTAGCCGAACTGTGTAATCGAAAAATTGCATCAAATGTTATAAAAACCTAACCTCAAAGTTTGAATGGGACAATAAGCTTAAAGCAACCCTCGTTCCTACGACACTGAGTTCACTCAAACAATTGTAATTATGTGTGAATATGTGTTTTGGTAGTAAGTGACTGTTCGCAAAATATCACCTTTTTAAGCCTACCATAGTAGACGTTTTAATAAAAAAACTGATATGATAAGTAACACTTTATCACCCTGTATCTTGGAAACATAAGTAATTAGGCTTATTTCGACTTGCTCAATCTTTTATTAAATTTATGCCATAAGTTAGGGACACCTTGTATATGTATTAATAATGTTTTTCTCACTAATTTTATTTTGACGACATCAAATGGGTACATATTTTTTTAAATATTATTTTTTAACTTTCTTGACTAAAGGGGCATTCCACGTTACTCGGTAATTTTTGTCCCGTCCGTCACAATTAAAAATTGTGAGTAAAACCCACAAGTTATTAAATTAATATTTTATAATATTATTTTTATTGTGCTTATAACTTATTAAAAAAAACATCAATTTCACAGAAAATCAAATTTTGAACCAATAAGATACTTTAATATGGGGCTGAGTTTTATTCATTCAAACGTAAAAGAGAAAGATTTACCCTACATGCTTTTTTAATGATACAACTTTAACAATGTACCTACCAGTTCTTAAAAATATTGTTAAGAGCTCAAAATTGGACTGAATTATTATTTATTATTATTTACATACGTGTAGAACAGGATTGGAGTAGATATCAATGTTAATTATTGACAATATAATTTATTGTAAATTAGTTTAGTGGTTTTGAAAGTTTTTTTATATTTTTTTTTAACTGAGAAAAACCGTTTTTTACATATCTGGTCCCATCACATATCCTTGAGAAAAAGTTTTTTGTTTCAAATCATTCTCGAGAAAAAAATCATATGAAACAAGAAAATATGGAATCAAAAAAGGATCTGTGTTGGGACCACTACCAAAAAAATCAAAACAAACAAAAAATCCACAAAATTGTTAAACAAATATTAAAAATATTCCCAAAACCAAAACACAACACAAAGTGCTTAAAGTTCTTTTAAAATTTTATGTAAATGCTCAAAAAGTTCATTTTGTGTAAAGAGAAAACAAAAAATCCTGCATTTTCATTAAAATAAAGACGTTAAATATTATAATTTTCAATTTGCTCTTATTTATAATAGAATAAAAAACGCCACAAACCACACAAACTGTCAAAACTCGTTGACCTTGAGACTGTCAATTTAATTTATTTGTGCAAAAAACGACTTACGCCAAGACACCCTCTTGATCCTTCCTTTCTGCCCCCTTTTCCTGTTGGAGTGCAAAAAGGTCGTGGTGGTAAAACTGTCAACGCCGCAACCTACCCCGCCCCCTCCCAGGCTTCGAACGTTCTTCGTTTTTTTCAGGGTTTTAGTTTTCGCCATTTCAAAAAAAATCAATCAAAATTTCCAAACACAATTTTTTCTCGACAATATCACTTAAATATCAACCACGTGGCAACAACGCGAGAAATTCAAAGACAAAAGACAATCTAAGACTAAATCTAGCGTCAAAAAACAATTGAAATCTATAACAATCAGTTAAAATCTATAACAATATGAATTATATTAAATTATAACGAAAAAATCACAAAATTCTAAACGGATTTCGGTCAAATTTATTGGAACGAGCGCGTTTAACGCACGAAATCACTGTAAAGAATGAAGAAATATCGACCAAAAATGGCGAAATCGATGTTTTTACTTCTTGAAAAAAAGTACAGCAAAAAACGCTATATTTAAACTTTGCATTATACACTGTGTTATTTTCTGTAAAACAAATGCAACGTTGTCAAGTTGCCCTTGGTAATATATTAAGCCAACATAACCCCTACATTTTTAAGTCCAAATAAAAAAACTTAACGAGAATTTGTGATTTATATTATTTTATATTTAAACACAAATTGGCTATGTACAGTATTGTATTGTTTAATAAGTAAAGCATAAACATTTTTTTTAGTGCAGAGTTGCAAAAATATTTACTCCTAGACATTCAATTCTTTAAATATTAAATTTATGTAGGTACAGGGTGTCCACAAAATAATGAGAATAAATCAATTACAAATATATTTCTTCTACGACCACTATGTAAAATTCACATTTCGTAATGGCATCGTTGCTTAGAAAATGAATCTTTTCATTGGCAAGGCAAAACACGAATGTAAAGTGACATTTCTGTGGGAAAAGTGACAGGTCTGTGTGAAATAGTACATTCTGTAACAAGTTTGGAATACAGCATATTCTGCTCGAGGAAAAATTTGACACACGAGCCGAAGGCGAGTGTGACGGTTTTACGAGAGTGGAATATGCTATTCCAAACGTGTTTCAGACATTATTTTCTCTACGACTACGTACGAATAGTACCGCTTTATAATTTTATACAGAGAAAAGAAACCAAGCAGTTTTTGACATTTAAGTTTTTTGTATTGTCAAACCATTTTGTGCCGTCACAATTTTATAATGTAAATTATAATAAATTTAAACAAATGGTAGGTATGCCTAAATCTTTATTATAATTAAAAATAGTTATTTACACTAACTAATAAAAAAAATAACATTGTAACAAATACAAAACTAATTTTACAAGTAATCTATGTCAACATCTATTCTTTTTCTACATTTTAAAGGTCTTTTTTTAAACTGTTTGTATCTGTCAAAACTTCAACGCCGGTATAGTAGGTAACTGGTTTATCATTTTAATATCAAATTTATTATAATTTTGATTTGTATATTTGAAAAACAATAAATATAACTAATTTTTTGTGCCTAAACCTTAATTATACAACTGCTATTATTTTTTAATTAATAAATAACACAGTAATATTTAAATATTTTTAAATTTTTTACGTTTAGTAAACAGCCAGAAGATGTCGTTACTTGTGACCATTCTTAAACAAGAGTAGGAATATTCTCGCACAGTATTGCAGAAAAACATCCGTTCTATGATCAAAAATTACACTAGAATGTTACTATTCTTAAGTAGTCGTAGAGAAAGAAATTTACAGTATCGTTTGACATTCGGTCAAAATTTGTATTGTATTTGTTATGTATGTCTAAATATCATTTAGAAGACAATTAATTGTGTTTGCATCCTAAATTCTAATTTTTAGTGCCTTTATTTAAATTGAGAAGGTTGAGTTTATTGATTTAAGTAACTTATACCTTAAAAATTAAAAGAATAAGATGAAAGTAATTTTAACAGCTGTCAAACACGTTTTTGTTTTGTATTTGAATATAATAAAAAATAAAAGGGTCGTAGAAAAAACATTGTGTTTCACTTGTGAGAAAAGCTTTCTTCAAGCTCGTGTTAATGCACACTCGGCCTAACGGCCTCGTGAGCAACTTAAACACTTGCATGAAAAAGTCGCTTTTCAACACTTGTAAAACAAATAACTATTTCAGAATGTTTATAAATGTAAAATCTTGTAATTACGCTTTAAAAGCAATAGGTACATAAGTTTAAATTTGTTAATAGATACAAAGTTATGATGATTAATTTTTTTTACACAAACTGTCAGCAAATACATTTGTCAACCATGTCATACATAAATGCTAAATAATAATAATAATAATAGTTATTTATTGATTATCATAATTATAAAAATAACAACAATCAAAAGGCCATTGACCTAGGTCCTTCAGCTAAATAATTTATAAACAACTCCCAAAAAATTGTATTCGTTAGTACAGCATTTTTGGGGCACTCTGAATATTAAAAATTTGTGAAATTTACAAAAATGTTATGTAATTTTAGGATTCTTACGGATTTTTTAATTTTGACTTGATTTTTTATGTTTTTATAAAATAAACTTTATATTTTAAAGTTACTTATGAGTCAAACCACGTCAAGTGGGACCAGAAAATTTCACGAAATCACCGATTTTGAAAATAATCACATTATTGTGTAGTAGGCATGACTCATATGTCACAGTAAAAAAATTGTTTTAAAATTCGTTTTTTTGGTAATGTTATTAAGGTTGACAATTTTGTCAAACTTTAGAGCACGGTAAAATTGAAAAAATAGAATCTCTGGGACCACTCTGTATAATTGAATTAAATTTTACACACTATTGTAGAAATGTTTAGAGTATATAATGATCATTTAATTAAGGTTAATTTGTTTAAATAAAAGAATTTTGCATACATTTATTATAAACAATTGAAATTTTGTATGTGTTCTTCACGCTGAAAAAAAATTAATCTTGTGTCATAATATGCGGCAAACGTTTCCGTTTAATAAGATGTACTCAAAAATTTTCCTTTCATATGTCATTCCGGAGATATTAATTTTTTTGTCCGGCTGTGCGCTTGATCAGTACGCGGCGCGCTTCGCTGCTAGCTCGTCCGTTCGAACGGTTTAACGGTGTGCCTGAACGAAGTTTAAGTCACATAAAAATGCCGCCAAAAACTGATTGTAGTTTCTTGTTCGGGACCCTTTGGTGACTTAAAAATGATATTTACCAAAGTTCTAGCTGCTCCTCTTTTCGAAATTGTTCGAAAATTCATGATTTTTTTTAAATTTTTGTTTATCTCTTTGACAGAGTACACATTTGCACACGGATTTTTATAAAATTGGAGTATATTATTTAAGAGACTTAGAGAATATATTTTAATACTGTTCACATCATTTGATATATACAGGGTTAGCCAAAAATCACTTATTTTTAATAATGCAAAAGCGTAAATTCATGATTTTAGCATAACACGCGAAAAATATTTATTCCCAATTTTTTTTTTAGATATTTCTAGGTCTATCAGGTTACAAAATGGCATTATTATTAACCTTTTACAAGAAAAATAGATTTGTAATAACATTTAATAAAATAACGCTTAGAGAGTATTTAAAATGTTGTTTAATTTAGGCTTTTTAGTAGTTTTCAATTTTGAACGAAAAATTGGTTGAAGTTAAAAAATATATTTACCAAAATTCTAACTGTTTTTTTTAATTTGTAAAAAATTCAATTTTTTTTAAATTATTTGTTTATAGCAAAGTCTACCTTTGCCAGAGTACACATTTGTACACCGATATTGTAAACGAGAGAAACTGTTTTTATATATATGCTTAGATTTATACAGGGTTAGACAAAAATCACTTTTTTATATAGCAAAAAGCATAATGCAGAAAAAAGATTTTTCTAAAAATTTCGAAAAGAGGAGCAGCTAGGATTTTGGTAAATATTATTTTTAAGTCACCAAAGGGTCCCGAACAAGAAACTGCGGAATTTTTATGTGACTTAAACTTCGTTCAGGCACACCGTGTGCTGACGAGCTAGCAGCGAAGCGCGCCGCGTACTGATCAAGCGCACAGCGGGACAAAAAAAATAATATCTCCGGAATGACATATGAAAGGCAAATTTTTAAGTACATCTTATTAAACGGAAACGTTTGCCGCATATTATGACACAAGATTAATTTTTTTCCAGCGTGAAGAACACATACAAAATTTCAATTGTTTATAATAAATGTATGCAAAATTCTTTTATTTAAACAAATTAACCTTAATTAAATGATCATTATATACTCTAAACATTTCTACAATAGTGTGTAAAATTTAATTCAATTATACAGAGTGGTCCCAGAGATTCTATTTTTTCAATTTTACCGTGCTCTAAAGTTTGACAAAATTGTCAACCTTAATAACATTACCAAAACAACGAATTTTAAAACAATTTTTTTACTGTGACATATGAGTCATGCCTACTACACAATAATGTGATTATTTTCAAAATCGGTGATTTCGTGAAATTTTCTGGTCCCACTTGACGTGGTTTGACTCTTATATACTTTAAGTTTCATTAGGGGACATCCATTAATTACGTGAGGCATTTTTCTGATAATTTGGACCCCTCCCTCCCCCTTGGTGAGATGTGATAGACCGCCCCTATCCCTCACGTGAGATTCTAGCCATTAAACTTTCTTTGCGGACATGATAAACCCAAAAAATAAAAATTGATAACTTTTTTTTGACAAATTTGAATTATAATAGGTACACATTCTTTAAACCCAAAAGTTGACGTGTGATTTTTTTAATGACCCCCCTCCCAACATGAGATTTGGTGAGATTTTGCTAGACCCCTCCCCCCTATTTTTATCTCAAGTAATTAATGGATGTCCCCTTAGAAATATTCCTAAAGTGTAAATAATTTTGTGAAATTTTATAAATAGTAGGTATATTTTTATTAAATTATACTAGGAGTAGTCCATATATTACATCATGCAGTGGGGGGAAAGGTCTTGAAAATGATGACGGTTGAGACGAGGGGTGGGGGAAAGTTCCTATAATCACGTCACCATTTTTATCTCATACAGGTAAATAATCAAAAAGCAAAATTTTAAAATAAGAAACAAAATGAAAATTAGAAAAAAATATATAATTAATTAATGATAGGTAAAGAAAGTCAGAAACAGGTTGAAAGCTAAACAAATTAAATTGAAGGGATAATTTTGGATCAATTAAAAACATGCTATAAATTAAAAATGCATGGGAGCTAGGCTTTTGGAAGATGGGCCGGCCTTCGACATTGTTTTTTTCAATATTATTCAAAACAAAGTTTATCTAGGAAGATCAAACCTAGGTTATGTGTTAACCTTGGTTTTAACCATAATACAACTTTTTATTACATTTGTATACCACCCCAAATGAGACGCCTAAAGGTAACACATAACCTAAGTTTTACCATGTTAGATAAAGGGTCATGCCAACAAAACAAAAAACACAACTCTATCCTTGACTCTATCTTCAAAATAATTTAGACCAACCAGGTAAAGTTTTTTACATTTTGGCATGTAAAAGGACCAATAAAAAAATTCGATAACTGCTAACACATCTGTAGCTATCTTACCTCACTTTATACTTTTATTATTATTATTATAATAGTAAGCACGTTTTATGTATTGTTTAAATGATGTATGGCATATTTTGGGGGTTTGAGATCAAGTTAAACATTTATATCAAGAATGAAATTTTCTGAGAAATGTAAAATATATTTTTTTCTCTTTGTAACCCCATCTGTGTATAATTAATATACTAGGTATAATAGTATAAGAAATCAAAAATTTGTCGAATCCTTTAAGGTGTCATATAGCAAATATTCTAATTTGTTTTGTTTTAGTAAAAGAAATAATAAAAATTTGAAATGATATAAAATCTGTAAAACTTTGACTTTTAAAATAAATTTTGAAATTTGTCGATAAACTGCAATGAATTAAATATTGCACCACTTTAATTTGAATTTTCTTAATTGGGGGCTGAGAGCTGGGAAAACTTTAATTTAAATTCTGCTTGTGCAGAACTTATCTATATAATATAATTATAAACTCATATAAAATTGGTGTGGGTCCCATGCCTAATAACTGAGATATCAGTGTAACAAAATGCACCAGCAGCCACTAAAAGTATTCAACATATGTTTTTGATTACAAGTGGTATTCAGGGTCAATTTTATTGAGCCAAAAATTCAAAAAATTAAAATCAAAAGTCATTGAAATTAAAAAATTACAATTTTGATTGGACAAAAATTGACAAATAAAGGCTGATTGGTCCACTTTATATTCAAATATATTCTTCTTTTATCAGGCTATGCATTAAATAAAAGAAATGCAAGCAATATTTTATAAAAGTATAGGTAATAATGGGAAGTTGTGGACAGGACAAGACAAATAAGTTTTGTGATTTGTCCCATCCAAATGCTTGAAATGTCACTAAACAAGATTTTAATAATTAAAAAAAAACTTTTTTTCTTTTTTAGTCTTTTACTAATTTTCTGTTTATATAAGTAAATTTTGATATATGATTTTGTAAAATTTTAATATTTATTTTATATTATGATTTTAGGCATTTAATGATTTTTAACTACCTTTTTATAATTTATTGACCCATTAAAACTACCAAGACTTTTAATTTCCATCGGTAGTACTCTTTGCAAAATTTTCTTTATTGGAAAAAATATCAAATATAAAAATAGACAATAGAAAAAATCATTTATATTGTTTGATAAACCCAATATGATATCCACAAACAATAAAAAGTATCGATGACACTCATTAAACAATAAATATCAACCAACATTGAGATAAGGTAACAACAAGGGTATCAAAGAAAATTACAATTTAATTGAATATCGCCATCGAATCTAAACACATACCTAATTAACGTAATTGATACAAAGTGTTAACAATTAGTTTATTCATTCGATTTTTATCGAAAAGAAATTGGAAAGTGGAATTAGTAGTCAGATGTCAACGTTATTCAATTATTTCGTGCAAATGACAGTCGAAGGAGGGATAAAAAACAATAAACAAAGAAATATTGATTAAAATGGGACATAGGAAAAATGTGTCATTTATAAACGGAGGTCAATGCAAAAAAATGCGATTCGGGGTTAAACTCACCGTTTTTTGTCTGTTTTTCACTGGTTTTCGTGCCTTTGACTTGTATTTCTGTGTCCGACATAGCAAAAACTTCAAGCTCGCAACTCTTTGGTTATAATTATCGTTCACTTTACAGTCTAACTAGGTATAATACACTTACTTATAAATAATCGAAACTTGTATAAGGAAACCTATATAATATACAACTAATATTAATATCACAGTCAGTTTCTCAATAATAACGCGCACCGAAACTGGTTTCGCTTTAGTCACGACGAACTCACCGAAAATATAATTCAATAATAGTGTAAACGAGCGGTGGTGACTTCTGGACGCATTTGCAGCGCGGTAATACGGGATTATTCAGCTTTTTCGTTAGCAAAAATAGAAACGTACGCCATATGCCTTTCTTTCACCTTTCAAAACCATACGCCATCTTCAGCCGTTTGACGTAACCAACTGTCACGCTGAGGCGCGTGCGCAACCGACTGGTACGCTGAAATACATTTAATTCAAATCAAGTTTTATTTAAGAAAATACACAAAATAACGGTTTTTGAATGAAATACAGATATAAAGCAATTAAATATTACAAAACTTTATATAAGTATCATTTTAAATGTATAATTTTGTGTAAATTTTGGTATTTCTTTGTCAATTTAAACAAGTTGTCATTTCTACGGCCATGCACAACCATTATAGTAAACAAATATACCGAGGCAAATAGAATTAAATAATAAAACTACAAATAGTCGTTTATAAGTATAAAATAAAATCTAATTTAGGTAAGTGATAAAAATAAAACATTTTAAAATTTTTGCGACGTCATTGTATCGCGCATGCGCGAAGCATACACACCAAAGTTGTACACTGAAAAAAATAAAACCACAAAAAAAAACAAACATTTAATATATTTAAATATTCTTTATTTAAAGTAGGTTTATGTACAAAATCATGAAATATAAAAAGACACGATGGAAAGGAGTATAGTATAAAGTCTTTAAAAATGTGATATGAAGGGTTTTTGAGACAAAAAAAATGTTGGATTTGTAAATTTTTGGTGCGATTTTTTTTCTACAAGTTTTTTGCAAAAATGTCAACGTTTTGGATAATTTGATCGTTTTTTATAGTCAAATTCAGCATAAATTGTCATTCTTAATACCATTAATTGTGTCCAGCTTGACAATCTTAAAACAGTAACGTTTCCTACATTATGTCCCTGGATTAAGTTTACAAGAGGGAATTTTTAATTATTTTTGGTTTTTTGAAGAAGTCATTGAAAAATTTTTTAATCATAAAAAAATAACATTGACATAAAAAAATGATTTTATATAAAGGGTGTTTAAAAATAACGGCCATTTCAGGCGCGCGAAACGTAAGAATTACAAAACTTTTTTATAAAAAAAATTGTAGATAATTTATTATATAATATTTTGCATCAAAATTGTCAAAAAAAAAATTTTTATTAGGCTATTTATTAAATAAAAAAACGCAAGAAATATTTTATAAAAGTAGAGATAATTTTAATAATTGAAATTTCTTAAGGTGTGGATGGAAAAAAAAAGATTTATCTTGTCTTGTCTACTTATAATAAAATATTTCTTGCGTTTTTTAAATTTAATGTATAGCCTAATAAAAGAAAAACATTTCTTACAATTTCGATGCAGAAAAATATTATAATAAAAAAAATTGTAGATAATTACAATTATAATTATAATTACAATTTTTTTTATAGTTTTGTGATTTTTTCCGTCCGCATGCCTAAAATGGCCCATTAGGAAAAAAATGAATCAATTCAAGGGAAAAGACCCTTTATTCTTATTTTTTTTGAAAATGTTTATAAGAAAAAAGTTTTTTCCAGGATCAAGTTTAATTATTGTTTTAATTTTTCGAAGAAGTCATTCTTGATACATTTTTTGGATTGTTAAAAAAATAGTATCCACATAGTAAAATTTGTGATTTTAACTACAGCGTGTTAAAATAATTTTGTTTTTCTTAATTTTAAACAAAATCATTTTAACACTTTGTAGTTAAAATCCCAAATTTTACTATTTTACTAATGTAATTTTTCGACAATCAATTTTTTTTTCAAGAATGACTTTTTAGAAAAGTTAAAAATAATAGTATATTATTATACAAGATAATGCAGGATATTATTCATCTACTACAATAAGTAGATAATTAAATGATTTAAAAGTATAAATAAATAAAATCTGACATCTGTCAATTGGTTAACCTCACTTTGTACCAATTTTAATGGTATAGGTATTATGTATCAAGTTTGATGAACGCCATTTTAGACACGAATTTAATTTAGGCACGAGCGAGCTTGCGACCAAGATAATGGGCGTTTTAAAGGTAGGAGTAGAAAAATATTATTATAGTCGGTGGTGTAGTGGTCAGAGCTCCTGGGTACGAGCCGAGAGGTCGTGGGTTCGAATCCCACTTGGGTATGGTTGTTTATTTGTGTTTGTCCATTCTGTATAGTCCTTCGGAGGGGACTTTAACCGTCGGTCCGTTCCTACCCCTAACCCGCACAAGCCATTCAGTTGGCTTATGGGACATCTTAGTTTGGATGCATCCAAACTAAGATGTCCCATAAGCCAACTGAATGGCTTGTGCGGGTTAGGGGTAGGAACGGACCGACGGCTTAAAGTCCCCTTACATGTAAGGGTGGAACTAAAAGAGCACTTTATAACTTATAACTTTATAACCTCCCAATTTTAAACAAAATCACAGTGAATATTGAAATCGGCCAATCACCGATGCTTAACAACGTGAATAATGAGTTGAATTACCTACCTAATTAATTCAAGTTGTTAGGCAGGGAATTTATAATTTTTATCATGATATAAGGAAAAAATAAAATATTATGCAATAGGAGTAAATAAAAATATAAATAAATTTGATCCAGGAAACTTCATAATTTCCGGCGTTTTTTTTGTATTCAGACTTTGTTTTTAATTACAAAGAACTTTTTCTTATAAATTTTTTTATAAAAATTTTAAATAAAGGTACACCTTGTAGATTGACTACTGTACATTTTTTTTTAATTTAACTATTATAATGTCAAAAACTAACCAAAAACGATTTTTTTTTCAAGCGTATAATTTTCATATTGTATTATAGAAAGACTTAATTTTTTTAAAAGTAAAATTATTATAAACTAGGGCTGTACAATTTAGCCGGTTAAGCCGGCTAAAAAAGTTAGGTAAGTTAATTAGCTTAGCTAATTAGCTGTCGGCTTAACCGGTTAATCTAGCTTAGCTTAAGCTAGATTAACCGGTTAAGCCGACAGCTAATTAGCTAAGCTAATTTAGTTAACCGGTTAAATTAGCTAAGCTGATCAGTTGGCTAGCTAATTAACTTAGCTAACTTTTAAGGCCGGCTTAACCAGCTAAATTGTACAGCCCTACTATAAACCCCAGTACATGTCAGTTGAACCTCGAGTTGAACCTAACATAAAAATGACTTTTCGAAATCGCCAAATCTGTATGGGTGCACGTCATCAATGGGATATAATTACAACTTTCAATTGTAATGTTACTGCCATTTAATTTGATTTATTAAGGCGTAATTCTAATGTGTTATAAAAAAATATCATTCATTTGGGTATAGTTTACCAAGAACTGTAACAATTTTCTTGTTTAAAAACGTTTTTTTACGAATTATGAAAATAAAACCATTCACTCACTAATTTGTGTGTGTGCCAGTTGCTAATAGCTTAAGGGTGGCCTCCACCGTTCAATATTACTGATGGTTTTATATTTGACGTTTTTGTGTAATTTTGACATTTTGTCCGTAAGCATCGTTTGATGCAGATTATTATAAATAATTATATACATTGTGTTTATCATATTCTACCACTATTTAGCACAACTACCTTAATTAAACGCCAGGTTGGCCTATTTATATTTAATTTTTAGGAGATTTATGGCAATAAGTTTGAATTTTATGAGTTTTAGGAGGTGTGCAATAAGCCTAATTTTATTCTCTAACCACTATTACGGATTATTTTCAACCAATGGAATGCGAGTTAAGGTTCACGTGTGCTGTCTTTCAATTTGATTTATAACCTCTTGCCAGCGGCGTAACTAGAAAAAGTGCCGCCCGGGGCAGCAGTGGCTGTCGCCCTCATGTTTTTTTTTGGGGGGGGGGAAGAGAGGTTAGGTTAGGAGTCAGTTTTGAGCAGGGTTGGGTATCTACCTACATTTTTGTTTTCGACATGTAGAAAACCTTTTTCGACGTTTTCGACGGTAGAAAACGTAAAAAAGTAGAATACTGTCAAATATCAAAAAATGTGAGGTTATGCAAGTTTGTTGTTTATTATGATTTGTTAAATGTTGTGAAAAATCAGACACCTACCATAAATTTGAAGTTATTTGGAGTTTTTTAACATTATTATGGTGGGAAAAAAAGGGCCACGTTTGGTTGGGAGACCCCAACATAATTTTTGGCATGAGGGCAAATTTTTATCAATTATAGAGAAGTGAAAGGAGAAGGTCGAATAAGGTAATTTACGTAGGTAGAAAACCCTATAGGTTTTCGACGCAAGTCGAAAACAAGTTTTCTACCCTTTTCTACCAAGGTAAATTACCTAAGGTTTTCTACTGACCCAACCCTGGTTTTGAGGACCGTACGCAAAATTAAAAATATATAATTATATATATAACATATACATATAACATTAAATTGTAATATTTTAAGAATTAAAAACAAACAAAAATTCTTAGACCTAGGTAAAGAAAAACAACAAATAAAATGTGCTTTAACATAATTTATATGAAAAAAACAAAGAGATAAATTCTCAACCTTATGTAAAAGTACCTACAAAAAAAACTTGAAGCTGAGTAAAAAATAAATAAAAATGTTTAAATATTTAGAATACCGGTCTTGTTTCTATTTTTTGCTAGCTTTATTTGATTTGGAATATTTTGGGAGTAATTGTATAAATCTCAAATCTATTGGAATTTGAATTATATTTTTTCGAAAGAGAATATTTAATTATCAAATATTTTTTTTATTTTTATATTCTGTCTTCCAGTTTTTTTCGCATTTTCTCTCACGATTTTTGCCGCACCAAGAAGTGCCGCCCGGGGCGGACCACAACCCCCGCACCCCCCCCCACTAGTTACGCTACTGCCTCTTGCTTATTATGTTCTGTGCTATTGCTGGACCAATTTTATTAAAACACAATAATTGTTGATAAAATAAAATAAATAAATAATAATAAAATAAATAGTAATAGTATAATAAAATACCATAATTATTATTTTATCCATATACCCTGTGGAGAGAATGAAGCTGGATTTAGAGTTTTAAAGGTAACGGCAGCGGCAGCGGTAAAGGTAGAGGTAAAGGTAGCGGTATCACTTTCTGCAATTTATAGTTCAGAAAGTAGCGGTAGCGGTACTGACGGCGCATGCGTACTTTAATGCAGATTGTAATTTTGTTTCTAAAATTTAATAGCAAAAGGTTAAGTTTTCTATAAAAACATGAATTGCGAGGAAAATGCTGTGCTTCTGGGCCATATGGCGTTGTGCGAAATATTATATAATAAACCCTGCAACACAATATATTATACAATATATACAATATATTATGTTGTATTGCAGGGTTTCAAGTACGTTATGGGGGTCGTCAAGTACGTCGCTATAAAACGAGGGAATTAAATCGGGAACGAGCTAAGAAACGCCATTTCCAGTATTAAAATAAAATAAAATTGACCGATAAAGAGTAGTTCTTTAAATATATTTGTGTATACACAAATGACGGTGCCCATTTTTGACAAATTATCAAGTCTGGTTGCCCCTCGCATAAAAACTAAACTTACAAGGCGAGGCTGCCAACTGAAAACTGCCGTGTGATTGGCTGGAGTAGCGGTTGAGGTAAGAAAAGTTGCCTTCTTGCCTCTACCTCTCTTACCGCTACCTCTGACAACTATAAATTGTTTCGTACAATATTCAATGCCGAACTACCGCTACAGCTACCTTTACCTCTACCTTTACCGCTGCCTCTACCGTTACCTTTAAAACTATAAATCCAGCTTGAAACCTATTTGTTTTGCAAATCTATAAAATTGGTTGTGATGCACAAAAAATTAATCAGTCTGGTGGAAACATTTCCACATTTATATGACAAAAAAATAGAAAATAATTCCCATTATAAATTGCGGATTAGAGAATATGTATTTTATAAATATATAAACCATCCATTAATCAAAATTTGCTTGTAAAAAACTCCTAATAAACATCCCCAACCGCTATAAACAGTCAAGAATACAGGAGCGTTAGATTGTGCCTGGGCACGTATGAATAGACCTTAACGCTGACCATATGCCGTTGATGACGCGCACACATGGAGATTTGGCCGCGACTATACGTGCCAAAAACTTGACATTTTCTTGTAAAAACAAAAACCATCGCAACACAACCCAACAAAATCACTTTGCTTAGTTCTTAAACAACGGATCGACAGCCCTCAAAAACTCCGTCTGGAATTTCGCCAAACTGAACCGATCGACGGAGGCCTTGGCGCGCTCCCTAACCTCGCCGTTCTCCCCGTCGGTCCTGTCGAGTACGAACTTGAGACAGTGCGCGAACTCCTGCGGCGTGACCGCCAGGAAACCTAACCTCGAACCCTCGGAGGTTTCGATGATGTCCAGCAGAGGGCCGCCGGAGCGGTGCGCCACCATAATCAAGCCGGCGGCCATCTGCTCCACTATCGAGATGCCGAAGTGCTCGCAGAACATCGTGTGGATGCCTATGTAGGCCTTCCGGAACTCGTCTATCAGATCTTTGTAGGGGACGTTGATCTTGAACTCCACGTTGTTTTCGAGCGATAAATGTTTGCTCAAGTCTTTCAGATCTTTGGCCCTTTCGTTGTCGTTGGTGTTCCTGCAGCTGCCGCACAAAACCAGCGTTATTTTACTGAACAAATCTTCGTGTATGATCTCCCTTAATTCGTAGAGAGCTTGCAGTTGCAGTTGATGATCTTTTTCGGGTCGAAACTGCGCCAAGGATAAAATACGAATGTTATCGGGCCTTTCCAAACTTCTTGGTATTTTTTTCAAGTGGTCCACCTCGCATGGCGGGTAGACTAGGTGTAAAGGTTTGGACCACAGTAGGTTTAAATGCTCTAGGGTGAATGTAGAGTTTACCATTGTGATGTCTGAGCATTGGCCTGCTAAAGAGTATATCTAAAAATATAAAAAAAATCTTTAGACAGTAATATTTAGCTTAAAATGACAATTAAAATATTTTTAATAAAGCTAGCTTAGGATCTTAAGATAGCTAGCTTAAGATTAATTAATTAACTTAAACTGAATAACTGTATTAGGATTGTCAACCTGGATAAAAAAAGTTAACTTAAGCAACTGTATATCGAACAGAGTTGCAAATAATGTATTAAAATAATGATCATTATGATCATACTCGAGTAATGAGTTTAATTTTCATTATGCATCACTTCTTTTTAATGAAAATTAAATTGATTACATTTTTTTCAATGAGTAATCCCTGATAGCATAGTTTATTCTAAGAATGTTTTTTAAACCTTCCAGTGGGAATATTCTTAGGATCATGCTATATTTCTTCTAGTCATGTTCTAAGAATGTTTTTTAAACCTTCCAGTGAGAATATTCTTAGGATCATGCTATATTTCTTCTAGTCATGTTCTAAGAATGTTTTTTAAACCTTCCAGTGAGAATATTCTTAGAATCATACTATATTTCTTCTAAAAAACATGCTTAAAAGAAATATAGCATAATCCTAAAAATATTCTCACTGGCCTATAGGCAGAAGGTGCAAAGTTTAGTGGTAAAAATTAATCCACTCTAAACATATGCTTAGAATGTTGATAAAGTAATTGCTATAGAAAGTTCATTTAGGAATATTCCTGGAACATTCTGTTGAGCATATTCAGTTCAGTTAGGTATACCTATATAGGTATATATAATAGTAAAATATACCATAATTATAATAATCTACATATAAAGGTACATATACTTAGTATTAAATACTAAGTAAAAAACACAACCCAAAATATTTTTTTATAGTTACCTACTTGTCAAATTACAACAATATTCGGTAACAAAAATACTTTTACTATAGGTATCTAAATTATCCGGCTTTTACATAAAATTTTCTATCCAACTTAAATACAATGAAAAATGTTTTTTTTATGAAGAACTATTTGGTTTTTTCTTTTATGAAGAATTATTTTATAAGGAAATATTTTGTTTTTTTTTATATTTTATTTTTTGTTAAAAATAAATATTTATTAATTTGTATACCGATTTTCTATATCTGAATTAACATTTTTATGTATAATAATCCTAACTATCTTCAACTTCAATCTAATCTGACTTATCCCACAAAATTGTCCAATTTTACTTTTTATGAAATAATGTCATACAACTTATGGTTTAGAGGTCAAATTGTTTATTTAATATTTTTAAATAAATATATATTAATATGCCGCAAAATTTTTAAAGGGGACGACAAATACATTTCACTGTCATATTATGACAGTGAGGCCTATTTGTCGCCTCCTGAAGAATTTTACGAATGTAGAATCCAACATATTAGAACGTGGGTATCTGACATATTTGGAAATATTCTCAAAAGCTTCCTAGAAGCTCCATAAGAAACCTTCTAAGAACATTCCAAAAACGTATTCTTAAAATGTTCTTAGAATGCTTTTTAGGAAGGTTTTAAGAAGCTTCTAAGAATCTAATTGCATCATTAAAAGGGTATCTATTGAATGTTTTAAAAGTCCCTAAAGACATTCTTAGCAATAAGGGAAGGTTCTAAGAATATTCCATTATTCCGGGTCATATCTTCTTAGAAGATTCTTAGAATCAAATTTTGCTATCAGGGATGTATTCTTTTTTACATTACTCATTTTTAATTTGCAATGAGTAATTTGAGATTTTCAATTACAATTATTTATGTAAATGAGTAATATACTCACTATACATTACTCATTTTTTATTTTTAATGAAGTATCGAATTACTCATTTTTAGTGGGCAAGGAAGATATTTTATTGCATGACACGGTTTGCAATAGATAGAAGTATAATTGATCTTTTACAAAACATGGAGTTTGTGTTTTTATTTTAATAGTCACCTTTATTAAAGAAAAAGATTAAATTTTAATGAAAATTATTAATCTTATCAGAGAAAAAAATTTAACACATAATTTGCAAATTAAACACGACAGATATCTTTAAAACCCTAAGAAAGGCACACTGCTTAAACTCTAGAAAAAAAAACAATAAACATCAGTAACAATAGAAACATTAGAAAGACAATACTAACCAAACACCATAAAATAATAAAGAAAAAAGACAAAACTTCCTAATCGAACTATCGCGGTGATACACCACAGCTGTGTAGGACAATAAATCTGTCAACAACAAATGCGTAAGGCAAACCCAAATGAGACCAATAATAAACATTAGACACACAGAATAAACTAACACATTAATCATTATAACCCTAACATACGGCCATTCCAAGCCCATGGACAGGACACATCAGAAACATGTCTAAATATATTCTTGTTACTTCCTTAAGTTTACTTATTTTTTCTACGAGTATTTATGAGAAGTATTAGCCAAATTTGGCTAATACTTCTCATAAATACTCGTAGAAAAAATAAGTAAACTTAAGGTAGTAACAAGAATATATTAAGACATGTTTCTGATGTGTCCTGTCCATGGGCTTGGAATGGCCGCATAGTAAAAACAGCATAATAAACAAACTCTATTGGATTTGTAAACATTAGATATAACAGAATAATTGCGCTTGTCATTTGTTTAACTAATAAATAAATGCAAAACTTAATTTTGGAATTTAAGAAAAAAAAGACAAAACTCTAACACAAAACGTGCTTGGGCAAAACAATAACTAAATTTTTTTTTTTTAGAAATTTCGCCCTACACTAAGGAAATAGGCGCTAATTTTTAGCGGCTAATTAATTTTCCACAAGAGCGTACATATTTTACAACTGGCAACATTGCTTTAAATCTGAAAACAGACTATAAAGTGACGTCATAACTGCGTGACCGCGAAACCAGAGATTTTTAAATTTAAATGAACTTCAATTTATAACAAAGTAATTTTGACAATAATTAATAAGCTTTTATTACATAATTATTTTAAATTTAATGTTTGTTTGTTTTAAATTAAAAAAGGATTTTTTTGTAAATGCAAACTCCCAATCAAAGATATTGGGGGTACCTACAATCTGTTATATGACAAATTACTTGTTTTACACTATTTTTTTAAACTTGCAAAACAGTTTTTAATTTTGAACAGTTTTGTCAACTGTTGAAAAAATTCAAAACAAAAAATTTCAGTGGTCTTCAATCAAAAGAATACTAACCCAAGAAAATAAGTGATAATATACCAACTTTAAGTTGGTAAAAAGAGCACTTCTAGCAATAAAACTCCTATTATTATACAGGGCCCTCCTATTTTGCACCCTCTTAAGCATTTCTGTTGTTATAGTAGGATAGTGTATATAAGATCCAGTTTTACAATGACCAAGAATCTTAAATACTGTCAAGGCAAAAGTAAAACCGGTTGTATCAATACAAATATCTAAAATAAATATTTGATTAGAATTTGTTGGAAGTAGAAATGTTGTACATACCTGGATTAACTTGATTTAAACCCTCGAAACCCAAAAACATAGAGCCTATTGCTTGTCCAAGTAAAGTAAAGTATGGGTACATATCTCCTTCAACCCATCTGCGTTTCTTCAAATATACAAACTTAACAGTATTTTTTACCTTAACATTAAGGTTTTTATTCACATTCTGCAAGATTTCAGAGGCTGAAGCCTCTACATCACCTGTGTAAATGTAAATTTCACTATTTGGGAACCTTGAACGTAAAAAGTTATAAAATCTCAAATAAAAATATTTTTAAAATTATATCATACTTATTTTGTAGTGCCTGCACTGCAACCCACAATACCTTTTCGCCACCACCCCCAGCATTGCAATAAGGATGAAAAATTCCAACCTTAGTTTTGCCGTTGGAATTTTTTTCTCTTTCAAGTCGAAATTTACGGCGATAATGGAAAAATAAAACGGGCAAAAGTACGCCAAATATTGTAAACGATCCATATATCACTGCCCATACCATATTCATTGAAAAAACAAAGGAAAACCTTAAAAAATCCCGAAAAATCGATTTTGAATTCTGAGGTTATATCATCAAAAATCTAAATATATCAGTTAAATAGCATGACACGCGTTTTAAATTTAAAATATCTTGAAATATTAATATAATCATACTTACATTAACATTAAAAATCTATCCATATTGATATTTTTATCTAAAACTTTAAAATCTGACGTTTACATTTTTTGACAACTGTCACATTACGTCCGTTCGCCTTCTCCACTAACTCCACTTTAGTACACTAAAAGAAAACTAGTGCATTATGTTAGTTGCAACATCCCTGCAAATATTTATAAACATTTAAATGTTGAAATTGCAACTTTAAAACATTATACAGTGTATTATCATTGATTACTCAACGGAATAATATACACAACTTTCAAAATTAGTGTACACTATAAAATCGAAGAATCGAACAGACCCTTTTTTATCACGTTGGCCAAGCTGTTTTTACGTTGGCAGCATTGAAATTTTATGGCGCCATAACCTTAAAAACGTCAAAATTTGAAAATTTTAACAACAAAACAAAACATGGTAAATATTTTATTTTTGGATGACGTTCTTATAACTTTATTTTGTTTTTAGAGACGCAGTAAAGCCCCCAGTCAGGTTTTAAAGAGTAATGGCAGCCCTGTGCAGAATAAACTTGTTATTGCAACTTCAAACAGTAAAAGGTTACGAGACAGATCTGTTCCAGAAAAAGATACCAAAATACGAAAACCATTGACTCAAATTAATACTGAAATTATATTTGTATCCGACCACGTAAGATTTAAAATAATTTACGCAAAATTTTTATTCAAATTGGTTATTTTAGGAGGAATTAATAAAAAAGTTACAACGGCCATTTAAATGCCCCATACCAAACTATGAAGGGTGTAATTCCACAAGAAACCTTGGTATTAGAAGGTCACAGGTTAAAAGGTCATTGTATGACCCTAATATGCCAAATGCATTGGTTTTATATACACCTCCTGAGCTAACTGAACATGACAAACTAAAAAGTGATAAGTAAGATACTTTTATGTTTTTACATATAAATTTCTGTTTTTATATGTGCATGAAGTATATACAATAATTATTGTATATACATTAATTATTAACTTTAATTTGACATGTAATATTTTAAAATTGATAAATAATTGACCAAGGTAGGGGCTTTTAAAGTTTGTCAAAATTTAATTAAATTAATGTCTTAAGACAAGAAAAAATGAAACACCTTTATGTTTTGTGAAATATTTTAAAAATTTAGTAGGTACTGCCCATATTAAGATTATGTTACATTAAAGATGATAAAATTGTCTATGATTTAAGAGGCTATTTTTAAAATTGGTCCATAAGTGACAGAGTTATAGGCAGTCAAAATTTGTTATATTTTTGTTTTATTTCTAGTGTCATTTTAGTACATGTAGTGGTTGACCCATTGCTGGGTAATATCCTCAGGCCTCACCAAAGAGAAGTAAGGATATAACTACAAAAAAAACATAATTTAATTTTTTTCTTATACAGGGTGTTAAATTTATGTACGAATGTGTCACTGGGGTAAGAATACCTGATTGTTATGGTTGCATTATGGCAGATGAAATGGGTTTAGGTAAAACTCTGCAATGTATTACATTATTGTGGACTTTGGTAAGACAAGGACCTGAGTGTAAACCAACAATAGAAAAAGGTATAATTGTGTGCCCTAGCTCATTGGTTAAAAATTGGAGTAATGAAATAAATAAGGTAAATTTTCAGTCAATATAAATATTATTGTATAACTGTGTCATATATAATTTACATACCCAGCAAACACAACTGTACAGGTTCTATAGGCCCTTTATAAACGTGCCTTTAATTAACTAAATGCCCTATAAAGGCTAACTCTAATGGAACTGTACAAATTATGTCATATTCACCTTTAGGGGGGCATGTTACAGCAGTCAATAAAGGCACTTACAAGAACCATTCCATTTTTTGATATGGCAGATTAAAGGTACAAATGTGACAAGCTAAAGTTTCTGATATGGGGTATTAAGGATTTTATAGTGGTTATTTTAATAATTTTTAATGGATAAGTGAAGTATCTATTATGGTGGATTAAATGTGGTAGGTATATATTTATTAAATAAGGCCACGATAATCAAAAATTGTCATACCTACCGTCACAATACAATTTATGACGGTCGGGATAAAATTTTCCGAAAATATGGTGGAATATCCGACCCAATAAATATAAACAAACCACATTTAATCCACTATAATAAATACTTACAAATTACACAAAATTAATTACAAAGCAATGTGTTGTATCAAACACCTGTAGAAGTAAAACAAAAATTTTATTTTAAAAAATGCTAATTAGGTAATAAATGAAATCCATAATATTTAAATAAATAAAAAAAATCCTTAAACTAAATAGAAAATATTTTAAATTAAAATATATATTTAGAAATAAGTTCACTTGATTTTTTTGGTACATTTTTCTATATAACAAAAAAACAGGTTTTCTTTGCTATTATTAATAATTAATATTTTTTATTCGCAATTGCCCCAATTTTAAACTTTTCAATTAAACCTTTCTACTAAATTTTTTGGCGGTATTTTGTCTGCAATAAGTTTTAAAATTTGTAAAATTAAAAATGCACCTACTTACTCATTTAAATTTAAGAACCATTACATATTATTTTTTTTTTATGTGGTATAACACACTATTAAAACTATATGAATTACACTATGCTTCATTTTTAAAATATAGAGTTAACCAAAGAATAATTAAAGGTTCATGTAAGTTTTATATATAGAAAACATTTGGCACTTAAATGGTTTTTTATAGTCCCATTATCTTGATACTGAAAATTGCCATATATGGGTCTTTTATGGTAAAATATACAAATATCGACAAGACATAAGACATTAAATTTGAAAAAAAAAGTTCAATAGATATGTATACATTTATAAATTAATGAATAAAGTATATTTGCATTGTATATTGTATATTTGTATGACTATAGTTATAGCTATATAAGATAATGTTGCGTTATCACTGTGATAGATATACAGGGTGTTATGTAATTAATGTTATATATTAAAATACTAAATACCTTTTGACATAAGGAATAAAGGAAAAATATTAAAAAAAAAAATTTCCAAAGATAAAGAAAAAATATGCATTAGAAGTTTTTTTATATTTTTTGTGATACGCCACTGGTTACACACTCGGTTTATCTCTGCACACTTGTATTCTGTGAGTACATAGATACCAACCAACAAAGTAGCTACGCGTTGCCAGATGTAAAAAATTGTTACTAAACATTTTTTTGCAAAAAATAAATAAAAACTCAATAAATACAAAAGTTTTATGCCCTTAAAGCTCTAATACCCTTCTGTATTTATTTACTCATCCAGCTATTAGCTTTAGCAATGATTAGAAAATTTAGTACCTATTTTAAAAAATCCATAACCACAAAATTAATTTTTTCATCAGTTTTTTTCTTTCTGTTTACTCAGATGAAATTGAGACCAGTTCACAGGTTAAACTTTAAACATTTAATTTGTGTAAATAAATCCAAAAGCACTTCCCTTAGTTAAGATATTTACAATTTGAAAACATAACCTAAAATTTGAAAGAAATGCACTAGATTGTCATAAAAGTTGGCAGATTTTGTTTGAATTTACCTTCAGTACAAAAATGACATAACCAACAATTAATAAAAACGCCAAATTGACAATTTGCATTGTTAATTTTGTCATTTTTGTAATTAAGCTAAATTTAAACAATGTTTGTCAACTTTTTTGAGAGATTTTGGAAACACTGTTGCTACCAACCATAACATAATAAATCCACCAGATTAGCCTAAAGTTCCTAGTCGATCAGTGGCGTACTTTTTGGTAGGATAAAGGTTATTATAAATTATTTTTAAACTTTGGAATTTAGAAAAAAAAAGTTTCAGGTGCTTCTTTATATATGGACCCTAAGGAACAACCCATTTTAATATATAACATAACATAACACCCTGTATTGTAATTATTTGATGTTTAGAGTTTGTCCCTCTATAAACAATCTATGTATCCTGGGATCAAAAAAGAAAAGGGCCATTGCAAGATCTTATCACGAGAGCCTTTTATCAAAATTAATATTTTTATTAAAACATTCCTGTAAAGGCCCAGTGCAAGGAAAGCTTTAGCTAAATATGCCATTATTAAGCCATTAAACTATGTAATGGGCCATTACATAATCACTTAGTATGTGTTTGTTGGGTACCTAGCTTAGACTGATAGTTAAATATTCTTAAGACAGTAAATGCTTAAGTTGACATTCTTAAGACAGTTACAGCTAGCTTAATTAGTCATTTTTAAGACAGTTATATTTAGTTTCTTGACATTCTTAAGGCAGTAAATCTAGCTTCTTAACAGTCACTGGTTAAAATATACCTATTATATGATTTTCTTTGAAACTGTAAAAAACAAGTTTTGGTAAACCGAAAAAATTCTAAATAGGTTAATAAAAGGTCCAGATAAAATGTGTCACATATTTTAACAAACTTTAGGTTAATTTTGTTTACTTTAACAGTGGTTAGGTGGCAGACTAAGTAACATGATAATGGACGGAGGACCGGACATAAAAAAACGCCTCACCCAGTTCATGCAGGGTCAGGGCCGTACCGCAGTCCCAGTCCTCATAATATCCTACGAAACTTTCAGAATGCACGCGGAAATCCTGCACAAAGGCGAGATAGGTCTGGTTTTGTGCGATGAAGGGCACAGACTGAAAAATTGCGAGAATCAAACTTACAGGGCTCTTATGGGACTGAAGGCTAGACGTAGAGTGTTGTTAAGTGGGACACCCATTCAAAATGATTTGTTGGAATATTTTAGCTTGATACATTTTGTCAATGAGGGGTTACTTGGTAGCGCTTCAGAGTTTAAGAAGAAGTATGAAAATCATATACTTAAAGGTAGGTTTTGTTAAATACCCGACAATTTTGTACTTATACATATTAAGGTACCTATTAAATTTTTTTTACAGTATGAGTATGAGTATAAGAGACGTATAACCAGCCCCATTTCCTCTTGACTCTCGAACCCCGTACAGGCCTATGTTTACTTACGCCGATTTTTGTTCTTCCCCAGCAACTGCACGGCTTCACCCGTGTTTGCTGGGTGCGAATGTCCATTGCGTTCCGTACTGTCCCCTATTTGGGGCTCGAGAGCGAGAGGCGAATAGTTATAATAGCCATTCCCGGGTTCGCCGAGCCTATGCTATACGCTCGGTGGGGTATGGATGAGGGACGGGAGGGAGTTGGTTTTTGGGGGACAATTACGCCGACTTAAAACTAAGTACGACGCGGAATCCCCCTAGACCAGTCGATTAGTAATACTCCAAACATTTGGGATTACTATTTGGAGTTGGGGAGTTGTTATTTCGCTGCAGGGGTGTAGTTTCCTAGTCAAGGTCTTTGTCTTGTTCGTTATTGTCATTGTCCGTGTTCTGGTCAGGTAGTTCCTGCCCTTGGTAAAGTGTGTCAGTTGTTTTTAATATTTTTGTCCCAAGCACATTTTGTGGTAGAGTTCCGTCTTTGTTTATCAAATTCCAAAGCTTGCATTTATTCACTAGTCAAACAAATCACAAGCGCGATTATTCTGTTGTCTAATGTTTACAAATCTCGAGTTTGGCTATTAGGCCCTTTTTTTTAATGTGTTAGAATTATGTGTTCAATGTTAGTTTACTCTGTCAGTCCAGTGTTTATTTCGGTCTCGATTGGGACCGCCTTACGCATTTGCTGTTGACAGACTTATTGCCCCACGCCGCGTGCCCTTCATGGGTTTTAAAGATATCCCAATAAACACTTTAACGATACCTAACACCATTAACATTGCCCGTGTAAGAATTTTTAACACTTTTTAATACAATTTTGCAATGATAGTAATTAAAAACAAAACAATTGTTTAAAGTTCTTAACATAATCATATTTTAAAGTTATTTTAACATTTTCAAGTAAAATAAATGTTATGTTTAATGAAATGAATACGGGCAATGTTAATGGTGACAAATAACGGAAAATGCTTGCCGTATTTATATTGCAGATTTGTATCAGGTCATGCATACTCTTAAAGTAAAACTTATCAGATTTTTCCCTTTGCGGATGGCCACCTCCCCTCTTCTCCGACCTCCCCCGTCCGTCCAGTGAAAAGCCTCCAATGACAGGTGGCACCCAAGTCATTCATATTACCCAACACTCCACTCCTCAATGACCGTTACACCATTTAGCTTGCACTCCATGAAAATGTTTGTTTCACTTATCAGTTCGCACCCCTTTTTTTTTAATTATTGTTGGTTTCATCTTTAAACTTTAAACTTTTACGTTTCAAGAGCTCGCCCGCGTGACGCGACTCGTCTTCTCGAGAGCTGGAGCCGGAGCCCAATCTTCGAGTAATTTTAAAAACATATTTAAAATTCACCATAAAAATACACAAATATTATTCTATGCAAGCACGTGCAAATTAAATAAGCTCAAAAGCACGTTGTGCGCCGCGATAACGAAATAGAATGACCTATTAAATTTTTTTTACACTAGGCTAAATTACATAACTTTTGACATATAATTTTTTAATATTAGAACAAATACAAAATTTGACAGCTTGTATAACTGTCAAATGTTGTATTTTTAGGATTACTACACTTATGTTTTTTCCTTAAATATAAATTATTTTGATTAAAATCATCATTAGTTAATTCGGCATTAACAAATATACATACATCGAATTGGATCCTTTGGCAAAACATGAAAATGCACCGATTTAGTTCTTGATTTACTTTTACAATTAAAAACACAATAATTAACCATGAACACTTAAATAAAATACACACACTAACGTAACTATATAAGCGTTGAGTTTTTGAATAATAAATCGAAATCGAGTATTAACCAAAGTTTTTCAGTTTTTACTTGCAACGCGAAACACAAATAACGTGCGTTGTAATGTAAATTACTAAACCTTATACTTTATCAAATATTTCAAAATTTAGTTTTAAAACATTAAAATGTTACAATTACTTAAACTAGACAAATTTACATATCTTTTTCAAAATATTTCAAAAAATAGCCAAGATATGAGATGCTAAACTTACTGTATTTTTTTTTAAGATAGATACTCACAAATGACACATTTAATAACTTAAAAATGTTATATTGGAACTGTCAAGTTGTAAATTTTTTAAGATTTCTAAAAATTTAGTATGGCATATTTTTTTGACAAGACATTTTCCAAAATATGTCAAAACTAGCCAAGATATAAATTTTATTTATACAAAATTTTGTTATTTTTTAAAATTTAAAAAAATACACACGTTTATTTTGTCCAATATCTCAAAATTTTAGTACTGGAACAACAAAAATATTAATATTATCATTAACAAGACAAAATTACTCACATATGTCAGAGAATACATTTTCAAAAAAATGTCAAAAACTAGCCAATATATAAACTGTCAAATTTTGTACATTTTTTAAGATTTAAAAAATACACACCTTTAAATTTTGTTTTATATCTTAACATATACTATTATCTTAAACTAGAAAAAATTAATATCTTTCAACAATTCTTCAAAAAATTTTAAAAACTTCCTTATCAAGATATAAGGTGTCAAACTTTGGCAATTCTTATGTAACAAAAAATTACATAATATTATTATTTTGTTTCATATATCAAAATTTAGTACTCTTTTGATATTTAATTATCAAAATATTAACTAATCAAGATATAAGGTGTCAAACTTTGTCAATTCTTAAAATAACAAAACATTACATACGCTTTTATTTTGTCCATTATCTTGAAAAATTACAGACCAATTTTGAGATATTGGTCAAAATATAATTTTGACTAATATCTTAAAATTTTACATTACCTACCTTTTTCTTTTTTAATATTTTCCAAAATATGATAAAAACTAGCCAAGATATAACCTGTCAACTATTGTTAATTTTATACGAAAAATGACCTGTACAATTTTTTTTAAATTTTATTATAATAAAAAATCACACCTTTTAATTATGTTGAATATTTGGTATATTCACATATTCTTAAACTAGATAAAATTACCTATCTTTTGTTATATAATTTTTCAAAATTGGTAAAAAATTAACCGAAAAATTACCTGTCAAATTTAAAGATAAAAAATCACACTTGTAACGAAACAAAGATAACACATACTATTAATGTCGATAATTGTAGTAATACCTCTGACCAATAGATGTCCCACCAAGTATTAAACCAAATTATATTTAAACAACGTTTTTTGTTTAAATTTAAAGCTGTTAAAAAACTATTCATTCTTATTTGTTCGCTAACGAAGAACTTATGGTGAAAACTTTAATTAATTTATCAATTAATGAAATAGTGCACTTAGTCTTTAGGTAAGTGAAAATGGGTTTAACGGGGGATATTATTATTTAAATATGTCATTTTAGTTTGTGAATAATAAAGAAACGAAACGAAAAACTTTACTCTTTTTGAAACCAGCCACCCCAATACCATAATCAACCCTGAGATAAGCGGTTCCATCGCAACGTGGCTCCCAACGAGGTGCTGGTTAGAGAAAAATAAGTTTTTCAAAGTGAGGTGCGTGGAATTTCAAAATGGTGCTGGATTCTCCACGTCAGTCCGGTATAGGAAATGGCCGCCCTGCTCAACGTACATTAGGAGAACAACCAGGGCCAGGAACACAAGGAGAACATGGATTGCCAGCCTATACAAGCAGCACAGAACAGCAATTTAATTTTCCAAGTCCAGAAGGTAGCGGTCGTGGACGGCGAGTAGAAGGTAGGAATTTTCCTTATAATACGAGTCCTCGTTCGTTTAATAATGGGGTGGAAAACACTCCAAGAAGACATCCTGAAGCATCGAGCTATACACCATTTGCATCACAAATACCGATGTTTTATCCGCCGCCATCTCAGGACGATATAGTCCGCTTAGTGGCCACAGTAGTAAATTCTATGAGAAACGTTAATTTAAATGAAAATCCTATTGTCAATGATAATATGATAAGTGAAAATTTTTGTACAATATCACCCGTTAAAGCTAGTAAATACATACCTATTTTTGACAATGAAAATTCAACACACCCAATAGAGTTCGTAAATACCTTAGAAAATTTTTTGGATGTAAACCGAACACCGTTCAATAAAATATCATTAATAATAAATAATCTTTTAAAAAAATCGGCTAAAACTTGGTGGGACGCTTATTCCAATTTATTTCAAAATTATATGCATTTTAGAAGAGAATTTACAGATCACTTTTGGGGTCCGGATAAACAGTTAGGGGTAAAACTTCAATTGGAACCTCCCTACACAGAACAACAGCTTATTAATATTATCGCAAGGCATTTTCCACCAAATGTGTCAACTACCCTGATTGGGGTAAACAATTTATCGGAGGCGCTAAGCCGCCTTAGACAAGCGGATAGTTTTATACATTCTCATTCAAACAAAGTTTTTACTGAGAAAAATAAACTTGTAACACAAGATATAAATAACAAAAAATTTTCTTACGGAAACCAAGGTCCAAATAAATATTTTAATAAAAACCCTCGACAAAATATTTCTACGCTAGGGGTCGAAAACGAACAATGTTCGGAAAACGAGCCGGAGCTCCAAAATTAAGTTCCGTTTTGGAAAATCGGCTTAAAGGAACTAACATTCTTGTCCAAAATAACCCAAAAAATGAATTGTTAGAAGAGTGCGATTTAAATCATGAAACACAAAATAATCGTTCGCCAACAGTAGAAATAAAAATTTTCGAATTTTGGTTTTTAGGGCTAATTGATAGTGGCAGCCAAATTTCGGCGATTTCAGAGGATGTCTGGAACCAATTATTCGGGCATCATGCTGAGATTCCTTATTTTAAGTGCTCGGGCATAAGAGTTATAGGCGCATTTAAATGTAAATTTAAAAAAGTACCTCTTCAAGTATACCTTATGTTTTCCTTAAATAATAAAAATTTTGGACAAGAATTTTTGGTTATCCCTAGCTTAACTTACCCAGTAATTTTAGGGTGTGATTTTTTAAGAAAGTTTCATGCAAATGTTAATCTAGGGGAACAGCACATCGTCTTAAAAGTCGATGATTCATTCATTGTTGTCCCAGAAAAATATAATCAACATGAAAATTATGTGTCGTTAAATATGTGTAAATTAGTAAATAATGAACAAAAAATTTCTTTAAAAAACAACATTAATAATAATATAACTGAAAGCAAGAAAATTAAAATCGATTGTCCTTTAATTCATAAAAGTATTAAGAATTCTATACCGACAATAAAAAACGTAAACAATGTGTTTGGTAAACAATCGGAATTTAATCCAAATAATAAGTTTTACGAGGTAGTATCAAACAGTAATCTTAGTGATGATGAGAAAAATATATTTTTTAATTTATTAAACAAATATTCCAACATTTTTTCTGATACTCCTGGGCGTACGCATTTGTACACGCATTCAATAGAACTCTTAAACGTTTCGCCATTTTTTATCAAGCCGTATCCTATCCCAGTTGCCCATAGAGACTCAGTAGAAAAAACAATAGAGCAAATGGAAGAGTGGGGGGTAATAGAGCGTGCTCCTTCAAGATATATATCTCCTCTAATGACAACATTAAAACGCGACGGTACTGTACGTGTTTGTCTTGATGCACGGCATCTAAACTCAGTGATGGTGCCAGACTTTGAGAAAACTCTCTTAATAGACGAATTAATCAAGCTAATGGGAGGTAAAAAGTGTTTGTCTCTTATAGATCTGTCTCACGGTTATTGGCAAATAGGTGTTAGGGAAGAAGATCGCCAATTTTTGGGTTTTATGGTAGGTAATAAAACCTATAGGTTTTGTGTGTTGCCTTTTGGCATCCGCACGGCAGTAAGTGCGTTTACTAGAGCTCTGGATGTTATTTTTGGTTCAACCTTTAAGAATTTTCTTTTCAAATACGTAGACGACATGGGCGTAGCAAGTTCAAATTTTTCCGAACACATCGAGCATCTGGAAAAGGTATTTTCTCGTTTGCAGCAGTCAGGTTTAACGGTGAAATTAAGCAAATGTCGTTTTTTCCAGAAAGAGCTTTCTTACTTAGGTTACGTAATTGATGGGGACTCTGTCAGGCCAAATCCAGACCGCATTCAAGCCATTCAGGATTATATCCGTCCGAGAAATATCAAACAATTGCAATCGTTTTTAGGCCTTTGTCAATATGACAGAATGTTTTCAAAAGATTTCGCCGAGCTTTCTGCTCCTTTAACCCTGCTTTTAAGAAAAAAATCCTCTTGGAAGTGGACTGATGAACACGAAGGGTCGTTTCAAAACCTCAAGGGTTTACTATAAGATGAAGCGTTGCCCTGCTTAAAATACCCCATAGAGACCCTGTTCAAACCGATAGATATTTGTATCGGGATGTATGGTGTTTCTATAGGGTGTATCGGTTTGTATAGGACCCGTAGTTGAGATTTATGGTTGTTCTATAGGGATATCCACCATTGATTTATTTGCTATCGGTTTCAATGGGGAAAATACACATAAATGTAGAAATTAGTTTTTTCCCTATAGGACCCTATAGGTTTTAATAAAATTTTGTCAAATGTTTTATGGTTGCTCTATAGGGATATCCCTATATATCCTTCATTGAGTTATTTTCTATCGGTCTCAATAGGGAAAATGTAAAAGTTATGGTGTGCCTATAGGTAATTTCCTATACATTTTCTATCGGGCTGTATCCGGAAAAACCCATGGACAAATGCACATATAGAATCCGGTAGCGCCCGATAGATTATTTTGTATAGGTCTCTATGGGGTATTTTAAGCAGGGTGTTGTACCACCCAGATTTTTCCCTACCATTTCATGTTCAAACAGATGCTAGCGATCGCGCTGTGGCTGCTTTGTTGTTTCAAAAGGTTGAAGGTGTTAGGAAAGTCATAGCTTATGCATCACGGTTACTTTTAGACCGTGAAACCAGATACGGCTCTACAGAAAAAGAGATCACGGCGGTTCTGTTTGCTCTGCAGAAATGGAGAGTGTATCTTCTTGGTCAGAAATTCTTTTTACACGTAGATAATAAGGCGATTACCTATATAAATCATTGTCGGCTTTTATCCGACAGAATTTCACGTTGGGCACTTGTGTTGCAGGAGTATTGGTTCGAGGTAATTTTTGTTGCCGGCAAAGAAAACCTACAAGCCGACGCGTTAAGTCGTTTTTCAGGCTCCAGATTTCCTGTGCCTGAAGATAAATGTTTTCAGCTTTTATCATTGATAAAATTGCCCCCGAATTTAATTCAAATAATTAAAGACTTGGTGCGGCATCAAAACAATGATCTAAAGCTCCAAAGTATAAAAGAAAAACTAAAAAACGACGAAAAATTGCAAAGGCAATTTTTGTCACATGACGGTTTGTTATACAAATACAGTCAAAACTCGGATAATTACTTATTGTGCGTCCCTCGTAACTTAGTGTCTGAGTTTGTTGAGGGTTATCATCGCGCGTATGGCCATTTTGGTATTTATAAAACATGGGTTGCTATGAGAGACGAACTGTGGTGGACAAACATGCATCGATCCATTAAAAAACAAATTAAATCTTGCCAAATTTGTCAAAAGGCAAAAATTTCCAAACTACCAAATCCCCCGCAAATGCAAATTATTCCAGCCAACCGGGAGGATATTATCGCGTTAGATGTTTTGGGGCCATTGGTTCAAAGTCGAGCGGGCTTGGTATACGTGTTAGTGGTTTTAAATCTGTTTACCAAGCACGTGGCTCTATTCCCACTTAAAAAGGCTACTGCTCGGGCGATGCTGAATCGTATGATTAAGGAATATTTTCCTCGTTATGGTACACCAAAACGAATCTTACAAGACCAAGGTACGCAATTCACATCCAGGTTGTGGAAAACCGGTTTGTCCAACCTTGGTGTTAAGTTGGTTTACACGTCAGTGCGCCATCCGTGTGCAAATCCCTCCGAAAGGGTCATGCGGGAACTCGGGAGGCTCCTAAGGACCTATTGCCATGAACAACATTCGCGTTGGGCATGCGAAATTAGAAACTTCGCTGAGTTTCTAAATTCGGTGGTCCACGAAAGTACCGGTTTTACGCCAAACGAACTGCAGTTGGGAACACCACGCCCCAAACTTTTACATTCCATATTAAAATATCCGGGAGAAAAAAACGAGTTATCGTTGGATTCAAAGCTGCTTCTAGCTGAAGCAACTTTGCAGGGTAAAGCTGCTCGTCGGGCGTTAGCTAATCCTGGTAAACCATATTACCAGTTTCAACCAGGGGACTTGGTATTACTGCGTGCCAATCCTATCTCTTCTGCCCTACGCGCCGAAACTAAGAAAATGCTTTTACTTTTTGAGGGCCCTTTTAGGATAAAGAAAAATATTAGCAATGCCACCTACGTGCTAATCGACCCTGTCAATGATAAAGAGCGCGGTACGTTTCACGCATCCCATCTAAAGGTATTTTTTCAGTCAACCTAGCATTGAAAATTTAAGTAATTCTTTAAAGCTAGTTTTGTGGGGGGCAAGTTGTAACGAAACAAAGATAACACATACTATTAATGTCGATAATTGTAGTAATACCTCTGACCAATAGATGTCCCACCAAGTATTAAACCAAATTATATTTAAACAACGTTTTTTGTTTAAATTTAAAGCTGTTAAAAAACTATTCATTCTTATTTGTTCGCTAACGAAGAACTTATGGTGAAAACTTTAATTAATTTATCAATTAATGAAATAGTGCGCTTAGTCTTTAGGTAAGTGAAAATGGGTTTAACGGGGGATATTATTATTTAAATATGTCATTTTAGTTTGTGAATAATAAAGAAACGAAACGAAAAACTTTACTCTTTTTGAAACCAGCCACCCCAATACCATAATCAACCCTGAGATAAGCGGTTCCATCGCACACTTTTTCATTATGTTTAACATTTCGAAAATTTGAACTGAGACATATGAAGATATTAACATTATCTTTTACAAGATAAAATTACCTATCTTGCATTTTTTTAAATTTATTAGAAATGACCTGTCAGATGTCCAAATTTTAAGATAACTAAAATTACTACTTTTCAGTCCAATATTTCGTGTTAAACTAAAGACAATGTCTTTTGACCAATTTTATTTTACTAAAATTGTTTGAAATTAACCCAAAAATGACCAGAAAAACTTTGTTTCATAAAAATAAAACAATCACACCTTTGTATTATGTCCAATATTTCAAAAAATAATTAAGATATAAGGTTTCAAGTGTTACTATAACATTTTTCAAAAAATGTCAAATCTTGTCAAAATAAGATTTTTAAAAAATTACACATCTTTATATTTTGTCATATGTCAAAATTTAGTAGTATACGTCTATAGACGAAGTTAACTATTTTTACATAAAATTTAAGTAATTAAGATATACCTACATAAGGTGTTGAAATTTCTTGTCTTTATACAAAAAAATTGCACGGTTATATTTTGTCCAATATCTCGAAAAATTTTTATTGGGACATTATTTAACTTTTTCTACGTAATTTTTTTAAATTGTTCAACTAAAGACCATGTTACAATGTTATAAACTTTATTGTAGGTCAAGACGCATACGCGACAGACAAGGAGCGAGAAGTTGCCTCCGAAAAATTGCAAGAACTTTGCTCCCTGGTCAACCAATGCCTTATTAGAAGAACATCGGCTCTTCTTACAAAATATTTGCCAGTAAAATTCGAAATGATAATTGTCTGTCAACTATCGCCGCTTCAAAAACAGATTTACTTGAATTTCATCAACTCCGAGATCATCAAAAGAACTGTATGCAGTGGCGATGAGAAACAGAAACATTTCAGCACGTTGGCTAGCATAACGAGCCTGAAGAAGCTATGCAACCATCCCGACTTGGTTTTGGATAAAATTCAGGAGGGTGCCGAGGGTTTTGAAAAATCAAGAAATCTCTTACCACCACTGAGAGGAGATACCGACGTTAGGCCGGAATTATCAGGAAAATTAATGCTACTGGACTGTTTTTTGGCCAATTTAAAAGCGAATTACGACGATAAAATTGTCCTGGTTTCAAATTACACCCAAACTTTGGATTTGTTTGAAAAACTGTGCAAGAGACGGGGATATCTTTACGTTCGTTTGGATGGCTCGATGAGCATTAAAAAACGTGCTAAAGTCGTGGAAAGTTTCAATAAACCCGAATCCCCCGAATTTATTTTCATGCTCAGTTCGAAAGCGGGCGGCTGTGGGTTGAATCTGATTGGTGCAAATCGACTTATAATGTTCGACCCCGATTGGAATCCAGCCAATGACGATCAAGCAATGGCTAGGGTTTGGAGAGATGGCCAGCAAAAACCTTGCTACATCTACAGATTTTTAGCTGTAAGTTATAAAACAAAAATATTATGCCAAATATGTTAACATAATCTTAAATAAGATAAAATTACCTATCTTTTGAAATATAATTTTCCAAACATGGTTTAAAATTGACTGAAAAATATCCTGTCAAACTTTGTCTAAATTTTAAGTTAACAAAAAATCACTCCTTTTCATTCTGTCAAATATTTAGAAAATTGAATACTGAGACATATTAAGATGACAGCAATATCTAAAACTAGTTAAAATTACCCATCTTTCGAATAATAATTTTCTTAAAAAATTCCTAAAATTTTGTCCGAATTTTAAAATAAAAAATCACACTTTTTTATTATGACCAAAATTTAGAAAATTTGGTACTGAGATATATTACTATATCAACATCATCTTAAAGTAGATAAAATTACCTATCTTTTGACATTCAGTTTTTCAAAATTGGTCTAAAATTAACTGACAAATGACATGTCAAACTTTTTTCCAAACTTTGTCTAAATTTTAAGGTAACAAAATATCACACCTTAAAATATTTAGAAAACTGTGACATAGATGATAAGAACATCTCAAACTAGATAAAATTACCTATCTTTTGACATACAGTTTTTAAAAATTGGTCAAAAATTAACCGCCAAATGACCTGTCAAACTGTTTTCCAAATTTTAAGGTTAGAAAAATGACAACGTTTTATTATGACCAATAATTCAAAAATTTGGTACTAAGACATATTAAGATATCAACATCATTTTAAAGTAGATAAAATTACATATCTTTTAACATGCAACTTTTCAAAATTGGTCAAGAATTAACCGACAAATGACCTGTCAAACTTTGTCCAAATTTTAAGATAACAAAAAATCACGCCTTTTTATTATGTTCAATATTTAAAAAAATTGGCACTGAGACATTTTAATATATTAACATCATCTTAAAGTAGATAAAATTACCTATCTTTCGACATACAGTTTTTAAAAATTGGTTAAAAATTAACCGACAAATAATCTGTCAAATTTTAAGATAACAAACCTTTTTATTATGACCAATATTTTGAAAAATTGGTACTGAGACATAATAATACATTAAATTCATCTTAAACTAGATAAAATTACCTATCTTTTGACATTAAGTTTTTAAAAACTGGTTAAAAATTAACCGACAAATGACCTGTCGAACTATGTCCAAATTTTAAGGGAACAAAAAATTACACCTTTATATTATGACCAATATTTTGAAAATTTGGTACTGAGACATATTAAGATATCAACACCATCTTAAAGTAGATAAAATTAGATATCTTTTAACATACAATTTTTCAAAATTTGTCAAGTATTAACCAACAAATTACCTGTCAAAATTGTCCAAATTTTAAGATAACAAAAAATCACACCTTTTTATTATGTCCAATATTTAAAAAGTTTAATATTGAGACATACCAAGATATTAACATCACCTTAAAGTAGATACAATTACCTATCTTTTAAAATACAATTTTTTAAAATTGGTCCAGAATTAACCAACAAAAAACCTGTCAAATTTTGTCGAAATTTTAAGATAACAGAAAATCACACCTTTTTATTGTGTCCAATATTTAAAAAATTTGGCAATGAAACATATCTAGATATTAACATCATCTTAAAGTAGATAAAATTACCTTCTTTTGACATACAATTTTTAAAAATTGGTCAAAAATTAATCAACAAATGACCTATCAAAATTTGTCAAAATTTTAAGATAATAAAAAATCACACCTTTTTATATGTCCAATATTAAAAAAAAAAGGTATTGAGACATATTAAGATATTAACATAATCTCAAAGTAGATAAAATTACCTATCTTTAGACAGACAATTTTTTAAAATTGGTCAAGAATTAAGCAACAAATGACCTGTCAAACTTTTTCCAAATTTTAAGGTAACAAAAAATACTTATATACTTACATAATAATATATTAACATTAGAGACTCTGTAACCTTAAACCGGATAAAATTACCTATCTTTTGAATTATAATTTTCTTAAAAAACCCTGTCAAATTTTATTCAAATTTTAAGATAACAAAAAATCACACCTTTTTATTATGTCCAAAATTTCCCGCTCAAGCAATTTAGTTGGGAAAGGAAGTAAGGGTGAAACTAAAAGAGAACTTTTGTATGTCCAATATTTAGAAAATTTGGTACCAAGATATATTAATATATTAATATTATCTTAAAGTAAATAAAATTATATTTTTTTAAACATGACATCTTTTAAGTATCAAACAAGTAAAACTTTTTTCACAGGCTGGTTCAATAGAAGAAAAAATCTTCCAAAGACAAGCACACAAAAAGGCCCTAAGCAGTACAGTAGTGGACATGAATGAGGAAACAGCTCGACATTTCAGTGCTTCAGAATTGAAGGAACTTTTCAGATTAGAAGAAACAGAATCTGATACTCATACAAGATTAAAGTGTAAAAGGTGTTTGAATAAAATACAGATAAAAAATCCACCAGATGAGGCTGATTGTACTTCGGATTTAAGCAATTGGTATCACTGCTGGGACAAAAAAGGGTTGGCAGATATGGTATGTATACAAATATCTGTTTTAATGTACAAATTTTTAAAAATTATTAAAATTAGTGGAATTTTAAGATATGTAAAAATTAAAGAATCATATTTTGTCCAATATCTTGAAAATAAGTATCTGGATATGTAAACATTTTTACATTTCTTAATTTATATAAGATTGTCCAAAATTTGGCATATAATTTTACAAAATTAGTCCAAAAATACCGGATTTATATGCAGTCAAATTTACGATATGTGTAAAAATGAAGGATATCTATATTTTGTCCAATAATTCGAAAATAAGTATCTGGACATGTAAACATTTTTTAAATTTATATAAAATTATCCAACATTTGACATAAAATTTTACAAAATTGGCCAAAAAGTACCGGATTTATGTGCAGTCAAAATTAAGTCAAATTTTCGAAATATGTAAAATATTACATTTTGTCCAATATATCGAAAATAAATATGTAAACATTTTTACATTTAATGATTCATACAAAATTGTCCAACATTTTATTAATTTTACAAAAGTGGTAGAAAAACTTATCAAATTTTCAAGATGTGTATGTAAAAATGACACTGTTTATATTTTGCCCAATATCTCAAAAATAACTATTGGGACATACAGGGTGGAACAAAAGTATAAAATAATGGCTTTAATATTGTTATTTGCAAAGTTTGAGTTTTTTAGTTTGTTGATATCTTTTTTTATTTTGTTTCTATGGCAACCATTTGTTTTTAATGACCAACATACTTTTTTGTTCATTATGAAAAAAAATAAGCGATAAAAAATTTCACATTTAAAGTTATAATAGCATTTGTTTCTTTATGGTTTTCTTTTTAATGTTTTATAATTTTTTTTTCGCTTATTTAAAAAAAATTATGACTGAATTGAAAAAAATATGCTTTTTTCATAATGCACAAAAAAGTATGTGTACCATTTAAAAAAAATTGGTTGCCATAGAAACAAAATAAAAAACTTAAAACATGCTTGGTAATGAACCAAATTACTTTTTTTTTAACTTCGCAAATAACTAAGTTACTTTTGTTCCACCCTGTATAAACATTTTTACATTTTCTTAATTATAAAATACAATAAATTATCTAACATTTTATATAATTTTTTTTAAATGGTTCACAAATAATGATTTTATATGCGTTCAAAAATTTCCTTTTTAGGTTCTAAAACAAATATGGGATATGTCAAAATACATTTCATTTGTTTTTCATCAAAAATCCGCTTGTCAAGAAGTAAAGAAAGTGAAAATTTTTCAAGAAGAAGACCCTGACTTTAATGAAAAAGAACAAGAAGATCTTGATTCGGACTATTCCGAGTAAAATATTTTAAATATTAATGTTATTATTAATAAATTATTTATAAGGTTAAATTTTATGTTTTTGTTAATACATTTTTTAAAAGATACGTTTTTTTTTAAATACCCTAAAACTTTTTTTTATAGTTTGACCTAACATTGCCAAATATCTATTTACCAAAATAAATTCCATTAAATATATTAACATATTATTTACATTACAAGGTATAGGAAAAATAATAAAAATAATTAATCAACATAATTAGTTAATTAATCCACAGAAACGTATTAGAAATAGTTAAAAATGTAAACAAATCTTAGAAATAACAAAAAATTATGAAAAATTTATTATTTTAACCATGGTATAGCTAAAACTATAAAATAATAAATTGTTGTATAATAATGAGAAGTTTTTTGTGTTTTTTATATTATGTAGTGGAAGTAAAAGATCATTTCCATATCTGGTATTTCTCTGATGCAGGTGAGTAAAATATTAAAAAAAAATATTTCGACAACTATCACATTTTCTCAAATGAAATAGCGTCCTTAATGCTTTTTTAAAAGAAATTTCTTGCAGTTTAGATGTTCCCAAGACAATTTTCCTCCTGATGGTTGAACTTATTTGTTTCAAATAATTCGAAAACTTTATTTTAATTTTTATTCAACTTCTGAGTAGCAGTAGATTTGTTGAGTATCAACGTTTCACACAAGGTCATTCAAGTTAATAATAAAAAGGATTTGCCCTAGTACTGAACCTTGTGGAACTCCTCATCTTATAGTTGTTTCCATTCGGCCTACCATACAGGATTTTATTAATTTTGTAGGGACTCTTAAGTAGTCTTTCTCAGTCCAACAAAAAACTATCTAGAATTTAGGGTTTTAAAATTTCCGGAAAAAATTGAGCCGGCGGAAAAAAAACGGTTTTTTTTCTGTAAAAAAAATTTCTGGAAATTTTCTGAAAAATTGACTTGCATTTTTCTCATTTTATTCAAAGAGTAAGTAATACGAAAAAATGCAAAAGTCAATTTTTCTAAAAATCGAGAAAAAAGTGAATTTCCGACGCTGAATATAATCATATGATTTTCTTAAATCAATTTAATTTAATTCAATGTTTAGTTTTATTTTTTTTTAAATTAAATTAATGTTAAGTTGTTGATTGCTACTTTTTTCAAATATATATATATATTATATATATATATATATATATATATATATATATATATATTTCAAAAAAAATTCAATTTTTCCCAAAAAAGAGTTTTTTTTAAGGCCTGGTTTTTTTTTCAATTTTTTAGGTTTTTTTTCGACACTTTAAAACCCTACTATAGATATAAATATTAAAAAATACCCCGGAGATTTCAAGTTTCTATGAAAAAAAACAAAATATAAAGTCAAAACTAAAAAAGATTTTTAATATTTTGGTCTCGGAAGCCCCTAGCTGCAATCCATCAAGAATTAGAAAAAAGGTTATAATTACATTAAATAATGGTTAATCTTAGTCTGCCATGAGTGGGCCCCTTGATTTTTAAAATTTAAATTATTATCAAGTTCAAATATAAGTATACTTATAAGTTCGCTGGAAAAAGCTGGTAATCAATTTTCATATCCCTGATTACATTAAGAGTGTTGCAAAGACTTGCTAACAGGATCTACTAACAAATTTAAAATAACAAAACATTAATATTTACAAAACCCCATTTTATTTTACTGCCCCGGGCCCCTGACGGGTTTAGAGTTATGGTATCAAATAAGTATACTGATATCACAAAGTGCCATTTTTATTTTTTGTTTAAAGCAGTAATAGTTGACTTAAGTCAACAATTGTTTGCCATGTAACCATTTTAACAGGTTGTGAGGAAATTATTTTTTTAACTATTTTATTATGTACTAAAAATTTTGAAATAGACGGTAAGATTCAGATTCGTCTGTAGTTTAGGAAAAAATTTTGATTCTTCAACTCCTCCGTAAAATTTAGTACTAATAAGTTACAAATATACAGTGTGACCCATTTGTTTGCGACTTACCCCTGTAAAATCTATATTTTAATAAACTGTATTTTTGGAGCAAAAAACACCATATGTTTACAAAATACAAGGCCTACTATGTTGAGACTAAATTTTTATGAATTCATATAAGCGATTTTTTTTGTAAAAATCTATGCACTGCACTGGATTCACCACCCCTCCAAACGACATACTAAATTTTAAAGAAAATGTTTAAGTATAAACGATTTTGTGGTTAAATTAAAAATGCACAATAATTATAATAAATATTTTATTAAGATCTACACTTTAAAAGAAATCCGGTTAAAATCGCACAATAAATAAAGATTTTACAGGGGTAAGTCGCAAACAAATTGGTCACACTGTATTTAAAATTGGGAAAAAACCAAAACGATAAAATGTCTTAAATAAAAAAAAACTAAAATTGAAACTTTTGTGTATCTACCATACAAAAAGTTAAAATGACGACAAAGCTGAGCCAAAAAATTATTAAATTAAAATATTAATTATCCTATCTGCCTAAGGCAAAGTTAACTCACTGTTATGGCATTTAAAAATTCAAAAAATAATGTAATTAATAATAATTAAAACCGTAAACAAAACCATAAAATCCAGATCAATCCAAGAACGCAAAACCAAAACATTAAATCAAAAATTTTCATAATATCACAATTAAAAAGTCGACATTCCATATTTTAAAATAGGATCGGAAACCCAACGAGTCGCCATCAAAAACGTCAACAACAAATGAATATTCCAAATGCTAATATAAACAAATGAATTATTCAAAAAAAACTTAAGCGGATCTGAGAGACGCCTTCGAAGAATCCCAAAAATTAAGTACGTCACGAACTGGTATCTATATAATATAACATCCAAAACATTTGAATCATTATAAAACAGAACAGCAAAGAAACATATCGTCTTTGATATTTTAAAAGTAACATTGTGTTAATATAAAAACAGTTAAAATGCAGTTAGGTCTTTATGTTGTGTGCCTTAGTGCCGTATGTGGATGTGCGTATGGGTCAGCTATACCAGTTTGGGAATTATTACAACAGGAGGAAATGGTAATATTTTGTTTATTATAGATTAAGAAATAGGTACATCTTAATTTATTATAAAAAATATTCTAAAATATTTGTTATTGTTATAGGTTTCCTACCTGTATTCAATCTTCGCAAAAGAAGTGGAACAAGTTTGCTCGACAGATTACCAAAATAGAAACTGTTTCAAAGAGAATTTAAAACATGGATTGGACAAACTTAGGTCCTTAACATTTGAAGAGTTGGAAGCTTTGGACCCATATCAAAGAGATGGCGTCAATAAAGGTAATAAAAAAACGTTATATAGACCAAATGAGACGCTGAACAATAGCAAAATACTGTTTCAAAATGTTCTGATGATACCATTTTTAAATCAAACTTAACAGATTTGTTTTTAAATGGATTTGAATAAGTTTTTTGGTATTGTGTAGCCTGATATTTCTGCCGAAATAAAAAACAAATTAGTTAATAATATACAGGGAAACTTGTAAGAGCTTGAATGAAACTAACATCTTCTTTCAATTTCAGTATGGAATATACTTATGGAGGGTAGCAGCTTAGTGAAAACAACCGAAAAATCCACCACCAGTACAACGCCAAAACCAAATTCTTACGAAGATGACTTAGATTTTGGTTCCCAACCTGAAGAAACAGCAAAGATCGACAACGTTTACCGTGTAGCTCCACCAAAGGACTTCGTATTCAAACCTTCATCATCAAACGTCGACAACGTATACGAAAAACCTATCGATTTCCAATTAAACAATTTTGACAACGTTAAAATAATATTTACTGACGATGACGACTCAGAAGACTCAGAACCAACCGAATCACCCAGAATCTACCAATTAAACGGCCCAGTCCTCGTCAAAGTCCACCCAGATGGTACCCCTGTTAGAGAACACTACAGGATCCCCCTGGATGACGATTTCACGCAATACCAATTGTCCAAAATCAAACTTCCCAACTTGTAAATTTACATGCATTGTAAGACTTTCTTTTTTGTGATATTTTTGAGTTACTATGATTTTGTGATGATTGTGTGAATGGTATTTATAGTAAAATTGTGTGAATGTTTTTGTATTTATTAATTTATTATTATTATTAAATGATTATTAAGATTTAGTTGTTTGTTTTCATTAACTTTTAATTTAGTTATTATAATAATTGGGCAAACATTAAAATTGGATTTAAAAGTTTGTCGTAATTTAAAGAAAACTAAAAGTGAAACAACGTTTGTGTGCCATACAAAAATCTTAAATTTACTATTCCATCTGCGACAGTTAACTTAGTGTATAGTACCCGCACGCGCGGGGTTAAGCCCAGTGTTGCCAATACATTTCAATTTCAAAACCTTGGTAGAAGATTCAATCTGATATTCTTTCAAACCGTAGTCTGTACTCTGGTTTAACCGCGTACAACAACATTCGATATTCAAAATATGAAGCTAACGTTTCCATTTGTGCACTTTATTGTTTGCACCAAAACCAGGTAGGAACAGTTGAATGGTGGTTAAAATTTCTTCGTTTTCGAGAAATCTCTCAGACAGATTCTGCAATAAATGCAAGGAATGAATATGGTAACTCTGAAATGTATCGTATCGCTGAATAAAGGGCTGATACCGTTAAAGATAGTTATCACCTGATTCTATTCTGATCCGCAGAAGACCTCGGAACCACATTCCATATTTTTTCAGGTCGAGTAAAAGATAGAGCGCTGCTATCATGGTCACCTCTCAGAGGTCATTCCTACTTGGCACAAAAAAGGTTCGTTCGGATATTTGGTCGCAGCTCTATTTTCCTCTTTCTCTTTTGCACTTTGGTTATACAGTTGAGACATGTTATGTAGGTAGTTATTTTCCAAAAGCAACTTATTGCGCCTTCAGTAAAAAAACAACCATGACTTTGTAACAAGGGCACCTTTTTCACGTAAAATTATCTGGAAAACTGTATTCCAAGATCAAGAATTAAAAAAAAAACACAAAAAAAATTATGAGGATTTTTTGTGGCTTGACTCCCTTGACTTTTACTTGGATGAAATTGTAAGCAAGCTCTTTGCAAACGTTTTGTATAAATGTTGATCAAAGTTTGTGTTGGCTGTGTTTACATATTAAAACCGTAAACAAAGCCATAAAATCTAAAGCAATCCTAGAACGCAAAACCAAAACGTTAAATCAATAATTTTCGTAATAGCTCATTTAAAAAGACGTTATTCCAAAATATGTTCGAAAAACCAAAAAGTCGCCATCAAAAACTTAAAAAACAAATAAATATTTTAAATGCTAATAAAAACAAATAAATAATTCAAAAAAAAATCAAGCGGATCTGAGAGACGCCTTTGAAGAATCCCAAAAATTAAGTACGTCACAAACTGGTATCTATATAATATAACATCTAAAACATTTGAATCATTATAAAACAGAACAGCAAAGAATACACATCGTCTTTGATATTTTAAAAGCAACATTGTGTTAATATAAAAACAGTTAAAATGCAGTTAGGTCTTTATGTTGTGTGCCTTAGTGCCGTATGTGGATGTGCGTATGGGTCAGCTATACCAGTTTGGGAATTATTACAACAGGAGGAAATGGTAATATTTTGTTTATTATAGATTAAGAAAATACATCTTAATTTATTATAAAAAATATTCTAAAATATTTTTTATTCTTATAGGTTTCCTACCTGTACTCAATTTTCGCAAAAGAAGTGGAACAAGTTTGCTCGACAGATTACAAAAATAGATACTGTTTCAAAGAGAATTTAAAACATGGATTGGACAAACTTAGGTCCTTAACTTTTGAAGAGTTGGAAGCTTTGGACCCATATCAAAGAGATGGCGTCAATAAAGGTAACTAAAAAACGTTTTATATACCAAATGAGACGCTGAACAATAGCAAAAAACTGTTTCAAAATGTTCTGATGATACCATTTTTAAATCAAACTTAACAGCTTTGTTTTTAAATGGATTTGAATAAGTTTTTTAGTATTTTGTAGCCTGATATTTCTGCTGAAATAAAAAACAAATTAGTAAATAATATACAGGGAAACTGGTAAGAGCTTGAATGAAACTAACATCTACTTTCAATTTCAGTTTGGAATATACTTATGGAGGGTAGCAGCTTAGTGAAAACAACCGATAAATCCACCACCAGTACAACGCCAAAACCAAATTCTTACGATGATGACTTGGATTTTGGTTCCCAACCTGAAGAAACAGCAAAGATCGACAACGTTTACCGTGTAGCTCCACCAAAGGACTTCGTATTCAAACCTTCATCATCAAACGTCGACAACGTATACGAAAAACCTATCGATTTTCAATTAAACAATTTTGAAAACGTTAAAATAATATTTACTGACGATGACGACTCAGAAGAATCAGAACCGACCGAATCACCCAGAATCTACCAATTAAACGGCCCAGTCCTCGTCAAAGTCCACCCAGATGGTACCCCTGTTGGAGAACAATACAGGATCCCCCTGAATGACGATTTCAGGCAATACCAATTGTCCAAAATCAAAATTCCCAACTTGTAAATTGACATGCGTTTCAAGACTTACTTTTTTGTGATATTTTAAGTTACTGTGATGATTATGTGAATGGTATTTATTGTAAAAAATGTGTGAATGTTTTTGTATTTATTAAATTATTATAATAATAAAGAATTATTTAGTATTATTTGTTTGTTTTCATTATAAACTAAACACATAGTATTTTCGTTAATTTTTATTAGTTTAAAAACAATACCAGTAATAAATAATAACATAATGCAACAAATAAATAAAATGTGAGATCATTTGTATAAATAAAAAATTATATACATCTTTAAGCTTTAGGTGGTTTTATTTTAAATATAAAATCGTCAAAACCATCATCATTTGGCAATATTTTAATTTCATCACTTTTTTCTTTTCTCGAATGTTCTTTTTCTTCCGATATTTCTGGTATTTTAAAACCTATAAAAGTTATACTTTGGTCATCTTTTTTATTTTGTATGTCCTTTACATTAATATATGAATTTAATTTGTATAGTTGACTCATTATGGGTGATATTTCGTCCAATTTTACTATCAGGCCTTCGGGAGGTATCATGTATTGAAAATTTTCGTATTTTGGTGAATTTTCTTGAATATCGTCAAAACCAAAATTATCGCTAAAAATGTTGTCTTCGTAACTGTTGGGTTTTGGAGTTGTGGAGGTTTTTGGCTGGACTGTGGTCTTTTGGTGTTTATTGCCTAATAAAATTGTATTCCATACTAAAAAAAAAACATGTTTTAATTTTTTAATGTAGATTAAGATAGGGAAAACCAAATTTAAATATCCTATCTCATTTTCGAGATATTTAGTCTTATCTTAAAAATTGACTTTTAAATTGAAAAACACTGTTTTTAGTGACAAATGTATCAAAATTTTTCAAACAATGAAAAAGATATTGAAATTATTGTTTACGAGGTGTGTTCAGAAAATATCGGAAATTTTAGTTTTTTGAAACAAATATTTATTTATTCGTCTACATTAATGTTGTCGCCTTCAAAATAGTCCCCATTGGATATTATGCACATGTGCCAGCTCTTCTTCCAATACTCGAAACACTTCTAAAACTCGATCTTTGAGATAGCCTTTAGTTCTTTCAGCGATGCGCTTTTAATGTCATCCATGCTTGCAAAACGACGGCCCTTTAAGGTTCTCTTTATTTTTGGGAATAGGAAAAAGTCAGACAGAGGCATGTCTGGCGAACATGGAGGCTGGGGCATCATTACAGTATTGTTTTTGGCCAAAAATTTTGTTCAAAATTTAACAATTTTAGAACAAATTTTGCTGCCACGCGTTTCATACCCAAAACATTCGAAAAAATTTTATGGGATGAGCCAATCGATATACCAACATCATCAGCGACTTCTCTGATGGTTTATAACCATTTCTTCCACTTTTTCCATGTTTTTATCGGTTGTTAATGTGCTTGTGCGTTCGGGGCGTTCGTCATCTTCAACGTCTTCACGGCCATCTTGGAAACTCTTATACCACTTGTAAACTCTTGTTTTACTTATAGCAGACTCATTATAGGCCTTTGTTAACATTTCACAGAATTTATTTCATTTTTTAAGCAAAATTGGATACAAATTCTTTGATCCATTTCTTTTAACGAACGGCTGCCACAGACAATGAAAACAGCTAAAGTTTTTATCATACTTCGGGGGCATGTATACCAACATAATAAAGAAAATTTTATGACAACCGTACCCTCCGAACCCGCGAAATTTAACAATTCCCGTTATTTTCTGAACACACCTCGTATGTGCATGCGACATGCGACACAAATATCTTATCCCTTTTTCGAGATATTTATCGTTATCTTAAAATTGCACTGTTTACATTTTTTAAACACATTCTATATCTCGAAAACACAACTTTAAATTTTTCAAAATATTGTCAAGGGTTATAAAACTGTATATCAAAAAATAAATATTTTTGTAAAATTTGTAAATAACTTCTTCGTTTTTAAAAATATCGACTTACAACCTTTTACATTGTTTTAAGTTTTTTTAATGTAAAAAAATGTTAAATCCAAACACAAAAATATTATCTCGTTATCAAGATATTAGGCATCACATGCGCTGTTTTTAAAATACTTACTTAAATCATCGGCCTCTCTTTGGTAAGGATCTAAAGAGTCCAACTCCAATTCAGACAAACTGTCTATTCTATCCAAACCATACTTAAGTAAATCTGTATTGCAACTTTTAACTTTTAACAATTCACAATAGTTTTCAACCTCTTTGGCAAATAAGGAATATATAAATGATTTCTACAAAAAATATTTTTATTTAATGTATTTAAAATTGATTTTTTAATATATGACTTACTTTTTCTTCTTTTTTTAATAATTCCCATACTGGTATAGCAGAACTATAACAAAGTCCAACACTACACAGAACAAAAATACAAACACTTTTCATTCTTACACTTTTCTTTTAACTAAAAAGATCTTTACACTTCAAAATTTGATTATTAAATAACATCTTCTCACCTCCTTATCTATTATATATAAACTATGTGACGCAGTAACTAATATTCATAAGTATATGTTAATCAAGTTTTTTAAAAACAATAATTATTACTGCTTAAATAAATATTATGAAATATCAAATAAGTTAAATATGGGAAATCCGCTTTTATAAATAATTAATTGATTATCAAATATCTCAGATATTTTTGGAAATATGGACTTGTGACCTTTCCTATTGTTTTGGAGAATTTATTGGTTATTTAATAAAATATAGGCATGCATTAAATGCATAAATTAAAAAAAATTATGAAAAATTCGCACAGTATACTGTGCGAATAGCTATAGCTATAGCTATAGCCTAAATTAAAAAGTTGTCAGGAAAAATTCGCACAGAAAGTTTAATAAATTTTATATGAAGTGACATAAATTCAAATAGACTTGAGATTTTTTAAGATCTTCAAGAATTTAATTTTTTTTATTATTTAAAAACTGAGTGAGATGTCTTTGAACTGTTTAAAACTTAAATGTATTGTAAAATGTTAAAACACGTTGCAGAAAATTCTAAAAAGTTAAAAATAATACCAAATTAAGTTTTTTTTTAATTCATAAATATTTTCTTTGAATTAAACAATATCGACTTGAGAACAATGTATTAGTATTTTTAATGTAGATTAAGATAGTGAAAACCAAATACAAATATTTTATCTTCTTTTTGAGATATTAGGTAACTTTGTGTTATTTGTGGACCAATTTAAAAAAAATTAATGGCGTTTTTATAATAATAATAATAATAATTTAAAAATATTTAAAAAAATGTTTTTCTAACTATTTAACAATTTTATATTAGGGGTTACACATTGGTTTGTTACCGTTTGAAACTCCATTATTTTTTTTTGAAATTGGTCCACAAATAACCAAGTTACCATTTTGTTGATAACATTATGATATAAAACAACAAGTTTTTTAAACTTTTTAACAATTTTATGTTCGTGGTTACATATTGGTTTGATACTGTTTAAGACGCCATTATTTTTTTTGAAATCGGCCTACAAATAAACAAGTTACCATTTTTTTCCCAAAATGGAGAAAAATCGTAACTTGCTTATTTGTGGGCCAATTTTAACAAAATTAAAGGAGTTTTAAACTGTACCAAACCAATATTCCACCAAGAAAATAAAATTGTACACAGCTTTTTTAAACAACATTTTGATATTAAAACAACTTGTTTATTTAACAACATTTAGATATTAAATAATGCTTTTTTTTAAAACTATTTAACACTTTTATGTTCGTGGTTACACATTGGTTTGTTACTGTTTGAAACTTCATTAATTTTTTTGAAATTGGTCCACAAATAACCAAGTTTGTTAATAACATTATGATATAAAAATAACAATAACAAGTTTGAAATAAAAAGGATTTTTCTTTTTTGTATGATCGTGTATTGTGAAAGTTTTAATTTGCAGAGCGCTTTCGGCCTTAAGCCATCTTCAGTGCTTCAACTGATAAGTAAAACAGGGATTAGATTAAGTAACATTGAATTTTTTTTTAAAAACTTACTTGTCAGTTGACAGGAGTATATGTCTATGTTCATTTTTATTTACAGCTACTCAAAATAGTACTATACATATAACCCACAGATATGCTTATATTATACAAAAATCTTCATGTTGTGTGTTTAAAATTACACTAGGTTAGGTGTTTTTGATGACAGATGATCAATTTCCCGCTTTTATTGACCGTAAATATAGACAAAATTAGCAAACTTTTCTGTAAACAACAGATTCCTCCCATGCCCAACAGGTGGTGTAACAAACATTAATTTTAAATTCAAATCCAGAAATGCGCTCTCCAAGATAACTAACTCATATTAAAAAACCATCGTGAAAAACTCCGAACATAAAATCAACCTAATTAGGATTTATTTATTTTAATCCATGACATATTTGTGTAAAGGTATAAAGTCTCTATTGAGGTTGACTTGAGTGTTAAGACAGAATGAGTTGCACTTCAATTCTTTCCCAATTTCAAGATCAATTGGGAAAGAATTGAAGTGCAACTCATTCTGTCTTAACACTCAAGTCAACCTCAATAGAGACTTTATACCTTTACACAAATATGTCATGGATTAAAATAAATAAATCCTAATTAGGTTGATTTTATGTTCGGAGTTTTTCACGATGGTTTTTTAATATGAGTTAGTTATCTTGGAGAGCGCATTTCTGGATTTGAATTTAAAATTAATGTTTGTTACACCACCTGTTGGGCATGGGAGGAATCTGTTGTTTACAGAAAAGTTTGCTAATTTTGTCTATATTTACGGTCAATAAAAGCGGGAAATTGATCATCTGTCATCAAAAACACCTAACCTAGTGTAATTTTAAACACACAACATGAAGATTTTTGTATAATATAAGCATATCTGTGGGTTATATGTATAGTACTATTTTGAGTAGCTGTAAATAAAAATGAACATAGACATATACTCCTGTCAACTGACAAGTAAGTTTTTAAAAAATTCAATGTTACTTAATCTAATCCCTGTTTTACTTATCAGTTGAAGCACTGAAGATGGCTTAAGGCCGAAAGCGCTCTGCAAATTAAAACTTTCACAATACACGATCATACAAAAAAGAAAAATCCTTTTTATTTCAAAGAATAACGTGTACTCAGTCAAACCTCCTTTTAATAACAAGTTTAGTAAAACTTTTTAATAATTTTATATTCGTGGTTACATATTGGTTAGATACTGTTTAAAAGGCCATTATTTTTTTTGAAATCGGCCCACAAATAAATAAGTAACCATTTTTTCCCCAAAATGGAGAAAAATCGTAACTTGCTTATTTGTGGGACGATTTTAACAAAATTAAAGGCGTTTTAAACTGTACCAAACCAATATTCCACCACGAAAATAAAATTGTATACAACTTGTTTATTTAACAACATTTAGATATTAAAAAATGATTTTTTTTAACTTTTCAACACTTTTATAATCGTGGTTACACATTGGTTGATTACTGTTTGAAACTCCATTAATTTTTTTGAAATTGGTCCACAAATTACCGAGTTTACATTTTGTTAATAACATTATTATATTTAAGGTATTAGCGGTTTTAGTCTCACTTTTTACAAATTTGACATCTGTCCTAATTTGTTGCACTAGTGGATTAAGTAACTTAATACACTGAGATATTAATCTAATTATGTAGGTAATATTATAGGTAATAGTAAATAATAGACAACCCAAATTAAAAGCATATAATATTATTATAAATAGTAAAATAAAATCACATTCAAACATAGGAATTTCCAACCATGTGGATACATAATATCACCAAAAAAGATGATATACAATAAATTAAAAGTCAATCATACAAAAATAAGATAAATATGTCAGTCATACAGTAAATTAAATAAATATTTACAGGATATATCACAAAAATTTTGTAAAATGAGCTTAATATGGCTCTTTTAGTTTTGGGAACATTTTAAAAGTTGGGGATTTTGATTTTGGACAGTTGGTATTGTCTTAAATCGTCATCCTGTGGGTATCTCTGGGGTTCCCTTACAGGGGTACCATCGGGGTAAACTCTCACAACCATTGGTCCGGTTAGGGGTAATTCTTGATAGTTAACCTGGGGTTTTTCTGTTGATGTGGTGGTAGAACTGTATTGATTTTGGAATCTAGTGTATGCAGTATTTTGATTATTATTCTGATTTCTTCTGGCTTTATCAAACTGACTCAGATATGGTACCATATTATGGGGGTATGTGTATACAGGGGTGCCACTTTGTGCCTGGTAGACAAAACCTTTTGGAGGGGGAACCCTGTATACATTATCGATTTTTGCACTTGCACTTCCTTGAGCACCAAAATCACCAAAGTCATCACCAAATGACTCGTCATCGTAACTATTGGGTTTTGCTGTGGTGGTGACTTTGGGCTTTGGGGTGGTTTTCATCATTTTGTGACCGTCCATCATCGAGCCCCAAACTGAAAGAAAAAAATGTTTGTTAGTGAAAGTTGGTGGATACTTATTAATACTTTATTTAAATATAAAGTTTATTTTTTTTATTTGGTTACATACTGGCGTAAAAAAGTTTAAAATGCCATTATAATTTTTAAATAGGTCCACAAATAAGTAAGTTACTTTTTCTTCCAAAAATACATAGAAACAATATGCAACCAGATATTAAAACATGTTTTTTTAACTATTTAACAATTTTATATTCGTGGTTACACATTGGTTTGTTACTGTTTGAAACTTCATTAATTTTTTTGAAATTGGTCCACAAATAACCAAGTTACCATTTTGTTAATAACATTATGATATTAAACATTAAAAAAAATTATATTTGTGGTTGCATATTGGTTTGATACTGTTTAAAACGCCATTAACTTTTTTAAAATCGGCCCACAAATAAACAAGTTACTATTTTTTTTCCAAAATGGACAAAAATCGTAACATGGTTATTTGTCGGCCGATTAAAAATATATGAATAACTGTTTGAAACTGTATCAAAGCAATATGTCACCACGAAAATAAAATTGTGTGCAACTTGTTTATTTAACAAAATTTAGATATTCAAAAATATTTTTTTAACTATTTAACAATTTTATATTCGTGGTTACACAATGGTTTGTTACTGTTTGAAACTCCATTAATTTTTTTGAAATTGGTCCACAATGAACCAAGTTATTATTTTGTTAATAACAACAATAACAATAAACAACAATTTTTTGAAAACATAAAAATTTTATATTCGTGGTTACATATTGATTTGATACTGTTTGAAACGACATTAATTTTTTTGAAATCGGCCCACAAATAAAAAAGTTACCATTTTTTTCCAAAATGGAAAAAAATCGTAGCTTGGTTATTTGTCGGCCGATTTAAAACAAAATAATAGTGTTTGAAATTGTAACAAACCAATGAAAATAAAATTAACAACATTTAGATATAAAAAAATATTTTTTTAACTATTTAACAATTTAATACTTGTGGTTACACATTGGTTTGATACTGTTTAAAACTCCAATAATTTTTTTTAAATCGGCCCACAAACAAACAAGTTACTATTTTTTCCCAAAATGGAAAAAAATCGTTACATGGTTATTTGTCGGCCGATTTAAAATAAATTAATACTGTTTGAAACTGTATCAAAGCAATATGCCACCACGAAAATAAAATTGTGTGCAACTTGTTTATTTAACAAAATTTGGATATTAAAAAATATTTTTTGTTCATATTCGTGGTTACACATTGGTTTGTTACTGTTTGAAATTCCATTAATTTTTTTGAAATTGGTCCACATTTAACCATTTTATTATTTTGTTAATAACATTATGGTATTAAACAACAATATTTTGAAAACTTTTTAACAATTTTATATTCGTGGTTACATATTGGTTTGATACTGTTTGAAACGCCATTATTTTTTTTGAAATTGTCCCACAAATAAACAAGTTACCATTTTTTTTTCCAAAATGGAAAAAAACGTAACTTGGTTATTTGTTGGCCGATTTAAAAAAAAGAATAGTGTTTGAAACTGTAACAAAGCAATATGCCTCCACGAGAATAAAATTGTAAATTTGGATATTAAAAAACATTGGTTTGTTACCGTTTGAAACTCCGTAAATTTTTTTGAAATTGGTCCAAAAATAACCAAGTTACCATTTTTTTTTAATAACATATAGGATAGGATATAAAACAACAAGTTTTTTACAACTTTTTAATAATTTTATATTCGTGGTTACATATTGGTTTGATACTGTTTAAAGCGCCATTAATTTTTTTGAAATCGGCCCACAAATAACCAAGTTACCATTTTTTCCAAAATTAAAAAAAATCGTAAGTTGCTTATTTATGGGCCAATTTTAACACAAATTATGGCATTTTAAAATGTACCAAACCAATATAAAACCACAAAAACAAAATTGTAAACAGCATTTTCAAACAACATTTTGATATTAAAAAAAAACATATTTTTTAAATTAAAAAAGTATTATGCAATTTTAATTTCGTATTGTTAATTAATTTTTTAGAAAATTGTTATTTGTTTAAATGTTGGCCGATTTAAAAAAATCATAGACATACCTATCTCAGTTATTCAGTTATTATACATAGAATTTAAAAAAAAATCTACATCATTTTACAGCTGAATTCATTTTGTATCGATCTATATTAAAACTGTTATGTAAAAGTTTCCTTCTAAATAATAAGATGTTCTGGATTGTGGTTAAAAACAATGTAATGCAATATTTTCTAGAATAGATTTCTTGAATCATTGTCTTATTTAATTGACATTAATTATTGCATTGTTGGAAAAAATATCGTTTTGTTATAATGGCGAGATTTCTCGGTAAAAACTGATTACAAAAAATTTATAGTTGCCATAAAAAGTAAAGGGTGTCCAATTTAGAAAATTATGACTATAAAATAATGAAGAAATATTACATATGGTTTGTTTGAGCTATGTATGTATTTTTAGATTGGAAGATGTTCTAAATTCTTTAACTGTGTCACAATGCACATATTGTTTGGTTTCTTTACTATGTTTAATACTATCTATAGATATTCTAGAATGTACGTATATATGACCTTAAAAAAACATGTAGGTTCACCTCTCTTTATATATTGAGGTTGTTTAGTTTGATTTTATAAGATTTCACCTTGCTTGAGACTTTATTTAAATATTCATGGAAAGCATCAATTTACTTTAAAAAACTGATGAATATAGGGTGTCCCAAGTTATCTGCCACCCCATTGCTAACTTCGTTATTATTGAAGCTACAAAGTCGGTTAAATGAGCAAATTTGTGGCATTTTTTCTTCTGATTTTAATGGTGACAACAGAAAAACAAATTAAACGTCGTGTTTCCGAAATATTCATAAAAATAACTTAAGGGTAGTTATGCAATAATAATTTTTTCTTCCAAATTATATTCTCTAAAAATGTCTAAAAAATATTAGCAGATATATATACCTAACATTTATTTCAATAAATATACAAATGTTTTTAACAATTCTGAATTATTAAACAAAAAATCCTACAAATATTTTTAAATTAAACATTGGTAAACAATTTTGAAATTTTGATTAAAAGTACTATAGTACAAAAATATATTTTTGTAACAAAATTTCATGATCATGTTTTATCAAAGTTATCATTTTTTATATTCATGGTCTAAAAATAGTTTTAAATTTGTTACGATTTGATTAAAATTAAATTGTTTATTCAAAATTCGTTTCGCAATTATTTTTTTTCGCCGTTACGATTCTTTAATGTTTTAAATTGTTTTTTGATTTATTTTTTATAATAAAATTAAATTACTTACTTATGGCATTTGCATTCCTTTGATATGGGTCCATACCATCCAAATGGTCTTCCGACATAACCTTTAGTTTATCTAAACCATATTTCAACAATTCCTTATTACAATTTTCCATTGTAATGGTGTCGCAAAAATCTTCTACTTGGTTGGCAAACATCGAATAAATATATGACATCTAAAAAACAAAACAAAAAAAAATAAAAAAAATTATATAAATATTTTTTTTTATTATTACCTTTTCCTCTTTTTTGAGGTACTCCCACATGGGTATAGCCGAAGATCGAATTACTCCCAAATTGGCACTCACAAAAAACAACAAAAACATAAATTTTCCGCACATTTTCACTGTTTTCAACACTTAATTAATAATAATTGTAATCACTCAATAAAATCGTAGCAACCTTAGTCAGCACTGCTATTCGTCAATTGTTTTCACCGCATACTCTTCACTACTTTATATTTATATGGGAGCAGTGACGTCACGCCCACGTTCATTTGTTAAGGTAGCGAAGCTTGCACGGCATACTTCGATGTTGTTTTGTTTATTTGTGTTTGTGATTATTTTGGGGATTCCGTTTTTTTCTAGCGTGCTGTGTAACTTAATATTTACATATGCGGTTTTTTTATGTAAATATGTACCTAATTGGGATTATGAGATACTTTTTTATTTATGCTGTGTTGTAAAAACAGGATGTGGTCGACTTTATAAAAAATTTAATTACATAATGATTTCCATTAAAATCATCCTATATAATTTTATTTTGTGCTATCATCTACAATTATTTACGGAGTTATTTATCTCATAACATCCCATTGTAAAAAAAACAGAAATTGTTTAAATTTTATTTTCAATCAATTTTTAAATATAAATAAATTAAATTTTCGTGACACCCTGTATATATAGCAACAGTTAAAGCGTTAATATACAGGGTTAGTCGGGGAGAAGAAAAATACTTCAAGGGTGTATTATAAGCTTAAAAACAATAAAAAATACGCCATTTTATGCACGAATTTAAATTAGGCACGAGCGAGCTTGCGAGCGAGTGCTTAAATTAATGAGTGTATAGAAAAGTTTATAAACGAGGTGCATACTATACTTTTTCTACGACAAATACTTATTATTATATTAAAATGATTTAAATAAAAAATTTGTATAGAACGCCATCTATGAAACAATAGGGGAATCTATGTGTCACTGTCAAATGTCACATTTTTATATTTTATAAACACAGATTATAAAGGTTTTAAATCAAAATGTATTTCTTGAAAATTGACAGTTTTTCACAGTGAAAGTAAAGAAAATGTTTTATGAGGACTTTACAGTGAGTCCGTTTCCGAATTTAAATTATAGTTTAGTGCCGGCGAAATTAAAAGGTCAGTGCAATGTTCCAAATATTGGCGTTGAGAAACTATTTAATACTTTTGTATTTTTGTATTGAGATAATAAAATAATTTTCACATTTAGTATTATTTTACAAGAAAGGCACTTTATTTTAACGATTGTATGACATTTGACAACTGTCAACTAACTTCAGCCCCTGACTAAAAACCTGTTGCTAACTTCAGCCCGTGACTAAAGCGCCATAAAAGGTCACTTAGTGTCATGGAAACATGTACGATAAAAGGCGTTTTAAAGGTGGGAGTAGAAAAACTTAATTGTTTTCATCCGAATTTTTATTTTTATTCGAGATAAGGTTATAAAGCAAATTCCTATATAATTATTGCATACAATAAGTCACACAATATTCTAATTATTGTTTTCTCATAATATCAAGCAACACTTTGACAGATGTCAAGTTGACAGATGACAGAGGAATTTTCAAAGCCTTGTATTTTGGATACAATAAAAATCTGAAAACAATACTTAAGTTTTTTATTGTTTTAATGCTTAGAATGCCTTAAAATTTTTAAGTGGGTTTATGTAAATTGGATTAAAAAGATTGATAAATTAAAAAAGAAATTGGAAAATTGATCCAACCTGGCAAAGTGGCTTTTTGACGTTTACTACGTTTTATGTCACCTGTCATCTGTCAACTTGTGAAAGTGTTGCTGGATATTGTGAGAAAACAATAATAATTATTAGAATATTCTGTAAATTTTGTGTAGGAAAATTTTTCAAACCTTGTATCTCGAAAACAATAAAAAATTTAATAACAACATTTTTTTATTGTTTTTATGCGTAGAATGCTCACCATGTACATACATATGTTCTTCTTAAATTTGGCATCACCCATTCAGGGACGTATCCCAAGCAACATTTTAAGTCATAACTAAATGTTTACTTGTAAGTTATTTTTACAGTAGGTACACATTTACGAAATAATAACTTTAAAATTACTTAATGTCTGTTCTCTTTTAAACTTTTAAAATTTATATATTTTTTTGTCTCTTTAATTTATATTTCAAAATGATATACTTACCTAAAGTAGGTACATAATTAAGTTAACCATAAAGTTTAATTAATAAATATATGTAAATTATATTCATAAGACTAATTATAGTATAATATTATTAAGCATTAAAACACAAACGCAATAATTTAATTTGACAAACTTCGTAATGATTGGAATATATATTATTTTTTTCTAAAATAATTATGTATATACTTATGTATGTAGATATACATATATGAATTTTTATTAAATAGTGGATTATATTTTTAATAATTAATAATAATATAATAATATAACCCTTTTAGTTTTATGTTTTACTTAAAGTTATTTTTCTTTTAAAAGTTTTTTATACCACTTTAAAGCTAAAAAAAGTTTCCAGACAAATTATTTACGGTTATAAAGTGGTTTTAATATGGTAAAAATATGACTTGTGAGTAAAATTTAGTTTAGAGTGAAAATATTTTACGTTACATCGAGCGTTAAATTTGCCGTTAAAAACCCCTTAAAATAAAATAGGCAATAAGTTATTTTATTTGGTAAAATTTACGTTAACTAAACCTCATTAAAATACTTCAGAGTTGGGAGACTTTAACTAAATAACAGTAGGTATTTAACTAAATAATTTTTGCAAATCAGGGACGTAGCGATTGGGGGGGAGGAAAGATCCCCAAAATTTTTCAATATTATACAGGGGAAGTCTTTTAACTTGAAACTTTAAAATATCTCACTAAATATGCATTTTAAGAAAAAATTTAAGATAAAAATTAAATAATTCGAGGGTGGAAATCAATCAGTACTAAAATTCATACTCATACTCTTCTCCTTATACGGGGAACAGGGGGGTAACTTTAAAATTTCCAATGGAACACCCTATTTTTCATTGCAGATTCGAATCATTCGACTAAAAATAAGTGGATTTTGTCTAAAACATTTTTTCATATTTGTAATAGATGGCGCTGTAATAAAAAAATCAATTTTTAATCGATTTTTCTTCTGTATACGATTCTGCAATAATTTTTCTATAAAAATATCACTTTTTTTGGTAATAATTATCTTATTAAATTAAATCTGATTTTTTTAAGTACACGGAAAAAAATAATCGGTAGAGGCTACCGATTGGCATTCGGTAGCAGCTACCGATTGCCAATCGGTAGACTCTACCGAAAAAATCGGTAGACTCTACCGATAAAATCGGTAGTCTCTACCGAAAAAAAATCGATTCCCTCAACCGATTTTTATCGGTAGCAGCTACTGATTATTTTCGGTAGAGTCTACCGATTTTTTCGGTGCAGGCTACCGAAAAAATCGATTACCAATTTTTGAAAATTTTTGTATTTTTTTAGCGAGAAGTTAAATACTCGCTTTTTATTAAATAGAAAATAGTATTTTTTTTGAGGTATAAATAAATTCGAAATACAAAAATATTAAAAATGATGAGTAATTTTTATTAAATTTTTTACAATTCTAAATAAATATTAAATTAAATGTATTAATAAACAGGGTTCTAAATTTGGTAATTTGCTCTTATTCTAATTAAAATTATATTTACATATAAAATAATTGACAAAACTGTATGTATTTATAATTGGATAAATAAACTTTCTTTAAAAAGATGATAAAAAAACCATTTCTTTGAATAGAATTTTTTAATAATTACAATAAATACTATCTCAAAATGTTTGACTGAAAAGAGTAATTTTTATTAACTTGAATAATGTTTAATATTATTTTTAAATGTTAATATTTTTAAGTATTAATATATTTTTTTAAATTTTCTAACAGCGCATCGATGCGGATTTTCTCGGTTACGGCTACCGATTGCCAATCGGTAGACTCTACCGAAAAAATCGGTAGACTCTACCGAAAAATAATCGGTAGCTACTACCGGTTGAGGGAACCGATTTTTTTTCGGTAGAGACTACCGATTTTTTCGGTAGAGTCTACCGATTGGCAATCGGTAGCTGCTACCGATTGCCAATCGGTAGCCTCTACCGATTATTTTTTTCCGTGTACCCAGGATTTTTAACTAATATTTAAGTTTCCTTTATTATTTTTTTTAATGTGCTTTCAACAGGCACCAGGCCCAATTACAGAAATACACAATGACAAACACAAATAAACAACCATACCCCTGGTGGGATTCGAACCCACGACCTCTCGGCTTGTAGTGCTAACTACTACACCACCGAGGGCGGTTGGTTTAAGTTTTATACATTATTTCATTCTGTGATAATTATCAATTGCGCAACATGGTCACTTTTTACCTGCCAGCATTTAATAAAAATACCTCATTTAAGCTAAAAAAACATTATTTTGTCAATTAATTAACTTAATCCTAATTGAGGTATAAAAATGGTATTTAGTTATAAATAATAATTATTATTGAGGTATAAAGAAACTATTTATAATTTAGCATTATTTAATCAATTTAGTTCAAAGATTAATTTGCAAACAAAAAGACCTCCTTTCGTTATTAACTGTTAAGCAGTTATAATGAAATTAATGTATTGGAGAATCGTATAGTATACGTGGCGGCTGGTGGATTTTAAGTATACCAATATCTCAGTTATTAGACATGGGACCCACACCAAATTTATAATAGTATATATTGACATTAAATAAACAAGTTCGGCGCAAACAGAATTTAAATTGAAGTTTGCGAAAAAAAGTTAGTTTTTCCTGTCGCCTACCCTGCCTCCAGGCCCCCCTATTTGAGATAATTCAAATTAAAGTGGTGCAATTTATTATCTACTATAATTTATCGACAAATTTAAAATTTTATTTAAAAAATCCAAATATTACAGTTTTTATACCATTTTAAATATTTTTTTATTTTAATAAAATAAATAATAAAAATTTAAAATCGAATAAAATCTGTAATATTTGGATTTTTTGAATAAAATTTTAAATTTGTCGATAAATTATAGTAGATAATAAATTGCGCCGAACTTGTTTATTTAATGTCAATATAAACTAATATAAATTTGGTGTGGGTCCCATGTCTAATAACTGAGATATTGGTATACTTAAAATCCACCA